AAGTACCATTACGTTTGTCAAGAAGTGGAAAACAAAGAGATCATAGTGGAATACGTACCGTCAGCAGACCAAAAGGCTGACGTCCTCACAAAGTTGCTATCTGGAGTTAAGCACGGAGTAGCTATGAAGCAACTTGGGCTCATGTGAAATGTATGTCGATCTTCTTGTTGATTGACAACGGAACTGTTGAGAAGGGGGAGTATTGAGTGCACGGTCCCCTTTCCTGCATGAGGCATCTGAACGGTCAGAATAGCGCACAGGCCTCCTCTCTATGCATGTATATAAGTCTCTTCCAGTTCCTTCAGTCAAGCCCCCACTCGCTATGAATTCGATCTCTTCTCACAACAGAAGCCGGTAGCGATCGCGCAGATCAGCCTTCTCTCCTGACTGCGAGCATAGACCTTAGACGCTAAATTGAGCCGCTTGCCGAAGAAAAGACTGCTGCAGGACAACAGCGAGTGATGCACCACGTCGCTTTGCGCCGGCTCTGAGCTTCGAAGTATGAATGGCTGCTGGAGCTGCTGATGTGATCGGAACGACCCGAATTTTTGGAAAGCCGTGCATGGCCGTAGAGCACATCTGTCGCAAGAGACTTTCGCTTGCAGCAGCTGAGCAAGAGGGGCATCATGGCAAGTGCGAGCGTCGACTCGAGCTGCTGTGCCTCAAAATTGATACGTGACAACGTCAGAGTCATGACTCTGCCTCGCCGATTGTTCCAGGACAGTCTATAGTCTCCCACTCACAGACAGATCTCTGCTTGCAAGGCTCCACTCGTCCTAGTGTCCGAAATTCGCTCAGGCCGCCTCGGCAGTCCAAGCCCGACGTTGAAGGTTGCTTATGTGGCTACTAGCTGCTTGCCTTGAAAATGCCTTGCGCCGCGCAGCCTTGTCTCGAGCGCGCCGGATTTTAAGCGGAGGAAAGAATTCCTCCTGACTTTCCGCCCGACCGCGCACCTTTCTCGCTACGTTGGCACGCTCTACGGGAACTACAAGCCTCCGCGCCACACGTGAACGAAAGTTGCAGAATTTGCGAGAGCGAATCTGTGCTTTTGTCGTTTGCCGTTGTTCGCCGATGCCTCGTGTGGAGAGTGACTGAGGAGAAAACAAAAGCCAGCACAGTGCGGTCGATCTTCGCAACGATGACGATGATCGTTTGCTGTAGAAGGGAGACGCGGAACCGCACCACGACTTGGCGCCGTGGCTGGCCAAGGATAAGACGAGCAGCATGGACTCCGATTGGCTTGGAAAATGGCCGTCAAAGGTCCGCTGGGCTTGTTTCCGCCGCAAGATGGCGCTGTCGCTTGCGAATACAGTGGCAACCTCGACCCTATCAGACCGGACAGGAAGGAGAGCTCTGCATCAGCACATGATCCCACCGACCAGCCACTCCGCGAACCTCTCCTTCGCTCGATCCATTCGACGGGGGGAACCTAGTGCCGATCGCAGCTAGTCTCTGCTCTTATACTGGCTCTCTGAGGCTGCCTCCTAGCCTTCCATGCGGCCTGCCCTACAAGCCGTGCAGCTAGCCCTGCCGCCTTGAGCGACACTCACTTCGTTTGTTCCCGTAGCGCCTCGCGCTTCCAGCGTTCCACGCCCTGGCATCCCTTGCAAAGTCGTTCTGTCGCAGCCCTCTCCAAGCACCCTCTCTTTGCCAGGACAAAGTTGTTCGTCGGGCCTTTGGACGAGCATGTCACCGACTCAAACGACTGTGGATGTTGCGCGCCGGTCCGAGTCGCTTCAGCTGCCACGTGGTTGACATCGTCGGCAAGTGTGAGCGTCGCAGATTCGTGAGACAGTGACTGTTGACGCCCAGTCATTTGACGACCGGAGAGCTTCGCTCGCAAGAGCACCAGGGAGAGCCAAAGTAGTGAGCTCCGCAGGGAAAGCAACGCCGCTCGCCTTGGAAGCAGCTACGTCTGAAGCGCCGTGGCGTCAGGCACAGCAGTATGCTACCCCTGCAAGGGATGAACCGACGGAGGAAACCGCCAGAAGTGTAGACTGAGAGCAAAAGAAGTAAAGCATCTGAGCTCTGAAGCGTCGTTACTCAGCGCGGCACCGGAAACGCAGTGTCAGCACCAAGTCCAAGAGGTCGCGATGAGCCGCGGTCAGGCATCAGGCACGAAGCTAGGTCAAACGACTAACTCGCGCGCATTGATCCTCAACTTTGCCGACTGTATGCTGCGCGGCAAGGCATGCTGTGGTCTGCTCTTCGAGTCGGGATAGTCAGCTGGTGGAAGACAGTTGAGCGCTGATTCGCCAGACAAAACTGTGGTCAGCAGGCTGTGCTTTGACATGACGCCACGCTCAAAGCTGACGCGCGATTGTACGTGCAAGCGAGAACGTACCGTATCACTGGAAGCAGGATGGAGCGCAATAAGCATGCAGCAACCAACGAAGTGAGTGCCAGGGCGGCTCTTCTCTAGGTTCGTGTCGAGAAGCCTCTTTCAGAGAGGGCTTGCAGCGGGCTGTCGATGTGGGGAATTCTTAAGGGGAGACGCACGGGTGGCGATAGAGCGGCTTTGGGTCCAGCGCATATAGTGTGATCATAGAGCTCGCCAGAGCGACCTTTCGATGAGGCAACCTTTAGCGCAGCGGTCGGAGTCTGCTGTCGTCGCGTCGAGCAAGCGTGTGCAGACTGGGTGAGCAGCGCTGGGCTGCGAGCCTTGGCCGGCTCAGTGTACGAGAAAGAGTATGTGGGGTTGAAGGCTAAGCATGCTAGGCGCAGTTGAAGAAGCGACTCTTATTTTACGACAAGGTACTGGGCGTACGGAGGATGCGAACGAGCCCCGATGGGCGCCAGGCAACGCCTATCGTGAGCGTCTCGGGGAGCGAGGACGCAGCATGATTCCTAGCCAGAAGTGATGCTTCCTGTGTGTCGGACTTCAAATTGTGAGATCCAAGTCCTGCTTGCTCCCTTGTCGGGAGCTATGGGGTGCAATCACCATCCACCAGCAAGCCTGTCCATGCTGCATCAACCGCCAAGTGCTTCTCCAGTCCAACTTACAGCTTTATTGACTATCTCGCCAGCTCTTTTGGTTGGAAGAACCACTCCTCTGATGCTGCTTCTCGACTCCCCTCGTGATTGTCTAGCTTTTCTGACGACATTCTCTTGATCCGACCCTCCTGAGTGGGTGGCGTTTACTCGCACAGTCCGTGTTCTAGACACCGGATGCGAGCTGGCATGCACCATTTGTGATGCCTTCTGCTCCATACTCTGCGCTTGTGGAGCCGAGCAGCCTTTCGGCGCTTGCTAGCAATCTCTTCTTCACCATGGGCACTCGACAGCTGGTCTGTGCTTTGGTCGCGGAAGCGTGCCGTTGGATCGTAGGACGGGCAAGAGCAAGCGCCCAAGATCGAGTGTGCAGGCTCAGCGGCCGTGTGAGGCCCGATTTGGCTTTCACGGAGGGCAGCGTGAGCGCATGATCTTTAATTGGGCAAGGTCAGACGATGAAGTGGTGAAGTGAGGGGCTACTGGTGGTGCCGCGTCCAGCGAGCTTTGCGACTCGGAGGGCGGCCACGGCCCTAGTCCAGTGGTGGCAAGCGCGCTACATTCTTGCGACAGAGTGAAATGCAAAGCATGATCTCTAAGAGTGGATTCGAAAGCGTCCATGGAGGCTGCGCTGATGGTGATGGGTGGCAGTAAGGGTGCTGCGCCTGAAGCGGCGGCTACCAGCCCTGCCTCGTGACGAAAGGAAGGTGAACAGCCGCGCGAGCGCTACGGTGAGCGAGAGTATGGGATGAAGCGTGTTGTTGAGCAGTGCAGAGAACGCCGACGAAAGGCTGACCGGCGAGCAGGGGCTGGTGTCCATCGTCTTCCAGGCGCCTCGCTCGACTCTTGACGTGATCATCGTTGCGGATCTGCGCTGTTCCTTTACATGGCGCGATGCTCGGGCGCGATTGCTTAGACTGGCAGCCTGGTCGATCGCAAAGTATACTCCGCATGTTGTTCCCGATTTTAGCTTGAGTCATTACTAGCGAATGGGAGAGCATGCAAAGATAGGAGCGGGGACTTACTGCGTGTGGAGAAGAGCACTGGGTTTCCGGATGAGTGGAGACAAAGGAGGTCGCTCGACTTGGTCAATGACCATCTTGCACTCGGTGGCGGTGATTATGGTCTTAGTGAATGAATACCTCGCACTTCCTTGGCTGTTGCAGAATGTGCAAATTGTCCTTCCTCGCACGATTCCGGATGCGTTCATCTCTCTCTTTCTCTTGTCCTCCAGGTGGGTGACGCTGGCGTGAGCTAGTAAGCGAGATTGCTGGTATTGTGATCGGAATAGCACCTGCGGCAGGCTGTTTGACAGGCGAAAAGAATCGGAATGATGTCCGTCCGCGTACTTGTGACTGCTGCACATCTTAGGACAAAAAAGGGTTGAGATGATCATGTTGTGATTGCGTCAAGTGATGATCAATCGAGAGTGGATGTACATGCGGGTGAGCTGGCGCGGCGAGTGACAAAAAGAGGATCTTCAGATATTCGCACTGTGTGTTCCTGTGGTGGTAGTCTTTAGACCATGGTTGGATTTCGCTGGTCAGGAATCGAACGCGGTGTCAGATATACGGTCCTTCTCTTGCAGCCAGCGCACGCGTCTGCTTCAATGGGCGTACAGACGCGTGCGCCAGATGCACTCGGGTTGTTGTGTGGGTGGCTGTGCACCCGTTAAAATCACAATTTTTTCACATCACATCACGTGATTGCGCTAAATCCGGAGATAAGGTAGCGCGCCGGCCGGCCAACTCGGCAATTTTTCAAGTCAAAATTTTGACCGCCGCGATCCCTTAAGGGATCGCGGCGGATATGCATCGGATTTAAGCGCGGCATCAGAAATAGAGCCGCGCAGGAAGAGGAGCGAGTGCGCTGGACGAGGCGATCCATGACACGCTGCACATCACAGCCAGCTTGCTTCTCTAGACGCCAGCACCTCATCATCGCCACCAACTGCGCGTTGACGAAGGCTGAATGCTCGCTACATGTATCACGCTTGCAACTCCACTAGCTTTCCTTAGTCCATTTGATGGCTGCGAGGTGCCACGCAAAAGCCTCGCGACTTTCACCTAGCACACGCCTAGTTCCAGACGCCGCATCCAGCTGTTCGGACCCAGCAGAGCTGCCGTAGCATCCGCAGCGAAGCTTTCTCGAGTCGTGATATTTTACTGTGCTGAGCAGGCGCGTTAAGGATGTCAGCTCTACATGGCACCCTCGGCTACCTGGCAAATTTCCATCACGAAACCGCTTTTGGCTGCTGCATCTCTTCTGCCCAGCATACAGCATCTCCATCTTCCCAACTGGCAACGCGCGGCCACAAAGCGACACTTCCTCAATTCGCGCCGAGCACGCACTTCACCTTCGCCTGAGCCGAGCAATTAAAGTGCACTTGCTTTTCACTCATCCGGCTTATTGCTTCGAAAGCCACACGTCCAGGTGGCCATTTGCAATCGCTGGCGCAAGACGGAGGGGGGCACACGAGGCGCTCTGCTCAACGAATGCACTAGCGTCAGCAGTCCAGCAGAGGTAATTGATGCGATGTTCAAGGCCGTGCGCAGGGCGAACCTTCCCTCAAAGGCAAATCAGAAGGGAGTCAGCAATCAGCGTGATCACTTCCTAATGGAGTTTAAATCGTGAGGGTCGAGAGACGCTCGAACAGGAAGCGAGACGCGAACCTCGACACTTGCATGCCCCACGGTGTCATACGGGACTGCATCGAAGCTTCAAAGACGCTTCGATCAGGTTTTCGATGATGCCTGTTTCAGGGTGAGTCAGAGTCGGGCGTAGCGAACGAGTGTGTAGTCGGAGGAGGCTGGGCCGAAGAAGCGACCCCAGCGGCTCGAAGGTAGCGACAAGCTGGAATAAGAGCGCACAGTCAGATGCAATCTTTGGACGGTTTCCTGGCCGAGCCGCTTTGGCCACTTCGCCATCTCGTTCACAGGACAACGCCTGCATCGTGCTTGCAGTTGTGACTCGCTGCTTTCGCCTTGCCTCGCTGACCTCGCTGACCTCGCTGCCCTCCTCCCACGCCTAGCAACACTCATATACCTCGTAACGAATAGCTCGCGACGGCCATTGAAGCAGGCTCTCACAGCACTATAGCTCCAGCCGCTCTCAGACCACGCAGCAATAGACACCCGCTTGAGACGATCTCTGTCGTACAGTGACGGGCACTCTTCGACGTCTTCGGGTCTCAGGTGACTTGGTCAGGTCTTCTTCGCGCGTCAGACTCCTCACTTCCAACTCCGGACTCTGAATGGGCAGAACGCTGCTTTCCACGTCATCAGTCACCGTTCAAGGCCTACAAATACTCAACGTAGTCTCTTGTCCGACAAGAGCTGGGACTCGGAGGAGCCGTTGCATCGCACTAAGCGGGGTTCTTTGTCTTCTATCTCACCTCGACTGGCCAAGTACAGCTGCTCTCAAAATCTAATAAGGGAGCAGCTAATATCGGAGTGGGGGAGTATGCTACATGTCTTGAATGCTTAAGTCTGCCCACGATACTTGGCAAAACCGCAAGCAGCTTGGGGATCAGCCCTCCCACTCGACCAAGTTTCTCGACTCCTAGTCGAAAAGGATCGATATCTGTCATTCGAGTCGGCGAGGTCGCGACTTGACCAGCCAAGGCCCTGCCGTATGCCGTGAAGCCTCGAATGCTCAGGGAGGGACGTGATTCATCACGTTTGCTGCTCTTGAAGGTGCCTCTCATCCAGCGGCAGCGGCCTTGACCTTTGTGCCTTCAGTAAGCAGAGACGAGCGCCACGTTCCCTTGATCATCGACGCAAGATGTGGCACCAGAAGCCTTCACCTTCGAGGCCCTCCCTGAAGAGCAGCGCCTTCCAGTATTGTTGGCCGATGCTCGAATAGCGAGCTCTTGATGCGAGGAGAAACTCTATCCTGCCGTCACCGCAATGGTTTCTGCTGCGCACAGAGCTCGGGATCGCCTTCCCACCATCTATTTCCATCTCTTGCGAGGCGTCGGCTTCGCTGCCTGTGTCCGAGTCACGACGCAGCGCAAGCCGCTCGCTTCAAGACGCCGCCTCGCCTCAGCGGACAACACTTTCGGCGAGAGCTGCTTCCAAGTGATAGCGTACAAATCGCCGCCGCGCCAAAGTTCGACGCTGAGCTGTCCATGTATCAGGGCACATGGCTCATCGCTCTATCACTGCCTGATCCGGCCCCAAGACTCGGGTGCTGCGTTCCAACGGTCACGAAGGACGTTGAATCGCCGCTTAGATAAACTGCCAGGGCGCTCGGGTGGCCGCGTCAGACCGACAGCATGCTTCGTGCTTGTGCCCATAGATCGCTCTCGCCCTCTGGTAGCGTCTTCTCATGGGCACATGAAAGCTGCTCCTCGACTTGGAGCACCTGTAATCACCTCCATCACCTCGCGGGACGTCCCTGCGCAAGTCCGAGCTTGACGCACCGCTCGCGTGTCGTATTTTTCTAGAGCTTTGGTAGGGGTCGACAGCTTCGAGCGGCCTCTCGCTTCTGACGTGGATCTCGAGGGCCGATTCATCGGACTCTTGGACGCCCACGGAGTCCCTCAGCGTAGCTTCGGTAACGTTAACGACGATCGGCCCACCACACCCTCTGCAGGTCGATTCACTGGGTATCTCGCACTCGTCTGCTCGTTGAAGGCTGCTAAGGCCGCCCACGAGCCGATTGGGTCAACCTGCGCTCTATCTGGTAGGCCAGCAGTGCATCGGCGGAGCGAGTGGGGAACGGCGATTCAGTGGAGAGAGTGCCGGTGCGTATTCGCCACACGCTGCGTGCGACAGCAAGAAGCGCAGGTTGGGCGATCGGCGATCGGCGCGGAGGACATCATGGCGATGAAGCGGCGTTTGCTGGGAGGATAGAGCGAGTAGTGCTGTAGCTCGAGCGTGGAGGTAAGCAGCATGAACAGCGTCGAGGGTTCGGTCGCAAAGCGCGATATTGACACTCGCTTGTTCCAATCCAGCTGTCGTCAGTATTGCTCTGCCTACCGTCGATAAACATGAATCTTGCAACATGGAACCGATAATCTGCGAATCATTCATGCCGACCTTCGATTGGGAAAGAGCGGCGAGCCGACCTGAGACTTCAAATAATTGCTAGTGAGCTTCGTCTTCAAGTAAAGGGATTCAACGTGCTTCGGCCACCAGCGCTGCACGTCTTTCATTGGCGTAGCATGCTCAAGTGGTGAGTCAACGAATGCATCCTCTCAATCCCAAGGGCCATTGCCGCTCAATCTCCAACTACCTCCTGCCTCTGATCACTCAGCAGCGCTCGATCTACTCGTTGCACGGGGTGGGAACCGCATCCTTGTTGTCACTGGAATTTCTCGATCATGAAAAGGCTCGGCAAGCGGCCAAACACGAAGAACGCTGCAGTATTGGAGCTTGCTTACGGATGCCGAAAGCTCCAGGCTTTGCAAGGCACACATTCCTGTAAAAGGTCTGCGGTGTCTCAACGCTTCTCCAGAACCACACCCATCGTTCTAGACATGCTCAAAGAAGCGCTGGTGGAGAATAGCTGTTCGCAGACCATGGCGGCCACTCAAACCAAAGAAGCATTCCGCGCGAGGGAAGACAACGGTGCTGAAGAGCTTGGTAGGCAGGACGAAAAGGATGGCGGCGCGCCCGCTGCTCATTCCGGCCAACAAGAGAACAAGAGAATGATGTTGTTGAAGCAGGACCGTTTGAAGGTCACGGTCTCTTGGCCCTGTCGAAAGAGAGCGCGAACAGTAAAAAGATGCACGCAAACGTCTGCACGACAACATGAGCGAGATCAATACAATTACAAGAGAATGCGCAGTGACCCAATCACCGCTCTACGCTTCGCTCTGACCCTGCCTGTGAGAGCCGGCCACAGTCACCGTCTTGAATGCGTCCTGCCAAGGTGACATACACCAGTGATGAGTTGGGCAATAACAAGGCTGACCAGTAGCTCTTAGATTTGGTGACAGACTGAGCGGAAGGATTGATCGCCGTGCACAAGGCGGAGAGGAGCAGGTTGATATCCGGTCAATGAGCTTCAAGACCACCTATGCACCACCCTGGGCTCAGCGTGGCTCAACCCGGGAACTTACCGTGATACTCAGTGATGTGACAGTCAGAATGAAGTCACCAGAGATCAGAACAGCCTCGATACGGCGGCAGCAAGCATAAGGGCCTAAAGATTCTGTGCCCTTCGACTTCCTGGTGAGCGCTTGCCGCAGCGTGGTAGCCCCAGGGAGAATCTGTGGGGAAGCAGTGCACCCGTCGGAGGACCAGCACCTCAAAGGACACTTTCGAATGATGTCGTAGAACGAGAATGCAGCTGATGACATCTTGATGGCGAGCATGGAGTGAGCTTGTACCACGCTCGCTGAGCTGTTGAACATTGGCGCGAGCGAGCTAATTTGTTCCAGGGAGCCTCGAGCTCCGCTTCTTTGGGCGGGCCGATCAAGGAGACTAGACAGGCGAATCGACACGCCCTCCTTGCTCCTCAAGTAGAAATGCGGATGATACTCAGCTCCATTACTTGCTCAGAGCTGTTCCGAGGTCCAGCTGATACTGGGCCAGAAGGCTCTACCTGCGGTAGAGCAGCGACTGCAGCTATGCAAATCACTGGGCACGTGTTCGTATGTAACAGACGAAGAACACCTAATCACCCGAGAAGAGAATGCCAGAGTGAGAAGGCTAAGACACGTCAGAGGCAAGAAGAAGTGGCAGTGTACAGTATTTGCGCACCCCGAACCCTCGTATATGCTAGTCGATGCTCAGCTCGCCTTTTCTATGAGCGCACTGGATCGTAGCTTTCCCCTGCCGATGAGGTACGAAGTAGAGTGATGTTGGGAATGACTGGCTGATGAGGTGGGCAACGAAGCTGATTGGGGAGTTCGACAGCTTGACCGGCGGATCAATAATCTGGCCCACTGATCAAGGTGTACATGTGACTGCCATTCGATACATCCGCGAATGTCGAGCTCAAACGCTTGGCGGAACGACGATGAGGCAATTCGTCCTTTGATGGGTTTGCGACTTGGTGGAGCGGCGACACTCAGCACGATGTGCACTGAAAGCTCACGAAACTGTACACCTCGAAAGAGCTGCCAAGAGCTGGACGAGACGTGCGAAAAGCATGTAAGAGCACGATTGTGCCCACGTACCTCATCACCTCTTGCTCTGGTTGGTGCAGGTACGCTCCCGAGTCGGCGCTCGAGCAGCCAGGCTGAGTAACGAAACAAGCCAAGATATACGCTCCAATTCGTGACTGTCAGCACCGTTTTTCCACTGGCTTTTACTTTGCTGACGAGCGGCGAGAAGCAGCAGTCACCAGTGTCGGCTGAGCCGGTCTGGCAGATCGATCTGACAAGTCCGGAGATGAATGAAAGTGCGAAGTGTGCGGTCCAGCTGGTTGCAAGGCACGCACGTGGCAAAATTAGGACAGTTGAGTCACGATCGTGACCAGTGATTCGTGCGAGATGGACACGCACGACGCATGCCACACGCCCTGCTCAACGGCTTGGGGCTGTGCATGCGTATGGGCAGGCCATCAGGCTGCCAGCGTGCACTTGATTAGGTCGCGGCGCGCGCTGCCTGCCTTGCACCACTCGTGACTTATACACCACACCTCGACTCGCTGGCACGCTCTTCATTTCCATCACTCACGACTCTCTCCGTCCCGCTCTTGGAACCCCGTCCTTCACCGCACGCTTCCAATTCGGCATCCACAACATTCACTTGTCTCGGAATCGCTCAATTCCCTTGTCTCTCGCTTCTTTCAGGATCAGCAAGCGCACTCCTGACGTACGCGTCATTGCCACGTTCATCACGACCCTGACGACCCACTCCTCTGCTCGCAATCATGGCCGCCCGTCAGATTGATTCTCTTTGGCGCGCCCAGGCTACGCTCTCTATCCATGACGCTGCCGCCGGAAGGCGCATGCGCACGAATCTTGAGCACGTCGAGCGTCTCCTCGACGAAGCTCATCAAGCTCCCTTCACTGTCAACGAGATCGTAAGTCACGACCATGCGCTCGAGCGTCAGCCCATTCTTCACCACCTGACTTTCGCTACACCTTCTGTCCCAGTACAATCCCACACTTGCCGAGGACGGCATCAACACGGGAGCCCTGTTGGGTGCCTTGGGAATGGTTACGGTGCTCAAAATGGTACGTACGAAGCAGCTGTCATTCTGAAGCGCGTAGGACTCTAGGCCGATCCGGCTGCGACGAAATCATGGGGCTTAGGCACTTGTGATTTGGTTTCAAGACGTCCCTTCAAGCCCAAGTAGCCGCCAGGACCCGTTGCTTCAGTGTGGAAGCGGTGGTTCGAGCTCTTTCATGAGCTCTAGGCTGTCTGGATGTCTTTTATCTTGCGCGCTCCAACTGACTTAGCTGCTTCGTTCGTACAGTACCATCTTCACCAACAGCATGCGCGTGGTTCAGCAACGCACAAGTATACCCGCCGAGCCACCAGAAAGAGCAAGGTGCTGGGCAATCACCTCACCCTCAGCTCGATGAGGCGTGCCTTGAAGCTCTTTGGACGTCGTCCTGCGGTCACCGGAAACATTACGGCGACCAGCCCAACGCTTCACGAGGAGCCAATGTCCTCTCGTCCCGTTCGTCCTCGCTGGCCAGTCATTCTCCGCCGACTTGCTGGACCGATTCCATCCGGATCCAGCAAAGGAGCTTCGACGGTGAAGAGCTGGGCTCGCGAGGTCGCTTGAAGTCACTGTCCCCTTCCGCTTCCTCTACCGCTTCCCGCTCGCGTTCTGCTCTCCGCTCCCGCCTCCCGCCGCCAATCTTCTCTCCCGCTCCCGCCTCCCGCCCCCACTCTCCTTTCCCGCTCCCGCTTCCCGCCTTCACCCTCCTCTCCCGCTTCCGCCCCCACTCTCCTCTCCCGCCCCCACTCTCCTCTCCCGCTCCCGCCTCCCGCCCTCAACATCCGTCTCCCTGTTCCGCTCCCGCCTCCCACCACCTGCATCCGAAAGATCCTTGTCTCATCTACGCTGTATCACAGTTCGAGCATCCAAATCCATGAGTCACACGCGACTCCAGCGTACTTAACAATGACCTCGCAATGCTGTCCTAGCACAATTCGTGATGACAAGAGCAGGGCTGGTCGCCATCCAGCGTGCGGAACAACAAAGCCGTCGGGTCCTGGTAGAGTACGAAGGCATTCACCATTACGTCTTCGAACACACTAAGCGAACACACTTGCAGTCAGCTTGACATGCCTCCCCACCCGTCTTCCTCCAGTGCACCTCGCAACGCCCTTTCTTGACTCCACTTGACCAAAGAGCGCATCCTGATTCCTTTCGTTGACTAGGCGATCTGATGTGTGTCCCGCCTATACTGCGCCACGTCGGTTGATTGAAGCGACGCGAGACAGCATACTTCTCCAAGGCAAGGTAGGGCTCTTGGACTCACACGCGCATCCTGTCCTTGCAGCTTTCCCACCCATCGTGCTCTGTATCAGAAGCAAGAGCAAGTGCCAGCCGTTGCAGGCGATGAAGCCTTTGGAGAGTGGATGCGGTGGTGAGGCGGCCAGGCGAATGCAAAAGCCAAGGCACTTCCGAAGTTGCTCGGCAAGCGCCACTCGCCACCTTCCACCGCCAATGCTTCGGCGAGTCGGGCTGTCGGCGCAGGCCATGGCTGCTCTGAAGTCGCAAAGGCTGCTTTGTGAGGCGCTTTGGCGAAAGTGTGACGCGCTTGGAAAGTGAACACCGAAGAGAGGCGAGCACGCGATTGCAAAGTGGGAGCACATGCCTAGGCGCTTCCAAAGTTGCTCGGCAAGCGCCACACGCCACCTTCCACCGCAGATGCTTTGGCGACTGGAGTTGTTGGCTGAGGTCATGGCTGCTCCAAAGTCGCGAAGTCGCAAAGGCTGCTTTTGAAGGCGCTGTGGCGACAGTGCGCACTGTGTCGAAAGCTGATTCAGCCTATTGACTCGAAGCTGGGGCCCATAGCGCTGTGTCGAAAGCTGATTTAGCCTACTGACTCGAAGCTGGGACTAATCCGCAGCCTAGCTATATGGGAATGTGCTGAGCGAGAGCGAACACGCATCGAAAGCATGGCGTCATGACGCCACAGGGCCTTGTAGCCACGCGGCAATCCAGCAGAGGTCCACTGTCATTCTGCTCGAGGTTCTTGCCTGCGGGCGCAGAGTCGTGTTCACTGAGCATTCTGGTCAGACAAAGCTGTACACGGCATCCGTTCAGAGGCTGACTTACCATCAAAAGCTGTGAATGGGAGAGCTAGGAGGGCTCCTTATGATTGAGAGCCCCCGCATCCGAGGGTGCTCACTGAGATCCGAAGTCCTCTTTGGCTCTTATATGGCTGGGGTCGGGCTGCGGCATCAAGGAAGCCGCTGCCCTGCAGTGTCGTGAGAATGTCGTTCCTCTTAGTGAACGTTTTCAGCCTTCTAGCATTGAGGCGCTCCAACCTAATGAGCCTGATCAGCACTAAGCGATGGGACATGCGCCAGATGCTTGCTGCGAAAGCAGAAGACGCAGCTTTGTTTCGTGTTGAGTCGGCATTCATACTGCTCTGTGCAGCCGCCACCGCATATGCGCAGCGTTGGCCCTCCTTCAACGCATGCGGGCAGGGCTAGAGAAGGGACGCTAGCTCTCTGTAGCTCGCACGCCGATGACTTGCCGTCTTTTGCTGGATGTGCATGTATGCATGTGGTACGATCTCGCTTTCCCGTTCTGGGCTGTGCTGCATTGCTCATGACGGTGCGCTGAACAAGCGGGGCGCCGGAGATGTCCACTTAGCTCGCTTCGTGCTGCGAAACGCTCCGCTGCTGCATTCCTGATGCCGAAGAGGTGCGCGCGTGTTGGCGTTTGCAGCAAACCTTCGGGGTTTGTCGAGCGGGACGTGACCTGTGCTTTCAACTTGGCTATCAGTGCGTGTCGCATAAGCCGCTCCGTAGCAGCCGAGCGGCTCGCATGGCACAAGCTTGACTGGCATGCCGCCCACTCACAAAGCAGCGCAAATCCACCACTCGCAGCCAGCATCGAATCGAGCCGCCGCTCCTTTGGCGTTCAATCTGGCGTCATCGGGCGCTCGAGCTGAGCCACGCTCGTTTGAGTCCGATAGTCGCTAACACTGCAAAGTGTCTCCCGATTGTCGACGCAAATGGGCTCAATCGCTGGCGTCGAAGCCGGAGGCAAATGGCGCATCTGCCACCTGCTTGGTGAGCCGAGCCAACGCCGAGCTCGACGTGGAGCTGAGCTGCGAGAGTGATAGAAAGCTGTGAGTTGCCTAGAGTCCGCTTGTGAAGCGCAGACGCAGACGGCTAGGGAGCGCGAGAAGATTTCCTGCGCTCTTATGCGCTAGCCTGGGTAGGTCGACGTCTGATGCATCTGCTCGAGTCGCTTGCAGACAGACAAGACTCGCGCAGCGGGGTTTGTACTGTAGGCATTGCCGGCACGTCTGAAGCCGGACTGCCGCTGTTGAGGCATTCTAGCATAGTGATGCGCAGATTACCAGCACTCTTTCGCGAGAGTTGGTGCCCCCGCAATATGGGTAGTCGTGAGTTTAAGAGGTGGTGGGATATATGAATACAGGTGACGTGGTCTTCGACGGATCATTGAGGCTGAGCCGAAGTCGCAGTCAAAGTGGGCCTGAAGAGGGGTGCATCAAGGGCGGATGTTCAGGGAGGAGCACATGCAGCGCCTCGGCAGGGGAGTCGGACTTGCAGCTTTGGGGCAGCTGCAGGCAGTGAAGAGTAGGCGTCAGGCAGAAATCCCCACGCGCAACAACATCGCGTATCGTGCTGGCCTCTGCACAAGGTTCGAGAATGTGCCCAATCGGTCACGTGAGTCGTCCCGCGGTCCGCGAGATGCATGCCTTGCGCGCCTTGAGCGCGCGGGGGCCGTTTTGCTGCCCACTCAAGACTCAAGCCTCCACAGCACCAAAGCCTCACGTCTCAATCACGTGAACGTAGTGAAGCAGATGGTCGGCGCCACCTAAATTTGACTCAAGACTCGAGACTCGCTCACAGCAACACAAGGGAAATCGTCGTCTTCCGAATAAAGTCCTCAGACTGCAATCGAGGATTGGAAATTTCGAAAACTAGCGAGGTGTGCAACATTCTTACTGAATCTTGCACCCGCCCTAGAGCGAAGCATTTCGTTTATCCGCGTGCAGTGATTCGCGCCTGCTGCAGGCTTCGCGAGACGAGGCGAGCGTATCGTACACTCGCAGGACTCAAAAATGCCAGATGCAAACCACGAATGAGAAGCTCACCGCCAACGTGACAGCCAACAAATAATTGAATTCGCTTGGCGAGCTTAATGACGTCTGTCTACCACTCAATTTGGGGCCCTGAACTGCAGGGCTGCCACACGCGAAGCACGAACCGTGAATCTTGAATGATCTGACACTCTCAACCACGTGACTGAACGTTTTGCAGGCGGTGATGCCTGCCGGCACACATGCAGGCACTTCGCCTGAGCAATTTGGTCGGCTCGCGAAGGCCGCGAAAGCCCCCCACTTAAGCGACATACTCATCAACCGCTGCGTCCGCTGCGTCTGGTCGAACGGGCAGCAGATCAGTCTTGAGTGTGAACTGTGGAGCGGGCGATGGGCTTCGCGTCAAGGGCGAGCGCGTATTGGCTGGGCGTATAATCACGTGAATCACTCTCGCGCGCGGCAGACAAGCGGCCCACGCTGCAGCATGCAGCAGCATGCACGAAGTGCAGCACGCGCGCAGAACAGGCGGGCGTCAGGGAGGCGGGGGCGCGCCGCCTGCCTGTCTTGGCGCATCTGACAATCATCCACCCATGAATGCTGAGAGCTTCCTCAAGCTTTCGACATCCCGGTGACCATGACACACCTCGTAGACTTCAACCACTTCACTCGTGGCTTACAATCTGTACGACAAAGCACTCTGCTACTTTCGTAATGATACACACGCTGTCCGAAATCACTAGTCCTCCTCGTAGAGTCTGTTCTTTGTCTGGACGGCAGCACGAATGCCACACAAGAGGCGGGTCTGCTGCAACACAAGCTTCTGCCTTGCTGCAAATTTCACTGCATCCTCGACTGACCAGCATTTCGACCAGCGCTCGCCAGAGATCTACAGAAGCGCCAAGTCATCACCTGTCAAAGTACATTGGCCTACGACACGTCTTCGCTAGCTCGACTGAAGCGACGGGAGCGGGACCGCCGCCTGCAGCTGCAAGAGGAAAGACTTCGCGCGTAAGGTGAAGGAGAGCCGACTCGCTGTTGCGCCTCAAGGGTCGCAATGCTTTGACCGCCTTACAAATCAACAATGTCATCTATTTGTGGCTCGAAATGCTCCTGACAGTCTTCATGCATTTCTGGCGGGAAACTGGATCTCGATTTACCATGGTGCGTCGAGAACCCTAGGCGGTGGTATCGACCGACGCGAGGTTGTGTGCTACTGCTGACCTTCCGGTAGCTCCACTTCTCCTCGAATCATACTCACAGCTACTCAACAAACAAAAGAGTGTCCAGTTCGGGCTGGAAAGGCTTCCTTCGTATCTTTCGACCTCCGGCCTGTGAAGCAGGCCCGCTGTTGCGTGGTTCGAGCGAGTGCAGTACCACGCATGCAGCGCGTATTGCGCGCGGTGTCGGAGCTTGAATCACGAATGGACTTCAAAAGAGATATGGTCTGACCTCCATCCAATACGATCCGCACATCAAAACGCAACGTCGAGATCAGGAAGTCAAAGCAAAAAAAGACAAGTAGGCAGTGAGTTGGTACTCTCTCGACTCCTCGGTTGAGACTTTCCAACGTCCAATGCGCGCACGAGCATGTCATCAGCAGCGCTCCACGCAGCAAGGCAAACCCTAATTTGTTATTAGCTCTACTCTGTGGCCAGCAGAGCGTGTGGCTCGAAAGCCGAGCAGGTTCACGATCAGGCACCAGCAGCATACCTCTTTCGCCCGCGCGTTTATTAGATCTTGCTGGTGCGCACCAACCCGGCCAACTTGACATATGCAATGACCAAGTCATGTGCGCTAGATCAATCCATCGCGATCACAATGCGATCTATATGACGCATCATCAGCATCATCGGCATCATCAGCATCATCGGTCTGTATGATGCATCGTCAGTGTTACTAGTCGATCTCAAAAGACGACAGTCGCAGGCAAATTCATTGCGCAGTCCTTCGCGATCATCTTGCAATCCAAGTGGCGGATCATCAGACTTACTCGACGATTCCAACAATTGGCAGTCGTAGTCGGGCTCATTCATAATCCTTCGCAAATAAGGTGCGGTCCAAACGGCGGATCATCATTATCACTCGACTCTCTCAAGGGGAGGCAGTCACAGTCGGGATCATTGCACAGTCGAAACGGATTATCACGCTGGACAGGAATAGAGTCTCGAAAGAAAAGGCAGTCACAGTCAGGATCCTCGCACAGTTGGAACGGATTATCACGTCGGACAGGAATATGATCTCGACAGCGAAGGCAGTCACAGTCAGGATCATTGCACAGTCGGAAAGGACCACCACGTCGAATGGACTACGATTGCCAGGGATTCTTCGTGTGAAAGCGTGAGGCGGAAAATGAATGGCGGGGCGAAGAAGCCGAAGCGTAAGTCGTGGTGCAGGGAGTCACTGGCGATGATGAATGAGACGTGGGTGCAGGCACGGCGTGTCCCTGCGATCTGAACAAGCGCGCGCGTGACGTGACACTCCAACCATTTGCCCTCATATCACCTTCTCCTCACTCCGCCTCCGTCTTCGACTTGCCATCCTCCTTGCGCTTAAAAAACTTGCCAAGCGTCCGTGTCATCTGGCGTTCCTCGTTGATGAGCACAGACACTCGACTGCGACTTTTTGCCTGGGAAGTTGGAAAAACTCAGCTGTCAATTATAGCACGGCGATGAAGGTGTTTGATAGCCCCCTTCTAGTATTCAAGACGCGTGACCGTGCTCACCTCCTCCGAAAGGCGCCTCATTGTGCTCTCCGAGATACTGGCAGACTCAGTCTTTGCTGCTGAAGCGCGCTCTGGTGGTGCAGTCCCAAAATGGTGTCCGTAAACACTTTGGGAGAATCCAAGTCCAGCTCCAGCTCCAGGCTCGTCCATAGCTCGAGCCTTCCCGGCCGTCTTTTTGAAAGCAGGAACGTCGATCCTTGGCGAGTTGGATGCGAGACGCTTATGAAGCGTCATCTCTGAAGACGCTCGAGTCACATCCGTCGGTGCTGCCGTTGCCTTTCGCGGTTGCAAGATAGCAGGCAGCAGCTTTGTTTTCTTCAATGTAGCCTTCAACCCTCCCTCTCGCTTCATGAGGTCCTGTAATTGGCCTACAAGCGCCTTTGACTGCGGAGTTGGAGGCTGAAGACCCTCCTTGAATGAAGGGGTGCTTCCGGTGGACCTGGCCCCGCTATCTGCAACGCTTCCAGCCTTGCCTTGGGACTGAGCACCGGGGCCGCTGCCACTAGAGCTCTTGTTCTTCTCGAGAAGCCAAGCCTTGTGGTCGGCAATCCATTGCGGCTGCATGATCAAAGAAAGAATGTGGTCAGTCAGAGATGCAGCCACCCTTCTGTGTGCCCAATGTTTTGAAGACTTACGCAAGTGAGCTCCGCGCAGACTCGGAAATGGTCCAGGTCGGAGTCCCAGTCGTCGCCCCCGGATGGTAGGGGTGGTCCACCATCCATTGCACAACGAGCACGTACTCCCTCGAGCTGCGCACAGGTCGAGTGTGAATTTGTCGTCCACGTTCTCTCTAGCTAGTCGAACTCACCATCGTTTCCAGACGCATCTGCTTGAGGAAACCAAAGTTGCGCCCATTTCGTTGCAAGACGCTTCTGTGAAGGCTTTTGGCAGCTTCAACGTCCGGCAAGATGCGCGAGGACTGGGCGACTGGCAGTGCTGCCAGCTTCTCTTGAATGAGCTTGAGTTTTACGTCAAGCTCACGCATCTCGCGCTCCTGCGCTGCTGCCGCATCGGCCAGTGTCTGGAACTTCGTCATCTTGGCGTTGTGCGTTGTGTTGGTGTGGTTTAGAAGCTCTTCTGTTGCAACAAGTGAGTGAGGTGACGAGTGCAATGAATGGCGTGGGTGACGAGTGTGGGCAAGAGGCGTAATGTTGGAGGTTGTAGCCATTCGCGATTCGTGAATCACGATTGCGAGTGCTGATTGCTGTTTCTTGAATGTGAATCAAGCGCGGCTCGTGGCTGTCACCACCTTCCAGCGAGAAACCAGCAGAGACAGCCTGCCCGCCACCATATGCTGCACGCGCCTTGTCTACCCGCCCAAACCTGCTACTCGTGACTCGTGACTCGTGACTCGTGACTGTCGCGCACGCGCTCGTGCATGCTGCACATGATGTGCATCAGATCACACGCACGCACTTGCAATCACGAATGGAACCACATCATCCCTCCGTTGGACGACGGCGACAATACGCGCAAACGCATCGCAACGCTGAGCGCTCATGCCATGCATGTACTATGCTGATGGACAGCAGCTTATTCCTATCATTAGTGTATGCATACGACCTCGAGGGTTCAACATTCAAGAATCTTGAACTGAATGCACGAGTTGGCTCACAATAAAGAATCGTATCAACGCGCTTTGCGCGCGGTGTCGGAGCTTCAACCGACGTCAAACGCGGATGGCATGACCTCCAATACGATCCCGCACATCAAATGGAAGCCTCAAGGTTTGAACTCTAGAGGTCAGAAGGAGAATGGAGGCAGTCCTCTGTCCGACTTGATGCCGTTTCAAAAAAAAATTCGAGTCAGTACGCTCCAACGTCCCATCACTGCGCCCAGATTGGATCTTCGACCTGTCGTCTCCGCCCACTATGGCCACCGTGATTTGCTTTACCCCGGAACCGAAGGCGTTCCCATGCTAGCTAGGCGAGAAGTCGGCCGACGATGTGGCCTGATCAGCGAGGAGCCTCCCCACCTACGCGTAGTGATTAGATCTTGCCGACGCGTACCAACTCGGCCACCTTTCAATTTGCAATAGCTGGGTCATGTGCGATACATCAGTCCTTCAAAATCACATTGCGCTCTATTTGACGCATCAGCAGTATCATCACTCTATATGACGCATTGTCCGACGCATCATCTGTATCAATCGACCATCTCAAAAGATTCTAGATGCCACACATTGGTACTCATTGCGCAGTACTTCGCGATCACGATGCGACTTAAAGGGCGGATCATCTGACTCGAGCAATTCATCCACCATCACCGATGCTGACGATGACAGCATATATCGATGATTTCAAGGGATGGCAGTCACAATCGGGCTCATTGCACCGTCTTTCGCAAGCACCGTTCTTCGCAGGCACGGAATGGCATTCACGGTCGGGCTTATCGCACAGTGCTTTGGAATCGGGATGTGGTCTGATGGCAAATTACCTTTACTCGTCCGTGCGACGCTTTCCTGTCAGTTTGCGCCACACCGCACCATCCAGCATCGGCGACTTTGAGGCCTGACGCTTATGACCTGCGTTGTCCCCCGTGACCTCTTCGCGCTTCTTTCCACCAAACAACCCTGACTTCTTGCGGTTAGTAAAGAAATCTTTTGCCCCTCCGCCTGCTCTGATCGAGTCGAACTCGGCTGCCAGGGCGCTCGCTGACTTTCTGCGCTGAATCTCTTGCAGTGAAGGCCTCTGGAAGGCGCAGACGCAGAGTCCTGTTGCCTAGATGGTCCAGCAACATCAGACAGGCCAAGTCCTAGGGTGGCAGGTGTTTTGTTGTGCGACGCAGACTTGTCCTTGTCCAACCACTCCTTGTAAGACTTGATCCATCTTGCCTGAGAGTGCGCACTTCAGTGGTGAGTGTACACGTCCTTCCCCTCGACTGACTGACCGACCAATACTCACAGATGTGATTTGCGTCCACAGATTGAACCTGTCTGTATCGGACTCCCAGTCAGAGGTCTCAGGGATGAAGGAGAAACCATCCATAGCTGCACGGGCTTCGATACCCTCGAGCTGATGGTCAAAGACTTGGTCAGCGTGTATGGTAGGACAGTGTGTCATTCACATACGCGATGCTCACTCACCATTCTCCCAAGCTGCATACCTTCAAGCATCTTGTAGGTCCGATCCATCTGGAGACCATCGCGGCGAGTGATCTCTTGCAGTCGCTCTACATCACCTGCAATCGAGACCCGGTACTCCAAGGGGAGCTGCTCAACCTTCAGAAGAAGAGCCCGAAAGACCTCGGTCATCTCAGTCTTGGCTTGTTGATGCTCCTGAGCCCTGCGCGATATAATGACGGATTTCGACATGACGTTTGCGTATTGCGAAGCGAAACACGAGGCGAGGTGCTGGCTTGCTGACTGGAATCGTGAATGATCGAGTGTGCTGGAACTCGAAAGAGTGAGGTTTTGTAGGTTCAGCGGCTGGTGCGATGTTGTGGCTTGAAGTCAAGAGTCAAAAGTCACGATGCTCACATCACCGACGTGACGCTCTTGATTCCTAGCATAGCACCTGCTCAGTATTCACGATTCAGATTCGTGATTGCCAAAGCAGTCTTGGGTTACAAGTCGTCAGTCAGCGTGGCATGTGAAGTGCCTGCACAACGGGCAAGCGCCAGCAGGCCGCGCACGCGCCACGCTCCCTCCGACGTGCCCCAAAGCTTGGCGGATATGTTAGTCAATCAATACGCGGCATTCGCGATTCATTCGAAATTGTGATTGATTTGATTGTGGTTGTCATCAGCCGCCATTTGAATCTAAGTGCAATTCAGGATCTACGTGCAGCGGAGCAGTCTTCTCGAGCGGCGTCCTAATAGTCTTCTCGAGCGGCGTCTTATGGCTGAAATTCAATTCACGTGGTTCTCAGATCGCGATTCAAGATTGTTGATTCACAAGGTCGAGGCTTAGAATTTGCGCCGCGCATCAATTCTCAAGACATGACCCTTGTCTGTCGGATATCTGAATCAAATTGACAAACCACGAATCGCTCAAAGCTGGCTTGCTTAATCGAGAGCGTGGCTGACCCGGACTTTGACTGGTGGGTGCGAACAAGAAGATGAGAAGACCTCGGTCCACAAGCGGGAGAGCGCACTATGATGACGTGCTTGAAATCGAGCCCAAGCTCGCTATAAACCTCAAGCACGATACAACAGCGGTTTTCGGCAATCCTACATCGTGAGTCTACGAGTGTAGCCCGTTTGATCAGCTAGCTTGAGCTCTTGAGGGAATTCTGAAAGACGTAGACGTAAGTCTCGCTGCTGAGTTCCGAGTCACGAGTCAGAGTCGCTGGAAGCGAGTTGTGAGGCACGTGCCAACAGCTGCAGATCTGTAAGCTCGGCCTCTGCTGGCCCTGTGCCATTTGTTTCAGATGCATTAAAATTATTGATTCTTGATTCAACCAGTCGTTCGTTATTCGCGAATCAAAATTGTGAAATCAGAATCTTGAATCAAGAATCAAGAATCAGTCGTGAGTGAAAGAATCAAAATATCAAGACTGTGAACCCACGTCCGTGCACGTGGCTTCTGCATGGCAGCACTCGTCTTGACCCACGATTCGTCTTTGATTGCTGCTGAATGCTTGATGCGCGTGCTTCGAAAAGAAGTGCGCGCGGCTACAGCTTATCATACATGTATATACAACCCCACGACTCGCTCTTCACGCGCGTCTGCTTACTTGCACGCTCCCACTTTGACTTTCTCACCAGCATCTGAAGCATAGAGACGTCCGTCAGCACTGTTTCGCCACCAAGACTCCTTCCAGCAGCCGGAATTCCGCATGCTAGCCAGCTTCTTGCATCGCAAAAGCTGCTATCTGCGCACAAAATGTCGGCTCCAGACATCATTACTCAGCTACGGGCATATAAGCAGATACTGAACGAGAATCTTGCTTCAGAGGGCGGAGTTGGTGACCAGCGCTTCGTCGATGTTGACCTAATTGAGCTCTTGTGCAAAGGCCGTGAGCTCAATTGGTCCTTCCTTGCTGTCATCAAGATACGCGAGATTGTGAGTTTGTGCTCGAGCAGGCGTCCCCTCTCTATCCAGATTGCCTTCAGTACCCTTCACGTACCTGACCCCATCTTTGCCCTCCATACAAGCTTGATGACTGTAAAGACATTTGCAAGCAGATTCGAACAAATGCCGAGCGCCTTCATCCAGATGCTGAGCGCCTTGCTCCAGGCCACACAGCAGCAAGGCACCCTTGCGGGTGGGCAATGCAGCTGCAATCAAATACCTTGCTGTATGAGGTACGTGCTGGATCCCTGTCTATCTGTTGTCTCTGGCTGACATCCACGACGACTTCTCACAGCGCCTTGCACTCGAAAAACATCGCCTTACCCCTAAAGCACCTCTCCCATCCAAGGCACGACCTGTCGCATCGACGTCCAGTTTGGCGACGCACAAGCGCAAGAGGAGCGGCAGCCTCGACTCTTCCATCGCTCGCGCTCCAAGATCTGGGCTCCTTCGCCCTACTCAGGCTCGCTCCGAATCGTGAAGCGATGACTTCTCAATGTGAGCGGACCCCCGGATAGCAGTGACTTCCAGCTCGTCTGACACTTTGCAACTTGATCTGTCTTTCGAAGCAGGTCAAGCTTCTCGAGACAGTCGACCGAGGCTACGCATGTCGTCTGCCTACATGCTTCGTTCTGCAGCGTGTTACAAGCGTCTCTAATCATCCAATAGTATCAGCGCAATGCATGGATCGACAATCTGCCGATGTGGTGAAGAGGCTCCTAGCGTCTTCCCAATCTGCGGCTCTGGCCCGCGCTCATCTTGACTGTCTCAACGGGAAAGGAAGGGAAAGGCAGCGTTCAGGCCACAGTCCCAGCAGCTGATCGGTCACCTCACGGCGCACCTTAGACGTTCGGCTGTGCGGTTCGACTTGACTCTTGATTCGAGAGTCTTCTGCCTCACGGAGGAAAGTCGCAGTCAGCTCGTGGTCGGCCTAGCGCGACAAGGCATGAATCATGAGTCACTGTTGATACGAAGTGAGCTCGTAGCTCTGAGTCTTGACTTGAAACAGATCGACGAGTGCTTCATCTGCCTTCTCGCCTGCTGCTGAGGACGCTTGCAGCAGAAGTCTTGCGTGGCATCACGTAGCTTCGCAACTCAATGCAGTAACGGACCACACGATTTCATTCCATTGGTATGATTATTTGATATAGACGTCAATGGGCTTCCATTCGATGTTTGATCAGAGTCAACCCCCCTCGCTTGCAGCTGGCGAACCTTGTCTAGCCTGATTCTGATCCTAGGCTCCAACAGGGTACTTAGTACGTAGCTCTTCCCTTTCAGTCTGATGAAGAGCGGTGAAGAAGCGATCGAGAAGATTTGTGAACGACGAGCTCAGCGAGAACTTGTCCCCGGTGCTCGAATGGGAAAGAGCTCGCCTGGTCGCCTCATGATGTGTGGCAAAGAACGACTCGAGAATCACTCACGATTCAGTCACAGTGACTCGCGATTCACGATCGCTCCTCAGTCAGCCCACTTTCCTTGAACGATGCTAGCGCTGCGCTCGCATCCATCGAGAAGCTCCTAAGCTCCTTCTGCAGATCTGATTTGTCCTGACAGCGAAGCGATGCCAAGCTGGCCTATCACTTCTGTTGACCTGTGACGCGGGAGCACCCTCACACTCGATCGTGACTCGTGCCGGTGAAGCTGGGTCATGACGAGTCGACCTGGCCAAGATTCTCGCGCGGCATGGCTCGTGCGAAGCGCTGAGTGCTTGAGCTGCAAGTCATGTAAGTCACACAGGCAGAATGGCTGTTGTGAGTCGAAGTGCCTTGGCCGATGTTGTTGCTCGGAGCTGTGCGCGTGTTCTCGCCCGCTCGTTGGAACGCAGGCTACGAGCTTCTTGCTGCCGTCCCGTCAGCTCGCTTTGATACAGGGTTTGATACCTCGTGTGCTTTCATGCCTCGTAGCGGAGAGAACAAATCAGAGGGCATTGGATAGACAAAGTGATGATTGAAGTAGCACCGCCGCATATGCACATTCGATTGCAGATTCCCATGATCCTCCCGGCCTACTCGACGCCAACCGCCGCGGTCTCCTAGCTCCATTCCACAGATGCACCCATCTCAACTTGATTGACTGTACTACGCTATCAAAAAGTAGTAATTCTCTACCCACTACCCATGACTGGTGCTTGAATCCCAAGGATTTGATGGAGCGCGAGTCCTGAAAGCTTCCTTGCGAGAGCATTTGCCGCCACGCCGCTCGACTTGGAGCCGTTCTCGTGCCGGCCTGAGGTTGGGTACTATCGCAGAATAGGTTTCGTCCGGACGACTGCTCAGAGCAGTGGTCTGCTGACTTCTCCTCCATGCTGTTTGCCAATCAAGCTTGGTTCGGGACCGCTTTTCATGGGGCCGGACCGGCAAATATGGATTTGTATCCAGCATACGCTATACTGCTCCGTGACAAGCGCTTGTACCTAGCGTTCACCTTCTGACGCCTCGTTTCTTGCCTCCACCACGCCCACCTCGTGCATTCTTCGCCTTTCTCTTCGCCTCGAGTTGTCGGGTCTTTTGGATCTGCGCAGCGCTTTTCAGACTGCTAGCCACCCTAGAATCCGCACGGGACAAGCCCCCTCTACCTCTACCGCCCCTTGCTCCTCTCGATCCTCTCGCTCCCCTGGCACTGCCTCGTGCCCTGGTCGGGAATCCACCTTCATCATCGTGTCCACCATCGCCCGCTTCCCTTCCCCTCTTGCGTTTGAGCTGTTTCTGATAGTCGTCCCTGAATCTGTCTGGTTCTCTGGCTTCCTTGGAGCTGTGATGTCTGAATGTTCTGCCTTCTCCTCCTCCTCTACCACCCCGTGCGCTACCACCTCTGCCTCGACCAGCAGCAGCCAGCGCAGCAGAGCTGGACTTCTTGTCCTCTCTTTCTCCGACCTTCTGCACGTTGACCTTGTTGCTCTTCTTCCACTCTTCGTACCTTCCACTCTGGAAAGACGCCGGCAATCGAGTGCCAGATTCCGTTCGAATGTACTTTTCGTTGTTCTCGCCCGTGCCGTCTCCCTTCGTGAAGCGCTTCTTCTTCACGTCCCATCGAGATGCATTTGGTGCTTGAGTCTGTGTGCCAAGACGCGCTTCGTCGCCTGCTAAAGAGTAAGAGGCTTTCGAGGCCTGAGCTGCGAACGAGTCTGTATGGCCCATCGAGTACCTGAGTGCCGGTTTGCACGCGGGGTTGGTCAGCTGTGACCCCATGAATGCGTTGCCACAATGACGTATCCTCACCCTCTCTCATTCGCAGCATCCGCATGCTCATACGCCATGAAGTACTCGGGATCACGATAGCTTCGCGACGCTGGTGCGGACTTCTTCTTCGGTGCGCTTTTCTTGCTAATGGACTTGTCCGCCACATCGAAGACATCCTGCGCTCCAATATACCGAGGATCAGCTCGGTAGCTCAGGTGCCAGCGCGTGCGCACGACACAACTCACCTCGATGTCGCTCTCTCCAGCCTGAGACATTTCATCTAGTGGCCCGACATCGCCGAACTCCGTTTCACCATTCTCTCCATCTGACTGCGCGGGTTCTTGGACTGCGTCTCTGGCAGCCGCTCGCGCTCGCTTCGCATCCAAAGTAGCTCTTCTATCTCTCATCAGGTCTGACAGTGGATTTGGACCCTTGGTGCCGACTTCGAAGACTGTGTTCTGCGGAGTGAAACTGTTGACTTTGGCGAGGAGCGCAGCGCGTTGCGCCGCTAGGTCATCCGATCCGTCGCTGCCACGGTGTTTGGACAGGCTATTTGTTCCTGCCCCGGAAAGACCATAGGCTGAAGGCCTGACGACCACGTCATGCACTCCAAGCTCTTCCTTCGCATTACCAGCCAAGCACCATTCATCGTCCCCCTTCAGCATAGCCTTGGCGCGCCGATGAGATTCCTGCGAAGCTTTGCTAGCGGAGCGGTCGTAAAGCTTCTGAGCTCTGCCGACCACCGTTTTGAGAGATGGCAAAGCTACCGAGGCACTTGAGCTGCTGTTGTGCAGACCTTGCATGATGTGTTCGGATTCTATATCTATAGCTGATCGGGGAAATGTTCCAAGCTGAAGATTGTTGTGCAGATCCAGCTCCGGTTTGCCGCTCAAATCCGAAGCTCGCATCAGAGGCCTTGCTAAGAATAGCTGCAAGTCGCAGAGGTATGGGAGATCTGTTCCACCTACCAGTGACCAGGCCCAACCCGACCTCCCGGCTCTGGCAGTCCTGCCGACTCGATGTATGAAAATCCTTGGCGAAGCAGGAAGATCGTAATTGACCACATGCGTCATGGACGGCAGATCGATACCTCGGGCAGCCACATCCGTAACGATGAGCAGCGATGCGTCTCCTGTTCGGAAGCGGATCATCTCTTGCGTGCGCGCGGCTTGGTCCAGAGAGCTATAGATGTGTGCGCAACTCCAGCCGGCGGTGCCGAGCAAGGCGAGAAGGTACTCGACGTGATGTTTGGTGGCGCAAAAGATGATGGTCTGATGGGGCTGCAGCTCGTCCGTGCCTATAAGCGGAGCAGCTCGTCGCTTTCCTTTGCCTTCCTTCGGCCACGACGATGCGCTACCTGATAAGCCTTGAGGCACGCCAATGACATCTCGGAGAAGCACAAGCAGTGCAGCCTCCTTCTCCGACGGCTTGACGCTGAAGAAGGCCATACGAAGATCTTGACTGATCTTGCTATCCGCATCGAGTCTGACCAGCTTAGGGTTCGCAGCCAGACCAGCTCTAGCAAACTCGACCAGCGTCTTGGGCAGAGTCGCGCTGAAGAGAGCAGTCTGCCGAGTAGGTGGCATGCGCTTAATGAGCTCCTCTAGTTGATCCGCAAAGCCCATCTCGAATAGGCGATCGGCCTCGTCGAAGACCACAAACTGCACCGAGCTGAAATTGAGCTTTGCCTCCACTGCCAGATGCAGCAGTCTGCCAGGTGTGGCAATGACCACATCCGGGTTGGAGGCCATGAGAGCGAACTGCTCTTCCATCCCTTCACCACCGACTATGAGTGCCCACCGAAGAGGTTCGGAATCTGGCACTTTCCAACCTCGAGCAATCTCCTTCCCGACCCTTAGGATTTGCAAAGCTAGCTCACGTGAGGGACATAGCACGAGGGAGCGGATGCCGACTGTCGTGCTGTGCTTGCCTCCCAGCCGATTCAAGAGAGGCAGCATGTATGCGAGCGTCTTTCCGCTTCCAGTGCGAGCCATGCCCACCAAGTCGCGTGCCGGCGTATCGAGTAAGGATGGGATAGCAAGGCGCTGAATGGGCGTAGGTGTGGTGTAGCCACGCAGCAGAATGGAGCGAAGCAGCTGAGGAGGAAGACCTGTCATGTGACGACGAGCGGGGCTAGGCGTCAGTCCCGCACCTCCGCGCCTCGCTGATGATGCAGCGCCACACCATTCTATCTGCCAGTCCAGCCCATGGCTTGAGATATCATGAACACTCTCATCCGCACACTCACCCATGCTCTGAAAGCTTCCTCCGCCCGTCAAGGTCCCGCTCGCAGTCTTGTTCTTTCCCTTGCCCTTGCTCTTGGCCACGTCTTTCGCCAGGTCCGTTCCCGCTTTCCTATTGTGCCTTTGAGTTGCTGCGACTATGAAAGCCTCATCATCTTCGTCGGCCTGTTCTGTGTTGCCGACGGCAGGAGCAGAGGTGCGCCTGTTCTTGCCGCTACCTCTACCAGACTCAGCGGATGAACGAGAGGTCGAAGGCCCGAGCAAGGCTGATGAGATGTCTGGCGTATCATCGGAGTCATAGCCAGATCTGTGAGCAGGCTGAGTAGAAGCGTGTAAAGAGCTGCTTTCTGACTTTGCAGATCTGTCAAAACCGAGGTGGTCGTCATCTAGGAAGCTGATGGCAGAAGGCATGGTGAGGGCAGTATGCACAACAGGCAGGTCGTAAGGTCAACGAGCTCGAGTGCAAGCCCTTGAGAGGGAGGACGAGGATAGCTTCGGCTGCAACAGCTGTAATGGTAGAGGCTGCTGAAAAGGGCGAGCTTAAAGAGCTTGCTCTTGATGAGCATGACATACGTATAAGCGAAAGAGGTGAATAATGAATCACGAATGGTGAATGGTGCGAAGCTGAGAAGTGTGTTATCCCGCCGCAGGTGCCTCATGCGGGCTATCTGAACGAAAAAAGTTCCCGCGTGCGGCACATCACGTGACGTAACCCAAGAGCGCCGGGTTGACGCTTATTCCGCTCCCGTGCGCGGCTTGCAACCGTCGCCGCAAGAGGTACCTACAGAAGGCGCGGGCATGAGCCTGGCGGGCCTGCACGCGGGCAGCATTTCTCTGAGTCGCGGTTGAAGCCTTCCACGACATGGTCACCAAGCTTGACGGGGTGCATCCTTGCATACTTCACTCAAGACTAGAGCCGCCTCAACGCTTCTCTGCCCTTTGTCGGCTACATCTCTGCTCAAGCACCGGCAGACTCTCCACTCGTCTCGATCTCTGTTCCTGACCTGAGCGCAGCTTCTTCGACTTCTCAATCCTCGTCATTTCGGATAAAGCTCGACCTCGCAACACAAGATCGCTGATATCGACTTTGCAAAGAGCATCGGTCGGGCCCTCGGATCTCGAGCTCTCTTGGAGGCCCTATAGGTGCTCACCTTCCCATAGCATGTCATCAGAAGATGCACTCGCAGCTCTCCAGCTCTCTCAGAAGTACCGATCGCAGGGTGACCTGGCAGGTGCGCTCAAGTGGGCCAAGAAGTCCAATGCTATCCGACCTACAAGCGAAGCGGAGGTGGTGATCAGGCGGTTAGAGAAGGAGATGGAAGCTGGTGGGCCATTTGCAAACGGGGAGCCTTCGACGTCCGCATCGACGTCCGCATTCGCATCCACGTCCAATGGCTCCAACCTGCGCAGTCGGACAACAGCTTCATCTAGATCCGCACCCAATCTCACTGCAGGGGCGAGAGAGAAGGAGAAGGAGAAAGTGAGAGAATTTACGCCTGAGCAAGCTGCTGTCGTCAAGAGAGTCAACGAGGCGGGCAGAAAGAATGACTTTTACGCGGTGCTGCTATTGAAGAGGGAGGAAAAGCCGGATGAGAATGCCATCAAGAAGGGCTATAGAAAGGCGAGTTGAGCAGATGGGCGCCGCGCTGCCTGGGAGGAGGTATCGTTTACGCTGCTTGGAGGTAGGGTGCGAGCGTTTGCACCCGAGCCTCATCCGGGCATTGCAGCAGCTTGTTGCATTCTCAGGTTCCAAGCTGACATGGACAATTCGGCTGCTCGCCCTCGCAGCTGGCTCTACAGCTTCATCCTGACAAGAATGGCGCGCCGGGAGCAGACGAGGCATTCAAAAGTGGGTCTCTCGACGATGTTTCCTGCATTGCAAGAGCTGAGCCTGTACTCCCGTCCACTCAAAGTTGTTTCGAAAGCATTCACGATCCTGTCCGATCCAGACAAGAAGGCAATGTACGATAGGCATGGTGGTGATCCGGAGCAGAGAGGTGGAGGCATGGGAGGAGGCGGAATGGGCGGGCACCCGTTCGCTAGAAGTACGAGAACGTACGATGGCGGGTTCGGCGGTGCTGAGATCGATCCGCAGGACCTCTTCAACATGTTCTTTGGTGGAGGCGCAGGCATGAATGGCATGGGTCCAGGTGAGTCCTGTGTTTAGAGTCGGTGAAGCGTGCGGGCAACGCAGTGGCTCGGCTCATCATCGTCGGTTCCTTCTCACCCACAGGTATGCACTTTTCATTCGGCGGACCGGGTATGGGAGGAACTCGAGTGTACAGATCGGGTGGAGGAGGAACGAATGCGCGAGCAGGTGCGAGGCGGGGTCAGCAGCAAGATCCGCAGGCATCGCCTCTCCTTCAACTCTTGCCGCTCCTGATCCTCGGTCTGTTCTCACTGCTCACTTACTTGCCGTCCATGTTCGAGACCGCGGATCCTAAGTTCGCATGGGCGCCGAGCGGCAACTTGAGAGAGCAAAGGTTTACACCTAGGCATGGAGTGTCCTACCACGTCGACAAGGTCTCTTGGGAGAAGCATCCGATTGTGCAGGCTTCGGTCAGCAACTCGCCAGGAGCCGGTGCCGGGCTGCGACGCTTCGAAGATCGAGTAGAGAATCAGTGGAAAAATATACTGTACTCGGACTGCGAGAGGAGGCGGGATCATCAGATGAGGAGGATACAGAACACGCGGGGCTTCTTGGGTATCGGAGTGAGTCTATAGGTGTGAAAGGCGAGGAAACGGGAACCAGGGACGCGCAGCGTCTCTGCGATGTGATTATGGCTGACATGACTGCGTTTCTGCGCTTTCCTCAGGCGGAACCTGAGCTGGAACGCAAAATCAGATCCGAAAAGTACGAGTCGTGCGATCGTTTACTGGACTTTGGCATCCAGATGTAGTTTGCCCGGGCTATCAATAGAATCAAGAATCAGAGTTGAGCAGAGAGGGTTCGTTGCAACACACTGGTACCAGGCAAAGTATTGGGAACCTGCATCGAGGATCCAGACCAACACATGCCGGCCCAGGGCGATGTTGCGCCTTATTGGTCTCGGGCACCCTTCCGACGTCATCGAGCATCCACGACAACCAGAATTTCCGCCTCATTCAGCCTCATTTCGTCCCGCTAGACCTACGGACGGCACATTCACCTGCTCCGAACGCAAGACACACCAGAACGCAAGACACACCATGACAGGCCAACGCACTTGTATGCGTACCCAAATACGCATGAGAACGAAGGCATGATTTGTGCAATTCATCTATTAGCCACCTGCTCGTTTCGAGCTCAGTGCATCATTCAGCCTTTGTCTCCTCTGCTCCAGCTCCACCCAGAACACTGCATCAGTGCTCGGTCCCGATGGTTTTACGGCTCGAGTGCCTCTCTCAAAAATCTCGGGTGGGTCGTCGAATCTGTTGCCGACCTCTTTGCCGACCGCCTTCGCAAACAAGTAGTGTTCTCGTGCTTCTCTTTGCGAGTCCTGAGCTTGACCTTCTTCATGCGAGAGCGCGGGCTGTTCATCCTCATTCCAGGTGAGGTAATGTAGAGAGTTCCACGCGCCTGGCACGCTGTCGAGATGCGCCTTGACCGCCTGGAACGAGTGTCCTATCTGTGCCAAAGAGTGAGCATCGTCTGATAGGCAGAGTCTGCCGCCAAGCGAGACCACGAGCTGGGCGGATTTGATGTCAACGTGTGAGCATAGGGCTGGATAGCATCAGGTCGACAGCCTGGCTTACCTTCAAAACCTCTAGGCCTGGGTAGGGCGTCGGCCATCCTTTGCGCACCGCTGCGCCCGACACCTCGAACAGTGCCCCATACGAGATCGCAAACGCCACATTGCGTCTCGTGCGCTCATCAACCAGCTGCTCGAGCTTGTATGAGTCTACTACATTTGGCCCAAGTTCGAGCGCGTCACCAGCATTTCGATGTTGCTCCTGAGCAAGGGGCAAGGTGTGATCCCAGAGCCTGCAAAGGTCGAAATGAGCGATGACTTCCGGTCTAACATGCTTTAACAGGTCGTACTGCTGATCGAGGTAGTGAGCGGCTAGTCTCAAGTGAGCGAGTCGCTTGGAAGAGCTGCTTGAAAGGTGAGAATCAGCCACGCCATCCCAGCCGAAGACCCGTAAAGCTCGTTCAAAGGTCGGCACGTCGAAGTCGATAGGGATGCTCCCGACGTGATGAACCCCGCCAACCAGGTAGTCGACGCGACCCTTGCCCACCGAGCCAGGCCTTTTCTCAGAGCTGCCGGCGAGCTGCTCGGTGCCATGATCAGCCTCAAGAACGGCGATGAGATCGTGTATGCCGCTCAGGTCCGTGTTCTTTTGTAAGCAACTCTGACCTTCTGCAGCTTGAATGTTTTCTGTCTCTGCTCCTACAAGCACGCTCCGACCCTTCTCTTGCTGTATCTTTCGCGCCTCCGAGAGATACTCTTCGAAGCGTTGTGCTAGCTTTTGTGGGTCCAGACCAGCTTCTGTCTCTTCTGGGTACAGCTGACTCTGCTTCCTACGAGGAATGTGCTCCGTCAGGTTGTAGCGCGTGAATCCCAAAAGTTTGGCCCGATCCAGCATCATTCGAGGCGTACATCCTGCTTCAGCGTGGGCACAGAATTGCCCCGAGTGAGAGTGATGAGAGTGCATGGCTATGGCCGGGCACAACAAGCCCTGTTTAATGCTGGAGACGAGCTGCGATGAATGTCAGATGTGAGTGCTGTTGTGTGTTCGCAACGCTCCGACCAAAGAGGTTTCTCCGGACAGCGCTCTCCACGGCTTCACGCGGCAGAATGTCTGCACCGGCTGTATGCTATACGACTAAGAGCTTTGATGAGAGACAGGCTGTGTCATTTCTTTGCTGAGGCAGGAGAGGCTCTTCCAATGGAGTGTGACCGACTCCCTGAGTGATCTGCATCGGTGTGTGAGGTCAAGGGTTCGCAGACAATCGTGAATCGTGAGCCGCTCGCAGGAAGGAATCTTTGAATTGCAGCGCAGCATGTTCACACTCGTGACCTGGCGCAACAAGTTCGAGAACATCCCTCCGATCTCCGCCTCCGACCGCTTGGTTAAAGCCGCGCTGTGGCTGGATGCGGTCTTGGCCGTGGCTGCGCGTTGAGAGTCCGGCAAACGCGCAGCGCAATAAGCTGCGAGAAATGCGTGCCTGATGGTTCTGCAGAGGCATGCATGCGGCAACACATGGGCAGCTGGTGTGGGGAGCAGACGTCTCAAGGGGCGCGCCGGGTTCAGGGCAACCCTGCCTATAAACAGATTTGGGCTCGTTATTAATGATCGATTCTGATTGCTTTGTATGACCAACCACTTCTCGTGTACACGCGCGCACATCAGCTGCGAGGTGACTTTCGAAGTGGTGAGGATGGCTTACGCTTGCCGTGCACTTTGATTGAAACTTCAACAATGCGAGTCTTGAATCAAATAAAACAAAACGCCTTTGACTCAGAGGACTAAGACAGACGAGTCGCATGCAGGTCACGGGCGCTGATGTGACTCGAGGTTCTTGATTCAAAATTCCTCGATCGGGTTTCACGGGACAGGGCCGGAAGACTCTTAGACTGGCGCAGCGCACTGCCACTCAAAAGAGTATTTAGCATGCGTGCGCTCGACGCATTTTCAAGAGCAAGGTGCGAATTGAATCTAGTTGCACTTTATTAAGCTGAACCCCGCTTTGGCTTCAAAGGTCGCGTCACTTTTGTAATGCTCGCGGTTTCACTTTGATCATTTTGAGATCGCCACTCCACGACTGCTATGTAGAATCATGAATCTCTGCGCGCCGGTATACTGGCCCTCGGTGACTCGAAGACGCGTGAATGCTGCGTGCTGGATGGATGGGGCCAGAATTTGATCCCTTGGATCGGCGCGCCTGCCTGTGCTGCAGTCACGAGTCGCGAGTCCCTGTGATTGGAGACTTCCTTCTTGAGATCTCGCCTTCTCACACGACCGCACTCACATCACCACGCTGCATTCTCTCACTCATCGTTACTGTCTCGCTCCAAGCAGACAGGCTCACACTCACCTAGCATCTGGGTTTGCGCATCACTGCACTCGTGCGACTTAGGACTCACACCTCTTACAGCGCGTCGTATAGACCTACTCTCGCTCTCCTTTAGCCATGGCACCTTCCACCTCGGACGCACCCCCTTGCCCTGACTGCGCCCCTTCCGAGGGACCAATCAGGCATGTCAACGGTAGCAATGGCGTCGACAGCACCCATCAGGCTATTCCCACTAACGTCGCAAGCGGCGGAGCCAACTCTGCGCCTGCGCCAACCTCGAACGTCCCGTCCAAGTTCTTGATGCCCTTCATGAACCGCGACTTGAACTCCAATGTTGCCAACTTCAAGATCATCGAAAGCACCTTGAGAGAAGGCGAGCAATTTGCCAATGCTTTCTTCGACACCGAGACCAAGATCAAGATCGCCAAGGCTCTTGACGCCTTCGGTGTGGACTGCATCGAGCTCACCAGCCCGGCCGCCTCCGAGCAGAGCCGCAAGGACTGCGAAGCCATCTGCAAGCTCGGTCTCAAGGCCAAGGTCATCACTCACATCCGATGCCACATGGATGATGCCCGCATCGCCGTCGAGACCGGTGTCGATGGTGTCGATGTGGTCATGGGAACGTCCAAGTTCTTGAGGGAGTACAGCCACGGAAAGGACATGACTTACATCACCAAGAAGGCGGTCGAGGTCATCGACTTTGTCAAGAGCAAGGGAATCGAGATCAGATTCTCCACCGAGGATAGTTTCAGGTCAGACATTGTCGATTTGCTTTCCATCTACCAGGCCGTCGACAAGGTTGGCGTGCACCGTGTTGGTATCGCCGACACGATCGGTATTGCCAACCCTCGTCAGGTCTACGAGCTCGTCAAGCTGCTCAGTGCGTATCATCTCCTGCTGCCTGAGCTTGTGTCTTGCGCCTACGAGCGCATATAGGCTAACTTCACACCTTTTTAACGCAGGGTCTGTCGTGTCCTGCGACATCGAAGTTCACTTGCACAACGACACTGGATGTGGTAAGTAAACGTGCAGCCATGACGACTTGCGATCTCGCTGCATCTGCTCACATGCCGCTCTTGCTTGTTCGCCGTAGCTATCGCCAACGCTTACTGCGCTTTGGAAGCCGGCGCAACTCACATCGACACTTCGGTGCTGGGAATCGGAGAGAGAAACGGTATCACGCCCTTGGGTGCGCTCATGGCCAGGATGTACACCGAGGATAGGGAGTATGTGATGGGCAAGTACAACCTCAAGATGCTGCGTCAAGTTGAGGAGCTGGTCGCCGATGCCGTCCAGATCCAAATCCCATTCAACAACTACGTCACTGGGTACTGCGCTTTCACCCACAAGGCCGGTATTCACGCCAAGGCTATCTTGGCCAACCCAAGCACTTACGAGGTGCTGAGGCCGGAGGACTTTGGTATGACCCGATACGTCAACATTGGCTCGAGACTGACGGGATGGAACGCTGTCAAGAGTAGAGCAGAGCAGCTGGGTCTGACCTTGAGCGACGACCAGATCAAGGACGTGACTCAGAAGATCAAGGCATTGGCGGATGTTCGCGAGTAAGTGTGGTGTGGCATCTTGCACAATCTGCGTGGCGCACTGCTGACAATGTAACACCTGACTCTTCGTAGAACACAATTGGAAGATGTCGACAATCTCCTCTCCAGCGCTCACCAAGCGGCAAATGGACAGAAGGTCGCTGCATAGATGGTCTGCTCTGGTACAAAAGGCTCGCTGGAGTCAAATCAACCCAGAGCTTTGCATCAATCGCTCGCTCTAATGACACTCTCGACTCCGTTCAAGAAAAAATGCCCGAACCACGCGTCTCCTTGCTAGTCTCGTCTTTGCCTCTGAATCGATGTCATTAATTCTGCCGACGTCGATCGGCCTTGGTCGAATGTGTCGAAGCTATGACTGCGTGGAGGTAATTCACCATGCTCGAAGCGGGCGTTACCTATCCAGGTTTGAGCACTATAGCCGTTCTTCGAGACTTGAGTGGAGATCAGAGCACGCCAAGGCAAATTGGTTGTAACGCAAGCAAGGTGGAGGAGCTCTTGGCCCTCTCGTGGCAGGACTCTCAACCAAGAGGCCAGCCTCGCATTAGCTGGTCGCTGCTGAAAGACAGCGCTCGCTACGCACAGCTTCAAGGCTGGATGAGGCTCACTGGCACTCATTCGCAGATCTCATTTCTGAGTCCATCTATCTGTCTGAAATCGCGATTCGAAACAAAAGCTTCCGAGGCACTTGGCTCTTCGTTGACGCATGGGGTCCGAATCGCCCCTGCGTCTCCATTCGTGCTGAGTACATATTCTCTGCTGGTTGATGAGCTTCACTGTTCAGTCGAGCAACCTTGAGCAGCCCGCTTTCGCAGAGAGGCAAGCAGAGTTCTTGGACTTAACACACTCGCCCGGGGCCAAGAGGTGCAGCATGGACCCTGCTCATGGAGCTGCGGGCAGGTGCAATGTCGCACCGCTGCCCGGAATGACCGGTCTCGGATAATCAGGGAGCATCAGCATCCAGGCGGCGGCGGCGTTTCATCCATCCACGCGGCCGCGCTCCGGCTGCCCGGCCGTGGCTGCATGCATGCAAGGAACCGCGCAGGACCGAAGAAGCTCCTTCAGCTGCGTGATGAGATTCGCAGCAGCTTATTGCTGAAGGTGTTGGTTGCGTGGCTCATCAACCCCGAATCGCGACTTGCCGGTGGGGCTCTCTTCCGACCACGCCTACAATAGCGACTCGACCTTTCGCTCATCACACCAGCGCTCACGACTGATCACACTCGACTTGCTGTACGACCGAGTCAGTAGCGCGCAGCACAACAGCTGGTCTGCCCTTCCATCTCAAGACTGACTCGTTCCAACCCTTGATCCTCCCAAAGCTAGCAGACCGTCGACTCCTAGGAGCACGCCAAGACAGCCGCATACACCCAGGAACACATTCCCGCCCCCCTCTTGCGAACAGATCCCAATCATGTCCGAGATCAGACAACGCTACCTCAAGTCACGCTCTCTGTCCATCATCGGCTGTCCATTCAGCGGTGGGCAGGGGCGTCGAGGCGTAGACACCGGGCCCAACAGTCTAATCGATGCAGGTCTCATCTCCCAGCTTCAAGAATTGTCCTGGGACGTCTCTTTTGAAGGGCACCAGCAGTTTGAGGACATCAACAGCATTCTCGAGAGCGGAGAGGACAAGGACATCGGGACTATGAAGAACCCTAGGAGCGTTAGCGAGGTCAACAAGCGCGTCAGTGAAGTGGTCGGCAAGCATGCCAAGGAGGGCAGACTGCCTCTCACCCTTGGCGGAGACCACAGTCTTGTGAGTAGATGCGATTGAATTCGGGAGCGCTAGCATGTATGCGAGCCCATGCGCTGCTAGTACGTGGTAAAGCTGAAAGCCTGTATGCTGCTCACGCTGGACCCCCCGCAGGCTCTTGGAACAGTGACCGGCTCGCTCTCGGCTCACCCAAATGCAGCCCTGATCTGGATAGATGCGCACGCAGATATCAACACACCCGACACAACGCCTTCTGGCAACCTTCACGGCTGCCCAGTCTCCTTCCTGCTCGGATTAAAGGGCACAGACGTGGAGCCCTTCAGTAGCTGGGTGCCCAAGAAGCCGGTGCTCAAAGCCGACAGTCTGGTATACATCGGACTCAGAGATATCGACAGCGGCGAGAGAAAGATCCTGAAGGAGAACGGGATCAAGTGTTTCAGCATGCACGAGGTAGACAGGTACGGTATTGGAAAGGTGAGTGAAGAGGGGTAGTGCGACGCTGCTGGAGCAAGGCGCTGTACTCGAGCTGCGTTGAATTGGGCTTCAGAGTGCACGGCTGCGAGGCATTACACGGCTCCTTTCTGACACCCTATACGCAACTTGTCCGAGCAGGTCGTTGAACTGGCGCTGGACCACGTCAACGGCGGATCGTCACGCGAGAGGCCGATCCACTTGAGTTTCGACGTGGACGCTTTGGATCCATCTGTTGCCCCCAGTACCGGTACCCCTGTGAGTTTTTTTTTCGCAAGCATGAAATCAGACTGTCATGCCTTGCTGAGCACTGACGCTCGCGTCCCTTTGCCGATCCCATGCAGGTCCGAGGAGGCTTGACATTCCGTGAAGGACATTACATTTGCGAAGCGCTCTACGAGACAGGCTCGCTTGTAGCGATGGACTGTGAGTCTTGTTCAGCACGCGCTTGTGCTCGTGCAATACCTGTCCTGAGGCTTTTTGCTGACTAGCTTTGCGCACGCCTTGGGACTTGCTCCCTTTCAGTGATGGAAGTTAACCCAACGCTCATGGCGGATCACGCAAAACAGACGATCGCAATCGGCTGCAGCCTTATCCGAAGCGCTCTTGGAGAGACACTATTGTAGCGCGCTGCGATTAGCTATCGGTAAAAGGGAGCCTGGCGTTGGCAAGAAGGCGGCCATAATCATGGCTGCGTGACGCATTGACCGAAATTCCTATAGATACTTGGCTAAGTTGCGAGCCGCTCAAGAGCATTCATGCATTTGCAATTCCTGCACGCGCGTGAGGTCCCACACGGGGCATTGTCAGCATACACAGCAACGCGCAAGTCATGCCATTCATTGGAAATGTGGTCGGCACTTCGTAGAAGGACAAAATAAGCAGGGTGATGCTCGGCGAGATTCTTCGGCGACGTCAACCTGACACGCGGCGCGAAGGAGAGCTGATCGACGAGGGGCGCTTTGTTCCCTCATTCTGATTGCCACTGGCAGCGATCGATGACGAAGATCTGGGTGTAGGACGTCGTTCCACAAAGCGAGCCGCTTCAAGAAGCATGTCTAGTGGATGAACGGTTTTTGGAGGAGCGGAGCTGTGACCAGGGTCGACAAAGTGCCCTAGTGTCGAGGTCTGGCTGTGCTTGTCAGGAACCCTTGGATGCACGAGACGGTCTCTTTGCGCGGCTCGGGTGCTCTGCAGGCCGTTGGTAGCATGCCGATCGTCATCCGCACCAGGAGGCTTTTCCTGTAGCGGACTCTGCTCTAGCGGGCTCGAAGCACCGGACCGCAGTGACGCACGACCGTTGTGAGTGGACGAAGATGCGCTCTGTGACAGCGTCGGGAGTTGTGTACTCAAGTGCCGAGCTACTGAGGGATCTGGCCGTCTCAGAGTAGCGTCACTATTCGATGAACTCGACGCAAAAGTCTTCGCAGTCACGCCTTCGGCAACTCGCGGCGAGCCGCCCGACCCTTTTGATGAGGGCGGCGCGCTGGAAGTTGTGATCGGCGGCGGGCCAGTATTACGGCTTGAACCGACATGCTCCTCAGATTGGTTTCCCTTGTGACCAAGATGTTGGTCGGTTTCTGCGATGTGACTAGGACGACTTGCAGACGCGCTGCCAGAAGCTGAGGGCATGGGGCTGGGCGCGCTCCTACCCAGAGCATCTTCTAATCGCTTGGCAGCAGGGCCCTTCCACCTCGCCGCGATACCATATCGCCTTATATTCTCCACCGCTGCTGCGCGCTGCTTCTCAAAGATCAGTGTTGTCTTCGCAAGACTGCAAGGCTCTCCGCGGCGGCAGCCGAGTGACCTTGCTTTGCCCTTGTTCCCTGGCACGGCCTCCCAAATCAAATCATTGTCCACGCCCAGAGACCTGAGGATTCGGCGGTGCTTCGATTTTGTTTGTGGCGTTCCTTCACCCAGCAGCAGTTTTCCCCTTGGTTTGGGTGGACCAGGTTTGGGTAGAGGCATGATGGCATTCAACAGATGAGCCTGGCCGTGGTCCCGAAGCCATTTTCTATGATCGTGGAGCCTCGAGCGCGAGAGGCCGCCCCAACTGCGCTTGGAAGCCTTCTCGCGGAGACTCTCGAGCAGCAACGCGGGCTTTTCAGGAGCTAGTGGAAGCTTTGGATTCAGTGGCGCTTTGCCTCGGGCCAAAAGCTGCGCGGATCTTTCGTGCAGCGTCAGAATCTTCTCATCGTCGTGAGGAGCATGGTGAGTGACGCACCACTACTGCTTCCGGCGCTCCTGAAATCTTGACCATGTCTCCTCGTTTTGTCATGGAGAGGTCCGCTGGCACGCTACAACTCCGACAAGGAGGCTGGAGCGAACGGCGGTGCAGGTGAGGGAGCTGACCCCCCTGCTCGGGTGTAGCAGGAGCGATGCGGCGGAAGGATGCCGACTGCGTGACTGCAAGTCGAAGGGTGCAGATGCGAGCCACCGTGTCCGTCAGTGAACCAACGAGCGAAGCTTGTACTTCAAAGCGAAAACAGTCTACTCACAGCGTGAATCTGTGTGGACGAGCATCGGATCGCTGAGAAGGGACGGATGCGCTGCCCCTACATGGGCCGAGGTCGCCGCAAGATTATGCTGCTGCGACTGTTTGGGCCGGCCTAGTCGAGAAGGTGGCTTGTTGAGGTCCTGGACAAATTTAGCTCCTTGAGGACGCCCAGTTGGCCTCTTGGGGAGCCCAGCAGCCTCCCTCCTTTCCCTCTCCCGCTGCGCCTGCGTTGAACGACCACCGCCGATGAGAAGCTTTGGCCGGCCGCGACGCTTACCGTCACCGGAGGGCTTGCTGATGACCCGAGAAGTCTCGGCTATCTCAGCTTGAGGCAGTTCGCGCAGGCGTGGACGTCCTCTCTGAATCGGTGGTAAGCCAGCAGCTTGACGTGCCAATCTACGCTGAGTACGCTGTGTCGTAGCGCAGCCTTCCGCACACTTTCGAGGTCTTCCCCTGATTTTCTTGATTGGTATGCCGAGAAGCTGAGCTTTCCTTCTGTCTCCAGCGTAATCGAGCGGTGGCTGGTTGGCCGTGCCCTGTTCCAGCGCTTTCAGATCCCGCCATTGTGTCATCTTCACGCCTTCTGGAGTCAGACGAGGCCTTCCTACCGACTTGCCGGAGACGAATGTGCGCCTTGTAGGGAACGTTGTCGCCACAGGTCGGCCGGCGTCCGCGACTCTTAGCTGGGTGACTCTATTGTCAGCGAGACTGCCGTGCGACACAAGACCGGCATCGATATTGCGGCTGGCGTGCGAGGCAGCATCAGAGCTGGCCTGTTCCGAGGTCTTTGCCAGTGCCGAACCTGCTTCTGCGGACTTGAACCCCTCCGATATCCTGCCCAATGTGCGCTTGCGCAGCTCTGCCTGTTTCGTCCCAATCGACCCAGCCAAAGGTGAAGGAGAGGGGCGGGCTGCAAATGATGGCACAAACGGTAGCGCTGCAGGGTCGAGACTCGAGCTCCCTGCTGTTGACTGGTTCGTTAGAGCAGCTGCTTGCTTCCCTGCTGCTGAGCTTGATTCTAGCGACTTGCCATCCGAAGTGGCTTCCGGATGGGACGGCGCGTCCCTTACAGCTTCCTTGTACGCTGTGTGGGATCGAGGAACATGGCTACTCGACAACGGAACGTCGTGTTCGATCGTGCCAGGGTCGTACGTCGGTCGAATAGGTCTATTGTTCTGATCGATGGCTAGAGCTTTGACCGTCTCGTGGCCATCCGGGCCTGGTTTAGCTGACTCCAACATCTTGCCGAGCAGAACAATGGTGGGCCGCCTCAGCATCACAAGAACGAGCATTAGAGGGCCAAAAGATTTCAGTGACTTGGCGCACTCACTTCATAGTGGTGCACCCTGAGCGGATTCTCAACTCCAACTCTGTTTGTATGGTAGCGCTGAATAGCTCCAAAAGATCTGGCGTAAGCCTCTTCTTCTTGTTGCCTCTGCGTGAACCTGGCCGGAGGCTTGACGTGAACATGGCCAGGAGTTGTAGGACGGTACGAGTTCGCGTGGTAGGGCTCTGCTTCCCGTTCGCCTTTACGAAACCTGAAGCCGTGCGAGACAACCTTCTGATTGGGGGCTAATGGGACAGTGTGCACGAGCGCACGCGCATCATGCGTCAGGCTCTTCAATCTTACTCGCCCACTCTTGAGATGATTCGGAATGCGAATTCCATCTGCAGTCTTGTAATATCCGCGCACGACAGCTTGACGGTTCGGAGGGTCGAATTGGAAAGGGTGGATGACCTTTGGTAAAGAAGGAGCTACTGTGAGAGCGTACCCTTGGCGAGCGAGCAGGGAGTCAATGCGCACCTCAAACGTGTGTGGATTTTCCCTAAAATGGTGACTTTCGCCAAAAGGCTGAAGGGTGCTCACGTAGTAGTGATGAGCAGCATGTCTGACGTCCTCGACATCCCACCTTCTGAGCTCTCCGTGCGTTGCGTCGTGTGCGAGCTCGATGTTCAGCTGGCTGGCAGGGAATGCTGGGGGCAATGCATTGACCGTGCCGCTCACTGCGATGAGAATTATACACACGGCTAGAGCAGGCATAGGCCAGTTCCTCAGCTGCCACATCAGGCCAGATGAAGTTTGCGCCCACCTAAGCTGTAGAGGGAAGCAGTATCGATGCCGAATTGCAGACTGAAGCTAGAAAAGAGTCTTGTGTGAGGAAAGCAGCGAAGGTCTTGACACCAGCGGCGGAATGGTCGAGATGGAGAAGGCTTTAAGTTTTCAGGGCGACTCAAGCGCCCGTCCAACCATCCCATCTCTCAGAGGCCCCGAAGCCGTTTGCCACTGGGCAGTGGCGGCGCCGTGGCTGCCTTTGCGCGACCTCGTTGTCTCAGCCAACGACTGCAAAGGTCACCACTTTGCCACTAGCTTTGCGCATCTGGCCGCGACTTCCCGCGAAACAACAGTACTGGCGCCTCCGAGTCTTGCGAGGCCAAGAAGTGTTCCGGCGGAGCTCGCTTCTGGTGACAAGGTTGCACAGTGAGTAAGTTCGATCTCAATCGAGGAGACCTGCAACGCGGCGCAGGATGTATTGTGGGCGTCCATCAGATGATGATTGCCGAAGAGCGAGCTCGTCGAACGCTGCGCCTTCGCAGCAGGGACAGCAATGTACGCATCTTCTGTGGTCAATGGCCGTTTGTATGCGTGGCGCGATCCGGCCAAGGAGCTCGATCGGGGTTGGTTCGCGTTCAGAAATCTAAGAGGTGGCGAGAGAGCTCCATCCCACGAGCTCGCGAGGTGACGCATCGCCACTGAGGGGCCACGACTGCTGCTCATGTCGGACGCAGCAGATGCCCTTGCTCTCTTGCCACTTTGCCGCCATCGATCGTGTAGTCGACAGCAGAGGGGAGCGGAGGGCGTGACTTCCTGCGATTTGCTGAACGCTTACGAACGGACGTCTCGGGTGCGGAAGGACAGATCAGCTACCATTCGAGCTGCTGAGGTGAGTAGAGCTCATGCTTCGCGCTGCTTTGTAGCGATGAGCTGCGAGTGCGCGAGAGTTCTGAGCTGTTAGAGTCGGATCATAGCCTGCCGTCCGAAGCTGGAGCTACAGGCCGAGCCTGGAACCTCTGAATTGTCTACAAGGCGCACGTTGACCTTGGTTCTCGCGCGTGACGCTCTGCAATCGTGATTGACGGGTCTACAGAATGCAAGCTTTCTTTGCGGGACTGTCTCATAGCATGCCGAATATCTGCACGTTAGTCGTGAGTCATGAGTGAATGCGAGTGAGAGAGCGTTATACGGATGGGTCTGGGGGACGAATCAAAAATGCTTGAGTGCGGGTGATGTCATTATTCACGATTATTAATATTCGTGATATGACTACTATACTAAATGGTCTGATGACTTTGGACCCAGAAAAGACTCTTCTAATGAAGATTAAACTCTCTTTTTAACTTGACGTCTGACTCTTGACCCCGTCGCGGCGCCAAATCACGTGAATGCGTCAAGGCGACGCGTCCCACCAAGCTTTTCGCGCGGCAGCAAGAAGCAAACGCAGCGATTCTTGATTCACTGATTCAAGATTGCGTCTTCCTGAGTCGAGAAAGTGGCCACGTAGGCTGCTTCTCCAGGCAACTTAATGCCGCTCCACAGCACACCGACGCCGCCTTCTACACTCGTCGGTTGTCACCTCACACCTGAAGGACCGTCCCCAATATCCACACCTCCTGAGCAGCGCATCAAAGCAGCACATCATGTCCTCGCAGCAGGAAAGGAAGCGGACCATTTATGTAGGCGGGTTGGGTGAAGGAGGAGTTTGCGATCCTGCCGTGTTGTTGCGACACTTTGCACCTTTTGGGGAGATCGTGGATGTCGTGACGCCAAAGCAAGGTGAGCTCAACGTTTTCCGCTGCCGTCCACTTCTCGGGTGCAGTCGTGGCAAAGACCGTTAAGCAGGACGCGCTGACGCTGCTCTGCTCCACCCCCTATCCTCGTACAGAGGGAGCCAATCGGGGGTTCGGCTTCATCACATTCTCGACTGTAGAGGAGGCGATGGACGCGATAGACAACATGCATCTCAATGAAGTAGAAGGTGTGAGTGCTCGTGTCTGCTACTATCAGTCAGAAGCTGGACCTGCAAGCTTACGATGCTCCTTGCAGCGCATCATCAACGTCAACATTGCACGCGCACCAAAGGCTTCTGCAGCTGGCGGTGTAAATAGGCCAATATGGGAAGATGAGGTGAGTGGCTTCTCGCAACGTGAGATGGAGAGCGGATGACTCTGCGATGCTTCGCCAAAACATTTGCCAGAAGGCGTGCCGGCTGTGCCGGTGCATTTCGCTGATTGAACCTTCTCTTCACCTCGCAGGAGTGGATCAAAGAGAATGCTGCGCCGCTACCTGGGGGTCTGCCGGATGCGCCTGCGCCTGAGCTGAACGCCGAGGCATGAATGAAGGCTCTTTGCTGGGCTGAAGCTTGGACTCCCGAGGCTGGCGAAACAGGGCGCTGCAATGACTGCGCTGTGCTGGATAAGTGGGGTGGGACATCTCTGATGGACAAGAGTAGTCAGAGCAACGGCGCCTCAATGACCGGACTGTGAGCCTTGACCTGGGACACTACCGATTTGAGTCACGAAGAAGGGGACACTGCCGACTGGGGACACGACGCAAGGCTTCAACGTGTGGAAGACGAGGCAGATCAGCGACAAGCCTTCGTGGTGAGAAGGACCAGCTGCTCGGAAGCACCCTCGGAGCGCGCATCATCCTGGACCCAAAATGCGCCCTACACTGGCTTTTCATGGACCCAACGACTCACAAATGGACACTCATGCAGTCTCGAAGTTGGCATCACGAGCAAGACCCCCAACCGCATCGGCAAGGGCGCATACATTGGGCTACAGAGCAGGGTCAAAGTACATCCAGCCTCTACACGATGGGGCACCGCAGAGACATGGCGTGGCACCACTCCTGCCTACATCTCGCTTTACACCCTCGCCGTGCTTTCGCGAGTCATCAAGCTGGGCTAGCTCTCCACCTGAGTAATCAAATGTCAGTTCATCGTCCGGTTGTATGTCCCTAGCCGCGAAGAGGGCCGCTCTTGGCGCAGCCGCCACAGCATACGTCTCGCAAGTGCTCGAGGCAGATGTGTCATCGTAAAGCTTGATGGGCTCATCACAGCGTACCGGAATCGAGATGAGATTAGGCTCACAAGAATGATTTGCAAATCGACCTGCATTGCCCGTAATCGTTGGATCGATGTTCGTGCGATATGCTCTCGGTGCCAGAGCCGAGGTCGCCTGCGTTCCACTTAGAGGATCCGGTGATGATGGGAAGCCAGCATGGCCTGTATGCGCGCCTACATTCATCCACTCTTGCAGAACGAGGATGTAGTTGCTTCCTTTGTTGCTCACACTGGGTCTAGGTCCAAAGTCGGATTGTGAGATGGCGATGGAGCTGGCAGGATCGGAACCTTTTCCCGGAGAGCACATGGAAGGCTTTTGGTACTCGACCCATCTCTTCCGAGCTTCCTGCGTGCTGATCACCTCGCCGGCATACTCGATGACAAATGCGCCACGCGGGATAAAGTCGTGTGTGAATAGACCAAGGCCCCGACTAGCCGATTTCAGATCAGCTGAAATGGCGGCATTTCCCTCCGACTTTGAGCACCGATGCGGCGATATTCCAAGTCTCGGAGCAGTGCTGCGGATGTAGAGCCGGCAACTAAAGGCCCGGTAATGGGTCCACTTGAGCATCAGCAGCTCATGAGTGGCCTGACACCACATCCGAATCGAAGACTTACGCAAGACCAGAGCCGACCACTCGATTTGCACATTGGATGCTCGCTCGCTCGCTCTTTTGTGGATCTTCGTAGCTGTTTGATTCTGTCCCCACTTCTAAAGACTCCAGCTTCCGCCTTTTGGCTCGGTCTACAAATTCAGGATGACGGAAGGATCTTGCTTCGTCTTCCGGACCAGCAGCGCGCTGTGTGCTGATGCTGTTCGATCTGATGAAAGACGAAGCCTGCTGGCAAGCACAAAGAGGTGTGCACTCTCTCAAGGCGTGTCGCGCAGGCAATGCGTCGAGATGCAGGATTCTCGCCAGACCATTGAGCTGGGCGTCAGCGGTACTGTAGAAGTTTCCTATCATTGTCAAGCTGGCTGTGCGATCAGCGAGTGAGAGTAGGGGCGTTGCAAAAGCCCGTCGACCCACCAAAGGACTCGACACATTCGCAGTCGGTGTCGGCGGTGCAGCACGGAGCTCCAGGCTTAGCAATGCAGGAGCATCCAGAACCCTCATATGGGTCGGATACGGACCAGTCATCTCTTGGCAGCCATTGTTCGATCTCGTTGGCCTCTGACGATCCTGTTCGAGCGAAGGCAGCACCTCGATCTCCGTCGAGAAGACGAGCGAGAGCCTCTTTGCGCCAAGTTTCGTGCACAATGCTCTCTGGGATGTATGACTGGAGCGATCCAAGCAGACACCTTTCGACGGCTTTTTGGGGCGGATGGGGCGAGGTAAAATTCTCCTCTTCTTCTGGGTAGTAAGGGATGGGCAGTCGTTCGCGGCCTGAGGAAATGTCTGGATGAGGCGGACTCCGACGCATTGTGAGCTTTGAGAGCGAGACACACTTGACACGTCGACTGACCGCTCATCGCGCGGCTCCGTGCGCCGAATCGTACGCCGGAGCACCCTCAATACTGGATGAGGGTTCTGTAAACGATGTACTGTACCCATGGCCTCGAAGTGTGAGTGGTGATTCGGCAGACGGAGGTGGGCTCACATGGCTGGTGTGTAGGTGCTTCCAAAATCGGAAGGATCAAGTAATCACGTGATTTGTTGCCATGCCTCCACCTAGCTGGAGTCGTGAGGTGCGGCCGTAAGGGCGCTGCGAAGCCCCACAGCGCATGATCGACTTTGAGTCTGAGTGCTGCGTGGGCATACATGCGGTGCCCTTTGACGCTCCTTCCAGCAGAACTCGTAGCTCTCGCCCGAGATCCAACCTCAGACTCGCACCTCCTCCTACACCACACGGCCATTCATGCCCACCAAGAGCAGCGCTCCCCCGAGCTATCTGTGCAGCGAAAGACTCCCATGTTGAGATCGAAATCATGACCATCTCTCCGCCAGCCCATGCTGGGCATTCGCAGCCTGTCGATGTTCTCCTGCTTGGTTCAGGATGGACCAGTCAGTTCCTTCTGCCGCTTCTCAATTTGGAAGGCATCACGTACGCCTTCACTTCGCGTCAGCGCTCCACTTCGACTAGCGCTGTCCCTCCCCCTCCTGGCAGCTCTATTCACTTCGAACTCTCTTCTGATGGGAAGGCTTCCAGATCGCTCTGGCACTCTCTGCCTAAAGCCAAGGTCGTGCTCATCGTCTTTCCGCTGCGATCTCGAGAAGCTGTCCACAACCTCATAGATGGCTACGAGCTCTCGCACGGGGCAGCAAACTGGATCTTGCTGGGCAGCACAGGTGCCTGGGGACCTGTTGGCCACTTCACATCCACTTCTCCCATCGACACGTCAAACGCTCGAGCTTCGGCCGAGGAGAGCTTCTTGGCGCTTCACAGACCAGAAATTGGACGAAACATGACTGTGCTCAACTTGGCTGGGCTGTATGGAGCAGACAGGCAGCCGGCCAACTTTGCGAAGAAGGTCGCAACCAGTCAAGACAAGCTTAGAGACAAGGGCAGCTTGCACCTCATCCACGGCAAGGACGTAGCCAGAGCAATCGTGGGCGTCTTCAAGGCGTTGCCAGAGCGTGCCTCTTCCAGCAGCAGCAGCCCAAGACCCAGCGATGCGCCGAGATCCTCTGCATCAGCGCAAAAGAGCAATCTGCTCGGCAAGAGGTGGATTGTGACCGACACGAACGTCTACGACTGGTGGTTCCTCGTACTCACACTTTCGCCGCCGAGCATACCGCACGCTGCGAGATGGGTGTCAGAACTCTGCGCAGCGCACAGCATCTCTGCTCTTCCTCGTGCACACTCACTTGGGTCCGACCGAACGCAGGCCGCCCCAGCGTACCTGGAAAGAAGCTTGGACGGCACACATTTCTGGGATGCCATAGGCCAGAAGCCTGAAGTTCCGAGGTGCGATTTAGCGCAAAGGGGCGAAGCGATCGCCTTCCAGCCTGTCCTGGATGAGATGCGCCTGAGAGACCTGCGCACCAAAGTGGATGCTGCGGTGGACGAGCAGCGAGTGAGAGAAGGCCCCAGTAGTCCCTTTGAGGCGGACAAAGAGAGATTTGGTGAGTGTCTGGGAGGGTGGAGAAGGCGGCGTGCTCAGCAAGCCAACGCTAATGCGCGACGCTATCCGCAGGCTTGACGTACGAGCGCTTTCGGTCCCTGCTCGAGTCTTGGTCGGCGTATCTTGAACCTCAAGCAACCTCTGCCGCATCCGAATCAGGGACACATCCGTCCGCATCGACTTCCCTCAAGAGTGCAGAGGGAGGGAGCATTGACGTCCCAGTCGCCCTTGAACTGGCGCCTCGCAGCGTCCAGAGTCTTAACGGAAGCGCTCACGGAAATTCAAAGAAGAGACTGGGTGCAGATCATGACACTTGGACAGCTCAGGAGGCGAGATTGAAAAGCTTTGAGCACTTCAAAGTGCATGGTGAGTGGGCCAAGCAGACACTCTGTTGGATGGAGTCAGCGCAATCGACGACATCACTCTGGCGTCCTAAGCTCCGCCGCTCACCGCTTCCTTGTGCTTTACCATCGGATCACAGTCAAGAATGTTCATTTGCACTTCATACGCGAGAAGCCAGACTACGAAGAGGCGCGTAGGTCTGGAAGGCGTGTCATTCCCCTCTTGCTTCTCCATGGATGGCCTGGAAGCTTTCTGGAGTTCTTGGATACCATTAAGCCTCTAGCTGTGAGTCGATCGAAAGCAAGTATCATGACTGTATGCGCACGTCGCTTTGCTGATCTAGCGTCTTGGCCTGCCAGCATCCTGGTCCAAGCGCACCGACCGACGTACCAGCCTTCGACGTGGTTGTCCCCTCGCACACCGGCTACGCATGGAGCTCCAATGCTGCGGTCAAGTCTCGGAGTGGCAGTGAACCGGTTCAAGGAGAGTGGAGCGGCTCACAGGGCGATCTATTGGTCAGAGGTGAGAGGCCACAAATTTAGAAGCTACTTCTGCAAACTTGTCTGACGTTTCTCCTAACCCTTTGTGATGACTTAGACGAAGCGACCTTGATGGATGCGCTCATGCGCACTCTTGGGTTTCCATACTATGCTGCGCAAGCTGGAGACTGGTCAAATGCAGTCGCTCGCTTCATGGCTATTCAGTTTCCCAATAGATGCAAAGCGGTCCACCTCAACTTCTGTCCAGCTCCGCCACCTCGACTTGCGCCTCCATTGTTGTCGCTGTGTCACTTGGTCCCGCCTCCGATCAGAGGCATAGTCAGCTACTTCACTCCAAACAGCATCAAATCCCTTGTCGAAAGCGTCGCCGAAATGCCGAGGACCCTACCGAGGAGTTCCTACGCGAAACAGCCGGGCTTCTTCACAGTGCATGGCGTGGCCCACAGACTGGCCAAAATGGCACTCGGATTCCCATCGCTGCTCGACAAGGACGAATCCACCAGACTTGCTAGAGCTATCGAATTCCAGACGACTGGAAGCGCGTATGCAGCATTCCATGGCACAAGACCAGGCACGCTAGCTATCGTCACAGAATCCAGGTAAGGTGGACACGAGCACCTGTATATGAATATGAGACACTGACTGAGCAGTTCCATTGCGATTCACAGCCCCGTTGCTTTGCTGGCGTGGATCGGGGAAAAGTTCCTGCAGTGGACCGATCAAGAGTAGGTCGGCGAGGTGCGCATCAGCGTGTTTGATCTTTCAAGTTGACACAAACAATGCTTTGCTGCTCAACAGCCCTCCGGACTCGGAGATCCTCGCCAGCCTGACGCTTTGGTGGTGCACAGATACCATGGCGAGGTCGCTGTACCCGTATCGCAATCGACCCGCCTCGGGCCTTCAAGGTAAGTCGAAGTCCAAGAACTCGATTTTCTGATTCTCTCTGAATGTGATTCGACACTGTGTCGTCCGGTCATCTCAGGCGTCATTTCAAGGCCAGAGAATCGGATTCCTTGTCCATTTGGATACACAGACAACCCATACGAGATCATGCCGGCTCCCAAAGAGTGGATTCGCTCGACTGTCGACAACTTTGCTTGGTATAGGAAACACGAGCAAGGCGGACACTTCTTCGGTACGTGCCCGGGTCTGCTCTGGCTGCCTTCGAGTCGCATGTTGACTGATCCACACCCTCTTTTCTCGCAGCCATGGAGAGGCCTGCTGCATTCGTAGAGGATGTCAGAGACTGCTTTGCAGAAATCTGGCCGATCAAGTAATTCAACAATCACGGATGGCAATAATCGGTGGAGTCCTGCCTAGATACAATGACATCTCAGGCGACTCTCATAAATGGCACTAATGACTCTTATGGCGACCTTTCGAAGCTGCCTGGGTCTGTCCCGGCCGCTCCACGCTTGCCAGACTCTGCATGCTTGCTGCGTCCTCTGCTATGACCATCGAGCCGCTTCTTCTTAGCCTGTCGTGTCCCAGTGTGTATTGAAGCAGCTCTCCCACACACGGTGCCGAGCAGAAAAGTAATGCATAGACCTTACCAGCTCGCAGAACTGAGCAAGCACCGAGAAGTCAAAGTGTCCGGGCACGAGTTCTTGACTTCGCTTCCTCGCGCGGCAGGGATCCTCGGCAAAAGCGGTGTTCTCCGCGCCCTGCAAAAGAAGAATGCCCGATGCGCCTTTCACGTGATTGCTCGTAGCGGCGCGGGGAACTCCATCGGCGCACAGCGCGATATGGGCATCCTGATGCAGGCCTCAACAAAGTTCATGACCTCTCTGCACCTCCCCGTTCATTGCATCGCCTAGACTACTGCAGCACCTTTCAATCGAGGAAAGATCATCCACTCAAGCTAGCGATTACCAGATCCTGGCTGGGTCTTGCCATACCGCGGCATACTCTCGACTCATCGCCAATCGCGCGGTTCGCCAGGCCGCGATGTCCACTTCCACCTCGCGGGCCGAAAATGTTTCCTCGGGAGCTGCCCCACGGGTCACGGTGACATACTCTGCCTCTTACCCTTTAGTCAACTCAGACTTTCTGCAGAACATCATCTCTGTCCTCAGCTCACAGCTGCCCCTTCGTAATTTGCACTGGAAGCCTACGATTCCGGTCCAAAGCGGGTCGAACATCACTCTGAGCGTGCCTGGTGCCGGAGACGCCACGCCCGTGACCAGCACCACTCCGCTGACCGCCAGTGGTAGCAGTCTGCCCCAATCCTCCTCATCTAGCATCCGCACCATCCAGTCACTGCCAGTAGACCTTGAGCCCCTCTCAACGGCGCTGCAACGAGTGCGAAACAATCCCGAGCTGCGATACGCTGTCAGCCAAAGTCTGCTCGAGCGGCCCTTCAGCCACCTCTATTTTGTGGCATGTGACGACAATGAGGCGTACCGGAACAGCATCCGCAACGATATCAGAAGCTGGATCAGCTCCCTCGGTCATCTTCCCGTGCACCCAGCAGACGCTGCACCAAGTGCGAACGCACCTTCATCCAGGCCCGGCACGCCCAGATCCTCAGTACACGATAGCACAAAGGGTTCATCCAACGCCGAAGATGATGCGAGCAGTGCAGCTGGACCAGACTACCTCATCGTTCTGCTCTCTCCAGATCCGGGTAGTGCACAAGCTGGAGCACTCGCAACAGCTGCTGGGTCATTGGGCAGAGGAGCGTCCCCGGCACCTGGATCCGAACCCGAGAAGAAGACGGGACTCGGCAGAGTGTTTGGTGGGAGCAGCGCTGCGAGTAGAAGCAACGTGATCGAGAAGATCAGAGCGGACTTCAACTCAGGCAAGCGAGAGCGGTGAGTGGCTTGTGGTCAAGTCGGGCTAGGCGCTGGATGAGCAAGCCCTCGTTGGGGCCAAGGCGAACGCAGTTCGGAAGATCCCGCTGCCAGACGCCGCGGGACGCAGCAGGGAGCCCAGTGGAGCCCAATGTCACTCTCTGTCCGGCGCCCGACTGACACCGAATCATCTTCTGATACGAATCAGGGTCGTCCAACTCACGCGACTGCCGCCGCAACAGCCAGCAAATAAGCCCAGCGGCGGATACCATGCCGACCCTACACTGTTTGCAGACCTATTGATGCGGCTCAAAGATTCAGCTGGCGCGACATTCGACCGGCTAGTGTCGCTGCAAGAGGAAGAGTGCAGAAGGGAGCTGAGGCACAGGGACTTTCCCGGTTGGAACATCTGCAAATGGGTCAGCAGCGTGGAATGCTTGGCGAACACCTTTGAAGCTGTCGGGCTTCACAAAGAAGCACTCAGTCGGTACGACGAAGTAGATGCTGCATTCGAACAGTGCTTGGCGACAGGTGCCACGCAGCACTTTAGATCCATGGGGGCTGTCACCAGCGGAGACGATAGCGCACCTCTGCTCGACACAAGGAAGAAGCCATACTACGACTTGATTCGCAGGAGCGAGATCAGCTTGTTCGATTTCCGATGCTACATCTTTGCGCGAAGGGCCGCACTGCTAGGCAAGCTGGGCAGAGTTGCGCAAGTGATGCACGAGACGCCTGGCTTCGTGGAGAATGTTGGGAGGATGCTCAGTGCTGGAGAGGTGAGTAGCATGTATGCGCATTGAGATGGTCTGCGCCGCCCGACCTCGCCCTTCAGCTGATGCAAGAGCACATACATCATGCAGCTCCTTCCACGTCACTTTATCGAGTCGTGGACGTTCAGCTCATCCATCGATGTGGTGGAGCAGTGCCAGGCATGGCTGGTAGAGCGGGGAGACATTGCTGCACCTGGCATGTCTGACGAGGTCAATCTCAAGTACTTAGGGGACGAGGACTCGGACGCTAGGAAGAGCGCAATGCTCGCAAGGCAGCGCCACATCGAGTCGCAGCTCTCTGCGGCGTTCCATGCAGCAAAAGCGCAGTTGTTAGATCTGGCCAGAAGACAGCTGGACATCATTGGTATGCACGTGGGCCACCTGCCAAGGGCTCTGCCATTTCTCGCCTCGCTGCCCGACTATGCGTCTAGTGCCGCGGCGAAGGACAGAGATTTGCCTGCGCTACCAGACGATGCCTATGCGAGTGATCAGCGAATAACCAGAGACGAGCTACTCCAGGCTATCGAGGACCGTCAGCTCTTCGACGACCACCTCATCTCCTTGACGGAAAGGACTGCAGCGTGCTGGAACAACGCTAGCATGCCCAAGCGGGTGCTTTCGATGCAAGCAAGTCTTGCAAGTCTACAATAGTGAGCGTCGTATCAGGCAAAAGTTGTGGCCATTAAACAGCGCTGACCTTGCCGGTCTCACACAGCTATCGGGAAAAGTACAGCGAAGCCTACGTCGCATTTGGAAAACTCGCAGATGCTCATGCGGTCGAGAGGACTCCTATCGAAGCGCACATGCTAGCCAAGCAACTCGCGGCACATGCCCATCTCGAAATGCCGCGAGACAAAGCCTGGGTCAACGTCGTCGTTGCACTGCTGAAGAGGCTGGCGGACGAGCGAGCGAAAGGCGCCTCTCTGCCTATCTCGAGCAGATCTGCAGTCAACGTGGCGAGTGGCATTGCTTGGGACGACGAACGCGCGCTCTTTGCGGAGCTCCGCACGACGCCCTTTGAGCAAGAGCTCCCTGTCAGTCATTTCTCGCCGCTCGTCGTCAAGGTCAACGCCCCCTGGGCCTCTCATATTCCAGGCCAAGATGGATCGCAACTTTCTGTCCGAGTCACTTCTGCGACAGGCACTCAGGTGGAAGTCGACGATATTCGAGTGTGCTTGACCAGCGGCGAGAGGGAGATGCTGTGGTTTACAAGCGGATCGAGAATGCTGGAGAAAGGCCACAACCACGTCAAGCTATCGTGTCCCTCTTCTGCCCCTGGGAAGTACATTGTTGACGTCTGCCAGGTCAGGATTGCCAAAATCATCTTTCAGTACACTTCCCCTCGTACGTGGCCGGGCGTGGTGGTCGTCGGCGTACCTGAAGATGGAGAAGCTCTGGACGCGAAGCTGGTCATGCCTGACACTATACGCATAGACGAGCAAAGACATGCTATTCTGGAAATCAACACCGGCAGGAATGAAGTCTCGAGAGCCGAGCTGCGGCTCGCACTAAGCCCGGTCGGTAGAGCTGCTGGTATGAGCGCAAATGCGAGGATGCTGGTTGGTGTCTCGGAGGGCCATTTCATTGATGAGAGTGCTCGTGCAATTAGTCGCTCTGAAACGCCTAAATTGGAAGCGGCAGAAGACGGCACAGTACACGTCAGCAGCCTGTCGTCCAGGACACCACACCGACTTCGCTTTCCGCTCTACGAGACGTCTGCCGCTACCGCTGGCACCCTGCACGTCGCCCTGTCTATAGACTACTGGTCTGCGAAAAGTCAGCGGCCTCAGTCTAGACGACAATTTCGAAAAGAAGTCACTCTCAGTGTGGCCTTGCCTCTCGGTGTCAACGTGCAAGACTACTTTCGATCAGATAGGCTGTACTCCAAGTTCTCCATCACTGCTGGCACCAACTCCAATCTGAGACTCGGCAAGGTGGAACTCATCCACGCAGTAGATGAGGACGATAGGAAGCACAAGGCACAGACTGGCGAGCGCCAGGGGCCTGAACAGAAGCACGTCATCGAGAGACCTCCTTCTTCTGCTCCAGTCCTCCTTGACTCCCGTCAGCCTGCTAGCTACGTCTTCTCTATCAAGAAGAACACTGCCACAAAAGGTGGCCCAGCCCACAGAGGCGCCCCGACGAAGTTGCGTTTGATGCTTCGATATCGCAGCATCCAAGAAGAAGCGCAGCGTCTCTTGGTTCGACTCCTTGAACAAACGCTTCAAACGGCAGCCGACGGGCCTTCTTTACTCAGCGAAGGCCACAAGAGGTCACTGGAGCTCGCTATGTGCCGATTGGTGGACTTGGGCCTTGACGTGTCCGTGTATTCCTTGACTGGCCAAATACGAGCAGGACTTTTTGACGCAGACATTTGGCGCAAAGCCGCAGAGAGATGGGGCATCGATAGCTCGAGCACGGAGGCGGACTTTGTCGTGAAGGTGGTGGAGAATACTTTGCAAAAGGCGCTGGAATGCGGACCGACCGACGCTTCTTCAGAAAGCGCTGCAGCTTTGCCATGGAGGCTACTTTCCATACCCGTAGATGTGCCTCAGGTGGACATTGTCAACGCCGTCTCAATAAAGCTGACGGACGAAGGGCCATACTACGTCGGACAGCCAATCAAGGCGACATTGACAATCTCCACATCCTTCTCTTGGGGCGTCGACGCGGCGGATGCCAAGGCTTCTGCTGAGACGCTTCAAGTCGACGAATTTCAAGATGCTCGATCAGAAGCAGGGTCTGATCTCACCGTCGGAATCGGCGGTACTCAAGCGCCCTCTAGGAGCCCTTCGCCTGCTCCTTCAAGTCAAGGCCGAGCAGCTTTAGCTGGAAAAGGTCAAAGTCAGCGACTCATGTACGATGTTGCTGCAGACTTCGACTCTTGGCTCGCTAGCGGCGCCAAACGACATGCTTTCGAAGTTAGCACCTCGGACGTGCAAGACACCAGAGCTGCTCCGGCACACGAGTTCGAGCTAGCACTGATACCTCTGCGCCACGGCTCTCTGCTTTTGCCGACTGTCAACGTCTGGGCTTTGGCCTCCAAGGGTGCTCTCTCAGACCTCAAGAAATCGCAGTCGAAAGGTATTTCGCCTACAGACCAGCAGGATCGGCAGCGTCATTTGGGCTCGGATTCGGAGTCAGATACGGACATTGACCCAGTGGAAGATGAGCTGGAAGAACAGCGCCTCATCGAGCTAGGCCACATCGTCGTGCCTAGCTGCGCTACACATCAGATCAACGCTGCCGAGCACATCGAGGTATTAGCAATCGACAACAATTCGACGGCTGCACGGGGAGCTTTGCCCCTTTGAGCTAGGACTCCGGTTAGCTGGTGCAGCAGACAGACGGGAAAGCTTTGCTCGGAGCGCTCATAGCGGAGGCGTCAAAAGAGCTGCGTCCCGAAGGAGATGACGAGTCGCGTCGCCGGAGTTGGAAGATGTTCACCTTGCTGCGATCGTCTAGGCGAGCAGTTTGCATTTGAAATGTAATATATGACCTGCCTTTACAGAGCGCCAACAATAGCAGCTCCAAGTGGTGCTGTTTGAGCAGAAGTGGCAGGCGCGTTGTGTTTTTCTGCTCAAAGGCTTTGGAAGAGTCCGCTTTCCCGCTTGGGCGGGCCATGGTTACAGACTGGTCCAAGGTTTGCTCGGGGCGGAGTGCAGAATCGCTCGTACGCGAGCAGGCATCTGCATCCTTATGCCTCAAACGTCCTATCCGGCGCCCACCTTACAAACAAGGCGACAGTGCCGAGATGTAGTAGGACGGACGTTCTCCGACAGGGTTTGTCGAGCAGCGTACGGCTCATTTTCTTGGAATCACGGAGATGGACCATGAGTGTAGGCTGTGCGCTTCCTTGCTCCACGGCACATGTGACCTGACGACCTCTTGGCACGCGAGATCGCATGCTGTGGAGGGTGCTGGACCATACCATAGGCGGGAGAGTAGGCAAAGCAGAGCTCTTTGGGGGTGATCGAGCGACCTGACAGTCCGGTCCACCGTCTCGGTAGCTGCGGGGTTGCGGGCGACAAGACGAATGGAGGCGAACGCTATGGCGGGCACTAGCCTGTGGTTAATTCGGCCGCAGATGGTTTGCGTTCCGAAATTAGTGAGGATCTCTTCAAGCTCAGCTGGCAAGTGCTCTGGCACCCAGCCCTGCGTAGGCGTTGGTGCGATGCGAGTCCGTCCGATTTGGTTGTTCCGCTGGCCCGCTCACTACGTTCAAAGCTCGGTCTGAGTCGGGCTGGTCTGCAGCACCACCCTGCTCGCTGGCCTCAGCATCTCCGTTCGTCTCCGCTAGTGGTGTTGAGCTTCGAGGCTGTATGCGGGGGGATGACCAAAAGGCGTGGCCAATGATATCGACGTGTAAGGTCTGGAGCGTCATCTTGCTCTTACCCTTCGTTTTGACCTGCAACGAGCTCGGTGACGATGAGTCGCTCTGTTTGAAACAAGCGTCTGTCTCGGGCCGCCACACCAACGTGCTGCCTTTGCGGAACAAGGGAGGAAGCGAATCGTAATTGATGTTGTGCTCGTTGAACAAGATTTCATTCTTGTCGGCTGAGAGTGTGCCCTGTGGGATGAATGATCGGAGTGAGCGGCGCGGTGGTTTATCAGCACTACGCTAGACATCCCCCACAATAGATTGACGTGCGAAGCTCGCTGCTCTCAGTTCTTCCGACTCGCATGGCCACCCACCTTCAATCTTTCGTGAGCTTCCCTCTCTGTCTTGCCTCCTTGCACCATTGCCCAAAAGACGGTGTTGTATAGATTGTTGACATGAGCTGCGAAGTGATGCCCGGAGATAGGTGAGCATGAGCTGCTAGCACGCATGCCCTAGACAAGCAGAGACTCACTGTCAGCCTGTCTCCACGAGAAGTAGTCCCTGACTTCCTTCTCCGTGGGGTACAAGACCAATCTCCCATCGAATGAAGGCGCCTCGTCCAGGTGCTGATTAGGAAAGAATGTGCTCCAAGCCAGGACGTAGTTCGAAGTGAAGAGCGACGTTACGTAGGTCAAGATCTTGCTGAGCGGATCGGTGAAACTGAAAGAGCTCAGCAAGGTACGCACGTCCGCGCACCAAGGAAGAACGCTCACCTTTGGCGCCTGCTGTAGAGTGTGCATGATCGCCTCAAGAGGAAGCTAGCAAGTATGGAAAGCGCGGTCAGCACCTCACAGCATACAGACAGCCCACTTCAGTCCACGAGAGCAGCACCCGCATACCATGATACTGAGCCGCTCTACCACCACTACGTACCTGTACTCGTCGCTCTCTCCGAAGGCCAACACCACCTCAGGTCTGAGCTGCTCCATCACCTTCCTGGCCGCATGGTTCATCAGCTCCAGAGCTCTCGCGTCATTAGGCTTGTGAAATAGATGCTTCGCACTGAATCTGTGCCAGGGCGCAATGATGGGTCAGTGCATTGCCTTGTCGACTCTCGCCGACGTGCTGATAGCTTTGGTCAGCGCGAGAAGGCGCGAAGACGCTCCGCCTGGAGCTGAAGCACCCCGCGGCAGCTGGAATGATCCGCAAAGATATTTCCACTCATGGCGGCAGAATTGAAGGCTTTGAACTTCCGCCACTCACTTGTGAAAGCCTTTGCCATCCAGCCTGACCAGCATATACGTGTTGGGCAACGCAGCATCCTGTTGCTCATACGACCGCACGTACGCGAATCTGCTCAGCGCCATGACAGCAGGCGGAGGTGCAACAACCTCCGACTACGCAACCGGTCCACAGACGGCCTTTGATGGGCCTCAAAGTGCGCAGCGATGATGACCGCGCTCTCGATTGTGATGGGAGAGCATGTGCCTGGGCGAAGTCGGGAAGGTGTGGATGGAGGAGTCCTTGCTGCGTGAGTCAAGTCGTGCCAAGTCACCCAGCGCATATATGCGGGCAAAATCCGCGCCCAAAAATGTTGACGCGCATTCTCGTGCGAGAGCATCGCGCAATAAGTGATGCCTGCTGCACCAGAAATTTTCGAGCGGCGTTGCGCGACACTGCGTTTGTAAGATCCCAGCCAGCGCTCACGCTGCATGCTCATGTCCCTCGTCGTGAATACCTTCCACGCATCACCAAGCGCCACTCAGCATTCTTCTCGATACCTTCTTCGACCGCCACCGACTGCAAACTCTCCACGAGTCTGTCAAGAGTCCTTGTGCTGGCACTCGCGCTCTGGCCAGGATTGCTCCCTGATCCCATACTTCTCGGTGCCCATCCACTCCTCGCACGGCCATCACATTAAGCAAGCAACTCATCGCTCAAGTACAGCACCCTCAGTAGTAGTACAGCACACCATGGTGAAGGTGACGCCCACCAAGAAAGGTCATGGCGGGGCCACCAAGCCTGGATCCAAACATACTGGCGGAAAGGGCGTCAAGTTTGTAAAGTGAGTGAGCGTGTGTGAGCGTGTGTGAGCGTGTGTGAGCGTCGTTGCAGAGGTGCAGAGGGAAGCGGTGTATCTGGCACAACCATGCACGACACCCTTTGCCTTTCTTGTGCGGATTAATCTGACCCCTCTTCTACTGTCCGCTTCTCTCTTCGTCTTAGGGGCGAGAATTTCTACCGAGATGCCAAGCAAGCCAAACGCGTCAAGCTGCTGTCGAAGAACGGCATCGCTTCCAAGCCCATCCGCGATGCAGCAGGCAATGTGACCCAAGCGCAAGAGTTCCAGTCTTCAGATGCCACACCTGGTCGTGTTCAGCCTGATCGTCGGTGGTTTGGCAATACGCGGGTCATCTCGCAAGACGCCTTGGACCATTTCAGGACCGCGCTCGGATCTCGGGTGGACGATCCTTACTCTGTGCTGCTCAGGAGGAACAAGCTGCCCATGTCGCTGCTGCAGGACGCCAAGAATGGCAAAGCCCCTAGGCTCACCGCTGTCGAGAGCTTCGAGGAGACATTTGGTCCCAACTCGAAGCGCAAGCGACCTCGATTGGATCCGGGCAATTCGGGAAGCTTCGCAGAGCTGGCACAAGCTTCGGAGAAGGCAGGCCTGGAGGCAGAGGAAAAGGAGGAGCTGCAAAAGTTCAAAGCCGGAGGTCATCACCTGGTGCAAGATGGAGCAGAGATTGGCATGGCGCAGTCGAGCCAGGCCTCGCCTACCGGTCTTGTTGGTGAGAGTGCAGGCGCTAGCGGCAGCAGGGTCATCGATCCGACTTCGCTGCAAGAAGAGCCTTACAGCATGACTGTCACGCGAGGCAGAAGCGAGCCAATCTACAGCAAGGGTCAGAGTCGAAGGATCTGGGCAGAGCTTTACAAGGTCATCGACTCGAGTGATGTGGTCATCCACGTGCTCGATGTGAGGGATCCCATGGGTACCAAGTGCAAGAGCGTCATCAAGCACATCAAGGAGGAGAAGCCGCACAAGCATTTGGTGTTCCTGCTAAACAAGGTGGATCTCGTGCCTACTTGGGTGACTGTGAGTGATGCGCCAGCTGCCACTTTCCATGTTAGCAATCTCCCATTCGCCCCACAATCAAGTCAAGACTTGCGCCAGATCAGTGGTGCAAGAGCTGTTACGAATGTGGAAGAGCAACGTCTTCAAGCTCGAGTCCGTCTCATCGTCGTTCCCGGTGTCTTTTCGCAACGGGGATGAAATAACCCAAGGTTGAGCGTCGGATCGTTCATCGTCTGCTGCATACTGCGCGGACGAGAGCAATTTTGCGTCTTGTCCTTCCCTGGCGCGCAAGACACCTAGTGGGCTGGACCACACGGGAGCGGCCTCACGTTTCAAGTCCCCTCCCGCCATTGGGGGCTCGGCGTGCGGGAGATTTGTGACTCCTTAAGACGAACCCTTGGAAGAGTTGAGACATGCTCACTTTCAAGCATGCGCTCGTAGTTCTGGGGGGCACATCTTCCTCGTGTTGCAAAGCGTGGTGGTCTGAGCGGGCGAATCGCGCGCTTACCGTATTTCTATCTCTGCTCCTCGTCTCGTCGCTCGACTTGTAGGCACGCTGGGTGAAAGTCCTGTCCAAGGAATACCCCACACTCGCATTCCATGCCTCTATCAACAACTCCTTCGGAAAGGGCGCCCTCATCCAGCTGCTCCGACAGTTCTCCCAGCTGCACTCCGACCGGAAGCAGATTTCCATCGGAATGATTGGATATCCGAACGTTGGCAAGAGCAGCATCATCAACACCCTCAAGAAGAAGAAGGTGTGCAACGTCGCGCCGATTCCTGGAGAGACAAAGGTCTGGCAGTACGTCACTCTCACCCGCCGGATCTATCTGGTCGACTGTCCGGGTATTGTTCCTGTGGGAGCTGCAGATTCGGAGACCAACACAGTCCTCAAGGGGGTCGTTCGAGTGGAAAACTTGGAGACGCCAGCCGAGCACATACAAGCGCTGCTCACGCGTGTCAAGCCAGACTACCTCAGACGAACGTACGGTCTAGAGCAGTGGTCCAATCATGAGGATTTCCTGGCGCAGCTTGCGAAGAAGATGGGCAAATTGTTGAAAGGTGGCGATGCTGATCTCGAAACGGCGGCGAAGATGGTGCTGAATGACTGGATCCGGGGCAAAATTCCGTTCTTCGTTGCCCCTCCATTGCCTGCTTTCAAGGAGAAGAAGCCGGCGCTGACCACTCTCGGAGCCCCAGCTGAGACCGCCGCGTCGAAAGCGCAAGACGGCGAGGATGTGGGCCTTGTTGCCAAGAAGAAGATCATCAAGGGCGTCGATCAGCCGATCAGAGCTATCGCTGTCGTGAATAAGTTTAGCAAGGCTGACGCACAAGGTGGTCTACCGGAAGACTTCGAGCCGGATCATGACGCTGAAGTGGCACCCGGCATGGACGAAGACGGAGCGGAAGAGGATATCGCTTCGGGTGACAGTGAGGACGATGGGGAGGAGGAGCAGGAGGACGAAGACGATGATGAGACGCTGGAAGGTCTGAAATGGGAAGATGTGTTTGGCGGTACCTCTGGCATGGACTCGCGATCTGCGTTTGCGGAAGAGGACGGCGAGGCAGCCTTGGCCCCGTCAGAAGGCGGCTCCGACTCGGACGTCAGCAGGTCTTACTCGGGCTCCGAAGCTGAATTCCATTCGTTAGCCGGAACGAGCAACACCAGCGCACCAGTCATCTCCTCTATTGTAGCAGGCAAACGCAAGGCTTCCGATGACTTGGACGAGGAGGTGGACAACTCCAAGAAGTCGAGGCGAGCTGCGGAGGCGAAGGCCAAGGAAGCTCGGGTGAAGACGAGCAAGCAGAAGACGGAGAACTTCTACACGCATGCCAATGTCAAGAACAAGAATAGAAAGAAGGCAAGTGGATCGGAAGATGCGTCGGCTTCTGCAGGACCCAAGAAGAAGGAAAGAGGAAGCAGAGTAGGCGCGAATGGTAGAATGGCCAGAACCACCAAGGCGAAGATCGCTCGAAAGAAGAAGTAGTCCAGTGGTCGCATCTTTTCTGCTGTGCTTGCGTCTACAGATCCTCTCCCTTCGGCAACACCATCATTGCAATCCACAATTCGCAATTCGCATTCACCGAGATTCGTCTCGAGCACGTCACTTTGCTGTCAGATCCTCCTGCTGCGCAAAGTCGCGAATTGAACAACCAATGGTACGCAGTTCGAGGCGGTGCAAGTCGTTCATCTAGTCTGGTCTCGGCGCGCGATCCGATGGCTATTGCGAGTGTCAGGTCGCTGACTTGTTGGGTATAATTGCGGGTCACTGTAAACGTGGCAGGGTCGCCGACGAAGTGAGGTGGACGATCTGAAAGGTGACGCTGGAGGCTACGCTCGTGAGGGAGACAGGACGGAGTCAACTTCTTCGCGCCGAGTCCTTCGTCGGCAGCAGCGAGAAGTTCGGAATCAAAAGGGCTGACAAAGTTGCGATTGACCGCTTTAGATGGCATCTTCGCACCTAAGCTACTGGCGTGTGAAACCTCGGCTTGTCCAGCTGCGAAGGCTGAAAGACTCCTTCAGCACCAAGGCATGAAATCCACGATGTCGAGCACGCGGCGCACACGTAGGTGCTTGTCAAGCCAGAGTGCCAAATGCAATGGGCAGTGTGACAGTGGCGATGTGATCGTCAGACAATGCACGGCTCGCGTTGGGACCGGTTCATCGACTGCGCTCAGTAGGCAGTGATCGACTTGATCAAGATGACAGGGTCGTGACTTGATGTAATGCCACGCAAGCGCGGCAATCTCCTCGTCAATTGTCTCCGTCTCTTTTGAAAGTCGGTCGAGCTCGACTGGCTGTTCCACAAGCGACTGATCACCTTCGCGAGAAGCAGCACTCAGGACGTCGAAGGTGTGGGGAACCGGGAAGGGGTGCTCTGCACCAGTGAGAAAGTCGATGACGTGCGCGGGCGCAGACCTCGATGCTGCGAGTCTGACGGCACAAAGTCTGACGACAGCGTGCTCTGCGCGACCGATCTGGACCTCATCCTCGCCATCGTGCCACAAGGTGCCAGGGTGTTGACCATCGACCTCCTCCGTGCCCCGAAAGTCGACGTCCAGGTCGACGAGACTTGGCAAAATCGAGGCGTTGCTAAAAAGGCTCTCCAGCACTTCCACCCTGTTGAGCGCGAGCCGGATTGCAGCGGCAGTCTTTGCGGACTTCAGAGCCTCTACCATGATGGGCACCTGGCCTGGCTTGTCCACGCATGCCAGGATGTGAATTTCCTTGAGCATGGCAAAAGATGGCCAGCTGATACACCGCAGAAAGGACCAATCGAGCACCAGAGTCTGCAAAGCTGGCAGCTCAAGGAGTGGCATTGCTCCAATGGCCTCATCTGACAATGTGGGCACTGAAGTGGAGCTGTCAGAGTTGTCGGCAACTTTGAGGACCAACGTGTGCAGATTCTTGAAAGCCAAGTCTCCAAGCGCTGGTCCTTCGGAGGAGATCCATTGTGTAGAGAAAAGCGGCTTCATGAACAGGACACTCAGCGCACCAGCGCTGCTGGCCAATGGTTGCAAGACTTGCCAGAGATGCTCCACGTGTCTTGCGCTCTCTGCTCTCACGCACACGTTGAGCAGGCGCTTGCTGATGTCATGGCTGACGACAAGTGCCAACCAGTTGTTTGTCCCACCAAATACGTCCGTGGTCTCATCGTCCGTGGCCACCAGACTGTCAAGCCCGTACCTCGTCGCGCTAAGGTCTGGCCTCAAAGTAGCGATGTGACCATGCCAGCGCGATGCGTAGGCCCTCAGCCCTGCAGCATGAAGGCTGGTCGGCTCCGTGTAAAACAAACGCTGGAGACTCGCATCGCCTGATCGCGCTCGCATTGCATCGAGAGAATGCCGCCCAAGTGGGCATTTCTGAAGCCGCGAGTCCTCAAAATCCAGGGTGACAGGCTGGACTTTGGCTGTGCAGCTTTGTGGGCGAGGCTCTGACCACCCCGTCCAGCCAGCAACGCTCAAAGCCCTCCGCTGATTTCCTGCCGAGATGGAAACGTGCTGCCAGAGGCACGTGGTGCTCGCGACCTGGTGCCAAAAACGGTTGCAGCAAGCAACTTCGCACAGGAATGTCGTAGGCAATTGCTGCAAGATCTGCAAAAGTATTTCCGACTGGTTCACGAGATCGAGACTGTCTGTCAGTGGGATGTACTCCACCTGCGTTGGTTGAGCTATGGACTGACCGGCAGATTGGTGATGGGTCCACCATCAAGCTGGCCTCGCAGAGCGAGCAGCAAAGCTGACACCGTGCTATCCTCGCTGGCCAATGCTGCGTCTTCAACCTGCGCTAGATGGTGTCGAGACACGAGAGGATCTTGTGCGCCAAGTAGGGCACGCATAAGCTGCTTCAGGCACTACGAGCACGGAGATAATGTGAGCATCTTGCTTCAGAAGAAGCCTCGTCTCAGAGCTGGGCTGCACTCACCTCCGCGTCGTCTGGCCTGGCTCGAACAGCGTTAGCGGCAAAGCGGACAGCCTCCTTGATGCTCAGATTGTATGTCGGGCTGTAGCCCTTCTGGAGGATCTTGCTCCACAAGCAAAGTGACTGTGCTGCCCACCTCAGATTGAGGTCGTCCGGTCGCCCGTTGTGAACGAGGGTGCGAGGTCCAGCCCAAGGCATTGCCAGCTTCAGAGCGTAGCACAAGTCCGCTGTCCGTACCCAACCATCCCCGCGAGCTCTGCGGTTGCTCTCCCTAGGCGATATACACTCGCATTGCACTATGTACTGCAAGACCTGCTTGGCCGTTGCTAGCAACACTCTGCTCTTAGCGAGAAGAGACTCTGCATCGGTCGTCTCGCTTGTCCCTGCGGATTCCGAGGAGATATCCGCCTGCACCACTGGAAGCTCGTCATCGAAACGGAAACCTTTGCTCCAGTATGCTCGACTGCTTGTCTGTTCTCGCACTCAGAAGCTTGGCCACAGAGGGCTGAGCTCACAATGCGCTCCACGTGTGCTCGATCTTTCTTTGAAAGCGGTTGTCAGTGCTGAAACGTTGTCTTGACCAGGTTCAGCAGGCGTGGCGTGATCGCTCTGATAGCCGACGAGTTGTGATAGCGGACTACCGCGGCCCGTAAGGTCGGAAGGCGAGGACATGGCGACGAAACGTTGTGGTGGAGGGTGAGGGTGGAAACTTTCGCTCAAATATGCTCAACTACTTGTCTGTTCCTGCACCCAGAAGCTTGGCCACAGCAGGCTGAGCTCACAAGGTGCTCCATGTGTGCCCAATCTTTCTTCAAAAAAGGTTGTCAGTGCTGAACAGTGGTCTGGGCCATGTTCAGCAGGCAAGGAGTGATTGCTCTGATAGCCAACAAGTTGTAACAGCGGACTAGCGCAACCCATTGGGTCGGAAGACAAAGACATGACAAAGAGGGTTGTGGTGGAGGGCAAGGGTGAGGGTGAGGGTGAGGGGGAGGGTGAGGTGGAGGGTGAGGGTGAGGGTGAGGGTGAGGGTGAGGGTGAGGGTGAGGGTGAGGGTGAGGGTGAGGGTGAGGGTGAGGGCGGTTGGAGCGCAAGGATGAGTTGGGTGTTGGAGCTCGATCCTCCACCATCCTGGAGCCGCCACGTCGACTGCGACTGGAGGGAAGAGCGTATAAACGAGGTGGCAGCCGACCGACTACTGACTCACAGACAATTAGCGTATAGGGCCGACCTGAAGCTGACATCCGAGAGCGGGCAGCATGCCTGCAAGCATTAATTTGTGTGCCGTTGCTATCACCTTTTCAAGCAATGACAAGTATGGTCGGACTTTCGTCATCCTTGTCGTGGCCAGAATCACACTCGTTAGCCCTTCACAGGACTACAAACAGGGAACCCACGTCACAGAGAACGGTCAGCTGTCCTTTCGATACTCGCAGCGAAGCTTGCTATACTCGCTTCAACTTCAGCCCGATGACTTGAGATTGCCGCTTTGGCAAAGCACAGTGCATCATCTATGGCAATGTTGTGTGCTTTGCTGTAGCCATTTTGAGTGATTCAAGTCTCCAGGCAGACGGCCTGAGCAGCCCACTCCAGGTTGAGGTTGTCTGGTTGCTCTTCGTGCACAAGCAGGCAAGCCCCACTCCAGGGCATGGCAATTTTGCGGCAATAGTCCAGCTCTGCTGTTGGTAGCCATTGATGCTTAGGCAATATGTAGTTGGCTTCCCTCGGAGGTCTGCATTCATGCTCGACTAGATGTGTCAAGACTTGTCTGGCACGCAGGAGTGCAGCGCTGGAATGGGAAACCCAGTGCTCAGCGCTTCCAGGCCCGAACTTTCCTTGGTGTCCGTATTCTGGTTCTCAGTGACTGAAGCGCCGACGAGATAAGAACCTTACCATGTCGCTTGATGTCCAGCGTGGGCATTAAGACTTGCCGCGTCGATCCACGATGAGTTTGGATGTATGTAAAGCTCTGATGGGAGTCCAACCCTGCAAGGGCGGCTTCTTCGCTGCGGTGAGCCTGTGCTGAACAATTGCACGCGTCCGTTCATGCCCACAAGCCCATGCACTGCGCGTGAAGTCTATTGCTTTTGATCGCATCAGGACGTATAGACTCACAATCGAGCTCACCCAAACACCTGTGCGCATGGCAGAACGATCATTTCTCCATCAGCGCGACCCACCCAGATTAGACCTGGCTTTCAGGATGCCAACGCAGAACCTCATTACCCTCAAAGTGAATACCTGAAGTCTTTTTGATGCAAGGAGCATTGGTACCATGTGGACTGCCAGCAAGACCATCAATGATATCCTGCATTCCCTCATCTTTGATTGTACACTCCCAATCATAGCTGTGGTGGAACAAGACACAGGTCATCATGATCCAGCAATGTACTCACTTCAACATGTCCAGCTGAAGCCAGTGCTAGAGGGATCAGTCTCAGAAGCAGCACAAGACAGAGTGAAGCACTGCAAGTTGAGCTGGAAGGCAAAGCACAAGACTTAGCAGCACCATGACTTGGGATTGTCCCAATATGGGAAGGACCTGAACATATCCACAGACTCCAAAGCTCCCTTGCATGTCACCAGGCACTAGCACTGCTGCATGTGTCTTGCCATGAAGCTCCAAATCTGATCACCTAAAGGCACTCATTCTTTATGGAGTGGTTACCCTCATATGTTGTCAGATCCCTTGCAAGCATGCCCTTCTTTGCACCTTGTATGCTGTTGCTTTGCAGCTCTACTGCTTGCACTGCTATTACTGATATACAGTCCACAAACCCCTGCCTCCATGCCACACCTGGAATTTGCTCAGAGAGACTACTAACCACATACCTCCCTGCTTGCCTCTCTAGAGGGCCCTCCCCAAGCAGGTCCTTTAAGAAATGGCTGAACCAAGCAAATGGGACATAAGGACCATTCCGCAACCCCAGCTTGTTGTTTCTCCTTTGCCATCTTGCACCACTAATCCTCTCTCCTTCATTTGAGAGCATCATCAACTTGGCCTAGCCTCATCACCATAGAACCCCAACCACAAAAATTGCCAACAAGAGAAGATGAGGACCACCAAGCCTCATTGTATCATCTTGCGTCTTGCCCGCGGAATTGCCAAGCAGCGCAAGGCCGCTCGCAGAAGATGAGGACCACCAAACCTCATTGTATCATCTTGCGGGCAAGCTCGCAGAAGATGAGGACCACCAAACCTCATCGTATCATCTTGCACCTTGCCTGCAAGATGAGGACCACCAAACCTCATCGTATCATCTTGCGCCTTGCCCGCAAGATGAGGACCACCAAATCTCATCGTATCATCTTGCGTCTTGCCCGCGGAATCGCTGAGCAGCGCGAGGCCGCTCGCCCGCAAGTGAGTAATAAGTCATGGAGTTTCATTGGGTCTGAGTTGCGCGTGCGTGACAAGCTGTATTGAGATCTGACACTCTTTGCTTCCTTCTTGCTGCTTCAACCATCGCGATGTTCCCAACAGGCAACCACCCCCTCGTCCATCCAAGCCGTTAGCGCCACGCAGCACGACGCTCTCTTCGCCATGCTCGAAGAGGAGGAGCGCCAAGAGGAGGCCCGCATGGCCAAAATAGCGATGAAGATTGCGGTAAATATCCTGATGTCTGTGAGTCTCATCGAGCTCGTGCTCGATTGTTTCCCTGTTGTTCTCGGTTGTCTCTTTGACTGACCATCATCTCTGCTTTGAATGTCCAGCCTTCCAAACGCTTGCTCAAGGAGGGTAATGACAACGACGACAACGATGACAATGATGATGATGATGAGGAGGTGGCCGAAGAGGCCGAAGAGCAGGAGGTGGCCAAAGAGCAGGAGGTGGCCAAGGAGGAGGTGGTGGTGGCCAAGGAGGAGGAGGTGGCCGAAGAGCAGGAGGTGGCCAAAGAGCAGGAGGTGGCCAAGGAGGAGGAGGTGGCTGAGGAGGAGGGGGAGGCCAAGGAGGCCAAGAAGGCCAAGGAGGAGGTGGTGGCCAAGGAGGTCAAGGAGGAGGGGGAGAAGAAGGGTACCAATGATGATGAGGAGGATGATGATGACAATGAGGAGGAGGGGGAGGCCAAGGAGGAGGAGGTGGCCAAGGAAGCCAAGGCGGAGGAGGAGGTGGCCAAGGAGGAGGGGAAGGAGAAGGATACCAATGATGATGAGGAGGAGGATGATGATGATGAGGAGGAGGAGTAGGGGTGAGCTGACAAGCTACTGTGATCTCGATTGTTCTGTTGAGATAGCTTCATCATCTTCAACTCTTGACTCTTACCACACAACATAGAAACTCAACCCCAGGGCCTCTCTCAAGATGCCCGTGCACTCAAAGCTAAAGCCCACCGGCAATGCGGTACACCTACCCGTACGCGTCGCGAAATTCTTCCAACAAGCAGAAAAGAGCATAGGCAGTGACCATCCACTTGCTCGTTGCCAGCTCGAGCACGTCAAGAACAAACTTACAAAGCTCCTCGTCTACAAGAAAGAAGCAAAGCATTTCCACGCATGCAAGGACAACTCTTTGCCCCCCTTTGTTTGCTGACAGTGTCCAGACACTTGCAGTTCAGTCAAAGTCTACAAGCAAGAAGGGAACTGGCTTTGGCCCTCCAGGTGAGCCAGCATGCAAAGCTTGCTGCGCTCATCGACAGTTGTACATGCTCAGTTTGAACTGTCATCTTGCGCGCATGCAGGCTCTGCTCTGCAGGCCTGATTTGGAAGTTGGAGCGTCTGGGCACTGCGACCGGCTAGGGAGCTCAATTACAGTCATACAAAGATGTGTCTGCTTCCTCTGACCCACTCCAAGTCACCTTTTGCTCTTCAATCAAAGGCTGCAGCCTAACAATAAATACTGAATGTGAATGTCACCCTCAAGGAGTGGTGTTCTAAGGCCACGTCAATACTTGTTGTTGCTTGAGGCATGGTGAGCCCAGTCTGTGTGCGCTGCTATAGCTGATGCTGATTGTTGAGCGCAACCAAGTGCTTGCGTGTGCGCGCGTCAGCACTCTACGTACATATATACTTCTGTTGAGAGATTCGGCATTCTTCAGCTCTTACCAGTTACCACATCCTTTCGAAGCTCGTCACTACTAGAGCTCGTCGCCGCACTCAAGAGTACGTCACAACTACGATCTTGACCCCATTTGCGCCATCAAGATGCCGACGGCACGCTCGGTTCCTGTGCCTCGCGCTGTCCCAAAAGTTGACGTCAACGCGGTTAACTTTCCCATTTGCGTGCGAACCTTCTTTGCAGAAGGTGAAAAATCAGCTCAAGGCAACGCTACTGCTCTGCGCCAATTGGCCTACATGAAGAGCGAATATCGCAAGCTGTATGCATTCAAGAGGGCCTCGAAGCTCGCTCACCAAAAGGAGCTTCAAAAAGTTTTCGACCAAGCTGTGAGTACTGTCGCGCCTATGCCCTACAGGGATGATGTGGTTCATTGTCAAGATGTGTTCTGTACATGTACATGATAGGCATGAGGCGCGCTCGCGACAGTACCACTAAACTTCTAGCGCATAGAGCTCGCACTGACTTAACCTTCCATTCGATTGCAGATCGTTGTGATCGAGAAAACCCTTGACGTCAACAAGCGCAAATACATGCGCATCTACCCTACCATGGACGTCCTCGAACAGAAGCGTCACTTCGCCCACCTGGTTCAAGAGATGGAGGTGAGCAACTGTGCCCCATGCAGTGACGTCGTACCAAGCGCTGACTCAATAAGAGAACACAGTCCTTCAATGCACACGTAAAGGCAGTCGGCATTGCAAAGCTCCCAAAGAACGCTTTCAAAGACCACGACAACGACGGCGACTACAACAACGGATGCAACAAGCATGGCAATCCATTGCCTTTCGCTCGTCTCAATCGCAACATGGCGCCAAACCTGAGTTTGTTGTGGTCGTCATTTGCGAGCTTGCTTGCTGACGCCGCATCTGGTGAGTTGCTCTTGTTGCGCACACGTATCGGTACATGCATGAGAAGCTCTCTTCACGCCCCTTCGTTCGTTGCTGACGGTGTTCAAACCCTTGCAGGTCCGTTGACGTCCAAGGTGGGATCTGAATCTGGTGAGTTGCGGTTGTTGCGCACACGTACCGGTACATGCATGAGCGTTCGCTGACGGTGTCCAAACACTTCCAGGTCCGTCGACGTCCAAGGTGGGGACTAAATCTGGTGAGTCGCAGTTGCTGCGCACACGTATTGGTACATACATGCGAGGACAACTCTTTGCGTCCCTTCGTTCGCTGACGGTGCCCAAACACTCTGACTTGCAGGTACAACAAAGTCTTTTGCGAGGAAGGCCCGCTTTGGCAAAGCTTGAAGTCGGAGCGCACATTGCCGACTCACACCACTCTTTCCAAGCTCTATTCTTTCACATCTTGCAACTTTCAGAGAGCTTTGCTCGCAAACCTTGGATAGACATCTTTCACAGTTCGCAACCTTCACTCTGACTTGCAGGTCTGACAAAGTCTTTCGCGAGGAAGGCCCGCTTTGGCAAAGCTTGAAGTCGGAGCGCACATTGCCAACCCACACCACCCTTTCTGAGCTATGTTCTTTCACACTTCGCAACTTTAAGTTTGCTTGCAAAGCTTGGATAGACGTCTTTCACAGTTTGCAACCTTCAGTTTGCTCGCAAAGCTTGGATAGACAAAGTCAAAATTGCAAGCGGTGACGGTATAAAAAAAATGTTTGCGTGACTGGTTTGTAACGCTGCCCAACAAGTTTGCACGGTACGCAAGAATCCAGAGAAACGGGTGTAGAAACTATGCGATGCGAGTAAGAGAGACGCTGTAAAGATTGACGCGAGAGACGGGGCTCCTTCTGTTCCCAGATTTGTCGCACAGCATTTGGTAGTTCAGAGGGAGAGGGTCGAGCTTGCTGTTGTGGACGTACGTACCGCTCAGCTCGAGCTGACCGTTCTGATTGTTGGCAGCAAAGTACTTTTCCGTAGCCGCAATCTGCTGATTCAGACCCATCGCCTTGAAGAAGCAGCCGGGATCGGTAAGGCCGCCGCTGTTAATTGCGTTGGTTGCATCAAAACTCTGAATGTCGCACTTTGTCACCAGCTTGTACGTCGCTCCGCCCACCAATCCACTGACGTATTGCGTCACTTCCGGCACTCCTCCGTTATTGTACCCGGAGAAATAGGCATGGCCACCATCAGGGCTGGGCTGCACACCGGCACCATTGCTGCTGAGTGTCACCCAGTTGTCGGAGGTGGTGAAGAAGGGATTCTTGATGAGGTTCGTCGAGGAGCTGGAAGTAGCCGGCGTGGTGGGTCGTATGGTTTCTGCGCCGCTGCCTTCGTACTGCAGACGAGCGTTGTCGAACAAGATGGTAGCGCTCTCAACGCCCTTCCCGCACGAAAACGCAACGCCCATCTGATTGGGCGCCGCCGGAGGAGGTGGGTCGCTTCCTATGAGAGATGCTGGACCAATATTGAGGAGCTCGTATCGATTGTACTGAGCAGAATTGAAGGTGTAGTACTGGCACAAGTTGCCGTTCATCGTGGCGAGTTCTCCAGTGGTGGACACGACGCACAACTCGATGTTGCACTGGTAGTCGCGCGGGCGGCAAGTTCGACCGCATGCAGAAGCTGGCTTGTCCTTCTTGTCGGTGACACGGTACCATATCCAGGCAGCGTAGGGCAGCGTCCCAGAAGGTGGGTTCCCGGCAATGTCCAGGCCGATGCTCGAGTCATCACCGCTGTCGCCAGAGGGCTGAGAGATCATTCGACTGCAAAATTCAGAGCGAGATCGTCAGTCCCTATCGTGCCAAGAGATGTCAAGACGCCCTGCCCAACTCACGCTGCCCAACCGCCGCTGCGAGCGAGGGGGGTCTGGATGAAAGAGACGCGAGCGGGGTTGCCACTGCGATACCAGCCCCCACCACCGTTCTCGAAGCCGGCTCCAGCACCCAGCAGGTTCTCGTGCTGCTCTTTGCGGGCGACGGTCGCAAGTGGGGCTACTGATCCGTCGACGGGTTTGCCGGTACGATCGGTGTACGCGAACTGAATATCCTTGATGTTGACCGTGGCCGAAGAGTCCGTGATGCAGTGGACGATCATGTCGACACGAGAAATTGTCCCGTCATTGGGCGGTGCGACGACGTAGCTGACCTTGCCGACAGCAAAGGCCGAAGCGCCAACCATGGTCTTTCTAATTCTGAAGCTGTTAGATTCTCCCCGATTGGTCAGCGCATAGATGTCGCATCCAAGGTGCTCCTCGTCCTGACTCAGTATAGCACCCGGCAGCACCTGGTATTAGAAAGTGAATTGGATAGTGTACGAATTGTAAGTTTGACGCTTGCTCAGCTCGCCGCGCTTCTGAGTTCCTGCAGACGCGGGTATATCCCTGCCGAAAGATGCGTCCTGATCGGCGGCGGCGGCTTGTACCGACTTGTCACCGTTGACGTCGGTGCATGACTACCTTGACGGCACCCGTGGATGTCCACACTCCGAGGCCGTTCGAGAAGTCATCCAGGCGGGTGACGTGAGCAGGCACAGGCTTGAGCGTGGAGCCGCCGCCACCTCCGCTCGGCGGGGTGGTGGAAGAAGCGGCGCATTTACCCGCGGTACAGATGTTGCTTGCGCAGCCGATCTGCAGACATTCAAAGAGCGATGCGGAGTAGCAAGGAGATGAGCGGGCGCAGAAACAAGACAAACGTCAGATGCTCCACTCACGTTCTTGTAGCAGGCCTCGCCTACGGCAGCTTTGGCAGCGCACTTGGAATTGCCGCAGTAGCCGGAAGCGCAGGAAGCGGAAGCCTTGCAACTCTCGCCGACAGAGCCGAGGCATTTGCCAGCCTTGAGGTCGCAGCTCTTCGACTTGCAACCAACGTTCTTGTAGCAAGCACCTCCCACGCCTTGAATGGTAGCGCACTTGCTCTTGCTGCAATATAGATTCGTCTTGCACTGTCCCGAAGTCGAGCACTTTTTGCCCTTGCTGAGCGTGCCGCCTGCGGTAAGCACTTTGACTTGACGCTCGTTCAGCAGCGCATCTGCGTCCGTCAAGCTAGATGGCGCTGCACTGACTGCGGAGAGTGGTGTGGCCAGGGCCAGGAGAGCGCAAAAAGGAGCAAAGCGCATCGTGAAAAGGTCTGGAGGGTGGAGATGCTGTGGGAGAGCTTGAGGGGAGCGAGTCAGTCAACGAAGAGTGCCGCCCATCATGGCTAAGCTTTATACTTTCGAAGGACACGCCATTCTGAAGTGCCTCGAAGGCCCGCCCAGGCGCCATCGTGACTGCTGGTTGCTGTATGCTGTATTTCAGTGCGAGATGTCGCTGGTAGCGCAGGCAAGAGCCAAGGACAGCGAGAGCAGTGGGGGTCTAGGCGCGTCTCAGCCACCGTTTGTTGCGCACCGGGAAGCAGACCTTCGTGTGCGCATATGGTGTGGCATTTCGGACGCGGGGATCAGCAACGCCGAGGATACCGATCTCGTGGGAAAGCTGTATAGCGATACGAGCATGCAAGCAAGCAAGCCGGGCCCATGATCTTGATGCAAAGGTGATGATTGTGGGGGTCATCGGGAAAGGAAGCCTGGCCTCTCCTGTGTCCCAATTTCCGGCTTGTGCAGCAAGGATGCGCGTGAGGAGACGTACCCAACGCGTCAGCCAGGAGCAGCACAACACCTACGCGTGGTATCAGACATCAACACCTCACGCAGGGACGCGACGCGTGCATCAGATGAGATGCATGCATGCACCCGCAGGAAGCGCGTGTGATGTGTGGCTTTCGCGATCGAGCTAGCTATAGCATCATGCAGCAAACAAAGCTGATGCGCGCCTAATCGATCCTTCAGCATCATCAGCTAGCTACGGCAGACACATTCACGGTTGCGGTAGGTACCGGTATACATTCGTGCTTCATACAGCGAGATCTCCATTATTTCGCCATTCACCATGCACCGGTTGATCGTGGTACAAGGTGATGCAGCATCACTCATACGTGTCTTGGCCCCTCGCGGGCGTTCCAGTGGATCTCCTCTAGGCGCTCCGCAGTGCAGCTTCCCAGATCAGTGAGTAGCACATCGGGAGCCTTCGCGTCGTATACCCCGAGCAGACTCAACCTATTTCCGTGTCCAGGGATCAAAAGCTTCCCTCTCGAGTACAGAAGCGTGCACGAAATCTTTAGGGCTTGGCCACGAATTGCAACGCCCGGTGTGGAGGCGCGTGGCCTGTCATGCCTCCTAAATTCCACTGCGTGTTCTGCCCAGGAGCTACTCTTCCTACTCTGAATGTACTCTGTACCGCTGGATTGGAAGCTTGCACTTGAATGGTCTTGCACAAGGAACCGGCTTTTGGTACCTCTTATGTACCTGCCGCGGGAGCCTCAGGGTGGCTGAGGGGTCTGAGCGGAGCTGAGCTGTTCGATGCATGCATGCACGCTGCATCGGATGGTGTGTGATGAGCGTGGTGAGCCCACGGGGAAAGCAAGACCGTAGATGCGTCCCAAAAGCTCGGGCTGCACGCGTGCATTCACCACGGCTCCTCGACAAGCTCCCAGCTCCAGCTCCAATGGACACGGATCGTGATTCACAGCAGCTGTCCGCGCCTTGAGATGCTTTCATGAACAACATGTCTACTCAAAAGCAAATATCGTGAAGCGTGGACGCTAGAGTGTTGCCTTTGCCGCCGCTTAGGCCACCGTCCCCCTGCTGTTGCAACACGGGTGTCGTTCCATCAGAGCGCGCGTGGCTTGCAGCTCGCATCTATTCTTCAATCACGAATAGCATGCTCAGCTTGCTTCTCGATCGCGCTGCACAACAATCAAGCGCAAGGCATACGTGCATCTCGATGCTGCAGGCAGCGGTCTGGGTGTTAGCTTCAATCATAGACGCAAGAGCTGCGGTGCCGAATCCAGACTTTAGCTTCACCTCACTCGCCACACAGCCGGCGATCGGACAGATAACCTATCAAGGTGGGCTCACTCGGCATCATCGGACCGAATGGCGAGGAGCTCAAACGATCACCTTACCGCACCTGCGGCTGTGAGAGCTCCAGCCGTCTGATCTAGCATCTCGTACAATGGCGAGACCGCGAGTTTCTACTGGAAAGCTCAGGGTTGTATTTATGTATAGATGCGCAGTATGAGACACGCCGCGGAGCCATGGTCGTTAAGAATGGTACATTCGAAGGCGTAGCGAGTTGCGAGCTGCAACGCAGCAGACCGCTGCAAATTCGTTCGATCGGAGGATTGATAAGCGTAGCGTAGCAATGCCCCATTGTGAGGCACGGGGCGACCAAAGGTCTCTTACTCCCAGTCGTCATCGGCCCAGATTGCAGTCTTTGGCACCGCACCATCAACGCTAGACATGTACGCTCTGTTCATGGTGGTGGAATTCAGGGCAAAGGCGATCGTCCCATCCGTATCCACTCCAATGAACCCTCCAACCCCTCCAACATCTCCTAGCGCATCGACCGTCTTCCGCGTAGCCACGCTCAGCGGCTCGTTCAAGAATTGCGCGCGATGGGCAAGGTGAGAGGCGGCGCTTATTCGAAGAAAGTAATCGCCGTCTCCCGTGCCGGAAACCGCAAGTCCTCGACGACGCTGCAAAGTGCCGTTGGAAGAAACAAGCGTAGGCGTCGGGCTGGGCTGCGATGAGCGGGACTTTTCGCTAGAAGCAGTGGAGGGAGCGGAAGGAGAGCGTTCCAAGTCTTCTTCAATCTCGATGCTGCGACAGCAGAACAGGCGCCGAACCATCGCGGCCCAGCTGCCTTTCGAGGTCTCCCCAGAGCTGTCCGAGCTTGCGCATTGAGACGTCTCGCTACTGGCCCGCATACCAAGCTGGAAATTGTCGCTTGGAGAAACCTCGGCTGATGCTTGCACCGCCCACTCCTCTGCCCAGAATCCGGCACCGGGCGTTGGCGTATCTCCAATGCGGCCTTGCATTTTGTTCGTCTTTCCGCCCGTAGAGGTAGCACACGCTACCGTCCCGTGCGAGTCGAGAGCCACGGCTCCCACTGTGCCTTGCGGCAATGAAGCAGGGTCGAAATCATCTTCGTCAGTCTCCATGCTCGACCTCGGCTGATGCTCGCGTAGGGATGCATCATCGTGAATCGACATTGATGGGGTCTCGGGCCCCGCGCTCGAGCCCGACGACTCGAATGAGGACCTCTTGCAGCTCTGTGTGTCCGAAGATCGGTATAGCGATGGTGTCTGCTCAGAGTAAGACGGCGGAGGGAATTCGTGGTGTCGCTCTCTTTCGCTGTCCGCACGCAAGCTAGAAATGTCAACCTCCTGCTGATGCTCTGCGAGATATGACAGATCATCAGAGAGCCCCAGCCCCCGTCTGTGCTCGAGCCACCTCCTCCGAGTCCAAAAGTACGAGAGAGGAGCAGGTCGGGAACCATGAAGCTTGAAGCCGAGCACCTCTGCTTCCGAAGACGAAAGGTACGGATGAGGAACTTGGGCAGGATTGAGATAGAGCGCTCTGACCAGTTGAATTGGATTTCGAGCATGGCGCAAGAGCGTAGCTGACATGCAGCGCCGATGTGGTGGGATCGATTGTGAAGGGAGCGGAAGAATGGCTGCGTCTCCCATTGGAGCGGAGGAGCGAAGGGTGCTAGCTTCCTTTTCATCTTGGGAGAAGGTCGTGTCGGTGGTGTGAGGTGGTCTGGAGGTCATGACTGAGGCCAAGGATTCGGTCAGCATATGCTCGATAGCCAAGCAGCTTCACCTACACAACTCACTGCTCGCTTCCATCTCGATGTTGCCGTGCGCATTGAAGACGGCGCCTCTGCCAGCATTGAAGTTTTCGTCATCCTCCATCGCCGAGACTGCAGCCGTGACAGCGTCCAGGGCCGAGCCGCCTCTTTCCAGCACCGCATAACCTTTGGCGAGCGCGAGACGCATGCCCTGTCTATACGCCGCCTCATCCCGACTGCTCGGAGATGCGTTGCCTGCACCGCCGTGAATGACCAGGGTGATGGGCGGTCTGGTATTGTCGGGCGCATGAGGGCGATCAGGCTGGCTGGCCTTGGTATGACCTTGCTGGGGAAGTAGCATTTTCGTAGACAGTCCTCTTCTAGAATCGCAGCAGGTACTTGTGAAAGGCGGGACACTCGATGCAGGAATGCTTCTCGTTGGAGAGGCGATCGAGCCGTCAGCCGAGATCAACAGCTGCGGAGTACGACGCAATCGATACAGCACGTCGCAGCAAAGTCGGAACAGCGATCAGGCACTGGGTGTCGCCGATGAGGCGTCTTGACTTCTGATGACTCTATCGGCGTTGCGAGGTTGTATTCAGGTACGGCGAAAGGAGTGCAGCAGGAGAGGGCATCTGCGGAGGAACGCGTGACGGAGGTGGATTGGGTGCGGCTTGGGGGACACTGCTTGTGCCCTGGAGCCAAGACCGACAGCTCCCAAGGAGCTGTTGGCTGCGTTCTGAGGGCCGGCAGAAAGGAGAGGCGCGAGCGGAGCGCTAAAAGCGTGAAAGCCAGAGGGAATAAATGGACGCATTGGAGGGAGGGTGTCGTGGGAGGCCAAGATTGCGATTCGCGCGCACGATGGCTCCCCATGGCATGCCTGCTGCAGTCGTGAGTACCGGAGTGTGCTCGCACTCAGCAGCAGTCGTGATGGGTGAGGGGCCGCTGCTGCTGCGCACTTTTGATGCGTCACCGCCACGCCGCCCCTCTCGTGCGATACGCAGGCGCGTGCGCACAGACCCTCCCGCGGAAATGCGAAAGGAAGGACCGGGCCGCGCAGATGCCACTGAGCCGATGCCGAAGTGCACACATGCAGGTACAAAGCAACAATGCGTCGCTCCATCACTCTCATCTCCATCACATCACTCCTGGACTTCATCTCATACTTTTCGCTCGCACGCGCATCGTCTAAGGACTACGCAGGATTGGGTCAGCAGCGATCATGGCGAGAACAGATCTGACCATTCTCGGCGCTTCCGGCTTCACTGGCAAATTGTGAGTCGCACCCCGATGACTCCTTGCAAGCGCAGCGAAGGCAGACAGATCCTCACTCATGGCCACACTCATGTCCCAGTGTCGTTGGCGAAGTCGCTTCTCGACCGCCTGTTCCCGCACAACAGCTGACTTGGACGCTGGCAGGACGCAACAAGGCTCGACTGGAAAAGGTTTTGGCAGAGTATGCAGGGCAGATCGAAGCGACTGGGCTGGCCAAGCCCAACCTCGTCATCGTCGACACGTCAGACGAGGATGCGCTGGAAGAGTTGGCAAAGGGCACAAAGCGTGAGTTGAAGAGTGAGCGCAGCTTGCATGCGTGTCATGGAGCTGACGTCAGCCGCTGCTACACCTCTTCTCGCTCTCGCGCAGTGATCCTCAATTGCGTTGGACCCTACGCAAAGTATGGACCGCCTGTGGTGCGCGCCACCATTCGAGCGTCGCGCCAATTGAAAGCGCAAGGGCAGAACGCTACCGACTATGCGGATCTGAGTGGGGAGCCGGGCTTCATCGAGGATGTGAGCGTGATCTGTGTGCTTGCGCGCTTTCGCAGCAGGTCATTGCATGCTGACACTCGCTACCTCACCAATGCAGATGGTCCTCAAATATCACGCCGAGGCGGAGGAAGTCGGATCAACGCTGGTACCTGCTTCCGCCTTCGATTCTGTGCCTTCGGATATGGCCGTGGAGGTGTGCAAGCAGGAGCTCATCAGGCGTAACGCTGTGCCCGCATCGGTCGAGATGTTCTTTGCCCTCAACACCGGCGGTTTGGTACCTGGCGGGTGAGTTTGCTGTGCCAACAAGCTGGCGAGTTTATCATTCAGTGAGCGCTGAATTGTCTCACACCCCTTTGTCATCGTGCCGCTGCAGAAACTTCGGAACGTATGCCTCTGCAGTCAATGGCTTCGCCTCACGCGATACGCTCATACGCACGCGCAAAGCGCTGTACGATAGGCCCGCAAAGGGCGACAGGCCGGCCTCGACTGGATTGCTGCCGACTCCCAAACCTCAAGCCAAGCAGCTCGGCTTCCCTAAGCGAGGAGGCATCCTCAAATGGGCGAGCGAAGTCAACGCATATCTAATACCTTTTATCTTTGCAGATCCCGCAGGTGAGCCCGCGTGCGATCGAGCTGGTGTCACTCAGAGAGCTGCAAACTGATTCACGTATCCATTCCACTGCCAGTCGTGCGCCTCACGCAGAGCTTGCAGTACAAACAAGCAAAGCAGAATGGTGCATCTGCAAACAATCCCAGCTTGACGCCCATCATCTTCAAAGCCTGGGTCGAAGTGCCTTCTCTGCGCATCCTGCTCACCCTCTTCTTCTACGGCGCCCTCTTCACCCTCTTTGCAAAGTTCGAAGCGGGCCGCAACATCCTGCTCCAGCATCCGAAACTATTCAGCGGTGGCGTCTTTTCCAAAGAGGTGAGCACGGCGACAGGTCGATGAGCATTGTGAAGTGGCATCAAGATCGGGGCTGATCGAGAGCTCCGAATTGCTTCTCCGCACTGCGCAGGGACCTAGCAAAGAGCAAATCGACGCATCGAGCTTCACCAGCACCTTTGTGGCTCGCGGACACTCTCATGAAGTGCTCAAGGGGACAAAGGGGAATGCTGGACCAGATGTCAAACTCAGTGCGTTCCGCTGTGTCGCTGGCGTTTTCATATGTCCTGCGCAACATCGCTGACCGCTTCAAGCTGTTCGTGATGCCCTACTCTGCCTTGCACGAGCAGCGGTCAAGGTGACTGGACCCGAAGTCGGTTACGTGGCGACTCCCATACTCTTTGTGCTAGTTGCAAAGATTATGCTGAATCAACGCGACAAAGTCAGTCCTTGCGTCGCGAAAGGCCGACACTCATGCAGGTGCTGATGCTGACTGATACCAAACTGATGCAGGTCCACAAGGGCGTACTGACTCCCGCAGCCGCCTTCAAGGACACTTCGCTGGTGGACGAAATCAGCAAGGATGGTCGTGTGAGGTTCCGCGTGATCGAAAATTAGGTCCGAAGGGCGCGACCACCTTGGCCGATCTGTCACTTGGCTTCCGAGAACGACTCGACCTTCGACGCCCCTGTCAATACTTGTAGTCAATCACCGATCTGACCTCAATCAGATAGCAGCTTGTCCACTTTGCTGCCACTCAGTCTCGGCATCGCCTCGAAACGTCTTGGAATTGCAATGCGATCGGTGCATACCAGCAAAATTTCTACACTAAGAAGCTGCTGGCCTTTAGTACGCGGGGTCGTCGACTGACCCTCAGAGGTGCGGGCGAATCATGGTGAGTTTGGCGGCGTCCATAGTGCCAAAACATCGTGACTAGAAAGGCCGAAATGCACGCGTCAGCATCGCCACCGGTCCAATGCTTGCCGCTTTCGCTTCTTCGCACTCACCCCATTTCTCGAATCAGAGCAGCTTTGAGCGCATTATCTCGATCCTCTCTAGTCTGTCTAAACTCCTCGCCCAGTTCGGTGGCGACCTTGTTCAGTTGCGCATTGTGTTGCCTCGCAATTCTTAATTTGGCCTTTTCGACCAGATAACGTCTGCGGGAGTATGCGCTCGCCTCGATCGTACTGCCGCTCGCGCTCGTGTCGCCGTTGTCGGCCGTGGGCGGAGCAGATTTTGAGCTGGACCTCCTTCCTGCTCGTTTGCCATCCTCGTTCAAGTCCAGCGTATCGCCAGCTGCCGGCCCCAAGCTCGGAACGCTCTTCTTTCGCCGACTTGACGAGCCTTGCGCTCGCTCACCTTCCCACCTCTCGCGAGCTCGCTTGATCCACTCCCGCCTAGCAGTCGTAAGCGTGGGGTCCATGTCCGCTTCCCAAATCTCCTCTTCAAACACCAAGAAATCCGCATCGCCGGGCTGTGTCGTAGGGTCCACTTTTCGCCTTTTGATGCCTAGATCTTCGTCTGTCAGTCCGGTCGAGGAGGAGGAAGGAGCTAGCCAGCGGGACTCGTACGTTTCGGGAATGCCATCGCTATCGCTCCACTCATCCGCTGCCGGCGCCGCCTCTTGACCTGTCTCCTCCACCCCAGCACCAGCACCACCGGCAGATTCATCGGGATCTTCTTCTTGCTTGACTAGCCCTGATACGCTGGCATTCGCTGCTCGCGTCTCTGCCAGCTTCGCCGCTCGCCCGGTTTGCGGCACCATGTCGTGATGCACTCTCATGTGCTTGTGCAGCGCATCAGAGCGAGTAAAGGACTTGTCGCACTCTGTGGTCACAGAAAGCAGCAAATCTGAGTCAGCTTGCCCTCTGATGAGAGATGTACTCTGCTGCGACAGCTTACCTAGAGATGGGCACACGAACGGCTTCTCCCCCGTGTGAGATCGAATGTGGGAGATGAGAGCGAAACGGCTGGTCTGCGCTTTGCCTCTACGTCCACAGCCGATCCATTCGCACGCATACTTGTTCTTGTTGATACCGATGTGCGCTGCAGGCGCGATAGGGAGCGGTTGCCGGGAATGAAGAGGTCAGCGGAACAGGAATGCAGAGGTCACATCTATCTCGATGTGGATGAATCAGAAAGTTTCGCTCCAGTCCATCGTCCGTCGCCCGAGTACCCAAAGCCGCCGCACCCCTGCGCTGCATTCGCGCCCTCTGCCTTTAAACGCAGCGCCACCAAATGTACCGCACTCACTATTGTGTATGTGCTCCACGAACGGCACCAAACTGTGGAAAGTCTCTCCGCATCCTTGCCAATTGCACTTCGCCTCTCCCTCATCCTGCGCTCCGCCTCTGCCATCCTCATCCTCTTCGCCATCGGAAGTGGAAGAGTGTCTCTGACGCGAAGCATTCATTCCCTGCGCTGATGCTTTTGCCTCGATGGTCGATCCTCCATGCACGCCCGCTACCACTCCATGATCCCTGCATCGCCTATCATGCTCCTCATCCTCCGACGTGCTCACGTCCGAGTAGATTTCCATGGGCGGAGCAGCAGCACCAGGAGCACCGGATACCGCGTCTGATGATGGGGCATCCACCGCATCTCTCGTAGGAGACGCTTGGCCGCCGCCGGTGGTCTTGGTTTTGGTTTGGGTTTTGGTATTGTTGGACAGCGAATTGATGGTGGGCTTTGAACGAGATGATGCACCTATGACATCAGCCGTCGCATCTCGAGCCGCTTCTTGCGCCTCTCTTCGCGCATCTCGCACTTCCCTCTGCACCTTTGTGAGGCGAGGCATGGTGATGCTGTGGGTGCAGTGCGAATGGGAGCGGCCGCTGCTGCCAAGATGTGGAAGCGGTGAAGGATGCGTGCGTTTGCTGGTCAGTCGAGCGTTGCGTAAAGGAAAAGCTTGGCAGAGCCAACCACGCGCGCCAGCAATCCAGGTAAGCTCTGTCGAGGCAGGTGGCAATCAGAATGATAGGCACTGCACGTGCTGAAGCTTACACGTTGGGAAAAGGTCAGACTGGTCGATGCTAGAAGCGTGCAGGCCTGCTGGTGGTGTGAGCAGTCGCCGTCGCGCACTCATCAGACTCAATTCCATCTCGCGGCGCGTGGAGCAGCGTGTGCGAGGCTGCGATGCGCGGAGTTCCATCAGCGAATGGCGTGCATGCAAGCTTCCTCCACGCGCAGGCAGCACATGGAGCGCAGCGAGACCGGCGCACGCGACATCCTTCGAGGCTTCGAGTCAAAGTCACGAGTGAAGCATATATCGCCCAGCGTAGTCCTTAGTGGGGTGTGTGTTGGAATGGGAGAGCGCACGACCAGAGCAGCCTCGAGACGCGAGTCCATATTCGAAGCTGGAGTGGGACAAGTCGAGCGCGTGGAGCGCGAAGCAACACTCTTCGTGAAGGTAGGCCTCTGGCACAACGCAACAGCAATTTTGGAACGATCGGCAGGCCATGACCTCGACTGTTACTTCGTCAAGCCTCTTCGACGCTAATGTGTCAGCGCTTGCAGAACGCAGGGACTATTTGAAAAGCGCTGCTATCTCAGCTGAGCCTACCGCGAAGCGCGTCGTGGGACAAGCGTGCGAGCCTCATTGGGCAGTTGCATGCTAGAGCGCGCAATGCCTCAGGCTCGATGGGGCGGTCTCCGCAGCCCAGAGTAGCGATCCAAGTAAAGCATCGGCTGTGAAATCAGGTTGATTGCATAGGCACCTGATTGGCGTAGGATGTACAGGACCGGTGCTACTAGACAGTCCAAAGTTCCTTCGGAGCACGACTGCCACAGCTGCCCCCTCGCAGCAGACATCACTTTGCCAATTTGCCCTCGGCCCAGCCCTTCGTCTTGCTTGCCATCCTGCGGGTGGACAAGTATATGAAGGGGGAGATGGATGCTTGGTCAGCGTTACTGTGCAGCATGGCGTCGAGCCTCTTCACTACAGGTACTTAGGCGACTCTACCCGGAGTGCCGTGGCATCGATACAGTGCGCCAAGCTGCGCTGCACACGGCGCGTCTCTGATTCTGTGCACACAGACGCTGCTCTTCTCCCGTGTTCCGTGCAACAACCGCTCGCGTACTCACTCGACGGCAGCAGCACCCCAGTCCTCTCCATGGTTGTGCGCATTCGCTCCAATCCCCGATCTCTGCTTTGCCTGTTCCTCCGTAAGCGCAGTGAGCACACCTAGGATGACGGGTACGTTGGTGTCAAGTCCAATCCTCATGAGACCGTGCACGCAAGCTTCGGAGATGTATTCAAAGTGCATGGTAGAGCCTTTGATGAGCACGCCAATGGAGATGATGGCGTCGAGCGGACCGGATGAGGTTTGAGATTCGGGCTTGGAATCTTCCCCGTCCAGCAGCGACGTGGCACCCATCAGATCCGTCGCTGCCGACGAAGCTTGAATTTGGGACGCAGCGATCATTCTGGTGAGATGATCACAAGGTCAAACGCGGCACAATGCACGTCAGCGAGGCTGCGATCTATCCGTCGCGCTCGATCGCCCCGTTTGGCCGTCGCTCGACCGGCTTACCTGCTCGTTCCGTGAGGCAGCTCCCAACTACCAGGCACACTTTCGATGTGAATGTTTTCCTTCTTCACACCTGATTTGAGCAGGCTATCCACGCTCCCCTTGACCAGCGCATCGATGCACTCTGTGTTCCACCTGGCATGAACGATGCCGATCCTCAGCGTAGAAGCGAGAGGGAACGAGGTTGGGGCTGCAGCCGGGCGCTTTTCCAACATCTTGAGGCGAGATCTTGCAGGCGAACAGCTGCGGTGTGGATACCGAGGATGCGGTGTGATTCTTATGATCTTCCTTTGAGCTCGATCGTGATGCAGGACGAAGGAGGTACAGATGAGGATGCAGCTCTTAATTGGATCTGTGCTCGAGCGTGCACAGACCTCGCCAGCCCGCAACGCCGCGCCCTCGCGCTCGTGGAGAAGTCACGCGCGGGTCGATGCGCTCAATGAGCAGCAGGATCGCTTAATTGGCGCTGCCATTTTCGCACGAGAGGAGACGCGGCTGCGCTTTGGCGGAGTGTGAAAGCCCGCGTTCTTGCGCCGGCGCTACATATTGCAGCCATGCAAGCGTGGTGCATCGCGCGGCACAGCCACAACACCTGCAGGCGCGGGCTGTGATTTGATCGTTGATGGATGCGCAGCCCGCGCGGGTCTCCATGGGCGGTGAGGCAGCAATTAACACTTGACTGAATGAATTGCCCTTTTGGGTCGCCGACGCTCCTCTTGAAGTTGTCGGCGGACTTGATCACAGTCAAAAGTCTGCAATTCAGAAGCAAGAATCTGTGAATCAAGTCAAGTGGAAGCAAAGCACCAGGGGACTTGCGGCGCTGTTGCTGCTGTTCGAAGCTACAGCTAGGATTTGATTCTTGATTGTGATCGGCGAAAGTCTGCAGTCAGTCAGCCGTCGAGTCTTATATATAGTCGTGAGTCTTCTAAATCACGACTAGTCCCACAACGTGCGAGAGCGAGGTCATCCAATCACTTGATCGCCTTGTTCTCGGTCACATTGGTGGACCGCTCAGCCAGCAGCACCAGGGCCCAGAAGACTCACGGATTAGAAGGAAATCTCGTCAAGCGTTTCAGTAGTGATTGCGTCGCGTACGTGCACCAGCAGCATGCGCGCATCTCATAGCAGCAGGCAACCCGCCGCGCTTTGCGAAGAGGGGGATCCGTTCGCGGATCGAAAGGGTAGCGAGAGCAGCGTGGAGTGCGAGGAGCAAGATGAGCGCTCATCTCCAGCGACCGACACGCTGGTGAAACAAATGGACAGTCCTGCAGTCAGAGTAGCAGTGGCAGCAGCTCAGCAGCCCGCAGTCGCGCCAGGGCACAACAGTCGCAGCAGCTCTGATCGCTCCCAAGGCAGGCGCTCGACGGGGACTTCATCAAGCGTCGGAGCTGGAGAAGGCAGTTGGTTCTTTTCATCCAACTCGCGCGATGTGCACTTCGCAACAGAGAATCGACGAGCCAGCAGACAAGCCAGCAAAGAAGCACATTCGCAGCAGCAGCAGCAGCAACCGCATCACCACCCGCGAGTGCATTTCAGGGAAATGGATCGCCACACCGATGCTGTGGCGGCACAGGGTAACATGAACGCGCGGCCCGATATGAGCGCGAGCGATCATGAGAAGGAGCAGATCCATTTGGCCGCCGAACACCTCGCAATTGGCAGCCAGGCGAAGGGGCAACACTCGCTCACGAGCGGCGCCTCCGCAACCAAAGCATTCTGCGTGGTCGCACATGATACGCCTGCCGACCACCTTCCAATCACACCTGAAGCCTCGCCAAAGACAAAATCGCACGCATCCGAGCCAAATGGCGAGTTTGAGCCAGACACTTTCAACGATGCGCAAGCATTCGACTCGTCTCGATCTCCCAACTACGGGACATTCGAATCGCCCAGCTCGTCCAGCTCACATGCCTCACCTGGCAAAGGTCAACATCAACATCAACCAAGTCGAGCATCTCGCGAGAACCCCAGTCACGGTAGGGTAAGCGGCATGCACGCGTCTTCGGACTCGAACTACAGCAACACCCTCCTCGGCCGGTATGGAACGGAGCCCATCGACGGTTACCTGAACATCAGTGCAAGGTGCGTTGCTCAAAGTGTCAGCTTCCGTAGTCACTTCGACTTGCTCATCACGCTGCTCCTGAATGCAGACGCAATGAGGTGACTCGCACATTCAGCCTTTCGCCGTCGACTTTGGCCAAGCTCTCGCTTGCGCAGCTTTCTCACATTCTCGAGCTGGACTTGCCCCTCCGACAATCGAGGTGGTGGGCTCCAAATCGCAAAAAAGGTTCTCGAGCTGGCAACATCAACCGCTTCAGCACCACCAACGGCGCTTCGCCTCTCAAGGCCGGCTTGCTGCCCAGCAATTGGATGCAAAGCTTTGGAGAGAGGTTGCTAGCGCCGAGGCTCGAGCTCTGGGTCGCACACACCCCCAAGCATCCGTATCCGAACGATGCTGCTTCTCTGCACTCGGGACGCGCCTCGCCTGCCCTGTCTGGTCCTCCCGGTGCTACGCGGCGTAGTGGCCTCAGGCACGCTGCTTCCTTGACTCGTTGGTTTCGAATCGACTAGTTTCAGCTTGGCGCATCATCGCGAGCCAGCCACGGAAACGCCCTCGAAGCCACGCTGTATGCAGCGCTGGTTCATGACTTCTTCATGAGTCATGTAGAGAATGGGCAATGGCTTTCGCTCGTGGTGCGCGACAGTGGAGCTGGGCCGCCGAGCGAAGGCGCTGAAGACAGAGGACCTACTGGTCTGACGAGGCTGGGCAAAGGTTTGAGTCGGCTTAGTCTGAACCTGACAGAGCTACTCGGCGGCCTGGAGAAAGGCTACTTGAGTCTCAGCGGCGATGTCGAAGCTCAACGTTCGCGCCACGAGGAATCGCGACCACTTTTACCTACGGGAGACGTCAGCCCCACCTTTGACGTTGCTCACAATGGCAAGCAAGCTGGTCGAGCTGATGCGCTGAATAGTCTCGAGGGACGCGCGGAGCCAGCAGTGGTGGTGCACTCCGACGTGAGCGACATGAGCGGAGATGACTCCGACGATCAGGATAGGGATAGCGAAGGAAGGCATGCTCGGATGAGGCGCAGGGAACGTCGCAAATTGATGCTGCGCAAAGCGGCCAGGAAGGCATCGACAAGAGAGATGCAGGAGCAGCAACGTGCGAGGGAACTTGCCAACGCGGCAGAACAAGAGGAAGGCGACGAAGCGGGTTATGGTCGACGAGGTGTCCTGGGCACGATTTGGAGAGCATTGACTGCTACGCCTCCGCCATCGCCCATGCACATCGCCAGAGCCGCAAGGGAGGATCCCTTTGTCGACCCAGCTCATCAATTGCTCCGACTGAGGTCTCCACTTGCCAGTTCGGGTCTCGATCTCGAAGCACAGCAAGCGCCTCGTCAAAATGCGATAGCTGAGCTGGCAGCGCGAAGGGAAGCTCGTCGTGCTGCACGACTTCCCCTCGTGGCAGACGTCGGGCCTCGAGGACAGCGACAAGGTGCACCATCTTCTGATCCACAGCGGCCCGATTCTCCCATCGGAGCTAGTGGCGCAGCGTTGAAGCGCAACAGCTCGATCATGGAGACTTTACGTCGCGCTTTTGCGCGCACGGCACCCTTGCAGGCCCAGCCAGAGGAAGTCAGCTACGAGCGATTCTCGGAGGATAGAGCTGCTTTGAGTCAAGCGCGCACCATACCCATCGGAGCCGGACCTAGATCTCCTGAAAGAAGACTCGGCAGAGCTCTGCAAGCAAACGATACGCGGACGAACACTCCGATTGCATCGCCGCTTCGTGGCGTTACTCCCATGCCATCACCGCTTCCGCCTTCACCGGTAGACTCATGCACCGACCCTTTTCGCCCTGCAATCTCGACCGATGCAGTCGAGAGCATCACTCCGCCGACAACGCCGCCTCAAAAGCTGGGCGTCGAACAAACTAGACAAGCCTCGGCGCGCCCAGATTTGAAAGGGAATAAGCTGGGCATCGACAAGACGCTGCGGATCGACGAAGAGGTGGAAGAGCTGCGCACGCCCAAATCAGCTCGATTTGCACCCGTATCCTCGACCTTGAGTCCCAGCACCCCTATCATCGCATCGAGATCGATGGATCTGAACCGTCCAAAGGCCCCTCAAAAGTTGCCGTCGCTGGTCAAGAGGAGCAAAAAGGAGTCGAAACCTGAGCCGGAAGAATTCGATAGAGCTTCTTCCATCTTTGACCCGCCGATGCCCATCGGTCAAGTCGTACCGCCCGTACCTGGAAGACCTGGCAAGGTGAGTTGGCAGTTCAGTCCAGGAATCAAGGCGAAGCTATCTGAGCTGATAGCCCATCTTTGTGATCTGCAACTCATCGACATTGCAGTTTGCCGAACTCGATTGCGACTGAGTCGCGAGAAGCGATCTGTGCGAGCTTGAAACTCCTGCATTGAACCTCGGGTTACCTCTCATCCCCCCCCAGGGCTAGTCATACGCTACGCGGGCCTTGTACTGGCTCCGTTTGAAGCCTTGAATCGCACCCAGAGCGCGGGCTGATGCTACGCCTTTGACGTGCCACCTTCACCACTTGCATGCATGCATTGAGACGAACCAGATTACATTTGCCTTTGCGTCGTACCAATATTTCGGCGCGAGGTGCATTGCCATACATCTCGCTTTCTGGAGTTGCAGCGTGTTTGAATGCGTTCGAACTAGATCATACCCCACCATCTATCGCGGGGTGAAGTCTCCTAGCGCAGCACCCAGCTTGATCTTCTGGCCAGGAGTAATGGTAAAGGCAAACTCTTCTGGTGCTTCGAACACCAGCACGACCGTCGATCCCAGCCTGAAGCCGCCCATTTCTTGTCCTGGTAGCAGAGGTTGTCCTCCCAGCAATCTGGAAGCGGAAGAATACGAAGCCTCAGAGTAGGTGCCTGCCAGAGCTCTTTGGTCGCGGACGTTTGTGCGCAGCGCTTTGTCGAAGGAGACGACGATGCTGCCTACGTTCGTTGCGCTGTGACGGCAAAGACAAGGGACAAGTGTCAATGTGTCGGGTCACCAGCATATAGCCACGCCTGTTGCGCGATGAAGTCTTACCCGACAGGAATCATGCCAAAGAAACCGTGCCTCCACCTCCCAAGCATCGCTACTCGCTCGTTGAGAACAAAGAGGTTAGACAGTCGCGAAGCGACATACGGAGAGACGGAGTACAGTTCTCCTGCATCCAAGTGAAAATTTGTGATCAGCGTTTCTGTCGCAGGACGTCCTACGTTGCAAGACGCCCGACGCTACTCACCTCGGAAATGTCTTCGGCGCTCGACCACCCAAGCAGTGGGGCTGTGAAAGTGATGGTAGTCCCCAGGCGCGAGGTAGACGACGGCGAAGAACAATTTGTTTCCCTGCGCAATGCCATCGTGTCCCGGGCTATGTCTCTGCAGAATGGGAGGTAGTGCGCCGCCACCCATTTCGTACGCTACGTTGGCATACCTGCCCAAGATTTCTGGCGTGTCCGACGTGGGTATGCCTGCCTCTTCCTCTGGACCCGAAAGCGTGAAAGGGCTGCCGTTGAACGACTCGCCATCCTCTCGACGTGAAGGGATTTGCTCGGGCCTGTCAGCCAGAGGCGCCTGGGCTGAATGCGCATTTTTCTCGGATGACCTCTTGCCTGCTCCTCCTCCTCCCACCCAGCTCTTCCACCAGGTCAAGCTAGCGAGAGGGCCAAATATCCAGCGAGACTTTCGCCTTTTGCCGTCCGCATCCAGCTGCTCGTTGCCTAGCAACCGATCAAGGGAGTAGGCTATCCCATTGATGTCGGCAAACCTCCTCTCGTCGCTAGATTGCCCTTGACCATCTTGCGAGGGTCCTCCAACAAAATCATCTCTCGCTTGCGGCTCGGATGAAGTGCCGAGAAGAGCATCGAGAGAATAGGTGATGCCCTTGACCTGCTCGACGCGACGCCCTTGAATCGTGCCAAAATGTAGGACTGTGCCGTCCGCAGGAGACACTACCGGTGCCTCTTCAATCGTTCTGACCCCATCTTTGAGTTCTCTGTAAAAGAACTCTCCTAAGGACTTGTAGTGGGTCAAGTCTGGGTCCTGCATCTCGTCCAGATTGCAGCCAAAGATGCGCGAGTAGAGTCTGAAGCCAAAAGGCCTGAACCAGACGGGCAGGGTGATGTTGTTGGCCCATCCCCAAGCTCGACTGATCGCATTGAGAGGCAGGGCGCCGAGCACGTAGACTGTCCACGGACCAGACATGGAGACGATGCGTCCTTCGCCATCCACCACTTTGCTGCGACGCGCTTCCTGATCCGCAAGATAGTTGCGGCGAGCTTGGACTAGCAGCAAGACCCCACCACCGAGCAGGATTGGTATGGGCTTCCAGATCAGGGGTGTGGATCTCCATGCTCGCGCTGTCCGACCTGTGACGGGGAGATGCTAACGTGGTGAGTGCGAGGCGCGAAGGTGGCCACCCGCTCCGTGGGGGCTCTGCGCTAGAGCGGGGCTGAGAGGCTTTGCCCGAACCTCCCAGCATCTCGCTCCTGCGGCACTGCGGAAGAAGTCATCCACTCACCAAACAGACCCTCGTTGCCATTGCCGTTACCGCTGCCGCCTCTGGGTCCTGCTCCAGATCTACCGCTCTGCTCAGTGCCTACTTCCGATGCAAGCTCTGGCGGCGGTGTATGTCCTTCTTTGAGCAATCGCGCTCTTTCTCTCGCCGCTCTGTCCCCTCGCACAGTGTTTGCCTGATGTTCGGCATCCAGCGGACTCCTCTTGCCGGAGCCCGCGTCGAAGCGGATGGAGGTGGTCCGGAAGGACCGGATCGGGCCTCTGCTCCTTTGAACGCCCACTTGAACCAGACAGCAAGTCATCACGTGCGGCTGCAGTTTCGACCTCGAGCTTGAGCTCAGGACTAGTGTCGATGCCATCTTGAGCCCCAACTAGCCGCTAGTTGGCGGATTCACAGAGGACCAGGAACAGACACGGCTGCCCCTCTTGGTGCAGTCGTGACAGCTCGTCTGCAAAGACCACGCTTTGGAAGAAGCGCTGTGACAGACTGAAGCCAAAAAGCGTGAGGTGGTGCTTGAATTAAAAAGCCATTTGACGGGATGACGGGCAAGGCAGGCTCGGATGATGGGCGCTCGGACGCTCGATTGCTCTTGGAAGGGAAGATGAACAGCCTCGCTCGCAGCTCTTGGTGTCCCCTTTGTGAGATCTGGATCTTCGCGGCAACCGTCATGCTATGCAAGCAGCACAGCTAGGGAGCCAAGCCGGTCTCTCACCTTCTCACGCGCCGCCTATGCAGGAGCGCTCATCTGGCAGGCAACGATGGATGTGCCTGCACGTGATCCAAACGAAAACTCATAAGTTGACTTGAGCTGCTGCTGTGCACGAGCCTTGCTGATGCGTACGCCGCGTGGTGTGCGGTATACCGGTCCCATGCACCTATCCTTGATTCATGATTCTTGATTGTACGTGTAGCTACAAACAACTACTCACGATTACTACTCAGACTGAACGCCTTACCACTATTAAACATATGCATAGCAGCGGCTTGTAAAGCTCGCGACTGTAGCACGTTCACGCTTAATCGGGCACCGTGCGCACATTCATGACTATTCTGCACGCGCGCGCATTTGATTACATGCACGCTGTATGCAGCTCTTTGAGCAACTTGAGTGCACCACCTACACTCAAGAATAATCACGAATGTATAGCTGCAAAGCTTCATTTTGATTGGCACAGCAGGCAAGCGCGCACAGTCGTGAGTTGTGAATTGCACATGCTTGCTTGTACGCTCGCCACCGCGCTCATCAAATCCATGATGTCCGCCGGCGGGACGATGCGCTGTGGAAGTGGAATCGTACCTCATCAGATGAGCGGCGCCGCCGATATGGCTCATGTATGATCACGACTTGTAAATATGTACTTGACTTTGGACTGTACGGCTTTGGGCTGCAACAAAGCATCACAAGGGGAATCACAATCAAATGCACGCGAGGCTGCTGCTGCTGCTGCTGCTGCACGCACGCGCACCTTGCAGCAGCAGCTACAGCGGGCAGCAAGCAGCTCGAGCAGTCTGATGAGTGCTATACCGGTGCACACCTGCCTGTTGCACAGGTGCCACATGTGCCGGCGTAGCTCGCTTGCGATCGAGTCTGATCCTCACCTGACTCGGTGACATGCTCTCGCTCACGACTCGCAAGCAGATCTGTTGGCTCGACGAGCCTGTTTCAACAGAGTCGCACCAATTCCGAGCACTTTGGTGCCTCCGTCTCAACTCACCTCCTTCAACAAAAAGTAGCCCTCGAGGCAAGCTTTGACGACTCAGCAATCTCCTGCACACGCTACGAACTTTTACGACGAACCATACTACGACGTGCGTCCACCTGCTGGCGCGCGACAATCCCTGTGCTCGTACAAGAGAGGTCCAAGCAGCGCTCACGACACGAGGTTGTGCCTCAACCTATCACACTGTGGCACTTGGCGTCTATATGCCACCTGTTCAAGCCATCTTCCCTGCAATCGACCCATCCTCGAGCCAGCATGTCCTTGAGCGTCTCGCCTGAACTCAAGCAGGCTTTCGACGAAGCATCGAGCAGCTTGCTTGATCCGGAGGATACTCTCTTGCCTCGAGCTTTTCTTGTTCGTCTGGATGGCAAGCAGCTGGTCATTTCGGAGACCCGCAGCCCTTCAGATGCGGCCAAGTCAGAGTGGACTCAACTGCTGGAAGAGGTGAGTAACGCTCCTGTGAAGGCCGCAGAGATTGCTCTTGATTGCGAGCAAGAGTCGCTCACTCATTTTCCACCTCTCCATCTTTGCAGCTTTTGACCACGGCTTCCACCACGCCTGGGTATGTGCTCTACAGGCTGGATTCAAGGAGCAGCGCTGGTCAATATGAATGGCTGCTCGTCACCTTCAGACCCGATGGCGCTCCTATCAAGCAAAGGATGCAGTATGGCCCCTCTCAGGAGGCTCTGACCAGATCGCTCGGAGAGTGGTCGTTCCTAGAGATCATCCATGTGAGTCGCTCGCAACTCCTGCTTCCTTGACATTGCCCTCCCTTCCGCCCAGTGCGTTCTCGCTGACGCTCGAGACGCCTTCGTGCAGGCGAGTACGCCCAAGGATTGCATATTTCCAACCAAGCTTCGCAGCGACCGCAAGCATGATTATCGTGAGTATGTGCGACAAGTCTTCGGACATCATTGCGCTGCGCATACTCAATACCAAGCTCGGACTCGTCTCCGACCTCTTCCCGACTCATATTCTCTACTTCAGAAAACCCACAGGTGCGCGACAAGACCAAGACCGCTGCTGAACAAGCAGGTGCGAGTGTAGGAGGAGCCCGTAGATACTTTCAGCCTGCTGGAGCCAAGGTGAAAGGTGGCAGCGGCGACGATTTGCCCGTCGCAAAGCCGGCTGCAGTTCCTGCTCAAGCGGAGACGCCCCCAACGCCGCTGCCGCCTCTGCCCGCTTCGGCTCCTGCGCCTCCAACCCCAATTCCGGGCGAAGAGCCGCCTCTGGTCGAGCCGGCCCAAGCTCCAGCTGCCTCGCCTCAAGCTGTGGCGGCAGAAGTGGCTCAAGCAACCCCGCCGCATGTTGAGCCCACCGAGCCAAACGTGGCGCAGGAGCTTCCAGAAGCTCAGCCGGTCTCGAAGGGCGTTGAAGCGCTGCTTGGAGAGCAGGCCGAGGTTTCCGCTCCACCAGTGCTGCATGGCGAGCAGGCAGAAGTCCTCGCCCCACCTCTGCCAGCAGATGCCCCAGTTCCTACGACTCCTGATCCCAAAGAGCCTCCTCCGACAGCTTCTGAACTTGGCGCAGTCGGTCCGAGCGCAACAGGAACGCCCGCAGAGGAGTCTGTGCTCGCTGAAGCTGCTAAGCCTGAAGAGACGGTAGAAGAAGTCCCGCCCGCTGCTGCCGCGCATTCTTCTGCTCTATCTGAGTCGGCTGGTTCTCAGCGCGTTGAGCAAATGCAGGACACGCCCGAAGTGCTTGTGGGCCAAGAGGCTTCTGATCCAGGGGCAGCGCGCGAGGGCGGGATGCCTGCTGAGGTAGTGGGCACTGCAGCTGACCCAGGGGCGTCGTCAGGAGGGGTTGATCTGGAAGGCAGCGCTCAGGACGCTGCGGCTTCTGCGCCTCGCGGAGCAGTGGGTGGGCGCAATCGGCTGGCAAACGCAGCTGCCAAGCGTTGGCAAGCAGCAGGTGCCGGGCAGCGCTTCTAGTGCGCTGAGGGATAGTGCGCACGCGGGGCTGCGGTGGTCGGTTTAGGGTGGGAATGGCGAGCAGCGACATGTAAATACTACTGGCGCACTTGCCCGCCTTTCCTTTCCGTTTCCCTTCTCCGACCCCAAGCACTCTTTGCCATGCACCGAATTTGGACTCGAGATTTGTAATGCAATCCTGCTTTTCCAGACTCTATTGCTGCTCCCAAACTCCGTTGCGGCTGCTGCTTTGGCTGTTGTGATAGCTAGGCTGACGCTGAACCCCCTCGCCATTCCCGCAGACCGGAACTTTGTTGGAGAAGGCGACCTTCGACCCGTCAAGCTCTAATGGAGGGGTTCACTTTGACGCGGTCAGGACTCCGGCTCAGCGACCTTCGCCCATTTTGGCGGGCAAGCCCGGTCTGGCGGATGCGGTTGCAGTCCAGGATGATGGGGATGACGAAGGTCGATCAACACACGAATCGATCACACCTCTGCGAAGTGTGCCCAGCGTCATCAAGTCGAGTCCCGTAAGCCCTGGAGGTGGGGTCAGAATATCCAGCCTTAGGCGGCCCGAGGGTCGGCGCAGCAGCTTGCACTCTGCTTCTGATCTTGTCCCGGATGGTCTCAACGGCCTCGAGGAACCCATGCAGCGTGGCACCGCACTTTCTCCTGCACGGGAAGCGGGTTCTGCCTCGCGTCCGAAGTCAATGCTGTCTGCCGGCTCACCGCTGGACATGCTCACTTCTGCGCTCTCAGAAGGACCGGGTGCATCTCCTTCACCTTCGCGCGCCTCGCCCTCGCTGACATCCCTCCAGCCGAGGGATGCCCGAACAGACCGAAGGGGTTCGTCTTTGCAGGTACCACAAGAAGAAGCTGACGCTGACAGTGACCTGGACAAGGAGCTTGGCACCTCCTCCATCAATAAGACATCGCGGCGCATGTCTATGTTCGATTTCCTGAAAAGCACTCCGCCGAGCCAGAGTGCCCCGTTGCCTCCCGAGGACATGGGCACAAGTCAGCGCGCTCCTGTGGATCGCTCTTCAATACTTCCACGCGTTGCTGGTAGCCACGAACTCACGTCGAGCGCGTCATTAGGTGCTAACAGCCAGGATCATGCCCCATCAACTTCGAAGAATGATCGTACTCCCATCAACACACGCCTTCGCCCCTCCCCAATTGAAGCGGCGCGCACTCCACGCACGTCCCGTCTCTTCGCCCGCTCGCCGGTTGTGGGTCACCCACAGAACTCCTTGGCTCCCCTCTCTGCGCCTGCCATACCCTCGGCTTCTTCCTCGTTCCCTGCTGGACCGGCCACCGCCCAGCCATATCAGAGCAACGGATCGCTGACCGCTTTTGAGTTTTTGGCAACACAACCACCTCCCAGAGCCAGGAGCAGAAGTCGGAGCCCTGGCGCTGCCGAACAGGAACGCCATCACAGTCATTTCCGAAGGAGGCCGAGCGTGGAAGGCGAACGGGAGACAGGAGAGTTGGGGCACCACTCGAGCAAGTCAGTGGCGGAAGAGGACAGCTCGTCGAACTTGCAGCTTCGCGTCATGCCAGTCAGCGAATCACTCGTCATGTTTGGCTCCACTCACACCAGTGCCAACTACTCCGTTAGCGGCAGGCTTGTTCTTACCATCCCTTTGCGTAAGAGCCCAAGCCGGACAGCGGAGCCTCCAGAGGGTAATGTCAAAGTCGCCAATGAAGGCGCTGCGACAGGCTTTGGTGCTATTGTGGACAGTGGGACTTCATCACGGTCGGCCTCTCCGTCGAGACGATTATCAGAGGATTGGCAGCACATGCTGCCGCTCTTCGACTTTGGCTCGCGTCGCGGCTCGCAGGCAAACGCAGGCGAGCCAGCGCAACGCGATGGAGCAGCACTCGCGTCAGCTGGCAGCAGTGGAACGATGCCTGCCCTTGCTGAAGGCGCGAAATCATCAGGGGCTGCGGAGGAACAGATGAAGCTTGCCGTCGAAGAGGTAGCAGAGCCACGGACAACCACCGATGCTCGTTTGGGCGATGTGCGAGCAAAGCCGACCGAGCTTCGTGTGACATCGCTGAGGGTATACTTTGCCGGCTACGCACATTATGTTGATCATTCGGGACGATTCTCTGCACTCCGTCTCGCGGACGTGCAAGAAGAGCTTTTGCCACAAGGATACGACCTACCTCTATCCAGCGGCCACGCCCACGCGTCGACCTCAGCCGCCAAGTACGACATTGAATTTACTTTGGGCGTGCCAGGGTGGCTACCGGCAAGCATCACGACGAGATTCGGGGGCAACTTTTACTGCCTGCGGGCGGAGGCAACCTATGTCGATCTGACCCGCAATTCTTCGTTCACAGCTCGAAGCAGTAGCACGAATGTTTTGCCGAGCGAGGTTGCGACCTTTGGTGGTCTCCTGCCGAGCCAGAGTGCGCCAAGCGGACTATTGCTCGGGGGATCCTCGCTGAGATCACCATATGCTTCAGGAGATGACCGCAGCGCAAATGCCAGCGGCGATGAGTATCAGGCCACGAGAGCCCCTGCCACCTCGTCAAATGGTCACGCGCAAGCCAGAGATGCAGATAGCGCTTCATCGCCGCGTTCCAATGGACGTGCATTGCCAAGCCCCCTGCAGCCTACCGAATCCACACAAGACCGTGCTCCTGATCAGTCGCGCAGCTGGCTTGGAAGGCGAGGACGACTGCTGCGTGTGCGAGCATCCATGTCTCCTTCTTCGCCCCTGCGAACTTCAACAAACTCCAGCTTTGCAGGAGAGTCCGCACAGCGTCTGCCGCCGTTGGTCCCACACTCTGATCTCCACGGGGTCTCACCTCAAGGGGATTGCACTCGTCGTCAGACCATGCCGCCCGAAACAAGCCGCCAACAGCAATACAATTTGCACAGTGACGTCGTACCAATCAACATTCGCCGATGTAGGGACGTTGTCCCAGTGCCTGTAGCACGTCTTGCCGTCATTGGCCCCGAAGGTCTGCCGCTTGGAGCTCAGCAAGACCCTCCACCGCCAACGGCTTTGCGAAATCCTGCAGCAAATACCGTGATCACAGCACAGCCTCATTCAGTAGCTGATCACCCGAGCACAACGCCAAGTGTCAGATCTACACCCGCTCTGGAGCCTGCTGCTTCAGCAGGACCGAATTTGCCTTCGATCGACTCCGCCCCGGTAGTGCAGCCGCGCCGTTCCTCAGCGGTGGATGCAGAAATTCAGAGCGCCACTGCAGCTACAGCAACCTCTCGAGCTCCATCCGCCCCGGCTCCACCCTTGGACGCGGTGAATGGCGATTCGCAGCCACCGAGAAGACCCGACGAACCCGTTCCCATCGGCATACTGCCAGTCGCGCCAGATGTCTTCAGTGCTCCAAGCGACCCAGCCAAGCTGGCCCAGCTCACACGGCCTCCGTCAGCACCACAGCGCGCTTCAAGCGTGCCCATGCCTGAAGGATCCACGAGCTCACAACCTAGCGGCCCGGCGAGCGTCACAAACACTCACCCAATGGCTCAAGGCACCTCTGTGGCCGGTAGCAGCCGTCAGCCTCAGGCAGCCATGCGGCACTTCTTGCATCGGCCTGTGCTTCATCCACCAGCTGACTCGGGCATCACGCCCCAGGAATGCGACAAGGATGGAGGGCTGCCTTTTTCGCTTACTCTTTCGCTCCCATCTCATGTTCAAGTGGATGGGCCCAAGAGCGACATGCTCAGCTTTGGCGTCCAGATTGAGGTCGGCAGAACTCCCGGATGGTCGAAGGTCCGCGATCTAGGAGGCCTGAGGCTGCGCGACATGGAGCTTGTCTGTCTGCAGAGCGAAAGACACACGTGAGTGAGAGCTGCATCTCGCGCAGCGCTGCGAGCTTTGCTGACTACTTCGACCTTATGATTGCAGATCGGTTGCATCGCGCACGTTTTGCCATGCTTTTCCACTGCCGTCCGAGCCCTCGACAGCAGCAATCGACTTGCCGATTTTGAGCGGACGCTCCAACCAGGGTCGTTTGTTAGAGTCACGAACGCGGTCAACATACGACCGATCGCTGGTCGCCTATCACATCCAACTAGCCGAGCAGGGCAAGGCTCCAAAGCAGGACCACAACAATGTGGAGCGCGTTCGGACCTGCGTCGTCGGTCCTCCGCCTTCGGCAAAAGAATTGGCCGAAGCAGCGGCGGAGGGGCAGGGAGCGAACAAGGCCAATGGCGATGCAGCAGCCACGCAAGGCAAGGGAAAGGGCAAGGCCAAACAGCGCGAGCAAGGCGCAGGAAACCGCACTGTTCGCAGCAGGTCTGATCGGCCCAGCGACCGCGAAGGAGAGGGTTCGACAAGCGAGGGCAACGGCAGCAATGGTGCACAAGCAGCATACCTGCCCAATGGCGCACCGGCGCCAAAGAAGACGTCGCGGGGCCGCCGGGCATACGAGTCGGCCATGCGCGGTCTTTCTTCCTTTGCGAACGCCATAGCCGAGATGAGCGTTGAGGGCGAAACTGCGATGTTCGAACAGCTTTCACACCAATACGACGACGAGCGCCGTCGGGGCGATGGATCTGGCCGCCCTGCGCGTGAACGTAATGGCCAGAGGCAGCGAGAAGGCGGGGAGGATGATAGCGGAAACGGTCCCAGAGCGACCTACAATTTCACCGGAGATGATGGCCATGGCGTTGATCTGACACGTGGTCGTGTCAGGATGACTGTCAACCTTCCATTGGTGCCTTCCTCTGCCCAGATCGCAAAACGTCACGGCCTCCCTCAGCTTGTCTCGGACTTTGAATCGCCGTACATTCGCATCAGACACAAGCTTCGGGTCAAGCTGGGCTTTGGATTCGGGCATAAACCTCTTGGGGGTGTTGGAGAAGGTGACTGGGGCCAGGCCCTTGTTTTGCAAGTGCCTGTGCGTTTCACAGATGCTCCGCCAAAGGAAGTTCGAGACCAATTCGCGCCGATGCCGCTCAGCGCGGTAGCGGCGTCGGCCACCCCAGACAGCTTTCCTCCCACGGCGCCGACTGTGTCACAAGATCAAAGTGGCCCACCGGTGCTCCCTGCTTACACGCAGCTTTTCAGAGAAGACGGGTCGCGCCTGGCCGACGAAGGAGAAGACTTGCCACAGTATCCGGGACCATCGAATTTGCCACTGCCTCATCGTGGCAGCGTGACTGCACCCAGTCCCCGACCAGACACAGAGATTGCGGATCCCGAACCAGGCTTATCTGCCCTGCTGAGCCCCTCGGCAAGCAATTCCTCCGACGCCGCGACGATCAGAGCTGGCGGGGGTTTGACCGACACAGGTGCTGTCAGTGCCACTTCGTCACCAAACTTGGCAAGATCACCTGCGTCGCTGCGAAGAGGCTCGAATCGCATCATGCCCAGCCACGTTGTGGATGAAGAGCTCCTTGAGGGCCAGGTCTCAGGAGATCGGCTCGCTGCTATGCGTGAGCACCAGCAAGATCTTGACGAGCTTCGCAACGAGGTCGAAGCGACCGACAATCCTTTGAGCAGCTCAGAAAGCGGAACTGGTGATGAGGGCGGGGACGAGGATGAGGATGAGGACGATGATAACGAATATGAGGAGGATGATGAAGCAGCGGCAGCTCGAGGGGTTGGCACGATTTTCCGCGAGAGGCAGGCGAGCGTTGTCGCTGTCGACTTTGGCGATCAGACTGACCCACTCCAGCCGTCAAGACTTGACGAGACAGTCGAAGTCGACAGAGAGGCCGCAAGTGCCGCTTTGCGCTCGTGAACGTCAAGATCAGAATCAGCACACTTCTTGAAGCACTGACAAGCCTGACAGTTTGAGTCCAAGACTCCAGACTGAGCTTCCACACGCACTCGTCCTACAAGCACTGAGGATTCGCACGTGACCTGGCTCTTACCCATCACCTGCTTTTCGTCATCAACTTCTCGCTTTCGTGAACCCTCCCTCTTTCAAATGATCACGACTCGCACCAACGAATTGCACATCCGAACCACGGCTTCGCGGAGTCTGCATCAGCATCTCAATTGCATTATTCCTCCTTGCTTAGACGTAACCTGCTCGTATAGACGATGAGGAGGCCGTGCGCTGTGTGTTGACATCGTGGCCGAGCGCGTGAGGTATGACGAGATGAATGGATGGGTACAGATTACGGTGACTTTCAAGTGACTTAGGGTGGTCCAGACGAGGGTAGTAGATGCGAGACGTTCGTCGATTTGGGTGACGTGAAGGAGTGCTGGAAAGAGATAGCTAAATGATGACCTCTGCGTACTTGAATGACTAGGAGCGATGGATACGAACGCGCGCCGAGCTACCTGGCTCGGGAAAAATGCCTATATGATACCAGAAACGCCGCTGCTTGAGAAACACACGGTGATGAAGTTGATCAGCGTCTTGGATGCTGCAGCTGGGAGCGTGCTTGAAAGCGCTAGCAAGGGATTTTGGACACCGTGTATCCAGTTTCAAAGCCTGCGCAGAGCGCAAACTGTAACCTCGACCTCAATCTCTTCGATGGGGGAGGTGCCTTGATCGTCCAGCCTACTCTGCAACACGTCCCAAAGAGAATCGAGGACAAACTCGCAAGCTCCCTTGCTGAGCTTGCCCCTCTCTTTCAACACTAGGCGCATGTGAACCTCGTAGAGGCTCTTAAACAGGGCAAGCAGGTGTTCGATGAAGACGACCCGAGGCAAAGCGCCGGCGCGATAGGCTTTCCATGCTGGATGGGCGAGCCGCAAAGGCATTGCCTCGCTCGGCAAGGCTGTAGAAGTAGTCGAGCCACGACGACCAGATAGCGGCGAGGGTGGTGGTGGCGGCCTGCCCTGCGTAGGGGAGCCGACAGCACTGCTTGGTTGGGAGGTGGTCCGCAGACTTTCATCGTGTCCTAGCCCGCAGCTCCAGTCGACGGTCCATAAATGTCGGACGGATTTGAGGACTGCTCGCGTTTGTCTCGGCGTGCGTGGGTGCATGGGCAACAGTAGCATGTGGCGTGCGACATCGCTCTTGAGCATGCCACAGGAGACCAGGCGTTGAATGCACGGTGCGAGCGTGTTCGTGAGTGCTGTCCAGATATCGTCGCCACGGCGCGATCTCCCTCGCGAAGTCTGCTCAAGATGTTGCGCAGGCGATGAGCTGGATCTTGAGCGCTGTTGCTGGAGCGTGTAGTGCTCTTGGAGCTTTTCAATGGATACGTGAGGCGTATCCATGGCTTGAGACGTTCCGGCTGGCAGCTGGGTAGCCGACGACGTGGAAACAGGTGAGCCGCCAGCGGATGCTCGGTTGTGGCTCTCGTCAGGTGAGACATGTAGATTCGCGGAGGCGCGATGGCGAACGCTAAACGATGGCGAGGCAGTGTCCGGCTCGCTGCGCGCGATGAAAGCAATGATGAAGCGCCCGCCGCTTCTGAACTCGTGAGCTCGCGCTGTCAGAAATGCCGTCAATTCCGCGTGTGCCGTCGTCGCAAGTGACACTGCCGAGTTGCGTGGGGTGTGCAGCCAGTGCAGGTCCATCAATGAGAAGCCCTTAAGAAGCAAGCAAGGGAAGTCATGTCAGTCATCGGCCAGTATGTATCAGAGTCCACCTCATTGTACGTACCATGTGCATCGTCTTGGGAGGAGCAACGCGGGAAGCGAAGGATCGTGCCACATAAGCGTTGAAAATGCTATTCTGAAGAGGTGGCCTGTGCGACGCTTGCCAAGCGTTGTCCAAGTACGACTCCCCCGATTCCAACACTTGTGCCAGGGTGCGGAAATCAGAGCTCGCATCCTCATGTGTGATGGAAAAGGCCAAAGTCGAGGGCTGGAGATCGATGCTCTCTGCGACGACTGTCGGTGCGCCCAGATGGGCCACGTCAACCCCGCCAAAGTAGCTTCCGTCGTCGGCGAGGCGGCTCGATTGGGAAGAGAGCGTGCTTGGATGGCTGGCTGCTTGCGCTGATGCTCGATATGCCAGACTTTCGTAAGCGCGCTGTGCGAACATCGATATGACATCGCGCAGCAACGGCGCGGAACGGGAGTTTAGGCTGCCGTACTCCGCAATGTGAATTGTCTCTCCGTCTTCACCAGAGAGTGGAACCTGTCCTACGATGGTTTGCAGGACCTCCATGAGCTTCTCGCGAACTTGTGGTCCAAAGTGCCCACCTCCTCCGATGCTATTCGCAAGCGCCGCAGCCCCTATCGGTGCATTCAAACGTGGCCCGGTTGGATCCTGCCCACTTTCTCGAGCTTGGCCAGCCACACTGGTGTCGCCAAGATACGATCCGCGAGAATTCGCGTCGGGAGATAGAATTGCTTTTTGCCCGAGCGATGGCGTATCTGCTTGAGTGCTGTCTTGAGCTGACGTCAGGCCAGCGTGCCCGCTGGTGCTGTGGGAGCTGCTCTGGCTGCTGTACACTGCGCCGAATGGGAGATACACAGCATCATTCTCAGGAATGGAAGGATGAGTCGCAGATCCTTTGCTGTTGGTGCCATGAAGTGTCGTTCCTCCGAGAGCCGGGCTCCCGCCTGCATAAGCATACATGTCGGGCATCTGGCGAGAGCTTGCCGAGGCCGAGGTGTGGTCGAGTGTACCTGCGCGTCGATGAGGTAAGGGGTCCACGCTGAAGGTGACGTTTGGATGGTTGGCAGGTCCGCCACGGGTGCGCGCTCCAAGGTTGCCAGTCGTGCGTCTGCGTCCGAGATCGGCCTCTGCAATCTTGCTCAACGGCTTGTCTTCACTACTGCCGTTGGCAATGGAAGCATGGTCTGACTTGGGGCCTCGACGACTGTCTCGGAGTCCGGTCAGAGTATCTGCCGCAGAAATCTGAGCATCGGTGACCTTGAAGCTCAAGCCCATGCTGCTCATTTCTGAGGGCAGCGCGCTCGCGGCGACTGTGGCTGCCGATGGCATTCCAATCCCGCTACTTGCGACGCTCATTCGAGCAAAGCGAGGTTCAGCTAGACTCGCAAATCCGGTTGAAGCACCGGGCAGACAAGTGTTGAGGGCCGCCGCTGCCATGTGGACACCAAGGCCCATTTCCAGCCCCTGAGTCACGACGCTAGTGGCGTCGATGCTGGTGGAGCCAATGGGAAGGCTGGGTCCGGTGGCCGAGAGTGCACTGAGGGGGATGGGTGGGCTGATTCCCTCCACTTCCCCAAGACTGACGAGCGTCGAATGTGAGAGTTGTGGGGCTTCGTTAACTGCATGAGGTGTTGCTACAGCTTCGCGCTTGAGAGATGGGACGAGACGCAGCGACGGCTTGCCGGCAGCATCCGATGCACTGCCTCGTCGAAGGCTAAGCTGACTTAATGGTCCAGACGCCTCAGCGCTTGCGCCAATAGCGCCTACTCCAAAATTGATGCCACTTCTGGCTGCAGGAAGATCGCTCAGTGTATCAGACGGTGGTGTATCGCCAGGTTGAACCGAACCTCGTCGCACGCTGCTGGCGCTCATCGCGTTTGCAAGATAGCCGTCGACCGGTGTTCCGAGAGGCGGGTCCTCGTCATCACTTTGAGGTGCCTCCGCGATTGGACTGTCCGGCCTAAGTCTACTGAAAGGTTGTGCATGGCTCGCAGAAGCAAGCCTATTGGCTGGGACTTCGTGTGACCCCGATTGGGCTCGCTGCGTCGCAGGCTCGCGTGGTCGACCGGCAGTGAGGATGGGTGCTAGGGGTGAGCGTCTCGTACCATCACGACCATTCGAGAAGGGAACGTCGACGTAAGCCGTCCGCCGGCCACCTGAAGTCTTTGGTGGATCGATGTGCGGCGAGCTTGCTCGACGGCCGGTCTCATCGACTTGCAAGACGGCAGCAGACTCATCTCTTGGCAGAGCCCATTGCGAGCGCCTACCGAGTGAAGACGTTCTGGTGAAGCCGAGCGACTCGTCCACGTGAGAAGCGTCTGACATCATTGCTGTCGAGCTCGTTGTGCTGGCTGGGGGACGGGGATCGGGAAATTGGTAGGAAGTGGGTCGAGTGTCATCGTGAGATGTAGTGACAGAGTCCACATGCATGGAGAGAGGACGAGTCGCACCTCCGATCTCGCTGCTCCCATGCCATCGGCCCCCAAGAGCAGGCGACTCTGGTCGGCTTGCAGAAGGCTTAATGAGAAGAGGGTCGGAAGATGAAGGAGCTTCACTCGTGGAGCTGGTGTCGATGTGCGGGTTGGGATGAGCTAGGTTGGGGCGTTGTGCCATAGCCTCCGCAGCCCATCGACGCAGCTCTTCTGATCCAGCTTTTGAATGGTTTCTGGGCAAGGTAGCTGCGCTGGGCGTTGTGGGTGATGTTGCTGCCCCAACGATGGCTGCGGAGTCCGATAGCCGACGAGTAGGGCTGTGGTCGGCTGGAGCATCCAAAAGGGCGCTATGACTTCTCTCGCGCAGCGGACTCGAGGCCGGCGACGTGAGCCCAAGGGAGAGCGGATTGCCCGCCGCCACCTCCTGCGCGGACATGGCGGGCAGATCGATGGGCTGATGGGAGCAAAAGAGAAACGAGAGGAGACGAAGCGTAAGCTTGGTGAATGAGCCTTCGAAGAGCAAGTGATCCGGGCTGCCCAGAGACGCATACAAAGCCGGGACCTTGAGGGCAGACCGTCTCCGACGGAGACTCGTGCTTGTAGATGAAGAGCGAGCTGACTTATGGCTCTGGCTCAAGAAATCGAGAAACTACTCACAGAATAAACGTCTAGCGGTCTAGCAGGAGCCCTGTACGATTTTCCTTGATTGTGATTCGACGGCCCTTTTGTATGCTCTGGCCGAGCTCAGCAGCGTCAAAAAGTCAAACGTGTCCCCCACAGGTACTGAGCTCGCCAAGGTGAGCACACCCAATTGACGGCTTGAAAGGTCGTATGGTGCGATGGCAGTGGAAAAACGCCCAAGATCCAATCTCTACTAGGCGACTTGGCGGGAGTATCACGATGAGGGCTTCGTTTGGTGCAACAGATGACTACAGGAGCGGTTGACCGCGTGCGACTGGAACGCAGCGTAGTGAAAGATCGCAGGGCGGCGGTGAACTGTCGAACAAGATGCAACTAAGGCGTACCTCTATCGTTGCGAGGTAGGGGAATAGCAAGGACCGGCAACTGAGCGGTACGTGCCTGCGTGGTCACACTGACAACGCTTGCTGAGCGGAATGAGGAGATGGATGCAGTCCAATGTCCAGTCCGAAAAGCCGAGAGAGCGCGGTATAGAGGATTCGGCGCCGCTCTTGCAAAGTCAAGGAGGTGCGATGCAGCCGGTCGTCGTGAGGAGCCCGTGGTACGTAGGTGTTGTCGAGGCAACGGTTCGCGAGCAGGTCGGCCTAGCCGTTGCCGTTGCCGTGCAGGTCGTGTAGAGCCGGCAAAGCACTATAGAACGGGCGCGCACCACGTACCGCAGGCAGACGCGCAGGTCGTAGGCAGGGAGGCTCAACAGCACGCCCGATTGCAAATGAGTTTGACGAGCCGGGCCAAGACGAGGTGGCTTGGCGTGGCCTTTGACGATGTGAATGATGTTGTGGGAATGCTGATTGCAAAGAGTGGGAATTGTGAGGAGCACATCGATTTGCTGGTCAGCCGACCGTCGTCCATACACACATGGGTAATAGTGAATCACGAATGAAACGAATCGCAAATCACCAATTTTGAATGCAGGGCGTGGATGGCGCATCCAAAATAGTGCAGTCCGCCCGCGCAGCAGAGGCATCTGCATGCAGCATGCATCCATAGGTGAATCGCGGTGTGCCCTAGCTGCACTTTACCCTCAAAACGGCTGTGCTTATTACGCTTGGTCTGCAAGTGTAATCCGCGCCGAAACCTGCTGCAGCATACGCGAGTGCTCAGCGCAGGAACGTAAGGGAAGAAGGGGTGTCTCCGCCAGCAGCAGCAGCGTAAGCAAGAGTCGTGAGTGCGCGTGATCTACAATACGCGGCACACCCCAACTTAGATTGTCCCCCGGGGGTAAGGGGGTAGGGGACCGCACGCGCACTCCTGCTGACGCTGAGCGGCCCCCTCATTTCGATGCTGTGAGCTCAAAATTCCATTCGCGCATCCCAGGCTGCTCGACTCCCAAAGTCAATTCAAAATTGCCAGTACGGTTCGCAGAGGTGGCAGCGCAGAGCTCGTTGTCGATATACTTCTGCATGATTGCGGCTGCTGGCTCAACGACCACACAAGCAGAGCAGAAGCTGTAAGCGAACCGCTGCAAGGCGCAAGCAAGCAGCTAGCACAGCGCGCAGTACAGTCACTCTACAGCATAGCGAGTCCCATACATGCGGGCGCCATGTTGGTTTGCGTACCTTGTCATCATCACAAGACTGACATGCCGCCGTTTTCCTGCCAAAGACGCGACCCATATGCAACGGCTGCATGGATCGGTTCGAAGCAGGAGGAGCGGATCTTGTATTTCGATCTGTGACTTGCTTTGGAACTGAGCGCGCCTCACTTGAAGACGGGCCCCTCATTCGATCGCCCGCGCGCCTGGAACAGCAAACGCATCAAGAGCAAGCTTTGCACTCGTGACCCGTGACTCGTTCACATTTTCCGCGGGCTACGCTGTCCTTCCACCCTCGATTACAAACATGCTCGCGCGCGCGTGTCCACCCTTGAATGGAGTGACCACAATCGTGAATGTGAATCACGCATGCAGCACCTCCTCAATCAAAAATTGTGAATCCTGATTGATGTGAATCCGTCTCAATTGACTGCGCTCCAGGTGACATGCGTCACACAGCAGCATCAAAGTGTCCTCGCGCCGGACAATGCAGCATGCAAGACATGAACCTGAAACGTTGCTTGATCGGCTCATTCATCCGCGATGCAATCACGCGAACACCCGCGTCTGCGCAGGAAAGCTCCAGCAGTAGCTGGAATGTTTCATTCGATTCGCGCTTGATTGCTGGTGCATATGGCGCAGTCTTGACGAGTGATGCGTAAGATACGCAGCCGGCGGTGAGCAGGGTCTGCGCCCGCCTTGGCATGCACGCACCCCCATGCAGCATGGGCCCATCATTTCTTTTAGCACTGCTAGCGGGCCAGTGCTCGCGAGTCCTGCGAGCATGGCACTTGATGCACGCGCGGTCTGGCGAGCAAGATCCCCGCGGCCTCGACGCAGACGAGTGCGCTAAAACAAAGGGCTCAGCAGCGCGTCGGCAGTGTGTGGTTAAGAAGTGCGCGTGTAAGCGTCGACGATCCCTGCAACGGTCCGCCCGCATTGCCAAGAGCAACGAAGTGCACCGAGCCGCATGCTCGCGCGCGCGCGCGACAGCAGCCGCGTGATGCTCTTTATAGCGCGCTGAATCGGCGCTCCGGGGGCTGTGCACAGGGTCCCTTGTTTTCTTCCATTTGGCGTGGCTGCGATCGAGTCTGGGAGTGAACGGTGGTGATCGTGACCGTTAATGTGGCCGGATCTGAACCTCCGGTTCAACGGATGTGCCTGTCCATCAGCTGGCCATGCTCACTCATGCGCTGTTCCGATTACTTCATGATGGTTGTGATTCTACTGGGTTGCGACTTTCCGCTCTTCTGAGCAAGAGCAGTACTCTGCGAAGATGCATGCGCGCTACCTAGCTGTGATCCGTGATGAGCACATCATTCATGATAGCCTTACCTGCCTCCTGCTGCTTCTTGCTCAGACGACTACTCACGTTTGAGAGACTGGTCTACCGCATGCTTGCGCTCCCATTCGCATCGTTTCTCTTTCAGCGGGTCCTTCGCAGGCGATATAGGTGCGCCCGGCGCTCGTTGGAACGCGAGGCTTCGGTGCTATGACCTCGAGTCAAAGTCATGAGTCGCCATGAATTGATGTGGCCCCACCTGTGGTGCACCTTCACACACTACTGTTGGCTTATGCTAATTGTATCCGCACGCGACGTGCACGATGAGAGAAGCGCAATCATGCAGTCTCAGACGGCAAGTACATTGATGTCAGTCATGATCGAGTAGACTGCGGGCATTCTTTCGGCCGCATCGAGCGAGGTAAGGTCCGAAGCGAATCGTAAACATGCCCACCCGACAAGCAGCTACAGGCCGAACAGCTGCATCAGCGTCGGAATATCTCAGGATTGAGGATCTTTGCGGTCAGCTATGGCATGGTCCGAATGAAGTTTAGCATTCAGGATTACATCAGCCCAATCAAAAATCAAGTGGGCTTCATTTCGGGGGACGTTCTCGTGACCTCAGACAAGACACGATAGGCATACCCGACGCTCGTGTTCAGGATGCTCCACACGTGCCCAAGCACCATGGACAGCGGGGCAGTCGAAAGGAAGCTTTCGTGATTCTTGATTCCCATTCCAAGCGCAACCCCACACGCAAACGCGCAGACCTGTAGGTTGCATTGATGTGCAATGTCAAATCAGCCCGCAAGCTGGATGCTGCTGCGAACAATAATGTCTAACCCTAAGAACTTGACATATTTGAAGTATCTCCGCTTTCACTACACTTGACTGTCCATCGTGCTCTGCTTGAGCAGCGTACGTGATGTCCGACTCGCCAATGACAACAGAGTCTGAGCAAGCTCTGGCCGTGTCGAGACATTGATTGGCAAACAACAAGGGCTGGATCGCGCACTTGCGGTAACAAAGAGGAACTTCAGATCTCCACTTGGTTGCTAGGCAGGTGAGACAGAGCACGGGGAGAGAGCGGCCTTATTCGGGAGCATGTCCCACTTCATCGCTGTTCTCTGGCCTCGTCTGTGCGGTGACAGCGTGACGCGTGATGGCACGCTGAACCAAGCGTGATGGATTTCTACATAAGCTGGAACGGGCCAGCCGATGTCAGCCGATATCATTGAGACATTTTGAAAACGATGCAGTCCTGCTCCAAGATCTTGCTAGCAAGCGCTTTTCGGTCCTAAGTATGCGGTACGTGCGTGAATGGGTGGAGCAGTTCCACATCAGACCCAGTGCTGCAGAGGCATGGCTGTCGTCTGAGAGGACAAATGTCAAGCATACTCAGCTTGGAGGAAGGCCTGACTGCCGAAGCGGCACCTGTGCTAGCGATGAATTTGGCGAGAAAGGAGGGAGAGGCTTCTGAGATCAGCTTGAAGTCTAGAAGGCCGAAGAGAGCAGGGATCGCAGAGCACGGACATTGGTGACGCCTAGGGCAGCAGCTGCATCTGTGCGACGCGCGTGCAAGGGCAGCTGTTTCCTTCTGTTTCCGGTGTTTCCCTGTGGTGGCTCGCCTTGCAGACAAACTGGCTACACTTAGAGATACAGGAGAGGTGGCATTGAATTTGAACACAGATATCTTCGCCAATGCGATCACTTCCAAGAATATATCCTGACCTGGTATGGTGATCCTGGCCGAAATTAGCGACCTTGAGGATCGAAGTGGGAAGTACGCACTCTTGAATTTATATACCGCTGACCAACTTATGAAAATAACAAAGGTGTCGCCATGGTTCGCTCAGTGATAACGCGTCGGATGCGTAATTTATGGGCACTGAGCTGCGGACTTACACGCATGCCATGATCGCATACGGGCTCGTAATTCGAGGAGCGGGTAAATCTGCCACCCCATAGGTGACAACCGTACACTCGTCACCTCGGTGGATCTATAGGGCGAGAACGGCGACACCCCACAAACTGCGCTGTATAAACAATCAAGAATCAAGAAGACTAGATTACAAGAAACAACACAATTCAACACAACTAATAGAGAAAAAAAACAATTAGAAATGCAGAAAATCCCAAAAAGAAACAGCAACATACCCTCTTTTTTACGTCTTGTCAGGTCTTGCTTCAAGACAGCTGCGACAGACGCTGGTGCTGGCTGGCGTGAACAAGTGAAGTTGACGTCTGCCTGTCCCAAGCGCGTAGTGACACGTATGTTCTACTCAAGTTTATGAGCGCTCTCACAAGCAAAACAGCTGAGCAATGCCGCAGGCTGAGAACCTCGGTATTATGCTTACGGCCAACAATGGCACCGGTCTGATTGGCTGGGGTTGCGCTGCGCTTGTTGCATACTCTCCACAGCAACATTGCCTCTGGAACAGCGCCGCATCTTCCGCTCAAAGACGAGGTCAAGTCCACCCTTTATCTATGACTCGCGGTTCACGATTGCAAGTCGAGTCAATGACTACGTTCTGCCCGATGGCTGGTAGTGAAAGCGTCGTCAAAGACTACTCATGTGCTACGTTGAGCCGATGAAAACTAACGACGTTCAAGTAAGCAAGCAAGATGGACCCCCTTTTCCTTTTCCTTTTGGATAGCTTCCTCCCCGATCCGAAGATGGCCCATCAGTCTGGCTTGGAGACGATGGGTATCGGGAAGAGTAAGCGAGACGCCACCCCGAATGAAGTAGCGAAGTCAATTGTGCTGTGCGATCAGGGGAACCGAAGCCACGACTCGTGACTTGGCTCAGAATCAGCACAGTCGCGAATGGGCTCGAAAGATCCCGGCTGAGGATGTACCACCGGTGGGTGTGTCATTCGAACGACCTTTCGAAACCTGCTCTGAGTGCAGGAGCCAGCGCTTCGAAACTTTGGAGGTCAGCTTCCAAATTGCCTAGCACGGCTGAGGTGCCAAAAGCCGAGGAAAGCGGCCCCAGGCGGAGTTGAATGATAAGACTCGTCAGGTCTGGAGCGCATCCAGTCGGAGAATGGAATCGAGGGGCTTTCGGGAAAGCTGGGAGGGCGCATGGAGACGCCACACCTTTGCGTCACAGCATTATCCCTAAGTCTCCCAGGGCCAGCGCCTTTGGTGTTCGAGACAAGCCAGGCCAAGGCATAGACACAGACGCGTTGCGATGCGATGCCAGACGTAGATGGATGAGCCCGAGTCTAGCCTTCAGTCCCTCTCAACGGCCCGTCGCTCCTCGAAAGACATCAAGCCTCAAGCGAAGGTTGATACCGATTTTGCATTGGTGCTGTGAGCCCTCATCAGTTCAAGGGACCATATCGGTCAGCAGCTGGCTAGAATGCGCGTGTGCCCGCGTCAATATGGGCGGTTCCAGAGATCCCCTCACGCTGACTGCTGTTGCCTCTGCTTGGCATCAGCGCCGCGGCGTCACAGCACGCCTGGCGTGACGAGAAAAGAGGCGTACGCGCAGAGTGGCAGTACCTGTTTGCACGCTGTGTGTCCATCGCTGTCGGGTCTTGAAGCTGGGCTGGAATGATGCTGAGGACGCTTGTGGGATTCGAGTGTGTGAGCTTCAAACGCGGAACCAGATCCGCGCCGCTCGACCGACCTTCAAGATTACCGTACGAGAAGGGCAGACGTGCCCACAGTCCCACGTGACACGAGTTGCCGGCTGTCCGCGGATCTGGCGATTCACGTGATGCTGGACTCAACGGCTTAATTTTTTCTTCTCTTTCGCTGTGGCTGGCCGCAGATGGCAGAGAGAAGGGCGCATGACTCGCTCGCTCGCTCGCTCGCGGCTGCCCATGCTGGCTCCCCGCAGAAGGACTGCTGCAGGTGCATCAAGGCGGCTTGGAGCTACGGTCAAGTCACGAGCACAGCCAGAAGTTGATGGAGGACAGCAGCTTTCACGAAGCGGAAGGCGACGAGCACGTCAACTGTTCCCCACCCTCATCAGACCGCTCGATTACACCGATCAATATCACCCAGGAGCGAGCATCATCGACCCCCATCTCCATCCCCTCGAGACAAGAGCCCAACACAAAATGATCGCACCAGCCGCTCGCAACCTCGCTCGCGCTGCTGTTCGACGAGCAGGCGCAACAGCCTCTGCCCAACAGCTCCCAGCTGCCGGAGCTCGATCGCTGTCCATCTTTGCAGGCGCTGCTCGTCCCTCCACCGGCAGCATCAGCGCCCAAGCCCAAGCCTTCTCTGCTCCCCAAGCTCGTGGTATCAAGCACATCGACTTTGCCGGTGATGGTCAGGTCGAGACTGTCTACGAGCGCGCCGACTGGCCCATCGAGAAGCTTCACGACTACTTCAAGAACGATACTCTCGCTCTGGTGAGTCTGCGATCGCATGGCGCGTTGGGACTGAGATGGTGGTGCTGCTTGCGACGCGTCGAAGCGCTCTCGAGCTGTCATCCTATCAACATCGCTGCAGTCAACGAAGCGCACCTCCAATGCTTTGTGCCCCTGGATTTTTTCTGTGCCTGGTCGAAGGAAACTGATGATGCCCTTTACACTTCGCGCAATAGCTTGGCTACGGCTCTCAAGGTCACGGCCAGGGCCTCAAGTGAGTCAAAGCGCGCCAAAAGGCCTTCAGTATGAGCCATCAGCTCGCCTGACCTGGGAAAGCACTACTGCGCTCCCTCTCTCTCTCACACACACTCCCTCTCTCCCTCTTTCCGTGCAGCCTTCGCGACCAAGGCTTGAATGTCATCGTCGGTGTGCGAAAGGGCGGAGCATCTTGGAAGGAGGCTCAAGAGGATGGCTGGGTCGAGGGCAAGAACCTGTTCGACATTGACGAAGCTGCTCAAAAGGGAACGTACCTGATGATGCTCATGTCTGACGCTGGTGCGTCCGACGCTTACCCCAAGCTAGTCAAGTACATGACCAAGGGCAAGACCGTCTACTGGTCTCACGGCTTCTCCCCCGTCTTCAAGGACCAGACCGGCATCGAGGCGCCTAAGGAGTGCGATGTCATCCTTTGCGCGCCCAAGGGATCCGGTCGCACGGTCCGCACACTCTTCAAAGAGGGGCGCGGCATCAACTCCTCCGTCGCCGTCTACCAAGACATTACCGGCAAGGCTTTGGAAAAGGCAGTCGCCATGTCCGTCGCTGTTGGCTCTGGCTACACGTACGAGACGACGTTCGAGAAGGAGGTGTATTCTGACCTGTACGGAGAGCGTGGATGCCTGATGGGAGGTATTCAGGGCATGTTCAAGGCTCAGTACGATGTGCTGCGCGCCAATGGCCACTCGCCAAGCGAGGCCTTCAACGAGACCTGCGAAGAGGCTCTCATGAGTCTCTACCCCCTTGTCGGCGAGCACGGCATGGACTACATGTACAAGGCCTGCTCCACCACTGCCCGTCGGGGTGCGCTCGACCTGGCTCCTGTCTTCGAGAAGGCCCTCAAGCCCGTCTTTGAGGACCTCTACGCTCGCGTCAAGGACGGAAGTGAGACTAGAAGGACCATTTCTTTTGCCAGCCAAAAGAACTACCGTGAGCTCTTCGACAAAGAAACTGACGCCATTGCTGCTCAAGAGATGTGAGTTGTACACCTTGCGAGAGTCTTTCGAGCATAGCTCAGGCTGACTGACCTGCACGCGTCTGTCATCTTCAGGTGGCGTGTCGGACACAAGGTCCGCGCCCTCCGTCCCGACCGCGCAGGCAAGGACTTGTAGGCGCTTTTGGGACGCACCTGCCCGGCTCCGGAGAGCTTCGAAGCGTGATCTGTGAATCTTTCCGGGGGAGGAGACATTGGCGAGCAATTAGCCGGGGATGACGAGTCGCGCTAACGTGGCCGGATAGGGCACCTAGCACGCGCAAAAATGTTGAATCGATGCAATTCAACCGGGCAAAAGACGTTTTCTCGGGGCGAGCGTGCGAGTGACTGGCACTGCTAGCGATGCCGGGCTCAACAGGTATCACTCTTGTATTGACATTGAATTGGGACAGCAACCCTTGGAGATGACGCAGGGCAAGTACACGGAACAAGACCGCCTGAGACGTTCAAGGTATAGCGTCTTCGCTTTCAAAGGTTGATGGTCATCTTCTGCTTCAACAATGGACTTCAACAAACCGCGCATCCTCAATTGGGCGCCATGAGCTGAGGCTTGAGCCAATTTTCAGCCGTCTTGCCAGGGTTCTCGACGGCGTTCTTGTACTTGTCAAATTGACCGCTCACTTCCGCCTCTTTCTTCTTGATCGCAGCTTCAGCAGCCTGTTCAGGATTGGTGATGGTATTGACGGTCTTTTCGTAATGTTTCTGCAGCTCCTTCTCTTTAGCGTCGATCTTGGCTTGAGCCGTTTCGATGGGATTGGCAATCGCGTGGGCTTTGGCCTTTGCCTCTTGCTCCTTCTGCTGAGCCGCTTGCTCCAGTTGCTCCTTTTCGTTGTGAAAATGCTGCTTCAGGTGCCGGATGGGATGCTTCGCCACATCCATGTAGTGATCGAATTTGGCATTCCAGGAATCGCCAATGTCGCCGAGGAAGCTGGGGCTTCTCCTTTGCAGGGAAGAAACGAGAGGTGACGACTCCTCGAAAGGAATGACACTTCGCTGCTGCATCTCCATCCTCTTCTCTGGCTGCGGTATCGGGGCAGCTCTGGCAGCATACAATCTATCAGCATGGACAAAGCAGAGTAAGAGAGTGAGTGAGCGAGAATCAAAATCGCTTGCATGGCGCACGTCGGACCCGCGGACACTTACGAAGCAGCAATGATGGCGGTGGAAAGTGTGAGGAGGCGCATCATGCGAACAAGTCGAGTTGTAGGTGATAGACGGACAGTGTCTTGCAGATGATTGCAAATGCGTGTCGTCGAAGCGCAGCTTGGATGGGTTGGTCAAGACCAGCTTGATGGTGTTGAAAAATCACAATGATAGGAGGGCAAAAGATTCTGTCGAATAGGTTGGGGGGGAGGCATTCCAAGCGAATCCCTTTGTACTTTTGGAGCGAGCTCACAGCACCGCATAATTTCGCCTCTCACAACAGTCGCGAGTGGCAAAAAATGATTAAAGGTTCGCTCTGTTGTTGTGCTGCGCAGATTTCTGGTCGCCCTTCACACTACGCCTGCGCGCTTTTCGTAGCTCGACACACATCGACCAGCCGTTGTTCCGCTCGACACATCGTCGCCATACATGGCTTTGCAATATACACGCCGGGTCATGACGATCAAGTGTTTAGGTGACCACAAAGGTCTCTTCTTCAGCTCTGGCGGAATCGAGGGCGAGGCTGCACCGATACACCCTCTGGCGTAACACTACGCCACCCAAGGCGTAGTCTCAACGGCAGGCAAGCGTGAATCTGATTGATTTTCGAGATTGGCGTGTAGGATTTGCTCGGAAGTCTGCGCAGTCGTAATAGACGATATGCGTGGACGGCCAACTCCGTCTCCACTCACTTTGCCGTCGAGGAACGCAAGACGACCGCGCTAGGCGTCGTAGGCGAAGACAACAAGCAGTGCAAAGACGGCATTAGTGGGCAATGCAGCCCAAGCTCGTCCGCTGATTAAATGCATGGCGTCATAGAGGGTCTTGTGTACAACATGAGAGTGGTAGGTACGGTAGGGCGCGCAAAGTAGGCCCTTGCCCCGCTCACGAAAAAGCTGCGATGGTTTCCGAGCAAGATGAGGCGAGGCCCTCTGCTCCAGGTGCTTTGCGCAGATGACTGGAGAGCGAGTCGCAGATGGCCGCCAGACTGCGCAGAGCAGAGGAAGCGGGAGGCAAGCCGACAGAGTCTGTGAGCGATGCGCCAATGCCAGCAACTCAAATAGTAAGACTCACTCTGCATTTCCATAGACACACTCGACATTGATCTTGCACGTCGTGTTCAAAGCGTGCTCAGAAGCCAGCAGATCCTTGGTAGAGTATTCAGCTTCGATGTTGAGCTTCGTGCGCTGCCTTGTAAGAAGCACCTGCGCACCCAGGATGATCTTGTCCGATGCTTCCGTGGTGGCCATGCTAGCAGGGAAGCGTGCACGAAGATGCTCGTACGCAGTTCGTACCGAGCGAGATCTGGCCCAGACCCTCGCGATGCGGCGGAGCACCTGCGAAAAGCAGCCTATAAGCTCAAGCTCAAAGGAGACCGGCAAGAGACAACATTGCACGTACCATGGTCACATCTTTCGACGGGCTCGCCTTTGCTTCCGATGCCATGGCTGAGATTGCCCAAGCAGGAATATATGCAGCGTCCAGCCCAAACACAGGAGCAACGTCAACCTCTTCAACCTCGCCGACCGCATTGAGCAGCAGCGTGACGTCGACCGCATCATCGTGGCACATGTACACTCTTCCATCCTCTTCTTGTCCTTTGAAGCTCCACAAATGAAGCGCTTCCAGATTTTTCACCTCTCGAAGCAGACGAGCCGCTTCGGAAGTGGTGAAACCCTTGATTTGCTCGTACTTGGCTTTGGCCGCGCTAATCGCTTCCTCGGTGGCTTGCCGCTTGGTCGCAAACTCCTGGAGACGCGACTCTAAGCGCGATAGCTCGCCTTCAAGCTCTGCATTGCGCGCCCGCATGCTCTCCAGTTGTACACTGCACACAAACGGGCAAGACCGGTGAGTCAGCGCGCTGACTCATCGAGACGCCGAGGGACGCCCGTCGAAACTCACCCTTGCTCCGTGATGCTGTCATGGTAGCCGCGCAGCTCAGTCGGGTCAGCTTGGGCGATGAGCTCTCTGCGCTGCTCTTCGCGATCCAACTCTTCTTGCAGGGCTGCTCGACGCTCTCGAAGCGTGGGCAACGTGTGCGTGGCCATTTGCGTGTTTTCACGGTGCACAACCTCAGAGTCCACTGCGAGGCGGGCATAGATCGACTGCAAATGCTGGACGTTCTCAGCTCCGAATTGATTGTCCAGACGCCAGCCGTAGTACTTTTCCAGCGTCAATGCCCGAGCAGCTGCTTTTTGCAAGCGGCACTGAGCCTGTGGCAGGGCGACCGTCTAGAGTTAGTGGGGCGCATGCGTGCAACATCAACATCGAAGCATTCACCTCAGCGTCCTTGCGCTCAGAGTTATTCTCGCTCAACATCTCCGCGACAAATGGCGGAGGATTGCGCGTGAAGGCGCTCTCCTTGCGCTCAAGCTCGGCACGACCTTTCGCAACGTGTGCCTCGAGGTCATTGCAAGCCTGAAAGAGGATCGCAGAGTCTCAAGCCGATTAGCAGGGCGCCTTTCTATTAAGCCCAGAAACGAGGCAAACACTCACCGATACGAGACTCTCGAGCATCGGAACGGCGCCTGCAGCGACGCTAGCATAGCGCATCATTTCTGGCTGCACATCGCTCTCCAACTTCTGTTCTTCCGGCTCGACCTGGCGTCTACTTGCCGAAGGTACGCTATCATGGAACGTGATGCCAAGCTGAGCAAAGAATTCTGACATGGAAACCTTGCGATGCGGCTCGTCCATATCGGAAGGCCCACTCTGGAAAGAGACGGACGAGGATGCAGAGGTGTCTGCCTTGTCGTAGTTCTGAGTAATGGCGAAGCTGTGTCGAGGACGGAGACCGACGGACGGTCGAGCATTTGCAATTCCTTTACGAACCGGTGCGCCTAGGGCGCGTGGCTCCCGAGCAGCTCCCGCAACACCTGGGTGCGCTGATGCTTTAGCTTCGGAGGGTGCCTGCCCTTCGCTCGCAAGTCCAGATACGACGACCCTTCTAGCAGGCGATCTAGCCACTGATCCGCCGTCCTGCTGGCCTTGCAGCGTCGCTCGCAGCCGCGAGGGTGTACCAAAAGAGGGTTGAGGAGCCCTGGACGGGGTCGACGGCGCGGCTTTTGGCTCAGTGCGTTTGGCAGGGGAGTCAAGCCGACCCGCTTGTCTCTTGGTCGACTCGTCTTCCTCCTGGATTGTAGAGATTCTGCGCTTGTTATTGCTGATCGCGACATCTTCCTGCGCCGCGGCAAGCTCGTCGCCGGGCAAGTCGCCCTGAACGCCAGCCATCGCCAATTGATCCTGAGCCATGCTATCATCGATGCTGTCATCTGCCATCGTGCCATCTTCTCCACGCGACATCTCCATGGTCATGGATCCGTCTGCATGTCCGGAGGCAGTGCTTTTGCGCGAGCTCTTTCTGCCTTGATTGGTAGCTGCGGAAGAAGAGCGCGAGGATGCGCTAGGTCGCGAGCTTTTACGTCTAGAAACGCTCGTCCGCGGCACGCGCTGCTGATCGATAGCTTGCGTGATTTGCATGTCGCTCCCGTCAGCCTCTGCAAGGGCCGCCTCTTGGCTGACGTCCATGCTGTCGTCGACGCTCGAGGAAGCCTCTTGCGCCATCTCGACACTGACATCGTCTTCGCTCTGAGCGCCTTTGATCAACCCAAACGCCTGCGTGATCTCCATGGTCTGAGTGCGGTCGTCGGGCTGGACATTCTTGGTAGCTTGAGTCAAGTTCATCGAATCGTCCATCGACTCGTCCATAGACTCGTCTTCGTCGTCCTCGTCGATGGGCATGGCTTGCGGGATACCAGAGTCTCTCCTCCTTCTATTGAACGAGCTGACCTGGCCTTGTTCAGCTTGGGGTGTTGGGCCGGAAGCCGAAGCGGTGCTGTGAGAAATGTCCATGTTGCTATCATCTGCCCTACTGCGCGCGCTGCTGCTACGATTCAGGAACTCTGTGGCATCGGCGGAATCGTCCATGGAGCTGGACATATCCAAGCTCGATCCTCCACGGGATACGCTGGACGCTGTCACGTCGTGGAGCTCTGCAGCGTCCATGCCAGCAGGCTGAATGCGCATCGTAGGCTCGTCACGCTCGTAATCTCTGCGAGGGTCGACGCGATTCAGGGATAAGTCTGAGCTCTGTTGAGTCATACGTTAGAAAATTAGTAACGGCCAGCACTCACGTCCTCGACCTCGTCTTGCTGAACGTGACTCTGCGTTGACGGACTTGCGTAGCGGTGGGATCGGATGAATCGCTGGGTCTGTTGTTCTCGCGATTGTCCGCCAAGCCAGCAGAGTTCTTTGCCGGCGCAATGTTCGGCACCGAGCTGGACCGCTCGAAGGGCTGCTTCTCGCCTTCATCATTTCGTCCGGTGAAAGCGGATATGACGTTGCTGATGGAGTTCATCATGCCCGTCGCTTGGAGCGGCATGGTGATGTTGCCCCGCAAGCGCTGAACGGCAGGTGAGGGGACGACCCCAGTGGGACTGGCAAAGACTTGGGGTGCACGACTGCGGATGGCCGACTTGCGTGGAGCAGGCTGAAGCGCATCATGGATGCGGAATTCGTATGGGTGCATCAGCTCACTGTAGCTGTCAGGTCGAGTCAAGCCGAGCTGAGCGACACTCACCACATTGCGACGACTTGGAGGAGCGGCCTCCTCCCTCTCCTCTCTCTGAGCATCCTCGATCATCGACGCGAGCTGTTTGCCACCCACGCTGTGAGGCCGTCGAGCCAGCTTGGGCTTGCTCTGCTGTGAAGTCGCAAAGCTCGTGCCATTGCTGCTGCTCGTTCCCGCAAGGGATCGACGAGCGCTCCTCGGCGAGCTCCGGGTGCTGTCCTTGACCATGCTACGATTGTGCGCTTTGACGATGAGGAGTGAGTGTGATGTATGCGAAGATAGGTGGGAGTGTAAGCTGGTTCGATTGCTTGGGACGCACCGAGTGCCACGCACGATGGTATGTGACGAACGACGTTGAATGAAGGAACGAATATGGGGACGAAGCGATGGCCAGGCGCGCGCGTTGTGTTGTTCAAATTCGTGGTTCGAGAGGTGTTGGGATGCGCGCGTGCGCGTGTATAAAGCGCTGATATGGTCATTGCAAGCTCGCCCGACGCGACTGGTGCACGCGCGCGCGTCTGCGAGTTCCAGCCACGTGACCCTTGCTGAGTCGAGAATGATCGAGCGAGGTGCAGCGCGCGGTGGATGATCGAGCTAGGGTGGCCGGTGCGCAACCAAGACCCACCAAAAAATTTGGAATCTTTCGCTGCCTGCATGGCAGGGCGAAATGGAAGAGGGTGGCATATATGCAGCAGCATCAATTAGCACGGCACAGCATCCAAGACGGAACAGCAGCGGCTGAGCACCTGCTCCGCCGTGCTGCCTCGCCTCGCCTTGTCCTGCAGAACGGCCCACACATGCGCTCACCACTCGAATTGAGCCTAACGTACGCTCAATTGTGCGTGCGATTCGCGACTGTTGTTGTGGGGTGCACATGGAATTTTGCAGAACGCGCACGAGAAGAAAGTCTCGCAAAGAGGTGTCGAAGAGTCGTTGGACATCTCGAGCAGGCAAGGCTGCCTGCGATACATTCATCGTCTTCGCCATCGTCCCCCACCCCAACCTCAAACAAGCAGCTCTTGCCCTCACACACACACGCTCTGCACACGACACGATCATTTCACAATGGCTCTCAGCGCTCACGAACTGCCCAAGGCTCTCGGTGAGAATGGCGAAGCTGCTTCGGACGTCTGAGTTCGCAACGACATTGTTGCTGACATCCTGCGCGACTCTCTCTCTCCTCTCCTGACCACAGAGCCCAAGTATGAATCCTTGAAGAAGGAGTTCAGCGAAGTGGATGCCGAGCTTCGTGAGTCGAAAGGCCGGGCTAAATCCTCTTGAGCAGTCTAGACGTGCGTGCTCAAAAGCCGCTGGCCTGCCTCCACTTCCTCGCGGCAGAGAGGCAAGCAAACAAATTGTCAAAGCCCTTGTACGAGAAGCGCGATGCTATCATTGCCGAGATCGAAAAATTTTGGCCAAACGCTGTATGTAGACAAACCCTTGCTGGTGTTGTGCTGGACGTGCCAACATCCAATCTGACAAGTTCCGACGCCCCTCCTTCCTCGACAGCTGCAAAACTGCCCCCACATCTCCTCCTACTTCCACGACGAGGACGAGGCAGTGTTCGAGCACCTGACGGGCATCTCGGTCACTCAATCCGACAAAGATCCTCGCGAGTCATCCGTCACCTTCAAATTTGCCGACAACGACTTTTTCGGAAACAAGGAGCTCACCAAAAAATTCACAGTCAAGAAGGATGCTCCTCCTCTCGGATCCTCCTCTGGCGCCTGGCAAGAGGATGTGCAGACGGAAGCCACAAAGATCGATTGGAAGAGCGACGACAAGAACTTGAGCAAAAAGTACCCGCTCGTGAACGAGCAGCAGGTCCTCGAGACTGGATCCTTCTTTGCTTGCTTCTTCGAGGCACCTCAGAACCCTGTTCCAGTAAGTGTCGACGAGCACGCTCAAAGTTTGGTGCGGCAGCTACGGGTGAACTGACAAGCGGTTTGCACTTGCTCTCTCTGTGCCATGCAGATTGCGATCGGTGATGGCATCATCAACGTCTTTTGGCCAAACGCATTCAGTTTCTACACTGGAGACGTTGAGGACATCATGTGAGTAGCTGCTTCTCTCAGCTGGCGAATCGGCGGGGCGGGAGGGGGAGAAGGGGAAACTATGCACACAGTACGTGCAGGCCTGATACTTATTCAACTTATTGCGCCTCGCACAGCGACCTGGACGACATGGAGGACTTTGACGATGAGGATGAGGATGATGAGGACGAGGATGAGGATGATGATGACAAGGAGATTGATCTCGAAGCAGAGGAGAGGTCAAGGAAGAAGCCCAAGCACGAAGCATGATCTCATCTCTGCTCGGTCATGCCAAACGTCTCATCCGCTCCCCATTTCGCCACACCAATAATATCCCTTCGCCCCTGCTGCACAATGTGTCAAGGCCAGATTCTCTTGCACGGCTCGTGAGGCCTGCACGCCCAGCAAATCGAACGCGCATCCCGATCGCGCAAGGCATGCCGAGCGTCTGAACGGTGTGGCTCGATCTGATCAACAAAGCAGGGCTGTTCCTCCATGTTGACATTTGAGTCGGATTGCAGCGAGCGGTGCGATTGGGTAAAGTGTGTGTGTGAGAGGAGCAATGCAGACGCTAAGCAACAAGAAGAATTCGCAGAATTACAGCTGTGGGCAGCCAGATCCAAAGGGCGCGCAAAAGTCCAAAGAGACTCTACCTCCTATCACCATCATTCGCTACCGAGCCGGCCAGCTTATCGCCTTGAGACTTGCTGATGCTGGCAGAGGTGCTGCTCGTCGCCTTGACGCTCGACGGATTCTGAGCTTCTCTGCTTCTCGTCAATAGGGCCTGAAGAGCGCTGAGCCATTTGATCTCCTCCTCTTCCGTCGGCGCGCCCACAACAAATGTCCTCTTCGGAGTGATGATCTTGAAGCAGTTTTCCTTTTTGCGCTTTTGGCTGCCCGTACTGCCCACGCCCCCCGTCAGGTTGGCGCTCATGTTGGAGGCCATGCCTGCTGCGGTAGCTACCACCGACGAAGCCGTACGTTCCGGTGCAGTCCCACCGCCATGAGTGGCCGATGTCGCGCTGGTCGCAGTGTCAGCTGGCGCTCCCGAGGGGTTAGCGATCGCTCCACCAGCTTGCGTTGCTCCAGGTGCTGCAGCAGCCTTGGCAGGCCCATGGGTGCTGCGCTCAGAACTGGCGCTGAAACCGCTTCCTCCGCCTACAGGAGCTCCGCCAGAAGCTTCGCGCCTTTCAGGAGCGTCCTGGTTGCCGTGACCAAGTTGGAAGCTGATCGCAGAGGGCGAGTGTGGGCCTGGGCTTTGAGGACCCGGAGGAATGGTCAAAATGGGCTGCTTCTTCGAGGTGTACTCGATAGCGTCCAAGATAGACGAGAGTGGGATTTGTCGATGACTCTTCGCATCCTGCGCGCATCGGAACATGATGACAGTGGTGAGGCTAAAGTCGGCATGCCAGGAGCGCTCGGCGCGTTGTCAACTCACCATGTGACTCCGAGCATACATGAGCTTGGAAGAAGTGAGTACAAACCACCTCTTCCTCCAAACTTTTCTTCGGCTGCTCTGCTTCATCAGATAACCCTGATGAATGACCTTGTTGGGATCCTTCAGAAAATCTGCTGTAGCAGACCTCTGCGGCTGCTTGGGCATACTGGATGCAGGAGGTGTGGTATTCGACGAGGTGGACGCGTTGGTGCCATGAGGGGCGTTTGGTGGACTGAGACTCGTGCCGGGCAGCGGCATTGCCTGATCAGCCCTCTCCTCTTCGTCCCAATCCTCCGGATCCTCATCCTCTTCACTACTGCTCAAGGCTGCACCTGTTGTCCCACCGCCCGGTACATTACCTCCATCCGATGTTCCACCAAAAGTCCAGCCAGTCGTCTGCTCCATACTCTGCCGCAATGCGGAGGCATCCTTCTCGTTTGGAGCATCGCCCAGCTTTTGTCCAGACTTGCGTCCAAGAGAGCCTTCAGCTCCTTGAGATGCATCACCAGACGGTGAAGGACTGCGTCTCATTCCAAGTCCGCGGGATTGCGGACTGGACCCGAGGCTCGGACCAGCTGAGCTCTGGCTCGCGTAGCTCAGACCAAATTGCTCTGCTCCACCAGAAGCATCCAGGCGGAGGCTGGCCATTTCCGCCTCTGGCTCGCTGTTGCTGTTGCTAAGACTGGTAGAAGTGAGCGGACTGAAAGAATCGCCGCCAGCAGCTCGAGGAATAGCACGGGGCTGTGCAGGAGCATGGTATTGCCCTTGACCGGGTATCGTGACGGTGATCGGCTTCGCAGTGGCGGTCGAGACAGAGCTCGAACTTGCAGCGCTTGGTGCGCTCGATGCACTCAAAGAACCCCCAGCACCCGCGCCCCTACGCGAAGAGGCTCGAGTGGGTGTGGGTGCAGCATCATCCAGGTCCTCGGTAGACAATTCTTGGGTAAGCGTGGACCTCTGACGGATCTGCTCCTTGACCTCGTTGAGCGCCTTGATCCACGACTCTTTTTCTGCTTTGGAAGAGGCCCGAACGTAGTACTGCCTTGTTGACGTGACGATGCCAAAGGAATGTTCGATGCGCTTCAACTCGATCGATGCGATGGTGTGCACATCTTCAATGTCGATAAAACGCAGCAGCTGGTACTCCTGGAGCGAAGAAAGAGAAAAGAGGGGCAGAGGTGGATTAGAGGGTGTTGGGGCTGGACACGCCGCGAAACCAGGCGTGCTCACCTTCTCATTCTTGTAGTAGCAAAGCTTGGAGCTTCGCAGCACGAACCACCGCTTCTTCCAGTTCTGAAAAGGTCTCGAACATGCAACAAAGGTCAGCCAAGTCGTGGGCAGAGGCGATACCGACGCCGCAAAAAGAGAATGACTATTGCCGCTCACCTTTCGCTTCTCGCCTCTCTTGTAAAGATATCCGCTCTTGACGGAGGTCTCGTTGCGCAGCTGATCTCCAGCATTGCCACCATGATCCACCTCTTCTCCCTCTTCCTCATCCTCCCCATCCGCCTCATCAAAGTCATCCTCCGTATCCGCTCCGCTAGAGGGTGAGATTGCCATGGATGTGGCTTGGCTAGTGCTTTGGCGTTTGGAAGGAGACAGGGAGCTTCGGTTCGTGCTGGTGCTGTGAGGACTGGCTAGACGACTCGCTGAGCCTTGCCCGGACGTTGTTGCTGCTGCTGGGGCGCTGGTGCTCGACATGGTCAAAGCTAATGATGTGTGGCGTGAGTGATGACAAGATTGCTTTTGCGTGTTTGTATCTCGTGGCTCGACTCGACGAAGCAATCAGAGCAGCTGCGCAGAGCGTCAGAGTTGCAGAGCATCGAGGTGCGCTTGTTCCAATTGCAGCGGGGGCCAAGAGTGACGAGCGGCAGGCTTTTGAAGCTCCTGGTGATGGTGAGTCCGACGACAAGGCCAATGGAGGAAACTTCTTGGCGTAGGCGCAGCTTGGATAGCTTGGGATGGCGAGGAGGTGTATCTGGTCAAATGCTTTGACCGAGCATCTCGAACACAGTCATGCAGACAGTCACAATCGTCTACTCACGACTCAGACTCGTCACCAAGGCCACACGAATGTCGATTCAGGATTGAGACTCCGGCCGCTTCACTCGAGCACAGACGTGTGTGTGTCGTCTTGTGCCTCCCGCCGTCCATGCTAGCTAGGCAACCTATAGCTGCATGGTGCGCAACCTCGGCGCTTGTGCGGCGCGACCAGCAGCAGCAGGGCGAGAGGCGAGCGGCGCAATTGCCTCTTGACATACAAGTCACAGTCACGAGTGACGCACGCCTGCTGGGCGCCTCTCGCACGTGGGTCTGCGCCCCCGCGCACGCAGACTTGACCCTCACGCTGCTGATTGCACCTCGTCCATGCACCGGCATGTATACAGCGCGACGTTTCCCCAGACTCGATCGAAGCAGTTCCCTTTGACAACTCAATCGCGAGCTCGCGGTCATCGGGGCCACTTGCACAGGGGAACGAAGCCCAAGCTTAGGAAAAGCGGCAGCATGCGTCCATATAAATGGTTCGACGAGTTGTGAGAACCTCACGCGAAGGCGCTACCGAACCCGCTCGCTCATACGCATGTGGCTTTCTGACTCCGTCTGCGCGCATCTGTGCCACGTAAGGAACATGTTGGATGCGTTGTACATCGTCGGATCAGTTTGAGTGTGAATGGCTCGCAAAGGAAGTGGTCGAGGACCTCAGAGCTGAGCACATGGTGGCCTGGCTTGAGAGAAGGATGCAGTCGCTCGCCGTTCAGAGAGCCTACGGTTCATCGTCACAACGCGACACGCATCCATGTGATTACAACGTGGTCCTTGCCCGTACGCTCACTTGACAGAGGACCATGCATCGCGGCGTTTCAATGGACACCGCAGCGTCTCGACACAAAAGTAGTGTGGGTACGAGAGCAAGTGTTGTGAGGAGGAGAGCAAGTATTACCGAGTAGGAGAGCAAGTGTGATCAGTGTGCGGAAAGGGGCATGCACACATCGTGCTTGTACGTGATTCGTGGTTGCTATGCCCGTCAGTACCCACGCCTACTCGTGATACGATCGAGAGCTAAAGGTGGGACTGGCCTGCATTCATGCGTGCTGTTATGCGACCCCATTCATGTTTGCAGTCCCACTCGGTGGACTCGATCACGAACACTCAACTCTGTCTCGTCCTTGTCCCACAACACCGAAATGCCGAGCAGAAGCTGGAGGAGATCGAGTACCGTGTATAGCAAGTAGAGCCTCTTGGACTCGCGCCAAAGACTGTGTCGCGTGTACAGAACAAGCACCGTACGTATCGTAGATGCAGTGACTGATGGGTGCAGTCGCCCATGCATACCACGCTCTCCACATCACGATTCCCACACCATTTGTCAGCAGCTTTGCGCTTCCCTTCAAGCGGTCAATCTGAATGCAATCAAATGAATGAGACGAGATTGATGACAGACGGCCTGATCGTCGCGGAACTTCGCACGTCGCTTGCGGCTGACTGACCTTAGAAGCAGATGCAACCCATCGAGGCTAAAGGTGCTCAAGCGCGTCGACCTCGCAATGTTTGTCGCTTGCGGAGTCGTGCGGTTTGCGTTAGCAAAACACTTTAAGCGTCAACATGCTCATGTGTGTTGCACACATACACGACACACGAACGCGCAGTGAGCCAAGCCGAAGCAGAAAGGACAACAAGGGATCGAGCATCTGATGCTTAATTACTGTATTTGCTGCGAACACTATGTGCTTGCCGCTTGCTCCGTTGCTTGACTTGCTTTTTTTGCTGCAGCACGCGTGCGCGCGGCGGGTCGAGATCTCGCGGGTCGGATGAGATCGATCGATTTGACCGAGTGCTGGAGGCAGAAACACAGCCCAGCAGGCGCGTATGCTGCTTGCAAGCACGCCGTGCGGAGAGGTGTTTTCAGAGAGCCACGAGGATAGTTGAGGCGCCATAGTCGTCAGGCCCTGTCACACTACACTCACACTGTGTGAGTCCTGAGTGGGAGTGGCAGCAGTCACAGTGCAGCACATATGCAGCTGTGAGCAAAGATTCACCGCACTCTCCGGCGGCAAAAAGTGTCACGAGTCGTGAGTACAGAGTGGAAGTGCGCCCGTGGCAACCTGGCTATAGTGAGTGAGTGCTGCGTGCAGCAGGGATGCATGCGCTCGTCTCTCCTGCCTGTTGCTTACGGCTTTGCAGCAGCAGGTGCATGCATGACATCCATGCATCCATCAGCTCGCCACCTGCTGCTGCCCAACCCCTCCCGCCTGTTTCACTACACGATGGCTCCGCAACCGCATGCCCGTTGATGCAGGCGTGCGCGATGCGCGACGCCGCGAGACCGAACCCAGCGGGACGGTACGCAAAGGCGTCAGGCGGGGTGCGGGAGGCTCGGCCCCAGTCACAACAGTCACAGTCACGAATCCCTCTCCGCATGCCCGCCATCCATCGTCCATCTGCAGCACTCGCACCTTTGCACGCTAAGTCTTCTCTTGATTAAACTTCCTGGCAGCGCATGACGGCAGCCCCTCACTCACACTCTCGTGACTCGTGACTTTGCTGGAAATGTGCGCTGCCTGCTGAAGCCTTTTTGCATTTGCCTCGCTTGCCAAGTTCGCCGATGCTTTCCCGCTGCCTTGCTCGGTTCGAGATCCGACCCGCAGCCTGATTCCTGCAGCAGCTCCCTTCCCTACCTCTCCCCTCCTCAACGCCCCCAGCCGAAGCTCTAGCCTGTCCACGGCTTTTTGCGATTGCGATCCGTTGGGTGCTCATTGATCGCCAACAGCATGTAGACTTCCTAGCCACAACTTGTAGGCGCGCACTTTTCCTTCAGCTCTTGCTGCGACACTCACCTCCATACCACTCGCAACTTCACCCCTCACCTTCCGACGACCCTTCGAGCCTTGCACCTGTGCGTGGACCGCCGCCAAGGTCCCGCATCAACGAACCATCAGCGTAGCATCGACATCCCTTTCCGGGAATGCAGCAGGTGTCTTAGGTGGTACCATCTGGGAAGGCGCAAGCGTCAGGACTGAGTCTCAAGTACCTCTGCTCGCATCTTCGAGCAGCACATCAAGCCTTCAGAAGTTGTCCACCCTCGAATCGCTAACAGCCGAGGCGGAGGCTGCTGACGACGATGGCGACGACCGAAATCCAACCGCCCTCCTTGCACGATGTGGACTCGTACGTGCCCAGGGGCCTGGTGCGCACGGGCACGCTCTTCATCATCGTCTACAGCAACTGCACAGCACTCCTGTTCATCTTGTTATCGACGATGCTATTCAGATACTCTTTCTCCGAGGAGCGCAAACGCAAGCTTCCGATCCTTGTCGTGCTAAGCTTGAGCATGGTATTGGGGCTATTTGGCAGCATACTAAATACCGTGAGTTTGGCTGGTAGCACACGGAAAAGGGACTCTGGCCCTGTCTGCATGGGTGCTGATTTAAGGAAGGATCATCTCCTCTTCCCGCTAGGTATTCTGGGCGACCTTGCTACTGCGCGATCGTGATGAGGATGGCTCAGCCATCAATGCAGCTTCATACTGTGCGTCTTCTTGCTGCTGCTGCTGCTGCTGCTTCTCCTTCTCTCTGCGATGTCCATCCGCACTGACCATTCCGCTCTTGTCTTCACCGCTTATAGGGTGCTTGACCACAGCGATGCTCTTCGTCACCCCGTTGGTAGCTCACGTAGCGGTCGTGCTTCGCATCGTGTCCTTCTACCCGCCGATGCTCGCTGGAGCACGCAAGCGCTTGCTCGTTATCGCTCCGCCCATGATCCTCAAGATTGCACGGGTACCTTTGTGAGTTGGCATAGACTCAGTCCCTATTGCTACTGAGCTCATACTGACTGAATCCTGACTCGTCCACGCAGCATCGGACTGTACCTCCGCGAGGGATATCAGAGCGTGGCAGCTAGAGGAGGCGCTGCCGCTTTCGACAATGGTCTCTCGCAGACGTGGGACAATAGATGGCCCACCGTGGAGTTCGCCTTGACAGTGGTAGACTCCTTGTACTGCTTTGCTGTGCTCTTGCGTAAGTTCCATCAGCTTGGCAACGAAACGCAGCACCATCGCAACGCCCTGCTGGATCGTCGTCGTGGCCGCGTCGTGGATGCGATTCAACAATTCTTCGCCGGTGTTGGATTCACCTTTGCGTTCCCGACTATCTACAACATCGCAGTTCTGACCTGCATTGCGATGCCGAGCTACCGAGTCTCGCCGACCAATAACGGATTCCTCTTGGTCAGCAACGTCTTCGTGCAGGTATTTGGAGCGACTCTGGCTTGCACCAATGCATCCGCTCACTGGCGGGACGATAGATTCGTCAACGGCACTCCCGTCAGCAGAAACTCTTGGGCTGCCCGCGCGCAGTCCATGGCGGACGTGGAAGGCGGATTTGCGTCCACAAGGAGACCACCCAAACCTGTGCTCATCACGCCCAATATTGACACGCCGTCCGAAATGGTACAGTCGAGCTTTGGAGGCAACCCATTCGAACGAGCGCTTGCAAGGATGCGTTCACGCAATTTCGAAGGGCATGAGGCGGTCAGCAGGGTTGCCACCAGACAACGCGAGGACGAAGGGGCGGAGCTGAGAAAGGTCCTCTCGCAGTATTCTGGACCCGCTGTCGCGCACACGGCTGACGCTGGGCGTCGGGAGGGAAATGCCACAGGCCGCCGACCCAGGACTGGCGACTCTGATCACACCTTGTTCGGGGCATCGCCGTCCAGGCGTGGATCAGCTTGCAAGAATTCCTCTTCGCCAACGACGAGCCCGGCTCTGGCACAAGACGCGAGCCCCAATGATGCTGTCGCCTCACTCCGTCTCGACTCGCGAAGACCAAGCGAGTCAACCCTGTTCGGCAGTCCCAGCAAAGCTAGCACCGGCGACCCGGCTGTTGGCGAGCCGCCGTTCCAGCCCACCCTTCCTCCCACGAGAGCAAGCGACCTTGCCAGCTCCGATGTGCAAGAGTTGCAACGCGAAAGCAACGAGCGATCCGTCTCGCCTCGCACCTCGACCAGCTAGAGGTCTATCATCGCGCAGCTCTCGCCATACCCATCTCCTCAGAGCCGCAAGAGAGCGGGCATCCATCGATCATTATGTAACACAACCGATTCCCAGCTTTCCGGAAGCGTTCTCCTTATCGCCTTTTCCATTCCGCACACTCCAGCCTCTGCATCATTCTGTAATGTACAACAGCATTTTCTCTGAAACTCCAAAGCGATAGGAGCACACACGCAATACCGATAGATCGCTCATATTGGCGTCGTGTTGTCTATTTGGATTACCCGGTCAGTAAGTCATCACGATTGTGAGCCCTTGGAAGCCAGATGTGCGAACGATCCAAGTGGCGCCGATCGTCTTTGACAATTCGTCTCCACTACTCGTGAAGCGTCTTGGCCCAAGCTATGGGCTTGGTTTTATGGGGCCCAGTCAAGGACAATGTCCACAAATCTCATCGATCAAACGATGCTCCACGGTGTGATTTGATGCTCAGGCTCCTAAGCGGGCACGCCGCTCCCCATCGAATTGCATGAGTCACCATTCTGTGCGGCAGCCTCGTGATTCGGCGATTTCGTCAAACTGATCATCGCAGCGTGGCACAGCGAGATTCGTGATTCGGGCGTGTATGACTTCAAGATACCGGCTCACAGTTTTGAGTGTACTACGTACGCTGGGCATTTGACCTGCGGACGGATGTACTCGTGCGACTCACAGTCAAGTGCTGACGCTTGACCCTGTGTGATCGATGTGCGTGCCCTGCAGTCGTCGGCTGGATGGCATGAGGGCACCAGCAGCAGCATCCACGCGGAGAAGATTTAGCTGCCCTGAGCAGGTGTTTGAGGCAGCGCCCTGAGCAACCATGCGGTCCGACTTGGCCTATGCGCCAAGGGACGTGCAAAGGAAGGTCCTTGCAGCGTTCATGATCGTCCCACGCATGTGCGGTACTTCACTGCAGTTGCAGCGCGGCGGGTGGGCGTATTCTGTCGCGTAAACGCACTTTGCATACGTGGTACACGATGCACAAGAATCACAATAACGGCAGACGCGACGGACCCCGCCTCATCCAATGACACGGCTGAGATGCCACCTCCGTGACGGAACGGAGCTTCGCTGGATATTGCAAGCACCACGAGCTACAACTAGGCTAGCTGGCACCGCCTCGTGTGCGCATGCCTTTGTGCTTTCCCTTCCACTACTCGACCTCAACGTGTGCTATCGATCGTTCCGAAAGGTACATAAGGGCAGAATCTGCCGCGGCACCTTCCAGCTGCGCCTTCTAGCTACCCTTCCATTCACAACCTTGCCTAGCCTAGCACTTGTCCCTTGATCCAAGCGTAGCGTGACCATTCGCCGCTCGGTCCTTGGGCGTATCCAGCATGGCACCCAAGAAGCAGGCTGCAGCACAAGTCAGTGCCGGCCTGCCCCTCGAAGGTTGCATCATTTGCCTCTCTGGTAATGTGCGTTCTTGGTCGATTTGCACAGGAAAGCTGTCGTTCGTCTGACCCAACATGTACTCGCTTGTCTTCGCTCCATAGCTTGGAAGGCCTCGCAACGAGATTGCAGACCTCATCTCTTCCGCTGGCGGAGCGACCAGCGTGAGCATCACCAAAAAGACGAGCCACCTTGTTTGCTCCGCATATGAAGTCGAGTAAGTGCACCTTGTCTAGTCGTCGTGCCTGACTCGCATGTATGCGCACAGACTCAGCATTTTCACCTCACTTGCTGACTGCTAATAGCGGAGTCAAAGCCATCCAGGCCCGTGGAGCAAAGCTGCCAGTGCTTGCGCTAGAATGGATCATCGACTCCAACGTGAGCGCAACTATAGACTACGCCATTGCGCTTATGCTCATGCGCTTCCCTGTGCCTTTAGAGACTGGGCAAAAAGCAAGACATCGCGAAATACGAATGGGACGACAACGGGCAAAACCAATTGACCAGAGATGCTTCGGACACTGCCGCGAAAGGCCGCAAGCGATCCGCCCCTGCAAATGGTATGCATCTCGAGGGCCTGCATGCTGCTTGATATACTTACAAGCTGAGATCTCGGCGTCTGCAAAGGTGATGACGATGACGATGATGCGGACGACGAAGACAAGAAGAAGTCAACGCGTTCACAACGCTCCGCTTCTCCTACGAAGCGCACTCGAACGCTGCGCACGCCCGAGCCATCCAAGCCAACAACAGTTGGTCAGTACAGCAACGACAAGCCTGCCTTCAGACGTGCTTTTGATCGCCTTCCTACTGCTTGCCTCGCCCTTCATAGTCAGGAAGGGTGCTGCTCCCGTCGACATTTATTGTGGTCTCAAGGACACCTTTCATGTGCTCGCACGCGACGGCGAAAGTGAGTGACTTTGCATCTGATCAACCTACCGCTCGACTCCCGATCTGAAGCAACTGCTATGCCAATTGTTCTTGCAGTCTACTCAGCCACATTGAACCAGGTGGATGCGGGCAAGAACGCGTCAAAAGGTCAGTCCCAGCAAGATAGCAGGCTGGAAGCACGCTGATTGAAGGCTTCACTGGTGTCTCTCAGCATACTTTCTTCAGATTCTAGTGCCTGATGATGGCAAAGGCGAACCTGTAGTCTTCACTCGCTGGGGTCGCGTCGGCGAGCCTGGTCAGCAAAAGACCATCGATGTCTCGAACGAAACACACGCAATCTCGGAATTCAAGAGCAGATTCAAGTCAAAGACTAGCTTTCCCTGGGAGGCTCGAGCGACGGCGCCTTCCAAGCCAGGGAAGTATACTTGGCTCGATGTGGACTTTGGCCACGACGACACGGAAGGTGCAGATGAGCAGGAGGAAGCTGCCGGACCAAGCCGGGCACCTACCGCCTCGCCCACCAAAAAGGTAAGTGCTGCGATACGCAAACGGCTTGTCAGCTGCTTACAGGCGCACACACACGTAGGCTCGTGCAGAGGCCTTCCCCAGCAAGCTGTCTCCGTCCGTGCAGTCTCTAGCACGCCTGATGTTCAATCAAAGCATCATAGATCGCACTCTCGCTGAGCTCAAGTACGATGCAACCAAGCAACCTCTCGGTAGGATTGGGGGCACAACGCTAAAGCGCGCCCTAGGCGTGCTCTCTTCGATCTCAGATGCGCTGGAACAGCCGGGCGGAGGGGCGCAAGCTCAATTGCAATCACTTTCCAACGAGTACCTTTCGCTCATACCGCACATCTTTCCACGCAACACGCGTCCTCCGGTCATCAACAACATGGAAATGGTCAAGAATGAGCTTGACGTGCTTGCCACGCTGGGCGAAATGGAAGCGGGTGCGAAGCTGATGAAGTCTACTACAGCTGGGGATGTCAACCCGCTGGATGCTCGCATCGAAGGTCTCAAATTGAACAAGTTGGAAGTGCTCGAGCACGACAGCAAAGAGTTCAGCATTCTGCAGGATTACGCGCTTCATACGCACGGGCAGACCCATCAGCACCTGAGATACCAGGTTGAAGACATCTTCGTGGTGGACAGAGCCGATGATCGCGCCAATCCTTTGGGCAACATTGGAAGCAAGAAGTTACTGTGGCACGGGTCACGTTGCAGCAATTGGCCTGGCATCCTGGTGGGTTTGGTGCTGATCCAGCGGCAGATCTTGATGCAGCAGCGCGCTGACGACGTCTGATCGGCCTTTGCAGAGCCAAGGATTGCGCATTGCACCACCAGAAGCTCCGGTATCCGGCTATATGTTCGGCAAAGGCATATACCTTGCCGACTCAATGTCCAAAAGGTGATTGAGCTTTGCGCTTGGTAGACCAGGCTGGCAAGGGAGCCCTAATTTACCATTCATCCCCTGGTGGCAGTGCTGGATACACGTATCCACATTTGAGCGAGGACACCGGCTTGCTTGTACTCTGCGAAGCGGAGTTGGGCAAATTATTGATGCTCCGTCATGCTGACTACAATGCGGACGAGAAAGTGAAGGAAGCAAAGGCCCACTCCACTCTGGGTATGGGCCAACACATCCCGTGAGTGTCCTGCGAGGTCCCAAGCCGCCCGTCATTAGATCGCCCAAATTTTGACGAGATCATTCGGAAAATTTTGCAGGGCATCGTGGAAGGATTGCGCCAAGCTAGGCCTGACAAAAGACTTGAAAGGCGTGCTCATGCCAGTCGGCGGTCTCAAGGACGATTCTGATACCGATCGCTCTCTGATGTACAACGAGTACATTGTGTACAATGTGGAACAGGTCAAGTTCCGATACCTGTTCCGCATCAAGTTCAACTAGTGTGAGCATAGACAACTCCAAAGAGCACCTTTGAGGATACTCCGCCCAACTTTTCCCGGCTATGTCCTCAAGTTCAGACACCTGGCACGTCCGTCGAGATTGCGAAATGACATGAGGTCCCTTGCAGGTCCGCGTCCTCTTGAGACACTCGAGCAGTTCGCGCTGAATGTGCCTAGGATATTGACGCTCATCAAGACTGCAAATGAAAAGGCGAAGGGAACTAATATGTGGCTGTACCTGAGACTGTTCAAGGCCAATGCGATTACGAAGACCTAGCTTTTCCAGACTGACGACTGTGTGAGAGCGAGTGAGGCTGTTGAGAACTTTCGCCATAGCTTTCGCTCTTGGACATTTGCGCTCGTGCAGCTCAGCTACCATAATGCGCCATTTGAAGTACTCGTCAAGCCTCGAGCAGCCTAGCCTTACATGCAGCGACGGTGTTCGCATCATCTGAAGCATGTATGTGAAGGATGAGCCAGCATGACGCACCTGCTGCTGATGTTACAACCACGAACATGGATGCAAAAGCCAAGCGCTGCAAGCCGCTCCTGCACCGCCTCTATGCAACCGCGCCTCCTCTTCTGCTGCCTCCACACGCGGTGCTGCGCGATGATCGAGATCCACATTCGCGATTGGAGATCATCCATCCATGTTGTCCCGTCGAATCGCCGGAACGGCATGTATGCAGTTCTTCCCTTCCGGCAGCCAAGCCGAGTGCTGTCCGGATACACTGTCCCGAACAACTTCTTGAGGAGCACCCTGAACTTCTCCGGCATGAGCGCGGATTGAAAAGGTCTCGAGCTCAACACCACAGACCTCCCCTCGCTTGCTTGACGCCCTCCCCTTTCCTGAACAGAACTTATACGTAAGCACCTCCCCTTTCGTCCGCAGCCTATTCTGAGATCGACGACATCATCACCGATCCTCACCCTTTGCATCCACCGAACACGGACTTGCGATTTTGAGGACGCCTCAGGATGCGAATCGGAGCTTCTTCCTTCCTTGCGGCGGCTACGCTCGCTGCGTGCGCCTTTGCCGCCCCCATCCTCGAGCTTACGCCGGCTGAACGATCCCAGCTCGCATCGCTCAGCCCTGTCGAACGAGATGCTTTAGTGCAAACGATTCTCACCGCGCGGGATGCAGAGGCACTCGGCGCACCCCTGACATTGCGCGAGCTTGGAAATGCCGGAGCCGCTCACCTGCAAAGGAGCGCAGCGCGAGCTGGAACTTTGACGAGACGAGCAAACCCCTCGGGCAGCTATGGTCCGGATAGCGTCTCTTGTCCTGCAGCATCGGGAGCGACCCAGCCTGGAGGGGGTATTGGTCAGGTCAGGTATGCCAACAGCAACGCACTCGGTTCTGGAGAGCAGGACTACATCAACCGCAAGCGCAGCAACAGCCAGCAAGCGTGGCAGCAGTGGCTTTCCAGCACTGGCGCAGGTCCAGATCTCGATGGCGCGAATGGGATCCCCGGAGGTGTGGCCAATTACACTTCAGCGCAGGATAGGCTGCCGAAAGTAGGCATCGCTCTCTCTGGTGGAGGATACAGGGCTATGATTGTCGGCTCTGGCGTTCTGGCCGGCTTCGACTCGCGCAATCAGACCGCAAACGATCGCGGCGTTGGCGGCTTCCTGCAACTGGCGGACTACGTTGCAGGACTGAGCGGCGGGTCTTGGGCCGTCGGTGGGTATGCTATCAATGACTGGCCCACGTCGCAGCAGCTCAAGGACGGCATCTGGGATCTCGAGAAGGATCTCGTCGTTCCAGACGACGGCAAGCTGTCTTACTACACTGATGTGAGTTTTAGCAGAGCGGCGTGGTGAGCATGCATCTGCGTCACTGCTGACACTCGTCACCATCGTGCACCTCTGCAACAACAGATCGGTGCGTGCACAAAATAGCATGCACGCTGCGATTGGTTCGATTCACTAACACACCTGTCCTTCGTCGCCTCTTTGTCAGTGACCGATGTCGCAAGGAAGCGAGGCGAGGGCTATCCGACATCAATTACCGACTACTGGGGCCGCGCTTTGTCGTACCACTTGGTCAACGACACCAAATACGTCGACCAAGGTCAAGGCACCACTTATGGCGACATTCGCAACACGAGCTCCTTCACAGATGCTCGCATGCCGTTCCCTGTAGTCATTGCCGACGAGCGCGAGCCGGGCCAGCTCGTGCTCCGTTCAAACGAGACGCAAGTGTTCGAGTTCAACCCGTACGAAGCTGGGTCTTGGGATTCGCACATCGACGCGTTCATCCCAATCGACATTCTCGGCACAGCGATGCAGAATGGAGAGAGCACAGCCTTTTTGGGCAGATGCACGGTCGGGTTCGACAATTTCGGCTGGGTCGTGGGCACTTCCTCAACCCTGTTCAATAGCCTCTACTCTATGCTGATCACTTCCAACAATAGCTCTGACAGCTCCATCATCAGAGATGCCATCGAAGCGGTTGCTGGTGCAGTGTCTGATCAAAGAAACGACGTCTCGGTCGTTCCGAACCCCTTCGGTGGTCTCGAGAATCGCCAAGTCGCTTCGCAGAGCAACATTACCCTGGTGGATGGAGGCGAGGATGGCGCCAACATCCCTTTCTGGCCTTTGATTCAGGTGGGTCGCAGCGCAGCACAGTGTCTGATTGCGTGGCTCCGCTCTGGCGCTCTCGAGCTGACATCTCACGAACAATATCTTCTCGGCAGCCCGCCCGTAATCTGGATCTCGTCGTGGGCATTGATTCCTCTGCTGACGTCTCTGACTGGCCGAACGGAACGGCAATCCGCGAGACATTCCTGCGCGCATCGGGCAATCCAGCCTTCAGCGACGTCTCATTCCCCATGATTCCGACGCAAGCCACGTTTGTCAACCGCGGCCTCAACACCCGACCGACCTTCTTTGGGTGCAACAGGAGCTCGCTGATCAACGTCGACACGGCTGGAAACAACACCATCTCTCCTCTGATCATTTATCTGCCATCTTACCCTTATTCGGCTCTAGCCAACTCGTCCACCTTTAAGCTGTCGTACTCTGACAACGAGGTCCAAGCACTGCTGGACAATTCTGTCGAGACGGCTACTTTGGGCGGATTGGCCAATTCGGGCAGCATCAAGTGGTCCACTTGCTTGGCTTGCGCTGCCTTGGAACGAGGCTTTGAGCGATCAGGCACTGCGAGACCTCAAGTCTGCCAGTCTTGCTTTGATCAATACTGCTGGGATGGAGTATCCAACGACACTGTTCCTGCCGACGTGAGTTGCACTACGCATTCGCGTGATTCTTTTGATGTCGCCACTGCAAAAGCTGACTTCGCTTTGAGGATACCGTGGGCAGTTCTATTCCCCGCCAGTCGGTACACCGGGGTTCATCACCTCGCAAGGAGCGCTGAGACAAGCTCCTCCAAGCACAGGTGGAAATGGTACTAATGCCGGTGCGTGCGCTCAAGAGAGACTTGAGGCTCGCTCGATGGCCCGCTTTGCTGACGTGTATGCTCCATATCTCTTGCCTCGTGTAGCTGCTGGTGACTCGGCCTCGACGGACAGATCGGACGCAGCTGCGGTGCTTGAGCCTGCAGCAATCAGAGGGGCGGGGTTGGCTCTGCTCTTTGTTGCAGGCGCTGCGTTACTGCTCTAAGGAGCATTAGACTTCGCTCAAGATAGTGTGGATCGCGACGCAGTCCCAGAGGCGAGAGCAATTAGGCAAGCATCAAATGCCAGAGTCACTGGCTTGTGCGATGCCGCAAAACAAACAGATCGCAAGATTCCACCCTTTCCCATCCCTGCCCTCCATTCTGCTCCACTCCCCTCGCAGCGAACAATGTAAAGCACACATGCGAGTCAGCAAGACCTTCGTCGCCGCGCATTAATCATTTTAGCGATGCTATCTGATCATCCAATTACTCGCGCCTCGCGAGGCGCAAGGTCGTCATCGTCATACTGTCGCGCGTGTCCTCGAGAGAGACAATGGTGGGCTGCTCCTCAAGCGGCGAGTGCGCCAAGGCGAGGAGGAAGCTACAAGTGCGGGTAGCATGGCCGAGAGGCTTGACGTGGGCGTAGGTGCCACATTCATCTCATAGGTTCTGTCCAATCATAAGCTCAATCCAAACACGCTTGTAGGCGAGACATGAGGCTCCACTTATCCCTCCCAATTCCCCCACTTGGCCGAGAACGCCAAGCACACTGTTGTGGCTGTTGCTCTTGACCCCCGACGTGCGCACGATCCTGGACCGGACGCTAGCTCTTGATCGTGCTGACAACGATGCTCTAATTTAGCGATGAGAGGGCCGCTCAAAATTTACCGAATCGTACAGCGCGGAATCTTCCATTTGTCTGCCCCGCCCAGCTGCCGAGGGCGCAATCGGAGATCATCCGTGCGGCCCCGCATCCATCGCCTCGATCGCTTTCGCTTCAGACCAACCAACGAAATCTTGGCGAGCGGGGGGGGAGGGTGTTTGGTGGCGCATGTACGCCTTAGAATGCTTTAGCCCAAGGTATGTGGGCAAAGGGCAAAATGGAAAACAAGTTCAAATCAAGATCACAAAAACGCTGGCCGGGTGCGCATTTGACGTGACGACTTGCTCTTGAGGCAAGCGTGCAGCCCGCCCCATGCTGTTGAGGGTGCTGTTGGCAACAAGCGGAGATGTTGTTCGCCAAATCACTCTACAATGCGCCCCAAACGCATTCTTTGGGGAGGCTGTCAGAGAGTCCGCTCATGCATGGAATTTGGGATGATGGAGCGGTTCCGTTGGAGAGATGCGGGAAAGCCGTTCGTCGCGCCAGTTGGAGTGGGGCCCCATGCACCAAACACTCTTGACTTTGCGAGGGCAAGTTTGATTATGAGTGTCAACACCATACGCGAGCAGCCAGCCGAGCACTATATGAGATGCGCGAGTCCATTTATTGAGCCATGCGGCATGCAGCCCCCACCTTTTGGCAATTCGGTGCAACTTTCTCCTGTTGCATGGATGTGCGAGCATCGGTGCACCGGTGAGCTTCGATTGTGAGCCTGCTGCTGGTAGCAGCAGCAGGAGCAGCAGCAGTCACAGTGGTGATGAATCACGAATGTGAATGCCGAGGGGTCACGAATGAGAGATCTCGATCGCGATCGTGCCTGCATGCTTGCTTGCATGCGTGCGTGCGTGCGTGCCTGCATACGCTTATGCTTGGCCACATCGTGCGCACAGTCTGTGTGAGTGCCTGATCAGAATTAATGATCGACTCATCGTGACTCGCGTACGTACGCGTGACGGCCGGTCATTTCGGCAATCTCTGTCTTCGTGATACACACAGCACACACACACCGCACCAGCATTCGTGATTCAAACGTGAATCCATGGATCAAAGGGGGAGAGCAGAGGAGCATACAACTGGCATCGGATGAAATTGCCGTTCGTAAAGTGTTTGCATGGCTATATAGAGACACGGGCGCGCGCAGTCATCGTAGCGCAGGCGAGCGGCCAGCATGGGCTTCGCTCGGTCTTTCTTCGATTCTGGATTGGCGCAGCGCGCTTCATCGAGCGCGCAGACGAATGACGCAATTCAACCACGCCAGTGCGGGGCAAGACTCAATCTTGAATGTGAATCTTGAATGACGAATCGTGACTGCCAGCACAGGGACGCGATTGAGATCAGCCATGATGTGTGCGATTTGAATTTGAATTGAATGTGAATCAACAAGGCACTCCACTCAAGCAACGGTCCAGTCAAAGTCACGAGTGTCGCGCTTCATGATGTATTGGCTGCGCGAGATGCGACCGAGTCTGTTGCAGTGAGTCGCATTTTAGCTACGCACACGACCTTCATCGACTGAGCTCAGTCTCAATCTCGAGCGCTTCAGTAGTGATCGGATGCCGTACGCTGCTCTGGAGAGATTGCTGCTGCATCGGCTCGCTCATGCACCGAAATAAAGCTGCATACATACATGCTGCTCGGCGGTAAGCGTCAAAATCACTGAATGAGACGCGCGCGCGAGCACAGACATATCACACACACACACACACAACAGCACACAACACCGCAAACGCGATCGACTGATAAACCAGCAGCAACGGCGCTATCGGCGCTGCTTGATACGACACATTTGCAATCGGTGCATATGCTGTGTACCGACCGCGGTACCTGCTCCTGCTGCTGCTGCTGCTGCTGCGTGGCGCGCAAGGGGCTGCTCGAACCTAGCTTGCGCGGCGCCCTCTACCCTTGTTGCTGCTGCTGCTGTTGTCTGCGCGGTGCGGTGCTCCACAATCACTTACACTGATCAGATGAATGTGATGCCGAGGATAAGCCGCCGTCGCAGCAATCTGGGCAGCATTCCATGATGCAACGATGAGGTGATGGTCCTCGTGAACCGCTCGCGTGCTGACACGGGGGGGGGGGGCAGTCTGAAGAGTCGCTCCCACTGAGATCAGTCAGTCATCTTGAGTGTGAGTCACAAGTGCTGTGAGTGACGCTTATTCGCGTCGTGCCTTGGCTCACGCTCGTGACTCAAAGCTCAAGGCGTGTACCGACCGGTACACCGCACATACATATCCCATGCGCTGCTTGTGCCTCGGTGATCTTTACTGCGATTAGCCCGCCCTTCTCTCGTCCCCTCTTTGCTCACGAAACCCACATCCTCATAAGGCAGATCCACTTGTCTCGAAACCCATCTCACCTTTTGATTTCCCCCTTCGTCATTCAAAGAGTCAACAAATCCGGTCCGCAAACCCATCTCATCCTCTCGCGCTTTCCCTCACCTTGGCGCCATTACTTTCAACTTCCACCACACATTTGACTCTACCGCTCGCTCCCTTGCATTCACGATTGCCTCGAGGCTCGAGAGCTGAGATTACGAGCCGAAAGACGCGCGCGCGATCGTCTTTGCTATCTCGACTTAAGTCTCGAGCAGCAGCAGCAGCAGCAGCAGCAGCAGCGCACGCCGACCGCCCGTCCTTCCATTCGCCAAGACCAACGAGCATCAGGTGTAGCAGCGTGACCCGCACTCCCCCCTGAGCACGTTTTCGCGCAAAGCTTTCGGGTTGGGTGCAGCGCGTGATCGAGAGATTCGTGACTTTGCGTGCTGCTGGTGCTGCTGCCCGCCGCAAAAGGAGCGCACGACACACGCAGCAGCTAGAGAGAGCATCGCGCGCGTGCGTGCAGTGCAGTCCGTGCAGCTGCTGCCGCCTGCTCCTGCCGTGTGCGGCGCGGATGTGCGGGTGTGCGGGTGTGCAATTGGATTGCTCGCTCGCTTGCTTGCTTGGCTGCTCCTCTCTGCCCGCTGCTGCTGGCTGCATATGCGGCTTGCTATAGCTATAGCTGCTGCTTGAACATATACCGTTCGTCGCGGCAGCAGCCGACGCGCGCCGTGGCTCGCTATCATCGCGCGTAGAACGCGGCAGCAATCCCTGCGGCGGGACCATCGTCGCGCTATACAGCAGCAGCAGCACATCCAGATCGGAGTGCTACCCACTTTGTGGCCTACACGCCATACAGCAGCTTCCGATAGTGTGAGACCGGAAACAGACACACATTCACACCAACCAACCCGCTTGCGCGGCAAAGGTTGGGAAACGTCGCGCGTTGGCAGCTGTAAAGCGCCTCTGCTAGGCTACAGGATTCCCACACTCCTGCCTCAGTCATGAATCCCCTCACCTTCTTTCCTCCACCATCGCGCTCCCTATCTCGACAAGGCGCGCCACCTCTCCGCAACAGCACCGCCACCGGCTCTTCATCGCTCTCCAACTCTACCAGCGCTCTGGGTGGAGCAGCTAGCAACGGCATCGGCTCATCATTCACCCCTGCAGGCGGGAGCAGCAGCAGTGGTCATCACAGCCGCCATTCCCGAACGCCCAGCTCGAAATCCAGACCCGCTTCATCGAGCAGCGCGCGCAGGCAACGTCCGCACTCCGCCATCGACAGCAGCGGCAGCCAATCAAACTCTACGACTCCTCCATCCGGTCCATCCGACTCGGAGGCTACAGCTTCTCAAGCTTCGGGCAGCAGATCTCAAAGCAGGCGGCCATCCACTTCTGCAGCAGGGGCCAGCGCAACAAGCAGCTTCGATACAAAGGGAGCTTCTCTAAAGATGTCCACTCGAGCCAAGGTCCCTTCGCCCCGCGGCGGTCTGTCGCGCACCATGTCAACCAGCAGCACAGAAGGTGGCAGTCTCAGCGCTGGAGCCCTCTCGGATGCGGGCGGTGCTGCAAGCACTTCCGCTGGTAGCGACGCCAGTCGCAATGGCAAGAGCGCGAATCCAGAGCAAGGCAGTCCCAGGACGAAAGACGCAGCCGCGGCCAAAGGCAAACCGCCGGGCATGTTCTTTGATTGGGTGAGACCGACTGAGATCGCTCAAGCTTATCGCATGGAAAAGGAAGGATTTGGAGAAGATGCTGCGAGCTTGGACAAACTCAAGTACAGGCAAAAGAATGCCGGTCACTTGTTCCTCGGAGCCTTCTTGCCCACGCCGCCGCCCAAGATTGCTGGACCTCTAAGCATCTCCGCGACGCCGCCTAGACAACTCCTTGCCTATACTTGCGGCACAGCAGCCGCCGCTCTCACCCTTCGCAGCATGTCGGTGCACAGCACGGATGAGGATGCATGGCTGGTCTGCCTTCATTCTGTATGCGTCTTGCCTTCATTCAGAGGCCGGGGTCTGGCCAAGATGACGATCGAAGAGCTGGTCAAGCGACTGCAGAGGGCTGAGCTGCAAATTGGGGACGCAAAGTCGAGAGGACCTCAACGAGGCTACGAATGCGTAGCTTTGCTAGCTCACGAGGAGCTTATCCCTTTCTACGAAAAGTGCGCCTTCAAACTCCTGGGAGTGAGTCACGTACAGTGGGGCAGTGGGAGCTGGTTCGAGATGCGGAGATACCTCTTTCCGAAAGATGGAAGCAAGCCAAAGGCGATTGCAGAAGAGGCGGAGGAGACGGCCTCTGCAGGCGACGGGAGTGTAGCTGCAGCAGCTGCCACTGCTGAGGGCGACAAGAAGCAGGCAGCGTCGACAAGTCTCGCCACCTCGACGTCGGGATCCTCTTCTGATTCCAACGCTCGCAAGTCTCCCCCGCGAACACCACCGGCCAACAAAGGGGCAAGCATCGTGACGGACGTGAAAGGCATTGTCGATAGCCCAGGTGCCGCTTCGGTACTCGGCGAGACGACCTTTTCTGCGGCGCAAGCTGCTTCGCCGATTGCTGCCGAGGCCCCTGCGACAACCCCGTCCAGTGCGCAGCCGCCGCCGAGCTCGCAAGGCGGCAAGACTGGTCTGCCCCAAGGCATGACGCAGGAGCAGCTCGTCGCTGCGCTCCGCTCTCAGACCCTGAGTCCGTCCACATCAGGTCCGCGCAACCCTGGAATGGCCTATTCGTCCGTGCTTGGCCAGGCGCTGGCGGCCAAGACTGCGGTCGAAGATGCCTTCCACGCTCTGGAAGCCAGATTGGTCAATCGGGAAAGGAATACGAACATAGCGGAGCTCTATTGTCCCAGAGAGGAATGCGGATGCAAGCTCATCAAAAAGAATGTCGCGGAGTGGGAAATCGCCGAAATGGGTCCGGTGAGTTCGCTTTGCGAGGCGGAAGCTCGTTGATGCGTGCTTGCTCACCATGTTGCGCTTCCTTATCATAGTTGTCGTCGGCGAACCTCTCGCTTCCCAATTCGCCAGCGCCTCCTTCAGCGCCTCAACCGCCTCCGCCTCCCCAATCCGCCCTTTCCAGAATTCGTTCTGCAGTCCCCTCGTTCGGCGAGCAGAGCGGCTTGGGCGTGACGCGCACCCCTGTGCGGGGCTTTTGGACCCTCGTGTCTCCCCTCTCTTTCGAGAATATCGGCTTCTCAAAAGACGCGGCGTGGGTCGTTCCCGACCTGCCCACTTCGCCCAATCCTTCATCCGGAGGCATGTCTCCCATCGACGAAGAGGGAAGCGGCAAGTCTGCCCGCAAGCCTCTGGCAAAGCGAAAGAATTCTCTGTTCTGGAACACGACGGAGAAAAAGAGGCTTGCTCAAGAGGAAAAGGAAAAGTCGGAGGCTGCTGCTGCAGCTGCAGCAGCAGCGGCGGCTGAAGGGAGGAATCGAGCAGATGGAGATGGAGCGCAGGGTAGAGGAGGGTCTTCGAACCTGACGGTCAAGGTGAAATACCTGCTTTGCGCCGAGTGCGATTGCGGGCCGCTCGGATATACCGTCTTGCCCGTCGGCATGCAGGATGGAGGATTTGCGAAGTCTGTAGGCGAACAGATCAAGCCCGATGCGCAGCCTAGCGCTCAACCTGCCGAACCGCCCATCTTTCTCATCGCGGCAGATCGAGTCAGGTATCGCTTTCTAAAGAATTGAGGCCGAAGCGCTCGCTACGTAGTGCGCTATCTTTTCCCCTCGCACCCCTTTTCTCCTCTCCCGCCTCGACCTCTCTTGCAATCGCTCGGATTGCAGCTGCTGCCGGCCTGCGATGCACCAACAACAACAGCTTACCACATTACAAGACGATTCTCCCCCAATCTCATTCACCCTCGACGTGTGCGCTCGTATGAACACCCACTGCCCTTCGTAAATTCTCCATGCGCTGCTCTCAATTCAATCCAGTGTGCTTCCGTCTCACGTCGTCTGAAGCATGCGAGAGCATGCTGTTCACGATTGCTGCTGTGCGTGCGATTGATGAGTCGGGCCAGGTACATGCGAGCGATCGCGGGGAATGAGGAGCGTTGGCGGAAGTGTGTGACGGGTTGCCTTGCGCGAAGAACGAAGCAGCAGCAGCAGCAGCGCAGGCAAGAGACGCAAAAAAGAGGGGGACGGCAAGCAACAAAAAGGTGATGCGCTCGGGTATCGTTCGGTGAAGGTGCAAAGCGGAGCGCCAAGCAAGTACATTCAAGATTGCAAAGAGCGGGAAAAAACCAAGGAACAAGAGGGTGACTGACGGAGGATGATGTCGTCGGCTCAGCACCTGAAGTCGGTGACGCGGCCAGTGGCGACGTTGCGGGGAATCTGAGGTGCGGCAGGGACAAGGGATTGGGGCTGTCAACTCTTGCATCTCTTTTCATGTCCTCGTCTCAGGGCACAAGGACGGGGGCCCGCGGCCCATAAGCGCACGCTCAAAACTCACCCAGCCGTACTGAATGCCCTTTTTGACGCTCCACTCTTCGGCCGTGCCGTCCTCCGTCTTCCAAGTCCAAGCCATGTATCCCGAACCTCTGCTGTACGCATCCACCTGCGTTTGCCAGAAGCGAGCGAGCAGAGCCTTGTAGCCAGCCGAGAAGCCGGAAGCGGGACCTCGCTTGGGTCCGCAATCGCCATACTTGGAGGAATTGGGATAGCTGCCGTCGTACCTCGACCCCACACCTCTTCCGTTGAGGTACTTTGCGCAATCTGTGAAAGCGGGCGAAAACTCTCCGACGACTAGCCACTTGTCCTTGTTCAGCTGCTCATACTTGGATCCGAGGGAGCAGTAGTAGTCTTGCCTAGCTTGCGCTTTTCGCCGGATGGAAGTGTTGTCGAAGACGGTGTAAATGTGAAGATCCAGCGAGACTCCCGACGCCCCATTGTCGGATGAAGAGAGGAAACCGTTCCAGTAGTCTCCGCCTTTGAAACCATCACCGAGCGTGACGACGAGGTTGCCCTTGTCCCGAACGATCTTGTATCCATCCCGATAATACTTTTTGAGAACACCGTCATCCACATTGACTGGCTCGTTGACGAGCTCGATGGAGACGACGCTGGAAGCGTACCGGTCCTTGCTGAACTCGTTCGACAAAGTCGAGATGATGGCCAGGGAGCGCTCTACATTCTTGGTGCCGTTCGACCAGCGCGCTTTGCCTTGGCGGCCACTGTGGTTGAAGCCTGATCAGGTGCAACGTCAAAGGAGTCAGATGGAGCACTCTTCGCCACACGACCTCCTACACTTACCGTTCTGGCTTCCGGGCAGACCGTGAACGTCGACCATGACCTTGAGGCCAATGTCGGCTGCCCAGCCCGCCGCTTGCTTCAGCAAGTCGTACTGGTTCAGCTGGAGGTAAGGCTCTGCACCCTGCACATCGAAAGCCCAGAACCCAATGGGAATTCTGATCCAATTGAATCCCGCATTCTTGATGTCCACCAAGTCTTGTCGAGTGTAGAAAGAGTTGAGATGAGGTTGGAGTAATCTGGCGCCGGCCGACTTGCCTAGACGCGACCACAGTGTCCATTCGTCAATGATACCGTTGTTGGAAGGGCCGGTGCTGTCGAATAGAGAAGGGGTGATGAAAGGTTCCAAAACGAGCCAGCCGCCCAAGGAGACACCTCGAATCAGATCTGCTCCTTGACTTGGTCCGCCGTAGTTGAAACGGAAAGCAGGAGCGCGAGAGGTAAGGTTCTGGCTGAGGGCCGTGTTGTCCACCTCGCGAGCGATGGGCATGATGGCGATCTCATCCGCATCGGCTCGCTCGACCACATCCGCTTCGGTCAGGCGGGCATCGTGATGTCTCCTGGATCGAAGAGCGTGCGAGACGAGCTGATCATGGGATACCTCGCTTGCGATGCTGGTGCTGGCCAGAATCGCTGCAGCGAGGCCGACAAAAGCCGACGAGAGGCGCATGGTGACGGTAAGCAGGGGTGGTGCTGCAAAATCGCAATGGCGTGCGCAGTAAGAATTGTCAAGTCGTCTTGAGGAGCAGAATCGGAGACGAGGTCGAGGTCAAAGTCAAAAGAATGTGAGAAGATGAGGGAGTGTGTGCGGTAAGCGTCCGCGACTGTGAGCAGGAGAGACGGGTCCAGGCAAAGCTTGCCGTACAGCGTGACTGGGAGAGAGAGTGAGGAGTAGCAAGAGGAGGAGGGAGTAAGAAGCCACAAGGTTGAAGGGGAATTGCGGGGAAAAGGTCGAAAAAATGCAGGAACCTGCTTGTATATGTAGTCTTTGTGCAAATGCGCTTTCGCTCTCGAGTCAGCCTTTGAGCGGGGGGCCGAGAGCAGCGGGCATGGGGAGCCGCCCGATGCAGGACTGAGTGGCTCTGGTGCAAGCACTGCTGCTGGGTGTTTGTTAGGCACAGCAGCTATGTAGTCCACCAAGGGGCTGACGACGAGCACGCAGCTAGCTCGGTTGAGCATCGTGACTGTCAAGCCAGCCGAGGATCCGCTGCTTGATGTCCATCATCGTCGTCTGCTGCTCGCACCGCTGCATTGACCGACAATCCAATTTGCACGCGGGCCAAGACGGGAGCAGCAAGAAAGAAGGTTGTACAGTACACAAAAGATTGTCGGAGATCGAACGCCGTTAGAGCGGGTCCGCTTGCAAGCGCCTTGGAGCGAGTGGCTGGCTGCCTGACCCGCGTGCCGGTGCGGTGCATCAAAACACGGGCAGCGGCCAAGTGCTGTCGAGCGTTGCAGCACCCATCCACACTTCTACCACCCTCCTGACCGTCGAGGAGCGTTGGGCGGGAGCAGCGAGCGGATGGCTTTTGGGCTGACGTTCCAGACAGGAGGTGTCTAGCGCGAGCATGTTCGTGCACGATCTCCCAGAGCGAGTCGCAGTGTAGCGCTCACGAGTCGATGTGCGCGAGTCGTGAGTACCGGCGAACGTGGAGCACACGAACCCCCGCTCAGAGCAGCTGCACATGCACCAATCGCGAATATGCTGCTGCTGCTGCAGGGGTCAAAGCACCCAACAGGCACGCTCAGCAGCGGCTCGAGGCGTGAGTCGCGAGTGTGTTCCGAGGCAGAAATCCCCATGCACGTTCTAGCGCATATATGCATCGGGGAGGCGCATGCGCGTGCCTTCGCTCGCTACGTCCTGTCCTTGACTCTTGACTTCAGAGAAGGCAATTAATCACAATTGACTGGAGTTCCTGGCTGGCTAGGTGTCCATTCGCATCAGCTCGGGTATCGACTCCTGCTGGCTGTGCGAGTGCCTTTCCCCTCCTGCTCTTCAGGCAGAAAGATGATGATGCTGAACTAGTGACTTTGATGTGCGGACGCCGGCGATCCACTCGGGACTACGAGATCATGGCAACGCTTCGACTGCTCGCTCCTCGCCCGCACGCAGACGCCGAACTGGCCGCGAGTCACGCGTAAGAGTGCTTGCTTGGCCATCCCAGCATCAACTAGTTGCCAATCGACGGGACTCGCCATGGCAAGATGGAACATATCTTGCTCCGAGCCGCGAGAGGTGGGATGGCCGATGAGGCTGCAAATGTTCACGTCGAGCTCTCGTGTCTGCAGTCGAGTCGATCGCTGGCTTCGTGCTGCTGCTCAGAGCCGTGTCGGGGCCGCCGCACGAGCCAAGCAAGGAGGCGATCCCTGTGCTGTTTACCGCGCACTCATGACGATATGCTGTACGTGCTGATATACTTGCGTATATTCGAAGTCTGCTGCATGCTCATCGATCTTGACTGCCCTGAAACGGAACGGCTTTCAGCACGCGCTCGAATAGCTCTGATAGTTGCGATGCGATCACCCCATCGACGAAGAGGACAGCTCAAGAGTCAAGAGTTGAAACCGACTGGATGCTCTGAGAGGAGCACAAGATCGCTGAGTGGAGAGTCAGGAGTGTCGAGCGTGCTTATACAACCGTCCAAACGAATCTTGAATCTTGAATTTTGAATCCTAAGGCACATGCAGCCATCGCGCTCCTTCATGGCTTCAAGGTGGCGAGTCACGTGCTCCGCCATAAACAGCGTCAAGCACATCCACGCGCCAGAAAGCAGCAACGTCTGTATAGCCAACGAGCTCTCGACTCATTGAGTCAAAGTGGTTTGATCGGCACGACAATCGCCACAGCTAAGCCTTGTTCAGAGAACTGGTTCCAGCCAGCGTTCTTTGACATTTGGTAGCCACAATGGAGTTGGCGCCAGGGGCAAAAGCCACGCATAAGAAAGGCAGGTATAGAGCGGCACAGAACCACACTTCAGGATGATCCTTTGCATCGTGCTGCTATGTCGTATGGACTGACCAAATCGAATAATATTACAATGCAAGCAGAGCATCGCTCATGATTCACGTTTGCATATGCTTCGTACGATGACATCTACCAGATCCTGCTTTTGATCATCGAATAACGCGAAACGTCCATTAGAGAAGGACCCTTGCTAGATTTGCTGCTGCTACCGCCGCCGCCGCCGCCGCCGCTCTCCACTTTTCCTCTTGCAGGAGCTACTTGACCTCGCATCCCAACGCTCCCCGCATCGTCTTCCGCTCGATCAACAAGCTGCGCAATCTTTGCGTCGTGCAGCTGAGATTTCGGCATTCCAGTGTCAGTGCACAGCTGTTCACAGTTCTTGCTAAATGCTCAAGAAGGCAGCTCTGGGCACTCACCCTCTCTTCACGATCAACGCCGATCGGTGCTCTGTCCCTGGCATTCAGCTCTTCCTCTTGCTCTCGCTGCTGCATAGTAGCGTAGCGATGAGATGCGTAGCTGACGAGGTTGAGCCCGAGCAGAAGCTTCAGTCCCACCAAACTGATGGGGGAGCGAACACGACCATCCAAAATCAGCGTGCTCGTCAAGCTCCGCAAAGTCGCGGCGCTTGACACTCACAAAACCCAACCGATGACGACCGTTAGAGCCCAAGCTGCGCTCCTTGCGATGGTCGCCGCGATCTCGTTGGCAGCGCCTTCAGGATCATGCGCACCCAACATCCTCGCAGCTCCTCTCGCCAAGCCAATTCCGTAGACGAGCTTGAAACCGCTCTGAGATGCATGCGGAGCGGCGCACTCGTCGAAATGACTCGTGTCCCGCAACATGCCGAGAATTTGGCTGGTGATGCGGATCAAAAGGCATGCCAAGGGCAGCGCTGCGAATCCCAGTCGACGGGATACGATGGGACTTTGATCGACAAAATTGTGCTTGCGCGATCCTTGGGCTGAGCCAGGTCCAGCGACGAGGTCTCTGCAAAGGACGTCCATGAAGCGTCCGTAGACTGCTGGTCTGATGTGGTTGAATTTTGTGATAAACGCGTGCTTAAGCCAGTCGACTATGCACTCCGATGCGAGAACGATTGCGACCGGCACGATGATGGTTTCCAGCATGTTCAGGCTTGGAAACACTGTGAAACTCGTCGGCAGTGGCCCTGTTCCTCCCTCGATGCTGGCGCTGATGCCTGATATCTCAATCAGGTTGCGCAGTGCAATGGCGGACAGCATCAACCCAAGTTGAAAGCGCTCAACAATGTCAGCGCAAGTGAGCTGGAACAAATTCTCCTTCTCGAACTTCTTGAAGACGCTTCCCTTGATTTCGACGAACTGGTTGGATATCAACAGTGTAAGCAGAGCATTGTCGTAGCTCATGATCGCAACATTGAGAGTGACGAGCTGATAGAATAACACGAAAGTGTGCGCCAGGATGTACGCAAGAGATAGCAGAAAGAAGCCAGTCGGTCGAAGATAGGGTTGCCTGCCGTCCTTCCGTCGCGCCAAAGTCGCTCGGGAGAATAGACTGTCGAGCAAATCTTGTCCGAATGAGCAGCAGAGGCGATCCGCAATTTCCAGCACGTTGAAAATGACGCTGAGCTTGACGAAATCTTGCCCTCGGACACTGTGGTACATCTTGCTTGCGTCTGTCACTCGCGAGAGGATGTAGCAAGAGAGCACGATCAGAGCCGCCTTGAGAAGGTCGCACTTGTGCGACGAGTGGAGGTATCGGCGTTCGCCGCCCAAGCACCACCTCATCAGGTTCGCCGTCCAGACGTACAGTGCCACACCGAATCTGAGAGGTAGGATCGTGAAGGTGTAGAGGAAAGAGTCGAGGCAGACAGCGATGCCAAAGACCATGATCTTGTAGTGGTGATGGAGTCCTCCACAGTGAGTCGTGAGATCGCAGCGGGCATCTACCAAAGATCACTCACCTTTTCCATCCAGAAGGGGATCGCAATGAAATTCGTTACGCGCTCCCACTTCATTTCCTGTGTGGAGTCGAAGTCCGTGGCAACGATCTCTTCTCGAAGGTAATCCCACAAACTCAGGGAAGACTGAGAGCCCACAAGTGGCAGTGTATTCAGAGCAGCCTCTGACTGCGAGTGCGATGATGGGCGAGGAGTCGAGACCTCGATGGGAGAAGCGCGCCTGGCTGCGAGAGGAGTGTTCGGCTCCACGATTAGATGCTTGACGTCATCGCGGCGTGGCGCCTCCCAGTGAACAGCTTCAGCATCGAGGCGTGAGGTATCCGACACAATCGACTCGTCTGAGTGATACGCGGAGGGGGGCGAGTGCGTGCGGGGCGTGACTGCGCCTTCCTGCTGGGAGAACGATCCGGCTCGAGGCTGATTCCTCTCTTGCAAATGCTCAGATGCCGCACTGGCATGTGATGCTGGTGGTGACCCTGGCAAGTGGTTTGCTGCAGATACAGGGTGTTCCCTGCTGTGAGCGCGCGAGTGTATATCTGCTTTGCTTGTGCCTCCCGATCCGCGAGGATCTTGGGCCTGGCTCTGATCGAGCGTATCGTTAGAGCTCGCACGAAGTGTAGCCTCGCGGACATCGCCACCTCCTCCTCTGGGCGCACTGCGTACATGTGCTTCCCCAAGAGTGTCAGCTCGATTCGACCCACTCTCGATATTTGATTCGCGATGAGAGTCGGCTAGACCCGAAGGTGAGGCGGGTTTCGCAATGCGAGGAAGGGTCAGCTTGTCGAAGCGGATGTCGTGTGCCCGCTGGACTGGAGTCGCGTCGTCCACAGCCTCAGACAGTCTTGAGAAGGGGTCGCTGGGCAATTGCAAATCCTTCTTGAAGGACGCCTTGGTGCCCAGGGGCGTGATTGAGCGAAGTTGTGCGTCATCATGTGCAACGCGCCTCCCTGCCTCGTGCGTAGGCTCATACTGGCGCCCAGCGGCACGCTCATCAACGTCGCCGAGATGCTGCAAAGGCAAGGAGGGCTCACTGCTGTGCGCAGAGCTGGTAGGCTCTGTGTTGCTCAGCATGAGGGCTCTCCGACTCTGCTTGTATTGCTGCAGAGCATTCCTGTAGCTTTGCGCTTTGCTTGTCTGTGCATTCTGCTCTCTCGGAGATGTGCCCTCCTCAAGCGTGCCGTCCCTTGCTGGTGTTGCACCTCTGGTCGTGATGCTTTCATCCTCTTCGAACTCTGAGCCAGATGAAGAGCTAATTTCGTCTTCCCACAGCTCGTCCCCATCTTGCTCGCCCGCGTCTAATTCTCCATCCGATAGGTACTCCTCCGGTTTCAAATCATCTGAATCCATCAACCGCTGACTCGAAGTGGATGCGTGTCTTGGCTCCGCATCCGTGTCCAGAATTTGTCCACCATGAGCGTCCCGCACTGGTGCCTGTGAGTACCTATGAGGCGGCTTTCCTTGCTCGGTCTGCCAGTTCGATAGCGGGCTGGCATTCTCGTCTGATCGATCAGCAGATGCCACCACTTCCGTGCCATTGTCTGGCTCGTCCATCCATCGCTTCGGTGTGTGTGGAGGGGTCACTGGCACGGGAACCATGAGGTAGGTGGGTGGACAAGCCCGGTAATATGCATGTCCTGTGGGGTTGCTAGATCGCCGAGCACACGCTCAGACGGGTGGTGGTTGTAGTCCAGGTTGACGACTAGCTCGCCATACTGGATGTGTGGAGGTGCTGATGAAAAAGCAAGAGCTTACGGAGATTCGAGCTCCACTCGTGACTACTGTTTCCGGTTGCAAAGTGGACTCTGATCGCGCGGCCGTTGATGCAACGGTTCTCGATTTTAAGAAAGCATTTATATTGCGCAACGGACATGTGTTCGAGTTACGAACGTGCTTTCTGCCTCAGTGGTGAGGCGCTGTTGCGTACATTTGCGTGGAATCGGTGCACATGCGCGGATATTGTCGACTTGCTGGATCGCGCGGTATGGGTTCGATTCCGCAGGGTCACAGAATTGTAGTCACGTTGGTAACGCTGCCATCTTCCTCTTTCACCCCTCTGCGCAGATAACAGGTTGCGCCGCGATGCGCGTCACACGAAGCACAAGGGGCTCCCCAGGTCAGTTGAAACTCTCACGCCCCGCGCCATTGAAGCAAGCCCACGCAAAGTACGACAGCACAGATGCACTTTTTTTTCTCTTTTTGACTTTTCTTCTTTTTGTACTCAGCTGTGAATTATTACTGTGCTTTCTTTCATACTTGACTTTGGACTTCCGCATGCTGACAGCCAAAAGAAGTGCTCGAGCTTATACGCCATGCACGACATTGATCGAGCTTTTGCCATGTTATCACAATTCTTGATTTGGCAGGGCCGGCTAGCTTCACCTTCGCACTCAAGACTGTCAAGCTCATCTTCGTCATCTTGATGAAAATGGTTATCAGTGTCAGGAGTGGTGACGATCCTGCAGTGAATGAACAAATAGGTATTGCTTTGCTGTGCGTGAGGCGTGCAAGTAGAAAGAGAGAGGAGTAAGGCTGCGTACGAGGTGCAAAAAGAAGACTCATGACTGTGGTATCGCGAGGTAGGAAGAAGACGACATGCAAGGAAGCGACGAGAGGGTCCGGACAAGAAAGAGCAAGCTTGCGATTTTGTGACGACTAGTGTCAGTGGTCAAAGAGGCGGAGGGCAGATGATGACAGGAAAGAAGGAAAACCTTGGATCAGGCAGCAAGAGGTGATTGAAGAAATGCGATGCAAAGGGCAGCGGCCAGCCAAATCGGCGAGCGAACGGGACGAATGTGGACGCTCATTAGCAGCGTCTTTTCTGGTGGTGCCAGAGCTTGAGATGATCGAGAGGAATGACGGTGAACCTAAGAACCTCGAAAAGGCATGAAGTCGTTCTCCAGCTCCAGCATGCTGACGTGAGGTAAGTAAGAGGCGTTACGCCTCTGCAGCTCGTTGAATGGGACCGCCGGCCCAGCGACCGGCACCGTTGCCCAATTTTCGGCTGCATTGTCTCCATACGCCTGATAGTCGCTCGAGCATGATCCGCCGCTGCTACCACTCGGATCAGTGGAGCCCCACCACTCCGATGGTTCGAGAAAGAGAGAAGGCGCCCGATTAGCATAATTCGATGAGGGTGCCAGAGAAGTGGAATTGAGGGTCATCGTCGCTGGCGCTGGTCTCGTAGAAGACCCTAGAGCGAGTGAGAAAGGCTGGTAGTGAAGGCTTCCGAGCTCATGAGTGGACGATACACTAATTGAGCCGCCCCCGGAGCTTGCAAGAGGAGCCGTGGACTGCGAATGCGCATCAGAATCGGTGTTCAAGCGAGGCGCTGCAGCGATATAGCCAGCAGTCACATCACACTGCTGCTCCAGAAGCTTGCGCGTGTCCATACATCCAGCTCTGCCGCCAAGCTGAAGCAACGAGCGCAGCGAGGACTGACTTCCATGGCCAACTTGTCGACTGGCGGATTGTAGTGCCGCATCCCAGCTCTCCCCACTGAGAATGCGAGTCGTGATCGCAGCGGCAGCCCAGGCACCTTGGTGAGAGGCTTGGAGGGGCTTCAAAGCGCGCGACACCTTCTCGCACCATACCCGGTGCAGCGGAGCTGTCGTACTGCTGCGCGAAAGCTTGCCCTCTAAGCGCACAGCTTGCAAGACGACGTAGCATGCCTCGAGCACTCGGTGCCAGCGTCCAATGCTGTAAGGGGTGACGTGGACGCTCAGGTGAGCTGATGATTTTCTTACTGGCAATTCCTCGTCGCTGATCAGGCTTGGAGAGCCCTTGTGCGTTTCACTCACTTGATAGGCGCGCCTTGCAGGTGTCGGACCATCTCTGACTCATTATTCTCCACCAAGTTGAGAGCAGTAGACACGAGGCTGGCAGCAACGCTTGTCAAATCCCCCTGAGCACCCCAAGATGCTCGTTCGGACAAGTACATGCTGCCAAGAGTACTCATAGCCTGATGGCAGAGCAACCAGCGGTCGCGAAGTATCACGGCCGCGTTGAGTGCGGACTTGTTGTCATGATTGTTCTCCTGCTTCAATCGCATGGAGAGGTCGGGGCGAAAGTACAGCTGGTGGAGTTGCTGAAGAATTGGAGGGACTCGGTGGAGCAGTCGTTGTCTAGCTGCTGGCTGCAAATCGGAGGAAGAGGGCGTTGAAGCGTCTTTGAGTGCCCTAACCCATTCATAGTTGAGGAAGGCGAGGTCGATGAGTCGGAGAGAGTACGCGACCCGGGTGTAGTGTAAGGATGCCGGAAGCTGGAGCACCCTTGGGTGGTCGAGCGCGTCCTGATCGATGTCGCTGGGAAGACGAGTCTTGAACCCAGCTTGGTTCAGTGAGCACGTCGTTAACCAGTCGCGACAGACAAACCACCACCTGTAATCACAGCACCATCATCGCCCGTTAGTCTCGACTACAGCCCAATCTGCGTTTGCACAAAATGGGCACACTCACCATATTCTGACCGCAAATTCCTCTTGCCGCGATGTGAAGTGTGTGAATTGAGGATCATCGCGAGACATTGCATGACCGGCAAGGTCATGAAGACGCATTTCGACACACGCGCCGATCAAGCCTTCCCAAAGCCTGTCCCACTGTCCGTCACGATAGCGTTTTTGGCTTTCGTAAATCATCAGAAGAAGCATACCTGCTTGCAGACCCGCCAAACTTTTGACTTGACCAGCATTGTGCACATCGACGGCTTCTTCTGCCAAGAAGAGGAGATCTTGAGATTCGCGAGGATCGACGCGATCATTTGACGGATGAGAGTCGGAGCATAGGCGGACGCAAGCAAGGAGCAGCGCGATGTGCTCCACCTTCCCGTCGATGACATCAGAAGCTTGTGCAGTCTCGGTGGGAAACTTGTAGAGAAGATCCGCTGTATTTCGGAGCAGATTCATGTCTATCGCATCGTGCATGACTGACAGCAGAGTCCTCTCCTATAGAGGGACGACATATACATCAGCTCGAGGTAAGATGGGGAGGTGCTAGGGCTACACACTCACAAATTCGGCAAAGACGGTCTCGCAATGAGCTCTCGATCGCAAGAGTCTACGGTAGGCTGCCAGTCGATAGACTCTTGCCTGGGCATCCAGATGCAAAGGCCACCTTCCGGCGACATCGTGCTCACGAGGGAATGAGTAATGGTTAGGTTTCCGTTGAAAGGTCGAAGACGCAGGTGGATTGAAGCCGTTGATGGCGTTCGACGAGCCGCGGTTGTCGAGAGCGATGGTAGAGAAGTAATGCTGCTGGTGGCTCTGAAGGTTGTTGAGTCTAGCATACGCCATCGCTTGGTCGACTTTCTTGGCCCTGACCTTTCTGAGCGGTGCAGCGCAGTGTTCTGCGGCGCCTTTGCGGATGCAACTCTCGCAGGGGAAGGAACCATCGCATCGCAGCTTTTTCTGCCTACAGCGTAAACACGATCTGTTTACCGTAGGCTCGATCGACTTCTTGCGTGGCATGCTCCTGACGAGATGAACAGCGTCGCTCAGCCCGCTTGTGGCGCGACCCGTGGTTATGCTACAGTGAAAAGGGGGCCCCTCAAGGGGTGGTACACGGAGAACGGACAGCGATAGGAACGGCGTTTGGGATGAACAAGCAGTACTCCCTATTTCCGGCCACGCCTTGCTTACGGTGTTATACGCGAATGCAGGTAAGCTTTTCAGAAACTGCTGCTGGCGAAGCGGATTCGCTGCAGCTCGATCTGGACAGACGTGTGAGTGTCAGAACAATACTTCTGACTCTTTATTGCGAAATGTAAAAGTGAGGACGAGCAAGCCCCCGCCAAAATCTCTGTCAGCCTCATGTACCAGGCTGAAAAGTGAAGCAGATCTTTGTAGCCAAGATCAGCCCTCTTGGCCCAACGTCTGGGTGGCAATGTGGCGAGCGATCAGATGCTGCCACGTTGGCACGACGCGTCGAGCGACGCATCGTGGGAGCGAGAATAATTGAAACCTCCTGCCAGCGCTACGCCAATTTGAGATTTCATTCGCATCTCGCTAGACTGTTTGTCCGCACCATGACGGTGGATGTGGGACACATTTCCACCATGATGGTCTAGCCGACGTCGTGGAGCTTGAATAATCAACACATCGATGAGCAATCAGTTGCGTGCGACCACGACTGGTGACGCAGCCTTTGCAGGTTAGAGCGCCGGGCACAGGCCGTGCGAGAGAGGTCACTGTGCAGCTCGGAGTGTCCGAACGCGGCAGAGCTGAGAGCTGAAGTTCTCATGCACGCAGCGTGCCACTGCATCGAGGGAAAGCTGCGCAGTGCCGCGTAATTGTGAGCCAAGCTGTTCTACGCCACCCTGGATCACGAAACATCGTGCATGGGGCGGCGTGCGCCTGCAGTAACTAGCGGCATGTAGTCTGCGCTTCAGGATGTGTTCTAGAAACCGTCCACCAACTTGCAGTCAGCTACAGTGGAGGTGTCCTGCGCACACACACAGCTGGCGAAAAAACGACGCAGCTGAAATGGCTGAAATTGGCCATCAGGTTCCGTCTCCAGATGAGCGGAGCCTTTCCCTCGAGCTCAAGAAGACCGTGTGGTCGTGTCTGCCCCGCGTCCCTTGAAGGGCAGTTCCAGCCTTCCTGTTACAAGCGATGCCTCAACGCGGGGCCGAATCGCAGCATGCTGCTTACCAAGTCGGCTTGGGCGGGTCTCGCGAAAGTATCACGAAGCTCCCGACGCCGCAAAGCTTTTGCCCAGTTGATGGATCGAATTTGAAATGTTGCCAAGAGTGCATCTGCTGAACTTCGATCAATCAATGTCTCAGGTCCTCAATGCCGCCGAGCCTCCGATGTCCCCTTTGCTTGCTCTTCCACAGGCGGAGTCGCTGGTCCACCTTGATACGCACTAATGCCGCCCTGATAGACCTGTGCGCATACCTGTATGCCTGCAATGCCTGCATGGCACTAGCCTATGGCGGACCCGCCTAAAGCGAAGTATCTGAAGCGCCGCGGCGAGACTTTGGCCCGAGGCTCGGGCTCTTTCAGGTCTCCGCGGATAACCGTCTGATGTCTTGCTCAGGTGGGAGCACCCTCCGCGGACTTGTGCAATCTCCCCACCTTGGCGGACGGCGCATGAATTGATGCTGGCTGATAGCGCAGCTCGGCACCTCTTGTCGCATATGTTTTCACTCCTGAGGCCTCGCACCACAGACTCTTCTACGAGCTGATGCCTCTCTTGCTGGTCACGCTGAATCGGTTGCACGTTCCTCCTTGAACCGTTCCTGCCAATTCTCGAGGTCAGGAGTCGGATGTACCGGTAAGCCTCGAACACCAAGTACCGGTACTGGCTAGTCGGGACTTTGCGTAAGAGTGCTGAGTGTCAAGCATCCGGATGCATGCAGTGAGCCCGTCTGCGGCCCAACGTTTTGGCGGCATCGAGACCCTTTTCGCTGCTCACACTGCGCGTGTTTCTCCGAGCAGGTCGCCAGTGAGTGGAGTGGCCCGGAGGGACTAATATACTCGTGTAAGACACCTAAGCCACTGCTTGCCAGATTCGTTCGGAGCCGCGAAGTACGAAGAGCCAGCCGTGACGAGGTGGTGTGCTCTCGCGACGTGGTGACGAATGAGACGCATGCAGGGACACGTGAGTATCAATGTATCGTTGTCCTTTTTCGGGTACGAATACATGAGCGTTGGTCTCCCGCCGAGCCCCGCCGAGCGCACAATTGGCCCTCCCTCGTTCACGTCCGCAGCTTGCTTGGCGGTGGGTCGATCCGACACGAGAGTCTTGCGCCGCAATCACCTATTTCAAGAGAAGGCTGAAGGCCAGTCTGTTGCGAAGTGGTCCAGCGCTCTCTCCCAGGTCGAGCCACTACCACTGTATGCTCAACCAATAGATGGTAGACCCGCGGCAAGGCCGGCTTTCACATCGGCCTTTGGGACACAGCAACGAGCTAGAGTGCCTTTTGCGGGGGCGAGGGATGGCAGGCCTCGACTAGCGCGCTTCGTGAGAGCTGCGACATTCTCAGCTCCGACCCTGCAGCCCCAAACTTGAAGCGAAGATCCAAATTGGGTCGCTTGCCGGCCCTTGCTCTCGTTCGTGGCGCGCAAATTTGCCTAGCTGAGCTGAAGTAACTCCGGCACCGGGGAAACACCAAGTTGCCCTGCTGTCACCATCGCTCCAAAAGTCGCTGACAGGCTTTGCGGAGGAGCGTGGCGATCGATGACCTCCACAAGCCGCGCCTGCGCGGAGCTCTCATAGCCCAAGATGCTCTCAGTGTTGTGAAAGGAAGCCCAGGTTTCAGTGTTGTGAAAAGAGGCCCAGCGATGCTGGCTCGACAAATGGATGCACTATTACCCGAGCTTCGTTCTGAGCGGCTTCGCCCTCGTTGAATGTGCGAGCATATTGCATGATGTCTTCGACCTGCACGTTTTTTGCCCATAAATCACCCCAGTCAGAGCCAGATGGGGAGGTGTAGGAGGTCGGCGCGACGCGACTGGCGCTAATGCGTTTTGTTGACTGATAGCTGTCGGGCGACTTTCGTTCCACTTTGAGCTGGCCGCCAGGTAGGAAAGGTCGGCTGTATGCTGCGCGGAGTGCACCAAGCATTCACCGCGATCTCGTCCATCCTCTTCCTACGACACGAGTTGCTCTGCGAGAGGGAGGTTGTCATCCAGACTCGTCGGTTGGTATCACGCAGGCAGGGGTATGCGAGGACAGAGGTACGTGGTCGCCTCTGGCTGCACAGCGGAGCAAGACTTGAGAGCAGGACGTTCAGGATTGCGTTCGTGCTGGGATAGCGAACGTCAGGATGTAGCAAAGCTCGAGCTGTTCCGCTCGTGACTACAACCGTCGCGGACAGCCATCAACGCTGGGTGAAGCTTATGAAGAGCTACAAACACAAAGCCAGCTTTCCGTGTGGATGGACGAGATCCACGACTGTAGCTGTTGGGGAAGCGTGCAACTACTCGTAGGGGGATCGGAGCAAGTTATCAGAGATGCAAGCAACGCCTTCGAGAGTATTCCTCGAACGCGTGATTGCAATGTCGCGCTCGAGCCTCCGTGCTCACCGCCGCCGCCGCGCGGCGCCGCCGTCAAAATACAGCAGCAGCTAGCTGATTGCGGGGCAGCGCGTAGTGCAGCAGCATGCAGCGAGCGGGCAGCAGCATGACAGCGCGTACCTTTGTCGCTCCGCGCACATCATCATTTGCGGATGGCGCTCATGACATTCATCAAGCTTCGACCGCGGCTTATATAGAGGTGCACGACCCTTGGCTCATCCGCCATCCGCAGACCACAAGTCGTCAGGGCGGACTCGGCACGGCGTGGGCGCCATCCAGGTCTCGAATAGCACTCATCGATGCGTTTGTCACAGCTCTCACCTCAACCTCTAGCTCATCATCTGCGAAGCGCCCCCATCTCTCCCTTCAACGAACACGAAGATCCAAGTCACACCCACAAGCACTTGTGACTCGACAAGCGGCTAAGCCAGACCTTCATCACAAGCGAGTGTATGCGCACCATGCTGACTCCAAGCAAAGCGACACCCATTGTGCCCTTCCCTTCCCCCCAGACCGCACTAGCACAGCATCGCTCATCGCCGAATAACAGCGTTCCCAGCAGCCCATTTCGACTCGCACCCAGCGCGTCGCACTCAGCCTTGACTCCCTCACCTCGTCACTCTTTGCGCAGCAGAGTCTCCCCCGCCTCTTCGGTTGCACCTCCGCTAGAAGGGCGTGTGTTAGCCATTCTGCTCAAAAGCGCGGCAAAGGTCCACCGCACTGCGATCCTCAACAGAGCTGCTTCAGCTGGTCTGCGCTGTATCGCAGAGCGAACGGAGCGTTGGCTAGCGGATACGGATGGCGACTTTTTGGATGCCTTCCTGCTCCACGAGCCATCAGACTTTGCTAGATCAACATGGGCGCACAGATTGACGCGAGGCGACATTCGCGTGCTTGTGCTGGAAGGTCCTGGCGGTGCGGACACTTGGACGAAGCTGATGGGTCGCGACCACGAAGTCGAAGGTCCTGCGATCGAGCTCGACGACGATGAGGGGCCAGATGAAGGTCTCAGGAGAACATTTGGCGATGCTGCTGTGTACGGCTCGTCCAAAGAGCACGCCACAGAACGACAGATCGCGATTTGCTTTCCCGAATTCGCAAAGGCAGGTGTGCTTGATGCATTTGCAGCGGAAGCCAGCATCGACTCAAATGTTCAATCCTCCGCAGCGCGAGACCAAACTGACGTTGATGAACAGGAAGTCACGAGCACGATTCCTCCTGAGGGTCGTGTGCATCACAGCTCGGCCCACAGCAGAGTGGATTCTGCGGATGCGGCAGAACCAATCGACGTACCCGACGTAGACGAGGCAGACGAGCAGGCTCATGTACAACACATGTCGCGCGAAAATAGCACGCTTATTCTCAGCGCCGACGATGTCCAGTACGATGAAGGTGGCAGAGCATTTGCTCCGGATGGAACAGAGCTGGCATTGGAAGAGGAGCTACACTCCACATACGAGCGGGACACTCATGCACAGGTCGTCGATGACGAGCTCTCCAGACCATCTTCGAGCCACATTAGCACGCATGATCCCGCAGCGCGTCTCGTTGCCAAGGGCCCAGCAAGTGGCTCCGCGTTTCGAGCACGACCGCTACCTGCCTCTACCCATTCTGCCACACGCCAACCCCGTCTCTCGCGCGCTGCTGCTTTAAGGATGGGTGTGGACCTGCCTGCCCCGCCTGTTCGCAAAGCGACTGAAGCCGAAAAGAACGCCGCGTCAAATGACTCAATCGAGCTGGGTATCAGCGGCCTGCGCAAAGCAAAAGCACAGCGTCCAACCTCTATAGCAGAGCCTACCACTGCTCCGAGGATGAATCGGGCGGCAGCCATTCGCGCTGGAATAGAGCTTCCCCCAGCACCTGTCAGGAAGCCCTCCACCGAGCACAAGAAAGTGGTCGATCCCGGTGTGGAGTTGGGCATTAGTGGAGTGCCGAAGACAAAGGCGGCCCGGCCTGCTTCCATCGCAGGGCCAACCCAGGCCCCTCGCATGAATAGGGCCGCTGCCATCCGCGCTGGCCTGGAGCTCCCACCCGCTGCGCCACGGACAAGGGCCATTTCCTCCGCAACAAATGGTACAGATGTGTCCAAGTCGTCGTCTGCGGGCAATGTAGGTATCAGTGGTCTCCCGCGAGCAGAAGCCGCAAAGCCAAAGAGCCTTCAAGCGCCAAGCGTGGTGCCTAGAGGGAATCGCGCGAGCGTGGCTCGGGGCGTCAACGATCCTGCGGGCAGTCCCACTCGCAGCATGAAGCAAGCTGTCAATGGTGCGCAGCCCACGCCTCAAGCAGATTATACCGCATCGGGTCACAGACGAGGTTCGCAGAGCGTATCCAGCATCAAAGCGCTCGGCACGCCCAGCATTGCACCACGAAGCAACAACGCAGCAACTCGGAGATTGAGCGTGCACGCCTTTCCCAGCGCGGGAGATGCCCCCAGCACAGATGGCGCTCTCTCCAGCCGGCCTGCTAGCTCTATGGGCTCGGCCAGGCCTGGAAGTGCGGCTGGACGAAGCTCAAACACGGGCATAGTTATGGGGAGAAGTCAGAGCGCAGCGAGTCGACCCGCTGGTCGAGCATCTTCTGTAACTGGCACTGTCTCTAATGACACTCAGACTTCGGTGCTGCGCGCCAAAGCCCCACCTAGCTCCTTCAGAGGTTTCGCGTGAGATGTAGCCCATGTGCGCTGCTTCATTACCCCCCTCCTTTCTGCCTACCGCTCGCCATCTCGAAAATCTGTCGTAGTCTCGCACTTGCAGCGTCTCGGCCGCCGGCGGCCGAGACGCCCTTTTTCTCATCTCTTCTCGGCTGCTTGCCCTCTGCGTGTCCATTTCATGTGCTCTACATCACGTCATCCGTTCGCGTTGCTCGCTCGTAAATGTCAATATATTGCAATGCCTTTTTTGCTTTGAAGCCGTGATACTATTCGTGAAAGATGGGTAGGATTTGCCGTCGAGATGAAAGGAGCTGACAGCGTCTCAAAATTCGTCTGGCACGTCTTCGTGGGCCGACTGGGAAGCTGTGGGCGCACGGCCGGGTCGCTCGCGACGAGCCGATCCACCAGATGACGAAGCGCTCTCTCCGGTCGCTGTTCGAGCCTTGCCTCGTCTGTCCCTGTAAGAAGGAGCTTCGAGCTTTGGGGAAAAGCCATTCCCTGCTGAGGGATCGGCCGGGGTACGGGGAGCGAGAGAGGCTGCGCCGGGGGAAGGGAAGAAATCATCAAAGCCTCCTGCAGCAGCGTCGGCCGCGTCTTCTCCATGCACTATCGAGTCCTGTTCGTGCTCCTGCACCCCTCCCAAAGTGGGACTAAGCATTGTGCCTGGCGTAGGTGAGAGCCCTGCCGGTTTCAAGGGACCTTCCCGGGCTCTTCCACCGCTCGATGCAGTGCTTCGACTATTTTGCCTCTCGTGCCGTCTGGGTCTGTCCCTGTACGTCGCTCTGTTGGCTCCGGAGCTCGCGGCACTATTGCCCTCTGCTGACCCAGCTTCAGAACCTCTTCTCTGTGGCTCCAGTCGATCAGGCTGTCCATGCGTCGCAGTTCCGAAAGAGAAAGAAGGACTTGCAAGGTACTTGCCAGCACCTCGACTTGCCACACCAACACCGCCCCGCGCTGAGCCGCTTGTCCGACTTAGACTTTGAGACCCTCTTGATTCGCTACCAACACTTCCGCCGTCTCTGGAGCCCGAACCATGCCCGGAACCGCTTCTCGTGCTCGCCCCACGAGGTCTGCGCTTCTTGGAAAATCCAAGACCCGCTATATCCGCATCCTCCTCCTCTTCTTCTTGGACAGGCTCTTCCTCAGCTCGTGCAGTAGTGTCGGCTTCCGACGTGTCTAGCGCTGGCACACCCCCCGACGCATGCATAGGTGAGTAGGGAGAGTCGGCATAGTCGCGCGATGGAGCATGAGTGGATGAGATGTAATCATGTGAGTCCTCTTGATACTCTTGGTGCGACTGAGCGTGCGGATCGTGGTAGTAGTGATGATGATGCACAACCTCTTGAGGGCCTGCGGAGTACTGCTGATCGTCCTGATTTTGCGATTGCCACTCGTTCTCGGCGTAGTGTCGCTGGCGATCCGGACCGTAACCATAGCCTTCCGGCCCACTAGCAAGGCCCCAAGGACCTTCGCTCGTGGCAGCCGAATCCAGTCCGTCATCGTCGTAGCCCACGCCTTCATCCTCATGCTCACCGCCGAGCTCGAAGCCTCCAGCAGCAGCTTCTGCTTCTGCTTCAGTTCTGTACCTCTTCGCGCCGCCGCCAGTGATAGCAGCCAATGCAGCTTTGTGCGCCCTCCTCTCGGCTCTACGCTTCTCTTTCGCAGCTCTCGCTTCCTCCGCTTTACGTGCCTCGTCCTCTTCTTGCGCTCGTAGCTTTGCCGCTTCTGCTTCAGCAGCTTTGCGAGACGCTTCCTCTGCCTCTGAAGCGGCCTTCTCAGCTGCTTCACGTTCCTTTCTTTCGGCTTCCGCTTTGAGCTCTAAACGCCTCGCCTCGGCTTCTTGCTCTGCGAGGGCCGCGGCTTTCGCTGCAGCTTGAGCCTCGGCCATGGCGACACGCTCGGCCTCCTCTCTTTCCTCCCCCTCCTTCCTTGCTCTCTCCGCCTCCTCTCTGACACGAGCTCGCTCTTCCTCTTCAGCGCGCGCAGCAGCAGCAGCAGCACGTCGCTTCCTTTCGTCCTCCTCTTCCCCTTTACGCTTCGCTTCTGCTTCCTCTGCTTCCAGCCTTTGCTTCTCGAGCCGAGCAGCTTCCTTCTCGCGCTCCTGCGTTTGTCGTTCTTCCTCGTCAGCCTTTCTCTTGATTTCAGCGGCAGCAGCAGCCTCTTCCTCTTCCCGCTTTCGCTTTTGCCTCTCCTCCTCTTCCTTCTTCCTCTGCTCGACTCGCATCCTCTCATGCTCCTCCTCCTCCTCTCGCTTGCGCTTGCTCTCGGCTTCAGCCTCTGCCGCAAATTCTGCAGCTTCTCGCCTCTGAATCTCAGCTTCTTCAGCTCGCATTTGTTCTTCTGCAGCTATTCGCATTTCTTCTCGTTGCTCAGGTGTGAGTGGGATGATATCGCGGATGGCGGCATCTTGCAGCATGCCAGCATCCTCGTCCGCTTCGTCACCCAACGAACCGAGCGATTCTGTGCTGCCCGAGCTGCTCGTGCGTCGATGGTGCGCCGAGCCGTCTCTGTTCGTTGCTGCTGCTCCTGCTGCTGCTTCATCGCTCCTGAGCCTCTGGCGCTCTTCGATCTGACCCTTTGTCCGACCGAACAGGCCACACGCCAGCAGCTGTTGAGCAGTACCATCCGTCCAGTCCACCAAGCTCCTCAACCGAGGTTGCCGTCTCTTCCTCCTAGCTCCTCTGCCCGATCTATCGTTGATGTTGGACAAGAGCGAAATGGCATCGCTATCGTCGAAATTGTCTGCTGAAGAGTTTTGCTGCTGCGCTGTTGAGCCATATGTTCCTTGTGAGCGCGCAGAGGAGCCTTGGCTGCGACGGTCCAGCAGACCTCGCTGCTCCTCTTCGTCCGAGAGATCGTCGGTGAACCCGAGGCGATGCCGTGCGGAGGATGGCAAGCAGGCGCAAGATAGGATGGGTGATGTGATGCTACGAAAGGCGCCCTTGAAGCGCTGAGAGGTCGCGCTGGCATGCACGTCCGAGGGAGAGGACGAAGATGCCATGCTGGGCATTGTGACAGGAAGATGGCGGGGTCAATGCGAAGTGTCAAAGGGCCATGTGACTTGCGGGTGCGGGTGATGGAAACGCCAGACGCTGTGGAGAACACGGGGGTTTGCGATGAGCGCAGATTGACGATTGCTGCAGGAACAGTGATGACACGGATGGAGGCGACGAGCCGCTGGCGGGATTGCTGAAAGTCAAGAGTCACGAGTGTGACGACGATTTGAAGCCGCTTCGTTCAACCTCTCCCGGCCTCCTCAATAATCAACGGATCCATCAAGCACCGGTACGGTATGTCAGGTATACCGACCGCTGCGCTTCATGCTGTACAGCGAGTCTATGCATCGCGGTACGCGTTGTGGTGCTGCCCCAGACATGCGCGATCGAGCGCGTGTTGAGACGTGCAGCAATAATCACCGCGGGTACCTACAGCAACGACAATCAACATGAAGCGAGCTTCCACGTCGAGCTGTGGGGAAAGGCATCATCAGCCATGCCATCGAAGCGTGCGGGCATTCATTCGACGAGGCGACGTATGAAGATGAAGATAATGACGATGCTGATGTGTACATGTATGTATATTTATATATATACCGACCACATCTGAGAACAACACCGCGCTCGTGCGCAGCTAGAGTCCAGGGCAGTGCAACAGCTGCTGGACGCGTGTAGCCTGCCGTCTGTGTGACTGCTGGCGGGGGCAGGTATACAATGCCGCTGCTGAGAACCAATCAATGTCATTGAATTGGCGTTGCCTGCTGCTTTCTTGACTCTGGACAAGATGACGCCGATGCACCGACGCACCAGCACTTGGACCGAATGGCTCGTACGTCGACTCGCGACTCGCGACTTGAACGTGCGAGCTGTGTTCACGACTCACACTCACACTGTTGTATGTGCTCGGGTTAGCTGCTGCATGGCGCCAAGCAGGCACAAAGTGAGCACATTGTGCCGTGCCGCGCTCTATCGTACGATACATCCCACCGCGAACTGCATGCTGCTGCTGCTGCTCGATCAGGATTCGCTCCGCTGTCACACCATGCGCGCATTGGGCAAACAAACTCCATGGCCGATGGCAGCGTGCTTGTGCGCTGCTGCTGGGGTTGCGCAAACAAGCACACACAGCAGACATCAGCGACCCGCCTTGCTCGACCTTCTCGGCATCCACAGCAGGGCTGTACACTCACTGGCAACACTGCGCACGACACGCACGCACGCCCGCCCGCCCTACCACTTCCCTCCAGCTTGCTGCGTGGAACTTGCTCTTCTGACTGTGGCGCGTTTCCCCCAAAATCTCGGAACGCAACATTCGCCGAGCGCTTCCATTCTTCCCGCCTGAGTCTCTACGTCGCACCGCTCGAAACAGCATCTACGAGCCTTCGCTGAGGCTGACTCGCTCCTGCGTGCCGACGAAGCAGCGAACAGACTTTCCGTCAAGCATCCTCAAGGTCGGCCCAACCACCTCCGAGCAGATTGACCAATCAGCTGCAGCGCGACTGCGCCTGCTGTCTCCTGCAGGCGTCGACATACACAGGCTGCTAATCGTCGGGCAGCCCATGCTGGAGCTCTCGAGCTGGAGCTCGCCGCACCAGTCGCTGAAAGGATTCTTTTCCCAGCCTTGACCTTGTGGGACATAGGTGACGTGTCTAGCTCACGCGATAAATATCGAATCAGACATGGCAGACTTTGTGTCGCAGCCCGAATTCGTGTGAGTGCAAGCAAGGGAGCGCCGCTGTGGCTCTCGTTCGAGTAATGCCTCTATGAAGCTCAGATGCTCAAAGCGCACTCTGCCTCGCTTTGCATCCCTCTAATCACGCTACCGCCTTGCCACGTGCTGCTGTCAATCTCCAGAGAGGTGGAGCTGGGCGAGAGTCTGATTTCGAGAACAGAGACGTTGGGTGAGAAAAGTCTTGCGCAGAGATCTTGGCATGACCGATGGCTGAATCATGTCTGTGCATGCTTGACCCCCTCGTGTCACCAGCTTCTTTCAGAGAGCTCGGTCCACCAGATCTCTGTCACGTCATCAAGAGCTCAGGACGAGCAGCGGTCAAAGATGTCAGTCGCAGCAGCATGCCTTTCCTCAACAGCGCCTCTTCCGGCTTCGTAGCTGATCATTGTCATCCCTGCGCTTCCAGGTCGGATCGTATCATTACGTGTCTGGAGTGGACGCGTCCAGCTCTGCTGCCCTTGCTGCATACATCAACAGCTTGACATACGAGCTGGATCAGAATCAAGCGTGGTTCTCGGCAAAAGGCGGCTGGAAGCTGAAGAGTGGGGCGTACTGGTGCGTGCGAGATCCGTCCCTCGATGACCATACGTGAGCTCTCACCAATTCAAAGCGCACCTCTTCTATCCGCACAGCTGCTTCAATGCTTTCTCAAGGGTCGATGTGCGGGTGGAAGTCCGCATTCCTGGCTCCGTGGACGCTTACGTCGTGGACTTGCGAGGAGAACGACACGAGACTACACCGGAAATCTGGCAAGAAGTGTACCTCTCAGCACTCCTCCGAGCCATTCTGTATGCGGACGACGCCAACTATCGTCTGGCGGGGTACAGGAAGCTGGACCCCATCAGTTCGCCAGATGCCGAACATCGCTTCCTGCAAGCTGCCGAAAACCTCTTCTTCAAGGGCTGGCAGCTAGGATCTGAACCCGAGATCCAAGTCGCTACCGTCGTCTCCAACCATCTTACCAATGGCATCCTCAAGTACTTTGGCGATGCTAACAGGTACGATCAGGCAGTGAACCTTTTTGAGAAGCTGTACGCGAGGGAGCCGGAAGTTGCAGCTCTCGTAGCTGAAGCCTACATCGGTCTAAGTGAGTGCGGCGCGATTTGTGGACATGCTCACGCAGCACAGCCATGGTTGGCTGATCACTCCTGGTTGGTGGACGACAGACGAGGAAGTAAAGGCTGTGCAGACCATGCACAGAGCGATCAAGGAGACACCGCAGAGCTATGCGCTCTTGCATGTCCAGGTCGATTTCTTGCGATCCAAAGGCAAACCCGAGTGGGCGGCGAGGCTGGCCAAGCAGGCTGTCAATTGTGCGCCTAGCGAATTTGTCACGTGGGCCAAGTTGACGGAGTGCTACATCGAGCTGGGACAGTGGGAATCCGTGAGTCATCTCTCGGCTGCAAGCTCAGGGCAAAGGTAGCAGTGCTGATGATATCGGCGTTCTCCCACAGGCGCTCTTTACTTTGAACTCCTGCCCCATGTTCACCTACAACGAGAGGGATCTGCACAGGATGCCGACCCCTGCGAGGAGTCACTTGCCAGTGAAACAATTCATCCAAGAGAGCGGTCTGCTGAATGAGGACAGCGCGAGGGACAATGAGGTGAGCAGTCTCGTCAAGGTGGCCAGAAGTGTGATATATGTATGCTCATCCCCCACACTGCTCTCACTGATGTCAGGCGGACGTAGCGCTGCTTAGGCTTCCCGCACCAGCATTGAGGGGCACTTTCGCAAGAGCCTACGCGCTTTTGTCCCGGCTCGCTTCCAAGATAGGATGGGACGAATTGCTGCGATGTCGGTCGGCTGTATTCGTCATGGAGGAGGAGTACAGAGCTCAGAAAGCAGCGCACGACGTTGAGCCTGAGACTGCCGGAGGAGATGATCCGGTAGATCAGAAAGTCAAGGAGGATCAAGCAGAGGAGTCAAGGCTGCCAGTAGAAGAGAGATCTGTTGAACAGATATCCGAGCCTGAAGCGGTCGCGGACGAGCATGGAGGAGAGACTGATATGCCGCCGTTGCCAGCCTATGATGAAACGCAGGCCAAAGAAGCAGATGACGTTGTCGAGAAGCTGGACAGGCTGGGAATCGATAGCGCAGCTGGAGCATCTAGCCAATCCATCCCTACCATCAAGATCTCCACAGAGTCAGATCACGAGCGAGAAAAGGCCGAGCTGGAAACTTACATGCGGGAACAAGACGAGAGTGGAACGAAGCAGGCGAACGCGGACGAGTCGGCGGAAGTTCACGCGCAAGCGAACGGATCGGTCGCAGAAGTGATTGAGCAAAAGGCTGCCCCTCAGCAAGTGCCACATGTGCACGTGGATCCGCCACCGCTTGAGAAGCCTGCGCAAGCACAGCACCTTTCCGGCCATACTCGGTCGGATTCTTCAGCTGCTGCCTCGGCTGTTCACGCCGACGGCGCTGCATCGACATTGAATGGACAAAACGGACAACCTGCTCACACGGCTTCTGGCGAAGCGCAGCAAAACGAGGACACGGCACATGCTCACGCTTCTGCTGGATTCTCCTTCACCAACAAGAGGCTGTGCGAAAGGTGGTTGGATAATGCATTCATGGTGTTGTACGAGGATCTGAGAGTGTACACCATCTGGAGAGCGGAGATTGTACACTACAGGTCTCAGAGCTTGCCGTACTCCAAGACGGGTACAGAGTGGGAGATCTTGGGCGAGCTAGCGCTGAGGTTGAATCACAAGGTGAGTGACGGTCATCATCACTTTCGAAGCTATAGCACCTGGCATCTCAATTACCGAGCAAATGTCCGCTCTGCGCTTCCAGGAAGAGGCAAAGGACGCTTTCCAGAGATGCGTGGATGGTAAATTCTCCGCCAAGGCGCTGCTGCGCCTGCTCGAAATCTTCTCGGAGCAGAAGGATGTAGAACGGACCTTGTGGGCGGCTCTCCGATTGACAGCCTACCACCATCGGTAAGTGTCCTAACGAAGCGCATTGCGTCACTTCAACGCCACCTCGTTGACCGACGCATCGATTTTGCGCACCACACAGATGGTACATGGAAGGCGCCTACCCCTCGGCAGTGGCCAAGAGCTTGTACAGGCTTATCAGAGAAGTTGGTCTGAGCAAGGTATCCTACACGCTCGTCTCTATGAATCCACCACAGCCGATCTTGCGGCTCAGTGAGTAGTTTGCCTGCGATTTGCTTCCCGCCTGCGCTTTGCCTATGAAGCTGACTTGGTCTCCTGCATCTCATCTCTTCCCCCTCATCGCATGCCAGTGCAAAATGTGAGTCGGCGATCATACCCGGTCAGATGTCTAGCGCGCGCTAATGGCTAATCGCGCCCTCCTACGCCTTTCCAGTACCTGGCCTACGCGCAGCTCTTTAGGATAGCTGGCTGTAACAATTGAGAGCACCTCGATGATGTTGCGCTGCTGTGGACCCTCTCGCGGTCACTTGCAATGCCATGCTTGCCTCGATCGCCCTCAATTTGCACGTGTCCACCCTACTCGCGCTTTCAAACGCACCCGTGACTTGGAAGCGCTTCGTCGGCTTGTTCTCCAGACACACGTCGTGCCATACTCTTTAGCGCTGCGTTGCACTCAATCTTCAGATTCGGAGAGACGCTGAGGTCAGCTGATCGATCTGTGAATGCATTGAAAGATTGGGTGGACATCGTGGAGAACGTAGCACTACATAGACGCATGCTGCCAAGAGGACGGATCGGCGCGCAGGGCAGCAACGCCAACGGCGACGTGAGAGATGCACCAAGGCGCAGATGATGGCATCGAGCAGACGAGACGATAAGACGAAGTCAGTGTTCACGGCCTATACGCAGCAGGAATAGCAGGGAGGAGGGGAAAAGCGAAGCGGAGCGGAGCGAAATTTTCAAGCAGCCTCAAAGAATGCAGCCCTCTCCTTGAGGCTCTTGCCCATACTCGGGACTTTTCTGCCAGGCGTGCTGGAACTGAGCGTCGAGCTAGATGTTGCATTGGCAGGCGTCGCGCTGCCCGAGCCGCTGCTGCGCGTCGAGACGAAGCTCGAGTCGGGCTTGGAAGCTATGGAACTCGCACTCTTCTTGAACGACAATGGCTGCACTGGCAAAGCCTGCTGGCCAGAGGCGCTTGCCGATAAAGTGGACACCTTGGATGGGCTCAGTTGAGACTTTTTTGGACTGCTGCTCAGCGCTCGGGTCGGCGAGACGGCTTTGGGCGGTGAGGATGATAGCACGGTCGCGCTAGTGTCGATCTTGCCCAACTTGGATGGAGAGGTGCTGCCCTTGCCAGAAAGCCACGAGGAGGGCGTAGGACTGAGCGGCGGGGCGTTGGCTGCATTCGCAGCACCAGGGTTGGACGTGAGGATGCTAGCAGCCGTTCTTGGCGAAGTGGGACTTCTGCTCGGACTCGAATTTGGAGCAGCACCAGGACCGTCGGTGCTGAGCAGGTAGCTCTGTGCGCGAGCTCGAAGACTCTGAGTAGCATTGCTAGCAGTCGTGATGCCACTTCCGGACGTGGGCGGCACAAAGTTGGCCGGGCTGATCGACCTCCTGGCATTGCTGGAGTGGGCAGAGTGGGAGGAGGGAGTGGGTGACGTTCTACCTCCAATGTAGCTAGGAGCTTGTACCGGTGCGGTGAGCGTCGCACGTCTCGATGGAGAGGTCGTCGCTGCATTCTTAGCGGCTGAGCGAGCAGGCACATATGTGGCCTGCGACGTGTCCGAAGCTCCCTTGCCACGTCGCTGGACCCTCGAAGCCGCCACGGGAGTATCTTGAACGCTGAGCACATCTTGCTCGGGCTCTTGTACGACATCCTGGCCTTGCAACTGATAGTCACTGCCAATCTTTGAGCTGATAGACGAAGGCGGGGCTTCAAAGCTACGAAGATTCTCCCCATCCTCGTCCGCAGTTTGGAAGATGGAAGTCTGGCTTGGAGACGGGCTCTTAAGATTCTTCTCAGCTACTAAAGCCTTGAGTCGGTCATCGATGCTTCGCGCGTTTCTTGACCGCGTGGTGTTGCTCGTGCCAGCGCTCGCGTTAGAAGGCGCATCGCTAAGCGCAGGACTGGCCGCGCCAGGTCTTATGCTCGCACCAACATCTGCAGCCTCGAATCGGCGGGCAGGCGGAGGGTCGAGAGACCTCTCACTGGGCTGTGGCGAGCGCTCCGCTGGTGATAGGCGTCCTTCCTGCATCGGCTCTCCGAGAGCGCTAGTAAAGCGAGGACGTCCACTCGGGCTCGTACTGCGCTCGCGGCCCCTTGCAAGCCTGTCATCGGAATTTGATGCATTACCGCGAGGGCCGCTCTTTCCCTGATCTTTATCCAAAGCCGGAGCGGCGCCAGGTGGGAGCTCGAGTCCAGCATCGGCCCTCGGCATGGCACTGTTGAAAGATGCCGAAGAGATATTGTTGGTGCGGTTTCCGTGCGCCGCTGAAGCGTTTGGCTGAGCGTGAGCGGCGATTAGCTTGGCGTTTGTCTTGGGCGGAGATGCTGCGGCGGGCAGCGCACCAGCATCAGCTGTCGTGCTGCTCACGCTGCTGTCTGCGATAACAGCGCTCTCGGCGCTTTGAGCACGCGGCAAGAAGGCGCTACCAGGCTGCGTTCCAGTGCTCCTTGAGACCACTTGCGCAAGCAGTTCTCGCCCTTCTCGGATCTCCCGGGTCGCCGCCTTGAGTTGCCCGACCTCGTGTCTCATCAATCCAGTCATTTGACCCACCCAGCGATCCATCTCACGGTCTCTGCTGCTGTGCGCGCTCGCAGCGTCGCCATTTATGGCCATCTGCGCATCTCGCTCGATGTCCAGCAGACGCGTCTCTAGCGATCTGATAAGAGGCACCGAGTACCGCTCGTACTTGTAAAACCGGACCATCATCTCCTGAAGCGCCTGCGGCAAGGTCATGTCCATGGGTAGAGGCCCTTGCCCAGGCGCCAGACCCACCGCAGCAGCAGGATTGCGGCCTGACGGCGCTGCCCCTTGCTTTGTCGCCCGTGCTGGGTTTTGAGGGGTCACAGCAGCAGCAGCAGCAGCAGCAGCAGGGGCAACACGCGTCGCCGGGCCCGGTGCTTGCGCATCGTCGAATCGTGCATTGGCACGCTTAGAGCCTCTGCGAACAGGCGTCTCGACTTGATCAGCACTGACGGTTAGAGGGACATCCGAAGGATTGCGCCGAGAGGCAGCGGGAGATTTTGAGGGCAATGTTGGAGGTTGAGAAGGCTGTTTGCCGTGTGCGGGAGTGCCGGATTCTGGTCCGCCCACGTCGAAACCGCGCTGCATCTGGGTGGTCAGCCTGACAGGTGTCGACGCGGTCTGCTGCTCCTGTCGTTCCCTCGCCAGATGTCGAGACCGTGTCTCGGCGATGATTCTGAGAACGGACACAAGTTGAAGGTATCAGCGATTAGCAATTCGTCGCCAGAACGCGCAACACTCACTGTTGAGCTGGCGTCAGCCTTCCTTCGAGTCGGCTGAGCGCATCATGAGGATCGACCTGTCGTGCAAGATCTTCGCGAGTGCCCAAGCTCATTCGACGCAGCTCGTCCGGCGCAGGCAGTTCCTGACTCGGCTCGAACCTGGGCACGGGCTTACGACCAGGTGGGCTCCTCGTTTGCCTCTCAAGTCGGCCATCTCGCACACCATCCGGGTCCAGAGGATCTGCAATCGCCTGTCTTGGGCTGAATGGCTTGTCCGTGTGCGGATCGTACCCCTGCAAGGGACGATCGATGACCGCTCTGCGCTCTTCATCGACGATCCGAGCCGCTTCCCTTTGGCTGCGCTCGCGCTGCAACCTCGCTTCTCGCTCATCGTCTCCCATCGCAGGACTAGCGCTCCATCCACGACCTTTACTCTGCTCGTATGGAGCGCGAGGCGCTTGGTTGGTACCGATGGCCGGACTAGGCTCCCGACTCCAGCCCGCATAGGTCTGTTCAGCAGCGGGCGACTCGGCTCGAGGAGATCTGGAAAAGATCTTTTGCATCCACTTGCCTGCCCCGCCGCCAAGACTTGGGCTTCCCGCGGCTGGCGAGCGTCCATCGGGCGATCGACCAGGTGAAGGCGTGCCCAGTGGCGAGGGCGCTGCAGAGTCTCGTCCAGCGGAGCGCGGGATGCTGATGGGAGACGGCAAACCATCCAGTGGAATCACGGCAGGTGCTCCGTTGCTCATGTCCACGTGTGGCGGAATGGGATGGAATGCGCCGGGTGCGAAGCGAGCATCATCCGCGGCATGACCTCGACCATAAGCACCTGCATTGACGGTAGACATTTGAGGCGCAAGCGGCGAAGCTGGGCCTCCGCTCAATGGGCTGCTCGAGAAAGCGGGGTTCGCACGTGGTCCTCCAGGACTCCTGCTGCCATTCCGGCTCAGACTGACACCTTGAGCGCTGCGTGTGCTCTGCGGTGCTGCGCGCGCAGCTTCCCTCTCTTGCTGCTGCGTCGACCAGCTTTGAGGTCCATTCGTGACTCGCGCGGTTGCGCGGAAAGCGCCCGCCGTCGTCGCTCCGGGACTGGCTGGTCTGGCAGGACTCGTGCGTGATTGGCCAGGGTACTGCTGCGGACTCGAGTGTCCTCGATCGGCGCTGGGTGTGCGTCCGCGCTCCCAGCCTTCGGGCCTGCCATCATTGCTGCTGCCCGCATGTCCGTAGCCTGTTCCGCCGCCCCTACCGCCAGGTGGCACACCAAGACTATTGGTCCCCGCAGCGAGGGGCCTGCTACGAGAGCGACTGTACTGCAGCTGTGTGCTGCCTTGACCACCTCGCTCCTCATCAGAGTCGTCCAGCGTCATGCGTCTCTGAGGACTGCTGGAGCCGTAGCCGTATGCACCAGGAGGAGCATTGGGCGCTTCGATGGACACGCCGCCAGGTTGCTTGGTGACGTTGCGCACCACAAAGGTGGGGCTGGGCGTGCGAGAAGCGCGATCATTTGGCGAAGTCGCTCTCTTCTCCTCCCTCTCTCTGCTGCGAGAGTTGGATGATGGACGCTTGAACCAATTGAGCGCTCTACGCCCAGGAGACGACGGGGACGCGCCTGGCGAGGTTGGGCCGGCCATTGAGTCTTGCTGAAAGCTGGCATAGCCGCCTTGATCAGTCCCATGCTGGGCGGGCGACCACATATTGGCCATTTTGAAAACAAGAACGGAGATGTTCTGGAAAGCAATTGGGTCTCAGAGCTGAGGCGGATGACGTGCTGAGGGTAGCGAAAGGATGAGAGGGATGGATGGGACGAGAGGGGCAAGAGGGTTGAGAGGAGGAAAAGCCAGTGCTCGACCAGCCGCGCTTGTGGGTCTTTGTCGCTTGTGAGCCTCTTCAGTACAATGTTCCGAGCTACGCGCGAGGGCGCGAGTGGATGAAGCTCGAGGATTGGCAAATGCGGCAAGTCTCGTCAGGATGGTACCTCGGGCGGGAGCTGGGATGTGAAGCCGTGGTGCGGAACAAGATGCTTCTTAATGCACCGCCAAGACGAGATCGAGACATCAGACGAGGCCCTTCACGCTGAATCGCATACATGATGACAGCTAGCGGGCCGAAGGGCTGCATCGCTCGACTTGATTGGACTCAAACACAGACCGTGAGCCGAGCTGGAGCCTCACGTCTCACGCTCCCACTCGTACACATCAGCTAAATTGCAGCAGAGCTAATTAGCCGCTTATTCGCATGTTTCAGATCAACGTGCAGACACAAAACAAGCAACACGCCTCGCTCAATAATCACCGCCCGCGCGTGTGCGCGCGAATACATCAGCAGCCTCCTGGGGCGCGTGTCAGGGGCTCCTGCACGTGACGACACACCAGATCAAAGGGTCAGGAAACCACGTGATGCTATGGGACAGCGTGGCCGCGCGTGCCCATGCATGCACGCTGTGCGGTGGGGTCATCGCGCTTGTCTCGCATCCCGGCCACGGCCGCCGCACTGCAGCGCGATGTCTTCTGCTTCTGCATGCGCCGGGCAGCAGTGCACGCCAAATATGCAAAGAGGCTCGCGCATTTCCGACGTCGTCCTCGATAATTCAAGGTTCGAAGGACGTCTCGGAGTTGCAGTGGACTGGCCGGAGTATATGGAGCCTTCCTCGCTCGAAATGAAGGGTGCGTGAGAGAGTGCTCCAGGCAAATGCTCGCACGCCACGCAAGCCAAGTACATGCAGTAAACATATGGCACCACCCGCTATATGATGTCAATAGAGGTGCGGTCAGTCGCGAAGCAGTGAAGTGCAGAGATTCGGTCAAAGAGCACAAAGGTGGCACCTTGTATCTTGACAATCTGTAAGCGGCATGCAAGCATACCGTCCGACATAGGCATCATGCCGCGCCAAGCCTGATGAGTGCGCGCTGCGTGTGCGCGCGATGCAGTCAGATGCGTGATGTGCAAGTCGTGAGTCTTGAGTCACGATGAGTGGTGATGTGTATAGGGTGGATGCCATGGATTGCCTCGCAAATCTCGAGTTCGAATTTCGAAATTTCGAGGTCGACGCGCCATCCGCCGTGGAGGGCCACGCATGCAGGAGCAGCAGGTGACAGGCGCGGTCAGGAAAGACGCCGAGTGCCTTGCTGCTGGACATGCATCAGACAGCCGGCCGCGCTACAGCAGGTACTCTTGACGTTGTGACTGGCGATGGCTGTGACTGTTGACTTCAATTTTCAGACCCGAGCAATCAAGAATAGACACATAACAGTAGGCTCGGAGCACTTGATCGTTGCAATTAAGTCTGATTAGATCACGAGAGGGCGTTGACCATCAAGTCGCGGCTTCTTCTCGCAGCATACATCCCAACCATCACTTCCACGTACGCATCTGCTGTCTGCTCGCCTTTCAATCTTTCAGCCACACAAAGGTGCTTGACGCATAGCGGGCACCCACCGCACAGCACCCGTGCTGCGACGCCGTCCCCGCTTCTGCTCCCCCTCTCTGCATTCGCCTGCATCGCATCCCGCTCGCCCTCGTTGCCCTCGGTGCCTCGGTGTGCAGCTCGGTGCCACAAAAGCAGCTTGTGCCGCGCCAAAGACTCGATCCTGTGCGCTCGATCAAACGTTTGGGGACACGGTATAGTGAAGTCGCTGGAATCAAGTCTACGCTTCACGACGATCAACATACGCGGTCATGAGCCACCGTTTCGATAACGTGCCGGCCAGAGATAGCGACAGCTTCTCTTCTGGCTCTGAATCGGGTGCTGCTCGCAGACACGACGCTGCGACAGCCTCTCCACCATACGCTCATCACGGCGGCGCAACGTCTTTTGGTGCCTCGTCATCCTTTGCAGCCATGCCTCCCAACTATGCTTCCCGGACCGACCTCGGCACGGTCCAGGCAGGTCAAGGCTCTGTTTATCCTCAGGATAAGGGCAAAGCTCCTTCGCCTCCCTCTTCCGCCGATGACGCCGCCGCTGCTGCTGCTGGTGGTGGTGGTGGTCAAGGCACCACGATTAGAGCTCCTCGTATCGCAGTGACGGATCCACTGGGCGATATGCGAAGCCGCAACCTCAGCAAGCCCGAAGGCCTTGGCGCTCGCTCCGACTATCCACCCAACCTCAACCTCAAGTTAAAGACGGACAAGGAAGGTCACTTCATGGGCGCGGGCGCTGGACGCGGTGCCACTGGTACAGACTCCACGGGTCCTCCTCGACCAGGTTTCGCGCGCCAAGAGAGCTTCGCTTCCATCGCGTCGGACGACGGTTACTACGACGACTTCGATTGGAGCGATGATGAAGGAGTGGCAGAGGAGGCCAAGTACGAAGAAGAACAGCGACAGCTGGAAGCATTCAAGAAGCGTAGAGGCCGCTTTGCGCCTTCAAAGATTATTCGATGGCTCGCCACTACGTTTTTGGGAAATCTCATCATCTCTGGCGTCCTTCTCGTCCCCTTCATCGTCGTGCAGCTCGTCTACAGGCCCAAAGCTGCTGGCGCATCGCAAGCGCAGATCGATCGCAATGACTACATTGCAGACTGCGTGCAGACATTCACGCTCTGGGCCGCCGTAGGGCTGCACCTCAGCTGGTGGCTACACGCTCTCGTTGAGATCGTCCCTGCCGTAGCTCTGGGCCTCATCCGTGCAGTGTGGGGCAACATCAGCCAGCGGGTGCTCAGCGCCGCAGAATTTTACAACGTCATCAAGCAGTACATCAAATTTGTCTTTTACGCGGCTCTGAGCTGGGGCGCGCTCGCCCTGCTCTCCTCCGACATCTACGACATCTACTCTCAGATCAACCCCAAGACGGAATCCAGAGCACCTTGGATGTACCGTGTGTACCAGGTGGTGCAGTTCATCTTCTTTTTGACGCTCATCATCTGCGCCGAACAAGTCCTGATAAAACTAATCGCCATGAGCTTCCATCGAAGTGCTTATGCGGAACGCATCAGTGAGGTGACGAAGGCTCTCAAGACCTTTGACCATCTCCGTGATCATCGGCCTCAAGTTCATGCCGCGCACGCACACCATAAGGCAAACAGCACTTTCGGTGTCAACAGCGGCGCTCGCACCCCTGGACGTTCCCCGATGGCAACATTCCCTGACGGATATGATGGAGAGGACGAGAGGGGCGCTACTGGCAGCGGAACGACCACGCCCAAGAAGTCTAGCTTCTTTTCTCGAGGCAAGAAGCACTCCAACAAGCGGCCGGCGTACAGCACGCCTGCCGACCAAGCTGGTGCTTTGCCGCCTCACGCTACCTCAGCCAATTCCGCGCCTGCTACTCCCGCCACGCCCAAGTCTGGCAATGTGGCCAGCCGCATGGCATCTGCAGGCGCACGCACTGTCAAAGCCAAGGCGGTTTCGGCATCCACCTTGGCACGCATCGCCATGAACGACCCCTTCAACCTGCTCACGCAACAGAACCTCGGAGTCAGCGTCGACGTCAACTCGCCCGTCGAGGCGAAGCGCCTGGCTCGCAGCATCTTCACTGCTTATCGCGGACACCACAAGCGCGCCTACTTGGTCCCATCCGACTTCGACGTCGCGTATGACACTCAAAGCGACTCCAGAGCCGCTTTTGCCGTCTTTGACCGGGATGGTAATGGCGACATTTCTGCATCAGAAATCAAGACGACCATCTTGTCCACCTACAAGGAACGTCGGTTCCTGAGCAAGTCGATGCAAGACGTTCACCACGCTGTCAACCAGCTCGACCGCCTTTTGCTCGGCGTGGCCTTTGTCATCGTTCTTTTCGTCGCCTTTGCAGTCTTCAACCTCAACATTGGCAAGTCCCTTTCCACTTTCTACTCATTGGCCATCGCCTTTGCATTCATCTTCAAAGAAACTTTTGGCAACGTGTTCGACTCGATCGTCTTCCTCTTCGTCACCCATCCCTTCGACACTGGAGATCGTATCTGCCTCGACACTGACGTCATGGCGGTCAAGAAGATGAGCTTGCTTTCGAGCGAATTCACTCTTTGGAACAACACCAATTTGTACATTGCCAATGAGCTCCTGTCCACCATGCTCATCGTCAACTATCGTCGATCGGGCTACCAGTGGGAGTGCGCGACGATGCAAGTCGCTTTCGATACGCCCCTCGAGACGCTGGATGCGGTTCAAGCCGACGTCATTCACTGGATGCAGACCGAGCCAGAGAGAATGTTCGAGCCGTCGACGGCCATCGTGCCCCAGACCATCGACTACATGCGCTCCATCGAAGTGACGATCGGAATGACGTTGCGCGACAATTGGCAAGACTGGGGAGGACGTTGGAGAAAGAGGAACGCGTTCTTTGCTGCGCTCACTTTCTACATGAAGAAGCACGGTGTGCGCTTCGTCAACTCCAACCAGCCCGTCATCTATTGGACCGAAGATGCTGCGCAGCTTCCTCCGGACTACTCCGATTCTCAAGGAGCTGCGAGAGAGAGTGGGGCGAGGGGCGAGCAGGAAGGAGGCGAAGAGCGAAGAGGCTCAGCTTCGGACCCTTGGACGATGCCAAACGACGATTTCCGTCCTTCGCCACCGAGCAGCCCCAAGAGCGCAGCTGTGGGCCTGCCGGGTTCTCAGCCCGCTTCGGGAAGCGCTACGCCTCGTCCACCCGCTCCCAAGTTCAAGAGCTTCATGGGCTTCACCCCTCCGCCCGACGAGGTGGACGGCAGCGGTTTGAGAATGCGCAAACAGCGCACCGCGAAAGCCTTTGCTTTCCAAGGTGGAGATGGTGGTGGCGGCGCTTGAGCGGCACACTCTTGCCCCATCGAGGTGCTCTGCTCCATGCTCTGGCATGTTGCGCCTCTCTCGCGACTTTGCACGCTCGAAATCCGCCTCGCCTCCTGCCTCCTACCTCTATAAATCTGCCAAGATTTCCCTTCAATCATCTTGACCTCGCTGCGCACTCCGCCACAATGTAGCTCCCTCACTTTAACGTCTCACAATATCATCTTCTCGCTCTCCCCCTACACTCATCCCACTACGTTCCTGGCACCCCCCTTGTTCTTTCCCTCCTTTCCCACTCATGAACCACCTTTCCTTGCGCCCTGTCGGGCACGGGCCCTTTCTAGCGCGGGCGCGCTCCCCGATGAACAGATAGAAATAAAGAAATCGTCTATTGGAGCATCATCTGCTTGGTCTGCATTCGTCTTGCTTCCTCTCACTGAGCGAGGCGCGACGCAGGTCGATCAGACGAAGTGGCCGGCAAGGTGTTGCGTGTTGAAATGGATCGCAAAGCTCTTCGCTAACGTTGCGATACCTGCTGTCGGCATGAGCGCGAACACGAACGTGTGCGCGACAAACACGAGTTCAAATGGTCTCTTGGTTTGTTGCAGCGCACACCTTCTCCCACCTGCAGCGTCTCGTGAGCCTGCATCGAGCCGAGCATCGCTTCAACTTTTTCAAACATGCCTAGTCCACACGTTGCCACGCTGGCCCCTAGACAAGCTCGCAAGCGCTTCTCGCCCCCTCCGTCTGACCTTCAAGAGTTCAAAGAAGCACACAAAAAGTGGGTGATCGAAAAAGTTGATCTCATTATGCGCGCAGCTACTGGTCCATGGAGCGTGTTCAAGACGAGAAACAAAAGCGCGTTGCTCTTCTTCAGGCTTCGTCATTGTCATCCCTAGAGGGAATTAGGAGCCATCTGGCCCAGGGCATGCTTGGCTGAGCGCAACGCTTGCGCAGGCGCGGATCAGGGCTCAGAGATGAAGGTAAACTCTCCGAACCAGGTGCCGTCGACGGTGTGTGCGCCTGCCGAAGCCGAGTCGGACTTGTAGCTCTCTGGCAGGGTCAAGTTGAGCTTCGCGGGCAGGAAGGACTATAACGTTGGATGGGGGAAAGGGGCCGGACGAAAGCAGCACGACGCGCGCGTGCCAAGTTTGGCGTGTCAATATCGGCAAAGAAAGCGGCACGCTCTTTGTCTCCTTTGCACACTCACCTGCCAGATGTAGGGCTTTGTTCCTGCGACGTAGTTGACCACTTTGCGAACCATGGCCGGCATCTCACCCAACACGTCCACCCGCTCAATCAATCCCTTCCCGGCCGAAATATCCGCAGTCAAATCGGCGCGCACCTTTTCGCTCTGCGACTTGCCAGCAACGAGCAGCGGACCATCCCACACAAAGTGCAGCTGCTCGGGGATGGTGTAGCCCGTCTCTGCATCGTGCTTCACTTTTTGATGTTCCACCTGCGTATCGCTGTTGCCAGGCGCTGCGGTCTTGCCGTGACGCGTCCCAGCAGTCACCGCCACCAGCTCATCCCCAACGCTGATGCTGCCAATGGTCACTGTGCGTGTCTCTCTGGTCCTGTTCGGCTGACCTCCTTGCTGTGAGATTTGGGAGCCCGACTTTGGCGTGCCGCTGCCCACCGGTCCTCCATAATCGCTCGTCGTTGTAAACTCCATGGATATAGCAGCTACTCCTGCCAGATCTTCGCTCTGGAAATTTGCAAAGTTCCACCTGGACGCGACCAGGTTGGGTCGCATACCTTGAATGGCGTGAATGAACATACCTTGACCCTTTGCGTCGATCGCTTGACCCTTGATGAGGAGGTGGCCCGTGGTGGAAGTTCTGGGCCAGAAGCGATGGATGACGTAGCCATCAGGATTGGCAGTGTTGGAACCGAAAAAGCTCTTTCCTCCCTCCGGTCCAGCACCCAATTTCCAACCGGCGTGCTTGGCGCTCTTTGTAAAAGTGTAGCTCAGTTGCACCTCTGCGTCCATATTCGCTTCGATCGTGTAGCTCTCCGTTCCATCCGCCGTGCCATTGTGAATGACGCTGAATTGCTCCCCTTTGCAGCTGCGCTTATCGTGCTGCTTGCTCTTGTCTCGACCCGTTCCTTGAGGTGCCGGCGTCTCGAATTTGGAGACGGAAGCCGACTTCCAAATCTTTTGACCCGTCTTTGGGTTGAAGTACTTGAAAGTGACTTGGATCTGCGGGTACCACAGACTGACAGCGCAAAGAGCGAGCGAGCAGAGACGTTTTAGGCTGCTTCTGCCTTTGTCACAGACCATCAAAAGCCAGATCCACTCACCCAATGGCGCTGTGGATGATCTGACTGGTAGCAAAAGCACCATCGTCCAGGATGGTGTACCATACCTGCGTCTCGGTGGTGAAGCCACCAGCGCAGGTCCATTCCAAGTCTGATTTCTCTAACGGAGCAAAGAGTGCATTCTGGGGAGTGTCAGAGACGGCCTTGAAGTTGGGTTGACTGTCCGTTGCGGATGTGTCTGCTCCCGAGCTGCGTGGCGCGGCGAGCGAGAGAGATGGTGGGGGGGGAGGGGGGGGGGGGGGCGATGAGAGAGCAGCTAGAGAGATCAGCGAGTATGTATGGAGGAAGGAATTGCTAGCTACTCACAGCCATGAGCCCCAGCCGGACATGATGTAGCGATGAGATGAAGAGGTAGTTGGCAGATGGGCAATGCGCTCGAACGAGGCTACAAAGAATTAAGAGAGTCGCTCGTTCGCTCCGATGACGAGGTGATCGCAGTGATCGGTGGATGGAGGATCGGTCGGGGGAGGGGAGGGTGTGGACTACGGGAGAGGATGTTGTCCCAGCCTGGCGGCGATTCCGGAATGTGGGTCGGATGACTGGGATGAAAGAGAATGGAAAGAATGATGAAGTCGGGCAGAACAAGCTTGACCTTTGCTTCCTCTTTCTCGTGTGTGAGGGAGTATGTGAGATGATGGAAAGAAACAGAGACAGACGCGAGCATACATGCAGCAATGTGAATGAAGCCGCTAAGCGCAAACTAGCACGAGCGGCGGCAAGCAAGCTGATGCTCAGCAGCTGTGCAAGCCACGCATGTACGGTACGGTCTAGATGTCAATCACAATTCACATTTTGACTGCTGCTGCTGCTTACCGCAAGCGCAGGCGCGGCAAGCGACCGCTTTAGCCGCGCAAGCAGCAGAGCTCCATTAATCGACCAAAGCGCGTCCGTGCGCGGAACAACTCCTCAGGCGCTCGTGATTGCATGCACGGCGGCCGCTTACCACGCACGCACGCATGGGTGAGAACACCACCCCATTCAAATTGAATCCTTGGGGAGGAACATCCATTCAACACATCCGCTTCGAAGGCCGTCTCCCCTCCACCTCGTACTGCGCTCGTTCAGTCAGGAAAAATTTGCATTTGTTACATTGCTTCACACTCTGTCTACCGACTGTCTAGAATGTTTGCTCTTGCTCATCGCAGCGTACAAATTCCCGCCATCCTGAGCACGAGGCGCACCGTCCGCACTGCCACTTTCCCTTTCGTACGCGCGATGCGCAAATTCTTCTCTTAGCGAGCGCACCAAATCTATCAAGTCCTCGATGGCTTTCGCGCTCGTCTGATGATGTATCACGATGCGCGCTGCTCCCAATCGAATAGGCTTTGGCAGTTGCGCAGCGCGTTCTTGCAGCTCTTGCAACGAGAAGCCAAGGTGGGCAGTATCGATGAACAACTGAGAAATGTCGGGAGAGGGTACAGATACGACAAGAGGGAGGCTCAGCCATCTTTTGACGTTTCCCCGTGTTCCCGTTCCTTGCCACAACAAAAGCAATTCCGCTCACCATGCACGTTTCAGGTCTACCGACGATCGCCACGCCAAGCTTTTCCAGCTCGTCCGCAGCGAATCTGGCCAGCTGGTGCGTCGCTCTGAGCTTGGGAAAGTGTTCCGATAGACCTGTGCGCGCAGCAGCAGCCAAGGATCCGCTCTGTCGAATGCCCGCTCCGAAGAGTTTTCTAAAGTGGCGCGCTTTGCGTATGAATGGGGCGGTACCGACCAGCACGCTGACGCATGGTCCGTCGGAGGGGTGGCGGTGGAAGAGTTGTAATGAGCCAGGGGTTCGGTTCGCAAGCAGTCCGGCAGTCGGCAGCTGCTTTGATGATGGCCGACACTCACGTTCCTACTGGCGCACCGATGCCCTTGCTGAGACACATGCTGACAGAGTCAAAAGGTCGACAGAGCTCCTCGATGGATTTGCCAGTCTCTGCAGCTACGTTCCACAATCTAGCTCCATCGCAGTGAAGCTTGATGTCGTGTTCAGCCGCACCTTTTGCGATGCGGATGATCTCCTCTTGAGGAAAGATGCGACCATGCAGCGTGTTTTCCAGACATATCAAACGCGTAGGAGCAGAGTGAACATCGTCTCCCAAGACCAGATTGGGAAGGATATCGTCTTGCCAGGTCAAGTGATGATCGTTGCGCGGCTGGACGCATTCGACCAGCGCTCCGCTGTGGAATGCTACGCCTCCCGCTTCGTATCGCTGAATGTGAGCCAGACGGTCGCAGAGCACCGAGTAGGGTGGTTGTTGCAGGTGCGTGCGGATGGCCAGCTGATTGGAAAGGGTGCCGGAAACGACGAACAGAGCAGCTTCTTTGCCTGCCAACGCTGCCATCTCCGCTTCGAAGCTCGTCGTCGTTTCATCCTCCTGCGAGCGGCATGCAGGGTAGCATGTCAGCATACAAGGTTTGCGAGAACCCGTGCCTAGACGAGGTTCGTGGAGAGGGTGCGACGCTTACCAGGTACACATCATCTCCTCGACTTGCTCTTTGCATGGCTTGGAACATGGAATCCGTGGGCACAGTGAGCGTGTCGCTCCTCAGATCTCTCGAAATGGTGGCAAGCTTTGCCTCATTATCGGGCAATTCCTGGCGACGCGGATGGATTGCTGGGAACACCAACGAAGGTCCGAGCGTAGGGCTGGGTGCTGCGGGTGCTCGAATGACGGTCATGCTGTGTAGTGATCGGAGTCGAGGTCTGAAGAGCGTTGGTGCTGGGTGCGAGAAGCTTCGAGGCAGAGAGGCGAGGCGGGTCGAGAGAGCTGGCATGCTTTGTAGCTTTGGGCATGTCAGTGTGGATCAATACCCTCAGTGAGAAGATCTGATCTCGCAGCTCGTGAAGATCAGGAGGACATGCATCGCCGAGAGGGTCAGCATTCATGAGGTCAAATATATGTGCGGTTGCACAGATGAACGGCAAAACGCCCAAGTCATTCCGTTCGCGCTCCACTCGTGACTCGTGCTGAATCAAATAACAACTTCATTTTTGTCACGGTATTCGATCGTGATTTCACCCACCGCGCGCGCGCGGCTCCGGACATGATGCCGCGGATTATCTCTCCGGGCCCCGGGCGGCCCCGCTACGAAACGATCACGATCGAGCATCACGAATCACGAATCAAGTGTCGCGATCGTGATCAATGTCAAGACATCCATCCAATCAAGAATGGTGAGATTCAGCACCGACATCAATAAGGCTTCGCCAATCAAGTTCAATTACATGGCTCTCATCGCGAAAGGTGTGATTGCGAGTGCTTCAGGATGAGTCAACAACAACACACCCTGCCTGCTGAGCGTGCACACGCCAGGAGTCGCGCGTGTGAGCATTCATTCAAGGTGCGCAGCGCGTGGAGATCGTGAGATGGATGCGTGAGGCTGAGGTGTCGACTCTGACTGCCATGGTGCTGCATTGCACCACCCCGGGCCATTTCGCCCCTCTTCTCACCCAACACCATCGCCTCGTTTGATCCGACTTGGGCGACATGTAAGGCAACTGATCGTCGCTGTATTCATCTGGTGGTCAAGATTAAAAATTGGCTTTTAATTGCTCATTCCAGATTGTGTCTTGGTGAGGATGGGCTTTGAGTTGTTGTATTTGGTGAGTGTGGAACCTCCATACAGTGCAACTGAGGGGCGCAAGTAGGATGTTGTGAAGCCCCATTCAGGATTCGAGTGTGACCAGGATCGATGACAACACTTCTCGTAATATTTCTATCATCCGAGCCCTCGCCCGATTCCGGCGCACCGAGGCCTCGCTAGGTCCAGCAACAGCTTGCTGAGTGTGGATGGCATCCTATTTCTGTGTTTTGATAGCTAGCCTCGCCCTTATATATGGCTCACAGCATCCATCCACCCATCCAGGTCTCCATACTCGTGAGTGCTTAGCTGTAGGTTACGTCTCACGCTGTTCAAGTAGGCGTTCAGATTCGTGATTGTATTGCGTGACGCAGGGTTGACTGCGGCGCGGTAGCATCGAATGTCTCGACTCGTGACTCTTGCGCGATGTCGCGCACGGATGCAGCGAAGCGAAGTTGTGCTTGGCGTACGCTGTGCTGTGAGCTGCTGTGCTTTGCTGTGCTGCGTGCGTGCGTGCTGCTTGCTTAATTGCGCTCGACGCTCCCTCGCTCGCTCGATCGCCGGCTGACTCTGCTGCACGTCTTTCATGCGCACAGGCAGCGCATATCATGCAGCTACCGTACCGTACCAGCACCGGTACGGTACCGGTCGGTGCAGCAGGAGGGCATGCACAAGCTATATAGCTTTGCCATGCCCGGCGCAGCACCGAATCAAGTTTTGATGAGTCGAGTCGCGAGTCGAGTGTGTGAGAGCGAGGGTGCACGGCTCTCCGCCGCCCGTGCATCGCGCGAGCTATATGATGTAGCAATCAAGCATCGACCACCACGCGAACGAACGACGTCAGCCATCATCCCACCGGTCCTCGGTCTTTTGCATTCGATCGTGATCTCCGCACCCGAACGTCAGACCCACTGTGACTCAGCACTCGGTTTGTCCGAGCGAGCTGTAGCAGATCGCGGTGTGGCTGCTCGAGCTGCTTTGCTTTGCTTTGCAGTCGCAAGCTCGATCCTTCCTCGAATCTCTCCCTTTCGATTGCCCTGCCTACAGACGCGCGTCTAGAGTCACGAACGAGTACAGTCACACTCGCAGTACAAGACGGTCATCTGCCCTGCCTGCACCTCGTCGCAGCACTTCCGCGACGCTTTGCGTTCAGGCTCGCCGACCAGCCGATTCTCATGCACACTCCCTCGTCTGCGCATTCCACGACATCCTTCCCAGAGCTTTGCAAATAGCTCGAAGCATACTCGCCATACTACTGCTATCGGCAACATCGTCAGCGTCGGCAGCAGCTAATCATCAGTTGCAGGTAGTCGGCACGAGGACAAGGGTGTCTGCGCAACGCCTTGGCGCCGCGTTTCGGGCACACATCGCCTGCTGCTGAACAGAACTCTTTTGATCTGCAGTTGCCGGGGCTGAGCATCGATTGGTGCCCGAGCTGCCCAGATCACAATCAATCACTGGCTAGGCGGCCGGCGGGGGCTCCTTTGCTCGAGCTGGCTGATCGAATGCTATAGCTAGTCGGGGTTGCTGCATGCCCTTCCCATTGCCGTAGCCTCGGGTCACCGTAGTCTAATCGCGCTCACTACCTCTCACGCAATGCTGCAAGGCGATTCATCGCCCAGCACCGCGGCCGTCCAGCGCGGCGGTGCGGACGGGCAAGATGGAGGAGCTGGTTCGGCAAACACCATCAGCATCAACGAAGCGCATCGATCACAATCAACGTTGACATCCTCCCAATCGCACTCAGCAAAATCTACCAACACCGCCAGCAGTAGCAACGCTTTCAGCTCTGCTCTTCACGACTCGCCAGGCTCTTCATCCTTGTCCCAAGCTTCTTCTCGTCTCTACGCTCCTCGTCGCAATCACACCATCTCCTCGCCGGGGAGAAGAGCACTCAATTCTAGACGACTGGCCCAGCATTTCGAAGAGCCCGAAGCGTCCGCTTCGTCACCTTTCTCTCAAGAAGACGCCGAGCCTGCTACTCCTACAAGTCCCGGAACGAATAGTCTCAAAGCTATCATGGGCGACGCTGATGACGATCATGACTGGGAGCGTATGATCAGAAATAATGCGCCCTTGGCAGACGATGTGAGTACAGCGCACCTTGAGCTCAAGGGAGGCTGCAGCCAGGAGGTGATCGGCAGACAAGCATGCACGAGTGCGGAGCTTACATATTGTTACGCCTGCGTCTTCACAGCCGTCTCCGGCTGTCGGAGAGCGGTTCGAAGGGCGATCACTGGGACCATCGCACTTGAGAACAGGATCGAGCAGCCTGGCAGGTCTAGGCGACCTGTCCAGCTCCTCTTCAGGCGCTGGCGGCGTTCGACGCCACCAATCGCTCAACCATGCGCCAGGGCACCGCTTGCACCATCATCGACTGCAAGCACGCGCTTCCGATCTTTTCGCTCCTGGCAGCGCATCCACCAGCTTTGGTCAGGCGATGCCCATTCGAGCAGGTACGCCAGGAACGGGCAGCAGCGGTTCGCACAGCGCCACCAGCAGTCCCATCGCCCCGGGTGGTCCCGCAACTCCTTGGACGCAGCCCTTGAGTCCGGGAGGTAGTCGATTCGCTGGTAGATTCTCACCTAGAGCGAATCCGGATGAGCCTGCGAGCTCAGGGGGACAGCATGCTGCAGGTGCTGCTCGTTCCAGCTCTCCCTTGGCAGCGGCCATGGCTGTTGCGGAAGATGCTCGAGGTCCAACGGCTTTGAGCTCCAGCTTGATGGACGCCCATGCTAGGCTCAGCAGGCTTAGCATCGATCCTGCGGCCACGACTTTGCAGCCGGTGCGCGAGAGCTCGACAGACTCGGCGGCAACGCCCAAGAATGCAGATGCGCCCCATTCCGCTCGCTCAGCAAAACGCTTGCCCAGCCTTATCACCAATCGAGATGCCCTCGCCCGTGCCGCTGTCGGAACCGAGGGCCCACCGCCTGGCGCAAGTCAGACACTTGCTGGACCAGTCAGCGCTGCTGCGTACGTTCCGCCCATCGGACATGGTCATGCCCGAACGCAGAGCTCGGACTCGCCAGCTCTCTTTGCTCCTGCTAGAGGCCTTGGTCCCTCGGCACCTGCAAAGGCTGAGGAGCATCACGCGACGGGGGCCAGCGCGTCAGCCAGAGCTGCGGCGCTCAGCGGTCCCTTTACAGCCATGCCAGCTCCTGGGGCTGGCAGCTCCAGAAACGAGTGGGACTCGCCTCTGCAGCCGACGCCCGGAAATGGACAGGCTTGGCACGCTGATCGCGGATTCGCCGGCATGGGCGGACCTGCAGGTGCTGATTTTAAGAAGGCGTTTGGCCCTGGTACGGCAGGCTGGCCATTCCAGCCTACACAAGGAGCTCAAGGTCCCCCTTCGCAGTGGGGTCTGGGTCTGACGCCAGCGGCATTTGCTGGTCCTGAGAGTCCCGCAGCTCAGACCAATGCTCAGACGTTGGCGCTTAGCATGGCGCTTGCACAACAACAAGCACGAACAAACGCCTTGTTTGCAGGTCTTTCCTCTCCAGGCTCTGTAGGCATCAATACCCTCAGCAACGTGCTTGGAGCTGCTAATGGCTCTTCTCAGCAGGCAGACTTGGCAGCTCTCCTCGCTGCGCAGCAGAATGCCTCCGGACTACCACCTCACACCGCTCCGAGCTTTGCGCATGTCGGCTTCAACTCCCACGCTGGACGACCTCAGGCCTTCAGTCCGAACCAGCCGCAGCTCCTAGGCTCCGGCATTCGGGGCTCGTCGATGACGCCATCTCAGACCGCGCTCGCACCTCCACCGGCTTTGAGTCCTGAAGTGCAGAGGCTCATCGCATCGAGAGGTTTCAACCCTGCCAATTTCGACCTGGAACCTGCCAACGCGCGCTGGTTCGTCATCAAGTCCTTCACAGAGGATGATGTGCAGCGCTCTCTCAAGTACGAGATTTGGGCTAGCACGGAAAAGGGAAATGCAAGGTTGGACAAAGCGTGGAGAGAGTCTGCACATTTGGGCCCGCTCTATTTGTTCTTCTCTGTGAATGCTAGCGGACATTTTAACGGCATGGCGCAGATGCTCACACCTTTGGATTAGTGAGTTTGTGGCCCCCGCGCGCGCGCGCGTTCTGAAAAGGCAGGGAAGCCTCGCTGATGCTAATATCCACAACGACAGCTCTACAAGCTCCAATGTCTGGGCTCAGGAAGGCAAATGGAAAGGGACATTCAAAGTCAGATGGATCTACGTCAAAGATGTACCCAATAGTCAACTACGGCACATACGATTGACCAGTAAGTCATGTATTGCAATTGACGCAAGCTTTCCGAGCTCGAGCTCACTTTACGCCTTCATGTTCAGATACGCCCGAGAACAAACCCATCACCCAGTCGAGAGACACGCAAGAGCTTCCTGTAGCTGCTGGCAAGGAACTGATACGCATCATGCACGGCTACTCTGCTCGAACGACTTTGCTGCAAGATTGGGCTTTCTACGAGGCTCAGCAGGAGAGTCAACGGCAGGTCAAGCAGCAGCCAGATCAGCAGATTGCAAGCGCATCGCAAGGCAACCATGGTGGTCCCCTAGATCTGTCCGCTTCGAAGTCCTCTTCCTCTGCGCCTGGCCACCAAAATCTCAGTCAGTCGCAGGCTTTTCAGAGACAGCCACCATCTCAATATCCGCCAGCTCGTCATCCGCCGCCCAGAGCTATAGCTAGTCCATCGCCGCGCCCCGGACAGCAGCAGTAGCAGCCCAGCCAAGCTCTCTCGCCGGTCCCTCATCCTGCCCAGTCACCTCAGCTAGGCGCACAAAGTGCGCCAGGCGCTCCCTGGGGTTTGGACAGAACGCAAACAAACGATTTGACGAGCTTTTTGCTCGCGCCTAGCACTTCCCCCCTCACCCACATCCTCGACGGGCTTTCTGTGAAAGGCTCGTGACGGCGTGGTCAAGCTTGTCTGTTCGCTCTTCCCCTCACATGCTCGCTCCTTCTTAGGCTTTATCGTCCACGCTGACCATCCATGTAATGTAGTTGTAAGAGCAATTGCTTATTTGAACATCTCGCGCCTCTTTTCTGCTGGTGGACCGACCACGAAGACCCGCCGCCATGAGCAGCCGGCTGTTACTCGCGGCTCGCGCAAACGCGTCGCGTCATCAAAGCTGCGCAGTAGGGTGCGGGCGGCCTAGCAAGCAGCAGCAGCTGCTGAATTGAGCGGGCTTCCATGTGCGCCTTAAACGTCCGCATGCATCTGCAAGGGGGCCCTTAGAGCCCTCACCTTTTCGTTTGCTTACCGAGCAAGCGCAGAATTAGGCACACACCTGGATCAAATCGAGAGATGAGTGATCCTTGCTTGCTTTTCCTCTGCTACGCGCAGATTGCACGATGCGAACACGAGAGAGAAGAGGCGCTTGCATGTTTTTTAGGAGAAAGGGCGAAAAACAAACAGCTGAAAGGATCATCCAGGCACCGCGAGGTACGGTATGGTATGTGGGGAACGACTTGACTGTATAGACTCAATGACTCTCATTGTCATGCCCTTTTCCTTTTTTTGCCTTTTTATTTCTTTTTCTTTTTTTTCTCTTTTCAAAGCGCTGCGATGCGCCCCTATTAAGGTTCTTTTGGGGGCTAGGCTTCTTGCCTCGAACATACAGTGTGAATTACAATTACCTCCTAATTGCTCGTGATGGACAGCCCCCGCGCCATGCCACATCGACTCGAAGCGTTGTGGAACGTAGCATTTGCCTTGGTGGGCCTGTAGGCCATGTTCGGGCTAGTCGGACGCACCCTTTGCGATGCCCCTAGAGCTGGAATTGGCGGCGATTCGAGCTCAACGGTAGAGTCCCAGACGAGGTCTAGCCTGACCTTGGCAGCCGAGGGGAAAGGGAGTCTATAGGGAGTCCGCGATGCTCGATCGACAGTCACCAAGTCGTGAAAGGCTCGCGTTCCAAGCCACTTCATGCTACGCTAGTCACGAGTGGCGGTTGAGCTTAGAATGTGTGCGCGCTATACACTTTGACTTACGAGTACGTACAGAAGCGAGTACCTGTCTGTGCCTGCGATCTTCGCGTCTGGGTACACATCAGTCGCCGGCTGCTGCATGGCGTGTCGTTCGCCCCTTTTGGATCCTGCCTATAGCGAGCAGAGCAAGGGGCAGCAGCGATTACAAGCTGACCAAGCTTGCAAGCTTGCTAGATGCTCTCGTCCGAACCTATCAATCAGTCAGTCAATCAATCAGCCCCGACGATCCGCTACTGTAGAAGCCTCTCGCTCAAAGGCTTTTGCTGAATCGCTGACTCGACTGCTCAAGCGGCGCAATCGTAGCGTGAGAGAAGACATGCAGTCGCGCGGGCAGCACTAAAAGATGCACGGGGTTCAAGGCTGCATGGGCGCTAAGCAGACGGCAGCTATACACTCAGGCTGCATGTGCACTTTGCTCAGCTGCTGGGCTGTGCAGGGATCAAGCCCAGCCGGCTCGCAGACACGGTCGAGCTTCTTCTTATATTCAAGAGCAAAGCTCGCCGACGGAAAGGAGCAACGTCATCCTGGTCAGGTCCGACGTGAAGCGACCCAAATGTGCAAAGACGTTTGGGTAGCGGTGAATGATTGTCATTGCGCCGGGCCGAGCTCACTTGTGCCGGCTCGTGTGCTGGGAGTCCGGATAGAGAATTTGCCTCCCCTCCCACCCCCACCCCACACACGCGCATTTGGTGGTGCGTGGAAGCATCTCACACTACTGCGCAACTGCAACTTGCTTTTCTCTAGCGATCAGCAGGAAGCAAGCGCGACAAAGCAAGAAGTGCACAAACAGAAGAAAGTCACGAGTATACAGTGACGAACTAGCATATGCTGCATGATTGAACGGCGGCTTGTATAGTTCTACCAGCATGCACCCATCAGCGCTTCGCAGCTCGCTCGCGATCGTGACTGCTGCACATCCATTCGAGTTGCAGCCGCGCCGGCACGCTTTCCTAATTGTACAGTCACGAAGTGAAATCTGAGACATTGGCTCACCGCATCCGTCATGATCGACCTCCTCTTGCTCCTCGACGTCGCCTATGGACGGCCTAGGCAAGCACCAAGCGAGCTAGAGAGGGTAGAGAGGTGCAAGGGATCTATCTGGTAGCTTGCGGGTCAGCTCGAGGAGAGAGAGCCTTTGACTGATCCAGTGATCGGGTGCGATCGACCGACTCACGACGAAATTTGATGGAGAAAGGTTCCCCTTATCGGGCTTGCCACGGCTCAGAGCTCGGTCATAAGTTTCTCCTTTCCCATGGCAATCAAGTGATGAGTGGCAAAAGGCCTTTGATGCTAGACCTCCGACGGCCCGGGCCAACGTTCTTTGCCCCCCTTTGCCCGGACTCTCATCAGCTATATCCACAGCGCGCGCGCATGCCCAAGTGCACCTGCGCAACCCGTCTGCGAGGGGTCAGGGCAAGCGGAGTGCAAACAAGAGCTTTGTTTGGGCTCGTGACGCCGGTTGCCACCCTGCTGGTCGGGAAACTTCATCGAATCGCGATGAATTCTCATCGGGGCTCCATCGGAGTCCGCAGTCAAGAGTCGCATCTGGCTGCAGGCAAATGTTTCGTCAAAAGTCAAATGATGATTCAAGCTTTCAGAGGACGAGCTTGCTGATTTGGAGGCAGGCCTGATGAGAGCAGGTTTTAGCACTCATGAAACCGCTTGGAACGGCGCGCATCGACCCCACGATTTCAAATACAACATTCCTAGAAGCTTCTCTTACGCACATGCAAGAGCAGCGAGCAGGATCCGCTAGCCCCGCACGCGGCCAAGGGTCGCTATATAGGTCGCAAAGCGTGTTCAAGTCGAGGTGATTTTTTCTGATTGTGCTCGCCGCACCCACGTCGTGTCGGTCTCAGATAGCCGCGGAGTCAAGAATTGTTGATCACTCAGTCAGTCAGTCATTTGGAAGACTGTTCGTACACTCAGACTGCTCGGAGGCGCGCGGGTGTTCATCTCGCTTTCGCGTCTATATCTTATATACAGACGGCAGCGCAGACACAATCTGCGTCGATTCCTTTCAACCTTTGCACGCGGCTGCTGGCGTTGAGTCGACGTGAGAACTTGTCTGAGTTGGATCGTGATGGAGAAGCGCCTAGCTTTGAGACCGTGCGAACATTGCAATCGCATGCGGTTTTGGATCACGCGCCCATAGCGAGCTCGAACAGAAAATTGCCGCTGCTGCTGCTGCAACAACTGCGCTGGCAGGCAGTCTCTATAGCGGCTGGCCCAAGTACGTGCACACGCGGCTGCTGATTGACTCGCTCTGCTTACGCACGCAGCAGATCTAACAGCGTTGATGAAGAAGCTTTCGCGTGTGTGTGCATGTGCGCCATGCCTGCAGGCTGGAGGTGCGTCGGTCGTTCCCGCGCCAAGGCCTCTTGCATGTCAAGTGCATTTGCATTTGCATTTGCTGGAGACGTTATTGTCGAGGAGCATCACTCTTCTGACACTCACACGCGCACGGATGAGCGCAGACACGCATCGATTGCTGCTGCCCCATGGTCAAGCAATGCGCTCAAGGAGGACAGAGTCAAATTTGAGGCAGTTAGCATATGGCGCGATCCTACCTCATTCACACCCAAGATCGGGGTTCCCTTGCTGGGAATGGTTCCAAGAATGTGAGCTGTAAATGTCCCGTCGCTGTTTCGATCACGAGGGCAAGCGACTTTGGCTTCAGAGATCGATCTCACAAGCGCAGCTGCTGTTGTGTGCGTGGGTGCATGGGGCTGCGTGCGGCTCCGCGGTAACGACTGCCAGCAAATGGCCTTCGCTCGCAGCAGCATGAAGGGTACGAAGGACGCGTTCCAAAGGCCTACTCCGCCGAAACTGAGACTCGACGATTCACTTCCCGACCTGCAGCGGCAAGCGAACGCACGCGTCGTGCCTTGTGCTGCTGCTGATGCTGCTGCTCCTCCAATGCTGCTCATGATTGACGCGCCGAGGCCAGGTGTTGGTTCCACCGCTCGAGGAGGAGTTTCCCATTGACTGACAGATTACCCGGCCGTGGCTCTTGTCCGCCGTCGCGTCGCTTCCCGTCTTTGCCCCTTTTGCGCGAAGTCGGCACCCTGACCAGCACAACAGACTTGGCGCGAGTGGTGTGTGTGCGCGCACGATCAACTTTATGTACAGCAAGCAGCAGCGTTAGGTGCATCTGTCTGGCCGCGTCTGTCGCCCTTTGAATGCGCTGCAATATGTCAGGGCAGACTAGCTCGTACACATGCATACACACTGCTGTCGCTCTCACGCACAAATGCCACTTCGGGAAATGTGAGAAGGGGGCGAAAGAGACCAAAGGCACATCAGCGTACGTTCTGCCTTTCTCGAGGACAAGCTAGCACACGCAGCCCCGGGCGGGCCGAGAGGAGTAACGAGTCCAGACTCAAGAGCGATGGAGCCGGACGGTGAGCCAGCGATGCAGCGAGAATGCTCCTGATGTGCTGGGCGTTCGTCCGTTCGGCTTCGAATGAGGAAACTGCAGAGGTGTCCATTCTGTATATGCTGGCAGGCGGCTGCGCCAATCTGAGTCAGGCAGTGATTTGGTCCATCATGTGCTGCTTGCTTGCTGATCTAGCTTATTGTTGCTGGCCACATCAGCACGAAGAGATTGCGCGATCTGCTGGAGCGGAGAGTGAATGCTGCCAATTGCTGCTGCTGTTCAGCAGCTGCAGCAGCAGAAGATCGCGCGCGGGAAGCCAAAGGGACGGAGCGCGGCGATCTCAACCCGAGAGACAAGTTGAGGCAGCGGCGGGCGCGGGAGTGAAGCCTTGGATGAGACACGCCCGAGCTTGCTATCGAGGCAGCAGGTGTGCATGTAATTAAGTTACACGAATTTGCGATGAGCACCTGCCACAGCTTTGGCCGGGACGGGCTACATGGCATCAGCAGGATCGAGCAATTCGTTCATCTGCTGCAGCGCCTTTCAAAGCGCAGGAGCAGAGGCAGAGAGGCATTGAGTAGAGGTGAATCCGCGCATCACTGCCGGCGCTTTGAGTGTTTCGGATTACGGCACGATGAGTGCTGGATGTGAAGCGGGACGCATGAGGCACACGCACTCCTTGCTGTGCGCGGGCAGTCGTGAGTCACCCTCTACTCACCACTGAAGAGTGTGCGTGCTGTGGCATGCAGCATGGGGATGGGCTGATTCGATCAAGCTGAGATGTAGAGCTCACCGCGATTTGATGATGAGTGGGGTGAAAGCTTGCGATGGCGCGAGTTCACGAGTGCAATCTGCAAATCGCCGCGCGCTTGCGCATCTCTCACGCTCATCGTTTAATCCCCCCCACATCGTTGGTGCCTCTCCCTTCGCACACACCAACCTTCAACTGCTCCCTCGCGTCGTTATCAATCCACCGCTATCATCCTCTTCCTCCCTTTCATCCTCCCACATTGCTCTTCGCCCTCGACCAAGTGCCAATTTCGTCCCCAACAGGTTGCTAGCAGCGTCGCTCTCGAGCATCTTTATCGCGTACCCATCAGCGTATCGACAAACAGACCTGCCAGCTCGCACCGCACCGCACCGCACCGCACCATGGCAGTCCTCAGCATCTCCACCCCTCCGACCTCACCGCGAAGCACACCGCGAGCAGTCAAGGCAGAGCTCAGCGGGCAGAACCCCCAATCACCTCGCTCACCTCTGCGTCGCGCTCTGTCTGTCGCCCTGTTCCGCAGCAGCTTCAGCGCCGGTCGCGATGCGCCGTCCGCATTCTCCGCCTCTTACGAAGGAGCATCACCACAATCGGCGAGTAGAGCCGAGCGGAGCGATAGTCCCAAGAGACCTTTCAGGCGCATCTCGCTCTCGCGACCCTCCACTGCTCAATCAGGCGGCGACAGCAGTCGCCTGGCAGTCTTGAATCGTTCGCGACGTAGCATGTCCGTCAACGCGCCCAACGCGCCAGCAGGAAGCAGCAGCGGCGCGTCCTCACCTGCGCCGGCAGGCTCGGCATCCCCGGCTTCATGCAGCACCGAGGCCTCACTGCTCACACCGTCCACGACCACGAGTGGCTTCTCTCTCGGCACGCCTCGCGCCATCACTCGAGCCCGTCGTCTCTCACAAAGCATTCAGCATAGGCTTTCACAAGGCAGTGCATGCAGCACTGATCAGATTGTCTGCAAGCTCGAAGAGAGTTACCAGCCTAATGCGGTGCCCCAACATGCCACGGCGAAGCCCGCCAATGGGGAGCGCAGGCGCATGTCCACCTTCACGGCGTTCTTTCCAGATGTCGCCGCCGCTGCAATGAGCAGAGGATCCAGCCTCAACACGGAACGGGGTCAGCAGCCCAGGTCCAGCATCGACACTACCACGCGCCGCCGTTTGATCCGTCGATCGAGCGATGAGAGCTTTCAATGTCGCGGTCTGGAAGCTGACGACAGCGATAGCTCGATGAGCTGCCAGTCCTTCCCGATGAGCGATCATGACAAGATGAATGCGGGGCTAGGCATGTTTGAAGCCACTCCCAAGCGCAACCCGGTTTTGATCGCACCAAGCGCAACGGAGCGGATGAGTCATTTCACCCGTGACGCTCAGCAATCGCTGGAGGAGAGCGAGATGACTGCGAGCAAGGCATCTTCCACAGCGTTCCTGCCCGGCTTGCTGGGGCTACGACGTAAATCAGGTGCGACGACGGGCTCGGCAAGGACCTCTTTGATGCGCGCACCTCTTGCGGAGGCGGACACGAACATCCCAGTGCGCCCACGTCGACCCGATTCTTTCTACTTCATCTCGCCGTCGCCCAGCTCGATTTCAAGCTTTACACACGAGCCAATGCTCGATGACGATGATAGCCCTGAGGATGAAGCGATGGACACTGATGAGGAAGTCGACTCTGCCGCTTTGGCCAGCGAGCAGAATCCCTGGTCACCTACCTGCCTCCCCACTCCACCCTCCTCCATCCGTCTACGTTTGGCCTTCTCGCAAGAGCCAGCGAGCCCGTCGCGTCGTAGCAGCGCTGGGGGTCTTTCACCAGCATCCCTCAAAGACGTCTTCATCGGAAACGCGGCATCAGCTTTGGAACTCAAAGAGCTGATCTCTGAGCGAATCTCGACCGCTCAAGGCTTCCTGCTTTCACCCCGTCAGCTGAGCCTGAGCGTCGAGTTGCCTTACGTTGGCGCCGCGGCCAATGTCCTGCAAACCCAGTCTGGTTCAGCATCTGCCCTCGGACTCGATCTCGATCAAAGCACTTGCAATTCTCATATGGTAGCGGAGGCGAATCGCAAAGAGCTGGACAATGACGACTTGCTTTATCAACAAGGTCTTGTCGACGACGATACGGTTCTCGTCCGCGTGCGACCAATCTATTCGCAATTCATCTGAGGCGCTCAGAAGTCGCTCTCACAATTGCGAGAACTCCCTCTCGGTCCCGCTCCGCCGTCCAAATTCTATACCCTTCGTGCGGCACCTCATTTCGCACTCTGACCTGCTTCGTGTTTCCCCTTTCAAACTCGTAATTAAAACACCATCCGCTGCACAATTACCTTTGTTACCCGCATCGCATTCACGTCACCCTCGATCTATCGATCTACATGCACTTTGGGTATTCAAAGCAATAACGAGACCTGTCCAACCAATCCTGCCCGACGTCGGCTCTATGCACCGAAGTCCATAACCGCATGGATCGCATTCGCATTCGCATTGCGTTTTTTGTTGAGTCTCGCTGAAAGGCGCAGTGAAGGACGAGTGAGGCGCTCTAGCTTGCGTATGTGCGGCTAACTCCAGATGGGACTTCGACATTCAAGATAGCCAATGCTCCACGCTGGCGAGAAGGATTGGCGCTGCGAGGACGGAAGACATTTGGTGGACATTTGAAGAGCGAGCATGATCGAGTCGCAAGTCTTGCGGCGGTGCACGACGCTTTCGACTGCCGACGGTTGACTCCAGCTTCTTTCCTGACCAATCTCGTGGGAGGCGTTGGTCTGAGCACTTGGATCCCTCGAGGGAAGCAGGCGGTATAGGATTTTGGCCGTCGTTAAACGAAGGTCTGGCGCGTCGCCGTTGCTGCAAACTTCGAGCGGTGCTTGCTTGATCAAAGCTATGTCGATATCGTGAGAGAGCGAAATCGAACAGGGTGCTAGAAAGAGCCAGAGGATCGCTCGCGGTAATCTATCTTCTTGGCTCTCTAGCACAAAGCGTCTACCGCCATGCATCTGCGAAAGCCGGTACAACTCGCTTGCTGCGATGACTGGTGCTAGCGACGGGGTGAGACGATTGCCGAGCATCGGTCGGAGCGCCGCCTTGGACAGACGGACAGATGCAGCGCTGAGATCAGGCTGCACGTCGCTTTGACTTTGTCCAGGTGCAAGCTTGTCGAGATTATGAACAGCATGGCCAAGCACTTGACCGCAAGTGGCACACGTCGCTCGCCACGGATATAGCTGCGAAGGTCGAGTTCGACTGACGAGTCAGTAAGTGCATCATTACACATCGATCGATTTTGTGGCTCCCGTGAGTGACCTTCGCTGCTGACTGCTCTGCGGCAGCGAGGTGTATTGAAAGGGCATCCTTCATCTTGGACCCATTGGTATCAGCTGGTGCAACAGAGCTGTAGCCCTGCGCCTGAACGACCTGCATCGAACCAATGTGCGAGCCGAGAGCCGCCTTTCAACTCTCGCAGTGGCATCGCACTCCCACCGTTCAGCCAGCTTTGACGCGTCCCAAGACACCGCGGCAAGGACGGTGGAAGCCCGCAACTACCAGCTCGTGGAGAAGCCGCGATCACGGCTCTGCGCATCGTCGAGGCCGATCACGTCGATGGTAGGTCGACGCCAGCCTTCTTTTGGTCCGACTATCTGAGACAATTTTCGAGGACCACAAACTCGCCTCACTCACCTCTCCGCTTCCCGTGTGATCTCGAGGCCGGCGATCAGTGATCACACTACCCTCCTGTACAGCTGATCCTGGCCAAGCAATGATGTCTTCCGCAACCCAGGCGCACTGCTGCGGGATCGTGCGGCCCGCAACCATACCTTCTCGGCCTCGTGTGACGCTCACATTGAGCAGCTGATCCTCGTGACACATCCAGGAATCGATGAGCTCCTCCCAATGCTGTGATGGCAGTGCCCTGTATTGAGACGTACCAGGGGCGTTGATGACGACCGCTCCGCACGCGTCACATGCGAACCGCGATGGCTGGATTGTCGTCAACTTCTCAGCTCCCAATGGCGCATTGATCTCAGCATGCTCGCTGAAAATTTCGTGCACCAGACTACCACACTGCTCGATTGGCTTGCTGCGCAATTTGATCTGATAATGGTCGCCGTCTCGCCGCACGGAGCCGCTTTGAGGATGCAATGCTGCAGTTGGCAGACAACATCTGGTGGACGTGGTCTCGGGGCCTGCAACGAAAGAGACGTTGACGAACTGCGCAAAAACGCCCTCTCCATCGGCTGCATCTGCTGCCATTGTGTGATATGACAAAATATCTGCCGTCTCGATTGAAGTCCCTTCTTGCTGGTCCTCGTGGAAGGCGTAGAGAGATATCACACCAAGCTGCTTCTGATGCTCAGCAAAGAACCTCAGTCTGTGACCTCCAGACCCACGCAAGAATTTTGCGGGCCCCGCAAGGCTATCAGCAGGCTGTTGACCAGCGAGTGCAGTAGACGGTGTCAACTCACCCGAAGCAGGTGGAATTGCGGCAGTGGGGGATGCCAGAAGCTGACTCGGCTCTGCATCAGTGCTAGATGATCCTGACGCTTCGCCGTCGGCGCTGACTGCAGACTGGGTCCAGCCTCCGAAAGCAGCCGCTTGCCCCACAGTGGGCTGGCCGTCGGGTCTGCTGCCCGGAGCAGTCGTGGCAATTGAGCTCGCGTGACCTATCGTCAGAGTGCCCGAATCAGAGGTGCTATCCGTAGCGGAGGGTGCTACAGTCGGCGATGGCATCACACCTATCCTTCCCTTGAAAGTAACAGAGCGGGGTGAGGAAAGATCCGACCCCTGACGTGAGGTCGGAGAGGAGAGGCGTGGCGGTCTAGGACCTCTGCGCAAAGGCGCGTCTTGATCAGGCATGCGCGAACGAGAGCCAGACAGCATGGCAAAGAGATTGTCGTCCTCGTCGTCATCTAGCTGGGCAGCTACACCGCTGGCAGATTTTGGACGTGACATCGTTGCCTCGCTCTGCGATCAATCCAAAGCGCTAGCATAAGCACACCACGGTTGCGTGTGCTCCTCACAATCATCGACTCGCACTCACCAGTCCCATCTTTGCAAGCTTGTCTGGCTTCGATGCGCGGATTCGAGGTCTCATTTCTGCGCGCTGATCGTGGTAGGCCATCTCCTTGGCCATCTGAATGTCGTCAAACAATGGTAGCAGCTCTTCCCTCGCTGGCACTTCCCGCTCCGAGGAGCTTGTAAGATCCAAAAGTGCAGGTCGCGGCGATGACTCTCGCGCTTTACCCTTGAAAGACGCAGCGGACCTGAGGTTTTGAAATTTTGATCCCACGCTGAATCGGCGACCGAGACTCTTGTTCTGCTGACTCGGGGCAATAGGAGGCAATGCCATCTTGCTAGGCGATGATGAGGAGGGAGAGGGCTCCAGGGGGCTGTCAGTGGGTGAGGTCGCAGCGGTTGTCGGTGTACGAGGCGTCGGCAGGCTTGCTCTTTGGTCTTCCATTCGGCCGCTTCGTCCGAGACGATCGACCAGCTCTTGCAGATTGACCTCCCGCAATTGTCGAGCAGAGTCTCCCAGGCTAGCGCGCTGATCGCTCAATTGAGGCACAGCATGATACAATCGATCGATGCTGCTCTGAACCATGCGAAGATCCTGGCTGGTGCGCGCCGTATATGCCGAGGTGTCTGGAGTCGAGAGAGCTCGAGCCTTTGCTGCTGTAGCTTCAGTCTCATGCGCAGCAGACTTCTCATCCTCATAGGTCGACTTCTCGTCACGGGAAGACTGCGTGCCCGGCATGTACGCTGGCAACCCGCTGAGACTCATTGGCAAAGATCCGGAAGAGCTCACAGCTTCCCCAATGCGCTGCTTCCAGTGCTCTGACTCTCCATGTCCCACTGTAGAGGTCTCGCGACTCGCGCCTTCAGCCACAGATCCTCCTTTCTCGCTGTATTGCGGCGGCTGAGGGCTCTTCACGCTTGCGATCGTGGGCGCAGTTGTATTCTCGCTTGTGACTGAAGCAGGACGTGGAGAATGCTGGCCTTTGAGACCTTCTCCAGTCCCATGAGATAAGTTGCTTACCGCGCGAAGACCATGTCGCGGTGTCGTTGGATACACTTCGTCCGTTGATCCAAGCACTGGACTTTCGCCAATCGAGGAAGTGCTTGCCCCTCGGCTGCGTGTGCGTAGAGGTGACAAGGGCGAATCCAGAGAGCATCGCGCGGCCGGATGGAGGCTGCGCCTAGCTGCGACGAGTTCTCGCGTGATGCCAAGTAGATGGGAGAGCTGACTCCAGCTGGCCAAAGCTTCCTTGTCCTCATACATCGAAGATGCTGAACCAGAGCTTTGCCCAGCAGAGCGCAGCCCCGAAGACTCTCCGCTGCTCGCAGTGCGGAGCTGAGGCGAGTGGTGCATTGGGGAGGCGGCAAAAACACCAGGTGAAGTGTTCGGAGGTGTGGGTAGAGAGAACGGAGTGGGCTTGTGTTCGTATTGGTTGGGTGAAAAAGGTGCACTGGGATTGCACTTTGAGGCCAAATTGGACATGAGTGCCTGCAATTGCGCATATACATCTGCCTCGCGCGCGGGAGCCTCTGCGAAGGGGTCGCGCAATTCTTCCCTGCTAGCGCTTGGACTAGAATGCATAGTGACGCTGCCCGGCCCTTGACTGCTATCGCGTCGCCAACTGGAAGAGTGAGATCGGCTCATCGAGGAAGGAGGTCGTATCAAAGACGCAGATGAGATTGCGCTTTCGATGCTGCCGTTTCTGGACTCCGCAATGCCAGTAGCATTCGGGGATCGAACGTTGTTAAGGCTGCTCAGCAAGGCACCAAGTGCAGTCGCCAAGTTGACGTCATCTTGCAAAGAAGATGTAGAAGCGCTTGCCTCGTCTGATTGGGGCAGCTGGTCCAGCTGAGAATTGAGCCTCGCTAGCAAGGCAGTAAGGGAGTCTTCTTGATTGTTGGTAGGACCGGCCGAGCGCCGCACGGAGACAGCTTGAAGGGAGTCTAGAATGCCATGTAGGGCCGCAGGAGACGCGCTTTGCGCTGGAGGATCCGTGGAGCTCGCGGAGCCCAGCATCGATGAAACAAGGTCCTGAAGAGCTGCAATTGCAGCGCCTTGGACCGCCGACAGGGTGCCACCCAGATCGATCTAGCAGGTATGCAGAGGGCGGTGGCAGTGGAAGGTGTCCCTGCGTTGTGAGCCATCACTCGTGGGAAGCTCGCACGCGCAATCACAGCAGCGACTGCTCAGACAGAGACCCTGGCTCACCTTGACTTGTTGAGGTCCAAGCACCTCTGAAGCCTCGTCCTCATCGCACAGTTCCTCCAAGACTTCCTCCTCTTCATCGTTTCCAAGGACTTCTTCGGCTTCTGCCTGACCCGTGGACTCTAATTGCACGCGCTGGTGCTGAGATTGCTGCAGAGACGTTGGCAAATGAACATCTTCTGGCTCGTGGGTTGGGACAGATGGGAGGATGAACGCATCATAGCCTGTGCGCACAATGGTGGGCGAGGCTGGAAGCGATCCTTGCGAGAGAGGACTGGAAGTACTTGGGCTGTTAGAGCCAGAAGCAGTGTTGATGGTGTTTGTGAGATCTCGTGGGTATGGCCGAGGCCTCTCCTGCTCCAAGGTGGCCATTCTGCGTAGCGGCTAACTGGGGCGTTCTACGTCGTTGCAAGAGGTTGGAGCTAGTGCAACTAGGTGAGTGCTTGCGTCCGCTTTGATCTCACCACCCTGATGACAGTGTCTGCACCAGTGTGGGTGCTCGACTGGGAGCTATGAGATGATCCACTCTGCTCGAAGCTGAAGCGTGAGAATGATGGTTGGGCGCAAGTGGGTTTCGACCGCCCTTTTGGCCTTGAAGCCAGCTGAGGCCCCCTCGCCTGCTGCGACTGACGTAGGGATGTATATAGCAGCGGCTACTCGATTGAAGCAAGAGCCCTGGCGCAAACACTGAAACGGACCGCGTTTTTGCGCCTAGTGCGACATGGCCCGCCGCTCAGGAACGCGGGGATCCGGCAGAAAAACCGTGGCTGAACACCGTGGCCGAGGTCGAGCACCAAGGAAGAGCAGAATGCCAAGGAGGTGTGTGTCACGGAATAGGGGCCTACTCCGCTTTGGTTCAGGGCGGTATGAGCGTTCTGCGCGTATCGGTATGGCGTGGATGATGAAGTTGCGAGTATAGGAAAGTAGAAGGTGCGGATTGCGAAAGTCATGTGCACTTGGATGCATTCGTGAATCGTGAATGGACTGCCTCACGATTTGGATGCTGTGAAATTGAGCGAGGAACGATCGAGCAGCAGGGCAGCAGGGCAGCGCTGCGACAGCAGCATGCAGCAAGCTCGCAGCCGGCGTGCTGCTGATGCTCATCCTGAATCATACAGTGTGAGTATTACTATATTTATTCACATTCACGATTTGTGATATCGTTGCGACGCACCCCGTCGCCGCACCCATTAGCATGCACGCGGGAGGACTCGAGCTCTTTCGCTGCATCGATCAAAATCAAGCCCGACTGCACGAGCGCGATGCGTTAAGTTCGAGCAGCGCACGGGCTCACAGCACAACAAAGCGTGGAGTGCATTATGCATGCATGCATCAGGCAGTCCGCCGGTCCAGCTTCATTGCACCTATTGAATCCACAGCAATAATCAAATGTAAGTGCCGCGCCGCCTAGCTGGCATATATGTTTCGGAAGACCTCTGTGTGCGGTGCATGCTGGGGCGAGGAAACAACCAGATCAGCTGCTGCTGTATATGGAGCAAGCTGTTGCTGCTTCTGCTCATTGGTTTCAACTGCGCCTCAGAACGTCTCAGCGAGCTGTGCGCGCCGATCGAGTGAGTCACCTTATTTGTGCTCGCATCTCATAACTCGATCAAGACTCAAATCTCCGCGTGACTGCTGCACTTCGGGGTGCGGTACTTCAGCAGAGCATTCAGCTGCTCCCCGTTTCAGCTGTTCGCGCACGTATACTTTTACCTGCTGCATGGTTGGCCGCTGCATGCTGGCTGCATTGAAAATTTGTGGTCCCATATAATCGAATACTGTTTATGCGTATTAGTAATAACTTCTGACGATTCACATTCTGATTTGATTTGGGGTTCCATGCAGCTTGTCCGCCGAGAGTTGAGACCTCGAACTGTGTCGCCTACCTGTGTGCGAGAAGCAGCAACGCAGCAAATAGCCTTTGCGCAGGAACGCCACAGGAGTTTGTGCTTGAGTGCGCATGCAGGCCTTGTATGACCATATACAACTTTCAATGACCATCAGGGATCGGTCTATCGAATTAGCTAGGGCTTAAATCCAAGCCTCAGAGCAAGGCGTGGAGACACAGGACAGGGCGCGCACGAGTCGTCTGCGATGCGGCTTGTTCGTGATTGAGCTTGGCCGGGCGGGCGGCCATGTAGACGCGCGCGGCTTGATATCATTCACTTGGCACAGTCCCTTCATAATTGCTGCTGGAGCAGAATTCACACTCGCCGTGCAGCATCAGTGCTGCCTAGCTTCAGCTCGCCGTAGAGATCAGGAGAGCGGTGGATCAATCTCTCGAGCGACCGGCACCAGCAACGCGCGTATTTGATGAACAATCGTGAGTGTGAACTTTATCATGTAGCACCCTTGCTGACAGATGCGGGTGGACAAGAATGCCATATATAGTCATGTATAGCGTGGTGCAACAGCCAGCTGCTGGGCACGCTTGCGTGAATTTGTTTGCCGGCCGCGACCGGTGTTGCTTTCCTGTTCCACGCGTCGGGGACTCACGCTCGTGACTTGCGCCGTTCACGCGCGGCAGGAGACCTTCATCGCTTGACCCTTGAACATCACTTCCCTTGCGAGACTGCTACTCGTGACTTAGACTGTGCCAGACAACGTCTTGCCCCCTTCAAGACTTCGTACAAAGCCAGGCGTCCTTGACTCGCGGTCAGGCTAATCTTGCAGCCGAGCTCGGTATGGCAGCATGGGCAAAGATCTATCACGAAAGCGAAGGAAATTTCGTCACAATGACGATGCGCCAAATCCCAACGACTCTTCAGACGATGGTCGTGCTCACTCGCCCGACGCCGACGTCCCTGCCTACGCAGGAGACCGAGACTCTGGTGTTCGCAGACGCACGATAGCAGAACAAGCTCGCCTCTCACCCTCGAGAGGCGTAGAGAGAGGAAGTATATGGGCTGTGCGGAAATCTCAAAGTCCTCGCCGCGATCATGATTCAGACAGTGACGGAGAAAGTGAAGAGGAGCATCGTGACGTCTTTCATCTGGATGTGCCTTATGTGGCCGACGATGCAGAAGCCATACCAACGACTGAGACCCACCCCGCCACTCTGCAGGAGGACGACAAACCACCTCTGAACGAAGAAGAGGCGGCAGAGTTGCAAGACCTGGAAGAAGAGGAAGTCGTAGAGTACTTGCGTCAGAAGCGCGAAAAGATTCGATTGGATCGGATAAGGCAAATCGAAGAGCGCGATGCGAGGGAGCAGGCGGAGCGTGCTGCGGCGAAGGAAGCCAGGGAGCAAGCAGAGAAAGAGAAATGGAAGGTGAGCTGCTCGTGTGACGAGAAAGGCATCGTGGAGTATTTGAGCATGTGCTGCTGTCCGCCATGGTGCGGGTACGCTACACTATACATCTCAGAAAGGGCCATGTATGCGCCATGATCGGACACAGATGCCAGAATAGCACGACTAAGGCAAATATGTCCTGAGAGGCTCGTCTGCGTGCGTTGTATCTGGATCATCCGAGCGATTTCCGTAGTGTCAAAGCTGGTAGAGCGGTGCTGGATGACGCGTGAGCTAGCTTGACGACTGCTGACCTTCTCTGCTCAGCGTGCTGATCAGATTCCCGTGTTCTCCTTATCCCAACAGCTCACAGAAGCACAGTTAGCGCTGATGCGACGCACAGCAGCAGCGATCAGATCCTCATCCACGCCATCCGTATTGGAGATGCGCATCCTAGCTAATCACGGGGGCGATCATCGTTTCTCCTTTTTGAGAAGGGGAGAAGAAAAAAGGTGGGGAGTGGAGTGGGAGAGGCTGTTGCGTGGAGAGAACGTGCAGCTTCCTGCATCCACTCCGCAAGCATCGCTACTCTCTGGGTATGACAGCGAGAGCGGTAGCGATGCTGGGCGTACCGATGAAGGTCATGAAGTGCAATTGACAGCAAATCGTGCCGTCGAGCGCAAAGCTGATGCACATTCAGGCAGCGGGAAACAGGCGTCCATACCCGCACAAGCAAGCGAGATGTCACAGGAGCCGCAAGAGGAACCCAAGCAGGAAGCCGAGCCAGCAGACGCGGCCCAGAGTTCTGCAACGTCCGGACGAGAGATCCTTCGCGCCGAAAGATCAGGGACGCAGAAAGCTTCAAGGCTGGCAAAGGCAAGAGCGTGGGCGCTGCAACATCGGGCACAGACGGAAAGTGCAAAGGAATCTGTGGGCAACGACGCCCCAGCAGAAAAGGCGCAACTAGCCGAGATAGGGGACGGTGTCAACGATTGATGCTTGAGTTGGGAAAGCGGTGATCTACAAGTGTGGATAATGGTCCACTCGGGCCGAGGAGCAATACAAGCTTCCGAGCAACACGAGCTTCCATCACTGGCAGCCATGTCTACCGTACGTGAGGCGCAACCCCATCTCCATGCTGGTGCATCAGGGAGACACAAAGCCGGGCGGGGCTGTGGCTCGAGGGTATATGGAAGCTTTGTCGTTCTTGCCGGGCGAGCCCGATGATGCTTGGATGCCTGCTTGCCTTCCGCGTGATGTCTATGGAATGCAACAGGGTCGTGATGCGCCTGTCAGCTAAGCGAGGCGTTCCGACTTACGACTACGAAAGCGTCTTTCCCCTACATGGCACTCACGCGCAAAGCGCCTATGCTGGCATCGACGACGGGCCTGACCCACCCACGATCCGTCTTGACAGAAGTCGAGCTCAGACCCAGCAAGGCGCTATTCACATACACGCTTTCGAAGCGTCCTCGAGGCACTCGGTAGAGCTCGTGGGCGATCGTCAAGTGCTTGTACCTGCCCTGCTTCATGCCTTCGTCCCACCACTTGATGGCGCCACCGTGAGCCGAAGCGCGGGTCCAGCGGTCAAGCTTACCGTAGTCTGAGGGAGGGAGAGCGCTACGATAAGACGAGCCTCCAAAGCGTGGGCAAGAAGGTCGCACCCACCAGTGAAGTAGAAGACTGTCATGAGCGTAATGTTCGAGGAGCGTTCGGTCTCATTGAAGCTGCTAGCCTTCTCAGCATTGCCGCCGCCGCCCGCCGTCAACGCGCCACCAAACGTCCCTGGAGAGCCCCGCCTAGCCGCGCCATAGACTCTCCCTGCGCTGGACGCCCCCACACTTATTCCTTGTGATTGGTAGACACAACACCGATCTTACCTTGGGTCCCGCTCACGTGCCCCCATACTGCGCGTCTTGACAGGTTCCAGGGATCCTGTGCATGCCAAATGGTTTCTGTAGTCCCAAATTGCTCCTGTACCTCCCATGGGCAGAATGCTGGTGCTCGGCCACCAACTATAGGGGCCAGTATAGTCATTGTAGGCGTAGCAAGTCCAATTCCTGATCGTACCGGCTAACGTGCAATAAGGATCTAGCAGTGATCTCTCTGTTGCAAATACTATCTTATTCTGTTCTGTCTGCTAGCCTGAGTCAAGAGCCCCTCTCCCCAGCCTAGATGACTAGATCAATAGGTCAGTACTGCATACCACCATGTCCTGTTGCGTTGCTGTACTCCCCCAGCGCGGCCAACGCCACATGATCCTTGTATTCGAGCATCTCCTTGGGTCTTACACGTTCAACACCCGCTCACTAGGCAGAACAACATCAAGTCACGTGGATTTTGCTGGTGTTCTTGCCAGGAGTACTCGGACAGGGATTTCTCAAGTCAAGAGTGCAGAGTGAAGCGTTGGGTGATCCAAAGTGTCAGTCGAGTCACAGGGAAGGTCATGGTATTGTGGAGGAGTAGCGACGCGATCATCAAAGGTACATTTAGGCGCGCGCGCGCGCGCCCGGGCCATGACACAAAGCCTTGCCGTCGAGATGTCGCAAGAGCATCGCACATCACAGGACGTAGTACATAACGCTGGACAAAAGTGCAAAAAAGAGGATATGGTGCTGTTTCATTTGGGATTTTCTGCGATTTCACTCCAGGAGTTTTCTATTTTGTTTTCCGCTTTTTGGTTTCATTTCTGGTTTGACTTGTTTTTGCTTCCTTTTTCCTTTGGGATTTTTGTTGTCACATCTTTTTTACTTTTTTATACAGCGCAGTTTTTAGGGTCCTTGCCAAATTGTTTGGCCATCATAAGCCATGGGGGGATAACGTGTACGCGTGTGTCACCTATTGGGTGGCAGATTTACACACCCCACGAATTATAACCCCGCCTCCACTCTTACCGGCCGCGCATAGAGCTGGATCGCGCTCAGTGCCCAATACATACGCATCCGACGCGTTACCACTGAGCAAACATGGCAATACCTTGTGTTACGTAGTATTGATGGGAAGCAGCATATAATCCCGCGACTCCTTTTCATCGAAGTCTCTTTTGGCATGACTTAACAGTCAAGCAAAGAAAAGGCTTTTGTTCTGTTCTTAGAGAAGCTAAAGAAGAGGTCAACGACATAGCCATGTGGATCCGAACACTCCTCCGGTGATAATTTACTGGCGACACACACAGAGAGAGAGAGAGAGAGAGAGAGAGAGAGAGAGAGAGAAAGAAAGAGAGAGAGAGCGCGAAAGAGAGAGAGACAGACAGAGAGAGAGAGACAGAGAGGACAAATGGGTGGAGATGTATTTGGGCCCTCTGCTGAACCCGCGTCGTTGCTCTGTATCATTTTGGTCTACCGCTAATGTTTAAACTGATCCACTCACTACTGCGGTGACTCAGCCAGCTGCCATAAAGCTGCTGCGATGCCGAAAGCGGTAGCGGTGCAACGGAGTCAGAGATTGATGAAGATTGTCCGTTCATCTTGAAGGGAGCCCCGCACGACAGCTGACTGCATGCACGCGCCACGATGCAACGACCCCCAACAAATGACGAAGGGGGGACTCGACCTGATGCTGTTTGGCTTGGCAAGCTCCAGCTATAACGTCATCCTGGCTGTCGCACTCGCTGAATGACTCTTGACCTTGAGCGAGCGCAACGATAGCTATCACGACTGCCTGATTGCAGGTGGCCTCTCCTCGTACGAGCCGAGATGTGTTCGTGACTCGTGACTGCGCAGGTCATCGTCAGCTTGCTCAGACGTCGCTCGGACTGTTCGGGCAGGTGTCCGCCAATCTGGCTGTCATGCTGAAGCGCGGGTGCGCACGCGCGCGCGGTGATGCTGCTGCGCTCCCCGCGCGCTCAGCAGCCGGCATTTCCTTTCCGCCTTGATCCACTCGCGTTGACTCGTGACTGCTGAAGTGACTTGATGGATGATGCGCGAGTCGGCATCGGCGTCGTGTCTGATGATGCGCCGACGCTCGCGCGTATATCCGTCATCATGGGTTCTTCGCGCACAGTAGCAGATGAGGAGCGCTGCTGTGTGTGTGGCGCACACGCGCGCGCGCGCGTGCGTTGCTGCATCACCGACCGAAAACGTGCCTTAAAACAGCAGCAGCACACCAATGAAAGCCTTGTGTGCGGTTGTGATTGTGATTGAGCCCACGACTTCCGAGATCAGCGACCGGTCCTCATTGTACACCTACTCAAGACTCTCCCACCGATAGGATCATCTTTAACCCCTTTGAAGGCGAAAGCAAAGCCGTGTCACCCTTGCCCGCACGATATACTCCCAGCATCCCCTGTCATCTACATTTCATCTCATCTCACCAGCACGCAGACGGACTTTCCACATTGACCTCGCACGACTGCAAGCCTAGTGCCAACGCACGGACACATCGCTCGAAGGTCACATTCCACTCGCATTTAGGTCATCTGTTCCCCTGCATCGGTGCTCGACATCTACGCACGCCACGCTCGGCTCGGTGTTGCTCGAATCGATCCCGCTGTTTGGCTCGCATCCATGGCACCCAACAAGGGTGTGAGCCCTGCCAAGCCGACTTCAGAGAGCAAATCGGCCAATGAGAGAGCCGCACTCGCTGCATCCAGCCATCCAGGATTCGTTAATCTGGGCAACACATGTTTCCTGAATAGCGTGCTGCAAGGTCTCAGCGTCACCACTGCTCTGCGCGACTCCTATCATCCACATCCCGCTTCCTTGGACTTGGCCACCCCCATCGCAGACTTGGTCAGCTCGCACCAATTGGCACTCAGACGAGGATCTTCACCAGCATTCGCTTCGGGCAGCAAGCTCGAAGACGCTCCGCATGAGCATGCTGCATGGCCGATAGAGCGGGCCAAGAGTCCAGTCTTGCGGCTCGTCGATCACAGGAATGGCAGAGTGGCATCAGCACCCGCTAGCAGGCGACCCTCGGTGATGTCGGCGCCCGACAGCTCCACTCCCTCTGCGAAAAGTCTGGATGGTGCTGAGGCCATCGAGAATGGAACATTTGTCATCACAAAGGCAGACGAAAAGGATGTTCCGCTCAACAGCGCCTTTCGCAAGGTGCTGGAGCAGACATGGTCAGAGACCGAGGGCGGAAGGGTTGCTGTGGGATCTTCTTCACACAAGCGAGGCAAGAGTTCTGCTTCGGTCAATCCCAAGCCGCTGCTCACCCTCATGACGCGCAAGTACGATCAGTATGGGGAATATGGGCAGCAGGATGGACACGAGCTGCTGAGGCACTTGTTGGACGCAATGCGAATGGAAGAATCCGATGTGAGTGTATGCTGTGCGGGAGAGCAAACACCTAGCAGTCGCTCAGCTCATCACGGGGAGCTGGATGTCTGTCTGTACCTCACAGCTCATCAAAAAGCTGCAGCCATCTGACAAGAAGTCTGGTCGCAGGCGAGGTTTACCCCGTAGCAAAGTTCACGCGGACTTGGCTTCCGAAATTTCCGAAGAAGTATCCACCCCTCGAGCTGATGCTGTTGGCGATCACTCGCTAGCCTCTGAGGGAGCGTCACCTGCCGAGCAGCTCGACCTTCCCATGAGCCCTTTCATCGATCATCTCTTTGGGGGCAAGCTTCTGTCAGCTGTTGTCTGCGAGGGCTGCAAGCACGTGTCGCACAATTACGAAGATTTCCTCGATCTGAGCCTGGCTGTGCGGCCCGAGCTGGAGGCCAAGGGTCGCAAGCGAGACCGGATAGCCAAGATGGCGGACAAGTGGAGACGATCTGCTTCGAAGCCGCCTGTGAGGCCTCGATCTGCAGCCGAGACCCCTCGAGCGCAGCAGCGTTTGCAAGAACACCAGATCAGCGATGTAGAGACCGAACTGTCCACCACCTCGCGACCTTCGAGGCCCACCGAGATCATCCGCCCCAAGAGCGCCATGCTCAGGAACAAGAAGAGCGAGGGCAATTTTGAGGCGACGGCGTCCACATCTGCCACAACGGGCACCAGCACCGATGGCAGCTCACAGCAAAGCCATGGACGCGATCACGATGCGACTGTTGAGGGGCGCGCGACTCCAGTGCCAGACCACGCGGCCATGAAGCTGGCTCCTGACTTTGTGGCTTACACAGATGCGGAGAGGGCGTTTGCTAGGCCTGCGGAAGGGCACATAGGAGCCAATTTGCTTCGGGCTGTCAGCGGGAGAAGACCAAAGACTCCTGTCTCGAGCAGCAGAAGCGCAAGTCCAAGCGGCGTTGAAGCTAGGTCGAGAGGCGAGCTTGAGGCAGATGCAAGAGGCGTTTCGAAAAAGGGACAGCAGACGAAGCAATCCCAGTACACGTCTAGGCTGTTTTCTGAGTTGCCAAAAGCCGATGCGCCTTCGAATGCTGGATCCTTTTGGGGACGCTGGGCCGGCGCCTCTTCTCACGCTCCTCAGCCGATTGGGTCTGTAGCAGATGCGGCCGTAGCAGCGGCGACCTCAGCTGCGCATTCAAGGACGTCTGGGCTTGCAGGTAGCTCCGTGTTCGAGGAAGCAGCACCACCTGATATTCTTGCCACGCAGCAAAACACGGATCTCGTCAAGTCTCTAACGGCATTTTGCGCTGTGGAAGCCCTGGAAGGAGACAACATGTATTCCTGCAAGCGTTGCTGGAGGCTCTCCAATCCGCCTACACCCGCAGAACGCTTGCGACACATACGTAAACGCACTCGGCGAGGAGAAAGCTGCGACGAGAGCGAGAAGAGCTCCGATGACGATGCATCGGAGATAGATGCAGCCGAGTGTGAGCGTACGGTGGGTGCCCTCGCCACACGCGCTGCTGCTCTGTCCATACCCGCATCTAGCAGCAGCGATCGCTCGGAAGACACAAGGGATCTGCCAGGTCCCTTGGTCGAAGGTCAAGATTCTGCCGTAGATGTCGCCGCAACGGAGACTATCACCCCTCGAACGGGCGCTTTGCTGGCCGAAGCTGCCGCTCGCGAAGCTCGAGCTGAGCCTGCTGGCGCCATTGATCACCTTGCAGAGATTGAAGAATTGCAAAGCATCACTGGCTCTCACCCTGCGTCTAGCAGACCCATACCTACCATAGAGACGACGTCTCCCAAGTCGACGAGCGATGAGCCTTCTGTCGATTGGAGCAAGACCCGCGTACGCTTGCAGGCGCCACAGCCGATCCGCAAGCTCGCGGCAGACGACACGTTCTCAGATGAAGATCTCACCTCGGATGACGAAGCTGTGCGAGCATCAGGCACGTCCGAGACGGATGTGTCGTCCACATCGGGCGCTCACACCGCGGGCTCTGCCACTGAAGCGTTCAGCTCGGACTTAGAGAACTCACATAGAGCTCCTTCGGTATCCTTTGCTGTGGATGCGGCACCTAGCCAGCGCAGGCGCTCAACGCAATCTGTGCCTAGGCGTGCGCTCAAGCGGTACCTGATCGCATCGACACCGCCCGTGCTCGTGGTCCACTTCAAGCGATTCCAGCACAATCGCTCCTTCGGTTTTGCGTCTCTTGCAGGCGGCAGCAAGAAGATCGATGATTTCATCTCCATCCCAGAATGGCTGGATCTTTCGCCTTTCCTCGCTCCTCCGCGTGAGGAATACGATCGTCATGGTCGTCTTAAGGCGAGCAGCGATCCCAGAGCTCTGAGAGCCACGGAACAGTCGCAGCTTTCCGAAAGATTAGACGACAAGAAGCACGCCAAGTGGCATTGGCCTGGTCGGCATCATGGCAAGGATCATAGCGGCTTCAAGTCAGGCGCAAATGGTGGAGATCAACGCACAAAGTATCGATTGTACGCTGTAGTGGTGCATGAGGGTACAATGACGTCAGGTCACTACACGGCATTTGTAAAGGCGCCCATGCCCAAGACTCAATCAGCAAACGCTGCGAAGCCCGCGACCTCGGCTGCGGCAAGTCCCACGGACTCGACTACTCCCACCACGACCGTCGCCGACCAGACCAACGTGCTGGCTTCTCATCATGCGGCAGCGCCAGCAGAGCCCGCAGTCGCTTCTCCGCGCGCACCTGTGGCGCAAGAAGCATCGAGCGAAGTCAGCCCGCACACTTCCGCTGCGACGACTTCTTCTGCTAGCTCAAGCTTGGCAAGCCTTCAGCTGACGCCTGCCGAGTCTGGCGGTAGTACGGCCGCTTCTAGCAACCGATCGTCCGCCAGCAAGGCAAGCACGCCGGCGACTAGCGGCGCTGCGGCGTCGCCATTCCCAGCCGAGGAGAGGTATTGGCTCTACACCTCTGACACTTTTGTCCGACCTGCAAGCTTGGAGGAGGTTCTACGCGCAAAGGTGTACATTGCATTCTACGAGCGCGTCTAGAAAAGAAGTCGCCGTATTAGAAACGCATCAGACTATCATGCAATAGCATCCTTTAATGGCATCTTCCATGTGCAATAAGCCCGCATGACTACACAGAGAGAGAGACAGGAAAATTGTGCGTACATTCGGCGTCGTCATTCGATTGTAAAGACGATGCTGGGGCAGACGACGACCAAGTTTGAACAATCTGCCTGTGACTGTAGGCGAAAGCCAGTCCAAGAGGTTGCCAGTGAATCTAAATGAGAGAGGCGCACACGATTCCAAAGCTGAGTACGCCGCCCTTCGACCCATGCATGCACATCCAAACTCTTGAGTGCGCCAAAGACGTCGCGTACTCGAAATCATCTTGCGTCTCAGCGGCGATCGGACTGGGTGACGTAAGGAACTCCGCGCCAATCGGAAGGAGATCGAGGCGTAGTGGCGGATGGCGTGTGGGCGACACCAGACCCGACCGAGCTGGTGGACCCGACCGAAGTGGGCCTGACAGGTGTTCTTGTGCCCGCAGCTGAAGTAGGGGCGGATTGAGGGCTCGTAGCGCGTGGTGCGCCAGTCAACGTGCTATTCAGCGTCCCATTGGCCACTCTAGCCGCCTTCAAGCTGGGTTTCCTTGCGTGCGTCAAGAGAGGAGCAGGTGCACTTCGAACATTTGTGCGCATCTCGTGCTTGGGTTGATGAGACCCTGCGCTGTCGTCCGCATCTTCATCGCTCTCGTTCAGCTGGGTCAAGCCGACGGTCTCTTCGTTGTCGTAAGCGCTGAATAGCACACTGCCGCTGCTGTCTCTCCGAGTGTGAGCAGGATAAGATCCTCTCCGTGAAGGGGGGTACTGCATGCTGCTTCGACCTCTCCAATCGTTGTTGCCCAGCAAACGATCGTGTGCCTCGCTCAATCTGCCTGTTCCCGCCACTCCCTCTCCTGTCATCAACGACATGCGCGGTTGTTGCGTAGCTGGATCAACCAGCCTGTTCAAGTTGAGTAGGTATACGCCCATGAATATGACGCAGAACCCTCCGAGCAGCGACACTGCGGAAGCCGGTCCACTCGTATTGAATCCGTTGAAGAGTAAGAAACTTGCAAAGATGGTAGATGTAGTGAAAGTAACGTAATAGATAGGATTGACACTGCAGTGCGACGAACAGCAAAGAGTGACATCAGCACAGATGTGCTACGAGACGATTGCAGCGCATGCACTTACATATTTGTAGAGAATTGATCCAGCGCCTTGTTGAAGTAGTTCATTTGAACCAGAATGCAAACCACAGTGACGAGAGCGAAGCAGTACGTGCTTGGATGCGTGAATTGATTGTTGCCATCCAGCGTGAGTTTCAGCGCCACGCCAAAGCCCTTGACAGCCATGACAGAGACGCTGCCGACCAAGCTACAGATGGAGAGGTAGACCAGAGGCGTGCGCTTGCCATAAATTGGCACGAGTCTCCAAATGGCCCATATTGCGTAGCCCAATACGAACAAGCAGTAGGTCAGAAAGCCTAGGATGGCAAGGTGTGATCTCGTCCGCAAGTAAGCACTGAAAGAGGACTTGCACAATCATGCCCAAGAGTCGTGCGGCTCACCTGGCTGAATGGCGTAGTTCAGAATTTCATCCACTGTCTGAATCTCCTTGTCCTCCGGTGCATTGACCACAATGATGACTGTTCCCACCAGACAAAGCGTGCATCCTACGCGCCCCAAACTTCCCAGCTCCTCCTTTAGGATGAAGGATGCTAGGACCGCTCTGTCGCCCACAAAACATGCGAATCAGCTCAGAAGCCCAGAAGCATGAAAGCATCTAGACCGACTCACCCAATGAGCACGGAGAGCGCGCCCAGAGGCGTGACTAGGATGGGAGGCGCAAATGTGTAGGCCGCAAAGTTGGCAACTTAGGAGGCAAGAAAGGGCGCGAGACGATCAGCAAGTCTACTTGAGTTAGCCGGTGGGTGCGGCCAGCGCTAACTCACCCTCGCCTACAATCACTGCAAGGGAGCGACGCAGCAAAGATGGACACTGCTGTCAGCCTCTGAGATGTGAGTGTATACACTGTGGCACGACGACGAATTACGTACTCGTAGACATGCCAGCCCACCAGATGGGGTTTTGCAAGTAGTAGTGACCATCGGAGGCCATGCCGCCCGTTCCTGTTGATCTATCAGCCGCATCCATCAGTCCCTGACGCGAGGGGGCGCAATGATGGCAATCGAAGATTGGGAGTAAGTGCACTCAGCTCGCCCAGACGAAGTATGGACTCGACTTTGGCGCTCGCTCGCAACTCACCTTCTTGGTGATGATGAAACTCGTTCCAATGGCCAAAGAGCTCGAAATGGCGAGTCCAAGCCCAATCCACTTGTCTCTAGTCAACGAGCTCAATCCGCTTCCTTCTCGCGCAGTGTGATTTGAGCCTGTCCTGTGTTGCGCTGTCGCTTGTCCTGCCGTGATCCTTGCGCTGTGGGCGTCTGAATAGTCCAAAGCTGACTGTGGGAGCCAGTCCGTTGGACGAGCTTCGGCTGCGGGATGGGGCGATGCTGCTGCTAGAGATGCCCAGAAACATGCAATGCTGACCAGCAGCACATACAGTCGTGCTCTACTACCGTACAAGAGCCTACCACCAGCACGCCTCCTTCTGCCCCTCCGCCGACACTCGAGATTCGGATCCATGTCTCTGACTCTGTCGGTCATCTTGCTGATCTCGAAGAAAAGACTTGCGCACTTCTATGCCGAGCTGAAGGGCCGGGAGTCGGCTTCGACTGTGCTGTAGGGAGTAGTAGGCGGGCCCAGATTCTACAATGGTGATGCTTCAGGTCAGCGTCGCACAATGAATGTGATGGTTCGGATGAAGCAGTGTGGGCGTATAAACTTCCGATGAGCCCGTCTCGTGCAAGTTGCCTAGGCGAGGCGCGGCAATCGAAAGGCTCGCGTGTTGCTTGGCTGCCGAGGACAGCCTGCTTGAAATTCTGACTGTGGTTGGGGCGGCCGATGGAACAGCGTCCGGCGTTTTTGGGAGGAGTGCGGTCCGAAATGAGCGGTATGGAGTGACGCGGCAGACGCGATGTATATGAAGGGGTCAAGGTTCGTCAAACGAGAATTGCCGTCACAGTTGCGAATGATCGTGACCACCGCGAATGTGAATGCTCCATCACCTCACGAGCAGCAGCGAGCACATGCCTTCGTGACGAGTACGAGCCCTCGCGAGCCCTCAGCACCGTCGTTCGTTCGTGGCGGCATGCATGTATGCATGCATCAGCAGCAGCAGCCGCAACATCAGCACGCGATAGCAGCAGCAGCCGTGGGTTTGCTTCGGTCGGCGCGCGGCAGCTGCTGTTGTGGCGCATGCCACACGCGCCCATGCAGCATACAGCACTGCGACGCGCAGCCTGGCACCGCGCAACGCGGCGCGCTCGCGTACGCGCGGATGTGGCAGGCTGAGATGAGTCACAGTCACGTATAGCGCGCAGCACTTGACCAGTCTTGGCGCTGCGCGTGGTGGCCGCTGTGCGTGCGCGAACGCTGGCCATAGTCAGCCTATAGCTGTGTATAATACTTTGCTTGGAGGGCGCGTGTATGACAAGCAACATGCTGTATTGTACAGCATGCTGCATACATGTATATCATGATCAAAAGCACGCTTCCTACCAAGCAAGCCGTCGAGTTCAAGGACACGGTGGGCGCCATAGCGATGTGGCATCCACGTGGGCGACGCGGGCTCTTCTTGAGCGATTCAGCTTGTGACAGAAGAGAGAGAGAGAAATCACGAAGGCGAGATGCCAGCTGGAAGCGTGCATGTACCGGTATAACGTACACTTCACTGCATGCAGAGCTGAGAGCATGCACACAGCCATGCAAGGGAAGTCGCGACGATTTGGTGGGGTTGTGGGATGTGGAGGAAGGGGCTCTCTGCTGTCTCGCCATTTGTGATTCATCCCAACGAGACCTTGGCACTCAAGACTCTTGACTCTTGATCGATTCTAAATCGCACACCTTTCATGTACGCTTGCGCGCATTCGTGATTGAGCCTCCAATCATCACATTCAAGATTGCTGAAGCGCAAGTCAAAAGCTGTCGAGTAGCCGAGAAGAGATCGAGAGAGTCTGGGTAGCGAGATCGAAGAGCGCTTGGACGGGGTCATCATTGTGATCATCTCGGCTTTGCAAGCAAACTTGGATCATCGGCCGACCGGTAACCTTCGGTGAAGAGCTCGGACGGATCCTGTTCTGGGTCAAAGCGGATCGATCACTAGGTCCGCATTATCAGAGTCTCGCCTTCGCGGACGACCTCTTCTGCAGGTCAAGGTACTTCATCCCCACCCACTGAAAGGCATATCGGCTACCCAAGTATCATGTCCGGTATTCAAGATGATCTTCTGAACGGATCCGGCAACGGTACATCCACACGAAACGGAGCAAAAGGGAATGGGCACCGCAACGGCCACGGTAATGGTAACGGCAACGCGAACAGGCCCGAAACGCCGCTTGCGCGCTTGCAAGAGTCGCATCGCGCCATCATTTCGCGCCTGCCAAATGAATTGTGCCAGCCTACCTGGGGTATCATCTGCGGCTCCGGCTTGGGCGGCTTGGCAGATCATCTGGAGGAGCGGGTAGATGTCCAGTATGCCGATATACCTGTATGTATGCTTGCTCTGGCTCGTGCCGCGATCCATGATTGGCTCACACGACCTTTGTGCACCTCCCGCCCGCGATACATTTAGCACATGCCGAGATCAACGGTCCAGGGTCACAAGTCCGCATTCGCTTTTGGCTTCCTCAGCAAGTCCTCATCCGCCGCTTTTAGCGCAGAAGAAAAGGCCCAGAATGGCACTACAAGCAGAAGGATTCCAGTCGTAGCAGCTCTTGGCAGGTTCCATCTGTACGAAGGTTACGATGCTCAAGATGCCGCCATGCTGGTGCGTCTCTTCAAGCTACTGGGCGCATCATCCGTCGTCGGTACGTTGATGATTCGGATAGGCCGATCAGGATGCAGCTCACGTCCTTGCGCTCCCGTCGCACTCTGCGTGCTCTAGTCACCAACGCATCGGGCGGATTGCATCCTGATTGGGACGTAGGCACTATCATGGCCATGCATGATCACCTCTCGCTACCGACGCTCTCTGTGAGTATGGGCGGCGACCTACATCGCTGCGGAACCATCCCTCTCAAAGCTCACAAATTCGCGTTCCCACTCGCAAGTCTATGAACCCTCTCATTGGCGAAAATTTCGAGCTGGGGTCTCGCTTCATTGCCATGTCGGATGCATACGACCCAGCTCTTAGACTAGCTTTGTATCGCTCCGCAGCGTCTCTCGGAACCGAGACGCTGTCCCTACTCCGCTCGGGCACCTACGCCTACGTCGCTGGACCAACGTACGAGTCGCGCGCTGAATCTCGTTTCCTGCGAAGTGCAGGTGCGGATTGCGTGGGGATGAGCACAGTGCCCGAAGTCATCTCTGCTAGACACTTGGGATTGCGCATCTTGGGCATCTCGCTCGTCACCAACAAGGTCGTCGTCACGCCTTACTTTGACGCCGATGCCGCGGTACGCCAGGAGCTCAAAACTGGGAAAACGTTTGATGCGGAAGCGATCAGGAAACAAGATGCAGGAGAGGCGGCAAATCACGAAGAGGTGCTCGAAGTTGGAAGACGACGCGCTGATGATGTCAGGAAATTGTGAGTCTTCACCGCCTTGCCCATTCGAGCATGCGCTGATCATGCATGCTTCTGACGATCACCGCAGAGTCGAGCGAACGATCCTCACTGCTGACGCTTGAGGTGCGGCTTTGCAACTTGAGTCTACTCAAGATGGTTGTACCAGCACACTGCTTAGCTATGGGAAGCAAACCCAGCTTCCTTACCCGCAACTTGCATATCCAGCTTGAGAGCTCCCAGTCTGGTCCCACAAAGGATTTTTAGCTAGACATGCATTGATCATTGCAATTCCCATCATCCAAATTCTCTGCTCCTTCGATGCGCGCGAGATGCCAAAGGAGTGCTATGGCTTATCAGCATATATGCCCGCTAAGCGTGACCTGCCGCCCCGTACTTCGGGTCCAGTGAGAAAGGTAGCACTGTCAGCCTGCGGCTGGTGGCTTGTAAGGCTAAGGAGGTCGTGCTGCTCGACTCACGTTGGGAGGCTGAGCTCCAGCAGGTGCAGCATCAACAGCTGCATACTCGCCGTTGCCCAGGTAGACATAGGCAGCTCCGTACTGCTCCTCTGCGCGCATTTTCTTGTAAATGAGCCAGAATCCGTGAATGTGACCGGGAATGTATCCCAAGATGCTGCAGCATTGGATGCGATCGGTCAAGGAGCGGAGAAGAACGCGTCGTGGTCAATGCCATATTGTGAATAGGTTCGGCCAACGTGCACCTTGAAAGGCGCGACGAGTGCCTAGGGATCACTCGTGCTGACAGATTTTGATAGAGGAGCACTCACGTCAGGCAAACGTTGATCAGCAGATCACACGAGCAGCATCCGGCTACGAATGCGGCGGCGGCAGGTGGGAAGAGGATGCAGACCAAGCAGAGCAGAATATCGCTACCTTTGACCATGGTGACTGATGACAATCGGGTGATTTGCCGACGTTGTGCGTAGACGTGGTGAGAGAGAGAGCCGTACTGCGCGGGTGCGGACGATTCGATTCGGGAGACAAGCTGGAATTCAGTCGACTCGCGATGTGCGGATGTTGACGATGGTGAGGATCGAGAGGGGAAAGTCGGTATAGTGCCTATACAAGATACCTTTCACCGCCATTGATGACTTGCAACTCACTCCTCGATTCCTTGGTGCGCAGCAGTCGCTGCTGTTTCGAGGGGTTGCGCATGTGGAGATCAGTCATGCACAAGACAAGCCGCTTGCGTTCCCGTGTTTATGGATGCTGCCGGATCGAGGCGGAGCTAGATTCAAATCCAAGATTTGATTTGGAATCGAGTGGTTGTTGTATCCCTTCGCTCCTGAGCTCTGTATTCGATCGCGCTGCTCAAATCAAAATTCAAGATCGAGTAGCCCGCCGCGCGGCGGAGAACCGCGGAGGACGCGCCACACGCGCACGCGCCAAAACCCAATCGGACGCGCGCCAAACATGTTTTTGAATTTGAGAAGCCAAGAGTCACAGCCAAGCTGAAAGCGCTGCGATGCACGCGTGTGGAATGCACGAAAAGCTTGCACAAGCTCGATCGAGGCGTGGTCGTGTGGATGAGATGGTGATGGTCGTCCTTCCTTTCTTGTTATTCCGCACCCAATACACAAGCATCACTCACTTCACTGCTTCCCGCTTGCCCAACATCAGATCTTCAGTGGCCCGATCTCCCGCTTTGGGCAGATACAGCGAGCGCGAAGTGAGGATCCTGGTTTTGCCAAAAGGGCTGACCCTTTCGTGGTCTGACAGGGCATCCTCGCTCTTGCTCTCCACAACGGACGACCCAAGACCGCGAGCATAGCGCAGATGGCCGGCGGTGGCAAGACTTCCAGTAGGTATTCGAGAAGGTCAACCTCGGTGGAAGAAGAGCGACCTTCACATTCTACACCTAGGGCGCGACATAGCTCAAGCAGGCACCATCTCAGCATGTCGTCCAATCGAACACCTTCGCGAGGCAAACGAAAGCGGGATCACGAGTATGGTCTCAGTAGTGATGCAGAGCGTAGCAGAAGTAGGAGTCGTAGCAGCAGGCGGAGGAGCAGCTACAAGCGGCACAAGTACGCCTCGCCAGAAAGCCAATCGACATCCGAAGCGTCTTACACTGGCGATTCAGGCAGCCAAGATGAATCGGGCGGGTCAAGCGACAGCGAAGGGTCCGCTAGCGATGCGAGCTCTATCGCAGACGATGTCCGTAGGCGGAAACGTAGGCGGTTGCAGTCCTCTGACAGCCGCAGGCCGAAGCGAGGCGCGGTGGGCTATCTGCATCACGAGCCCCTGGCGAGCTTCGTGATGCCAGACAAGACTGCTTTCCAAAGAGTCCTCGATGGTGAGTGAAGAATGCGCATCTTGAAGCAATGACACCGAAACTCCCATTTTTCAACGGGAGAGCTGGAAGAGGTGTCATCGCCCTGCGGATTGCGGACTCACTCACCTTTCGTCTGCTCTCAGATGATATGACCCTGGCTAATGCAAAAGCATTTGCCTCTACGAAGCTGCATGCTCCCGTAAGGCTATCGTACGTGTCGAGAGTTGGGCATGCGCGGACGAAGCTGAGAATAGAGATTGACGATGGTGAGCGCCTTAGAAGCACTTGACCCCACTGGATCACGCTCACGGACTGTGCGACGTTTGCATGCAGAGCACGGCTTCCACGCGTTGAGGCATGCTGCGCGGGCCGAGGGCCACATCATAGTAGACGTGGCTGTTATGGATACACCGTCGGAAGCTGGCCCTTCAAGGCCGGAGCAAACCGCCAATCAGCGTCAATCACCGATGGGCAAAGCTGCTGTCCCAAGCCCTGTCATTCGCGCAGCAGTCGGATCGCAAGCGGAAGGCAAACGTGGCTATCGCCTCTCGCGAGGAACTTCTGTCGCATTCTCACCAATCTCGCATTTGGATGGAATGCAGCGTGGTTCTTCGGCAGCACCTGCAGGATCACCGCCGTCGCAGAATGATGCTGGTGCAGTTAATCAGAATCCATCAATGCCCAATGGAATTCCGCAGCTAGTCAGTGGAGCGCTAGACGGTATACCTGCCGTATCGCATGCAGCTAAGCAGCCACCAGCTGCTTCTGCTGCCACTGACAATGCCTCTGTGAATGGCAACAGTGGCCGAGAAGCGCCCCAAGGAGCAAAAAAGCCCGGTGAAGCAGGAGCTCAGGGGGCCAGCGGCGCCTCTAGCAGCGATACTGGTGGCGACAGTGACTCTTCTAGCGATATTAGCAGTGCGGGAGATGCGACAGATGCTGCAGAGGCTAGCCAGCAAATTGCCGTTGCTTCAGCGAGACCGCAGGCGTCTACTTCGGCAGCAAGCGCATCCAACGCATCCAGCCGCGATGGAGCTCACCATTCGCAGCATGTGTCTGGGCAGCTCCCCAATGGCCACGTTGTTCCACCACAAGGACAGTCTGTCATAGCCCCTCGACGTGGTGTCGGGCGTCCCCCGAAGTCCGCGCCAGCGCAGCCGCAAGCTAGACCACCGCTGCAGGCGCTGTTTCACTCTCCTCCCCTTTCAGCCAGACCGCCGCACCCAGCATATCTTACGAGCTTCTCTCCGCCCGTTGCGGCTGGATCGCCGCCTGCACCGCAGGCGCGACCTTCTCAGCAAGTAGCTCGTTTACCCCCTCCAGCGCTGCGGCAGCCACCTTGGCTAGGCGCCCCTTCGCCACAAGCAAGCATGCGGCCGCCCTCGCATTCACCAGCACCACCGCCTGGGTCTAATACCCCGACTGGACGACCCGCTCAATCTACCAGCGCTGGAAGACCACCCCAAGCTGCTAGCGCTGGACGACCACCTCAAGCTGCTAGCGCCGGACGACCACCTCAATCTACCAGCGCTGGAAGACCACCCCAAGCTGCTAGCGCTGGACGACCACCTCAAGCTGCTAGTGCTGGAAGACCACCTCAAGCTGCTAGTGCTGGAAGACCACCTCAAGCTGCTAGCGCTGGAAGACCACCTCAATCTACCAGCGCTGGAAGACCACCTCAAGCTGCTAGCGCCGGACGACCACCTCGACCTGGCAGTGCTGGAGGTCCCTCTGTATCGCCTGCCATCCGACCTGTTCCACAGCCAAACGGGCACAGTGTCCAGAGCGAGCCCGCTGCCGCTTCAACTTCCGCTACAGCAAGCAAGACTGCGCAGAACGGCGCAGCGAAGCCTGCGGAGAGCGCGCCGCAAGGCATGAAGAAGGGAACACGGGCGCCCACACCCACAGCCGCCACAGCGCCAGGAACCGCGCAGACAGAGCAAGCCTCGATTGATACAGATGCCTCGAGTAACGGAGACGACTCGAGTGCCAGAGAACGATCAGCGTCTGAAGTTGCCTCGATGGCCAATGAGATTCTTCGCGCTCAGGCGTCGAAAGGAGCAGTAGATCGCAACGAACCTCGAGCAAATATCAATGGAAGTGCAGTTGCTGAGACTGCAACCGGTACAGGTCAGAACCCAAACGGCAGCAAACGGAAAGAGACCTCAGCTGTCAATGAGGAGCCTGCGGCACAGAGGGCAGCGCGCACATCTACCTCGGCATCTGAAGGAGATGCGAGCGAGGATACTCCCCAAAAGAGACAACGCAGGGCGAGCGCTAAGGCGCAGGCACTCTTGAAGGAGGGCTACACCTTGGCAGGTCTGGACGCGGCCAGCTTTTTTGGGCAGACTGAACAGGAAGCTCGGGTCTCGAGAGACGCTGCTAAAGGCGCTCAGGATGCTGCAAAGGAACATCAGCGCAAAGGTGGAACGAAAGGTCAGGCGTCCGAGAAAGCTATGCAGAGCATGTCTGGCGCAGACTCGACCAGTGCTGCGTCTAATGGCCGTGCGGACGAAGCGATAGAACATCGGTCCAGTACTGCAGCCAAATCGGCGGCCCCTCAGAAGGAAGCAGTCCCTGCCACTAAACAGCCACCCACTCTGTCAAAGACTACGGGAAAAGGTGCTCCGCGCTCGAGAGATGCACGATCTCCGGTCGATGCTCGGCGCAGCTCTGAGGTTGTCAGTGAGGCTGAATCCAACGGACAGCTACAAGACCGCCCTCGCAAGCCTGCCAATAGCGGTCGTCCACCGAACCCTGAAGGGCCGGGCGTATTGACCATAGATGGGAAGCAGCTCTGTGCGCTCTGCGCAGAGTCTAAGCCTCACGAAGCAGCAGTCTGCCCAACCATTCAGGGCGGACAGCCGAAAATCTTGGATCGCTTGGAAGCCTTGAAACCTTTCAACAAATTCAAGGGCGCACAAATGGCAGGGTCGTTCTTGAGAGGCTGGCTGGTAGAGCATGGATTTAAGGTGCCAACAAAGTTCAAGTCGTATGCGAAGCCGAAGCAAGCAGCTGCGGTGGGTAGTGGCGCGGACGACGAGTCGGATGAGGCGCGACATGATCACGAGACATCTCCGGGCCGTGAGCCAGCTCCCACCACTACCGCCCCGGCTCCATCGACTCAACGCAGCGCCGAGGACGAGGCGAACACGTCGACTAGAAATCCAAAGTCCAGCCGTGGTGTGAGGCGCAACAACACCAGAAAGCGCGGGAAAGCATCTGCCCCATCCTCGCAAGTCTCTGATGCGGGCTCAGAAGCGGCAAGCGGAGCGAAGGCCACGGCTGCCCAGGGAGTCGCCGAGCCAAAGAGCCCTGAGGTGTCCGCCCAACGAGACGAGACTTCAGCGCCAAGCCGCGATACAGCAGAAGGAGCGCGAGATAGGGATGTTGGTGCGCCACCAAGTACCGCACAGCCCACTGCTGATGGTCAATGCGCCTGGTGCGAGTCCACACGTGGAGAAGCTCCACAGTCGCCTGCCGACCGGATACCCACTGCTAGCACTAGCGCACAGACCTCCAAGCACATCCCAGAATCTACCCCTGCTGCGACGGAGAAGCAGGCATTTGCTTTACAGCGTACCAGTGATGCTGTCGCTCGCGCGAGGCAGGAAGTCGCCAAACTCAGACAACAGCAGCAGCAGACAAAGCAGCAAAACATGTCTCCCGAGGCTCTCGAAGCACGTGAAGCGGCCGCGAAGCGGGCTGAGATTGCTGTCAAGAAAGCCCAAACACGGAAAGCAAAGGCTCAGGAAGCCATCAAGTCTGATGCAGCTCGTGCAGACCCTGCCACTAGCGACAAGCAGAAACCGTCAGCAGATCTTCGCAACCATGATGAAGCTCGCTTGAAAAACGCGTCGGTGCAGGAACCAGCTTCTCGACAGCCTACCAGGACGGACAATGTCCAAGTCTCGAGCAATGCTCCGCCGGCTTCTTTCTCCGCTACCCAGCAGAGTCAGGATAGCCAATTTGATCAATTGGCGTCACAACAGACTGGTGCTGATCCGTCTCAGGCTCTCGACGCTCCTACTGCTGCTCGAACACCCTCCCCTACTCGTCAAGGTGGCTTCTCCTCCGACAATGTCTTCCAGAATGCTAGTATGGTTTCCCCCTCGAAGCACAAATACGGTCGGAAGGCACCCAACACAGGGTCCAGTGTCAGCCGAAAGGCCCAGAGCGATCACAATTCTTCCGATGAGGCAGAGACAAGTCCACTGCTGCAAGCCGTGCAGCCCTCTACCGGCGCTGGCTCACAGCCTGAAGAGGCTGAATTCCCTTCTGGAGACGAAGAGCCGGCTGCTTCCGCTGAAGTCACACCTCACGTCCAGCGCGAAAGCGAGCCTGCTTCACCTGGACGGCGCAATGGCAGTCTATTCCTGCAGACGCAGCAATCGCAATTGACTCAGGAAGATCAGTCGCAACCGAAGCGAGATATTCCCGCAGCAGCTGGAGGCGATTCTGACACCTCGGCTGACTCAGATCCCAATGACGCCGAGGATTCGGATTACATTGAAACCGACTCCGATGGCGACGAGGCAACCGTCAAGCTTCAGATAGGAGCCCAATCGCAGGACGATCCTATCATGTCTACTCCAGGTGGCCCCGCTACGCAGGATAGCCGGAGTCAGATTGACGGGATAGAGCCGGCTGACACTCAAGAGCTGCGTGATGCACGAGAATTGAGCGTGTCGGACGCTAGCCCTTCTGATACAGACTCGGACAGCTCGGATAGCTCTGACAGCTCGAGCGACACCGAGAGTGAATCGTCTGATAGCTCTTCGAGCTCTGGCTCCACTGAATCAGCATCAGGGAACGAAGCCACATCCCGAGGGGTTGCGTCCTCGCAGCCTTTACCTGCGAGGGAGAAACCTGTAAATCCTTTCACCCGCACGTCGATGAACGCTTCACAGCCCTCGACTCAGCCGACTGTCTCCAGGCCGCCTGCTGCTCCACAGCGTCTATCGGAGCTCACTCCAGCCGCCTTGCGCAAAGGCCTCGCATCATCGCAGCCGAACTCTCCAATGAGCTCATCCACTGCTCATCGCATCATGACTCAGGCCACCACAGCAAACGGCAAGACCAAGTCACCTTTGGAGTATGCTGAATCGTCGGGAAGCAGCGCGGAATCCGAGAAGGGAGATCAGAATGATGACAGCAGCAGCAGTAGCAGCAGCAGCAGCAGTAGTAGTAGCAGCGACGACAGTTCTGATTCGGAAGCCCCAAAGGCGCCAGCGAAGACTTCTGGCATTCCCACTTCAAAGCTGGCTGGTGCGAATGCGTCAAATCCCAAGAAGAAGAAGAAAGCACGGCGGTCCATCTTTGATATGAGCCAACGTTGAGCCCTGACAGTGTGTGGCCACGGGGTTGGTTGCCTACATGTGCTTCGATTTATAGCTCAAATTCCACGCGATGACTCTTCCATTGGCTCACCGTCACAGCGCGTTTGTAGTATCAACTTGCTCGTCACGATATTTGTAATTCAAGCGCATCATTCTTGATGTCGCATGTGCTCTCGATTCGTGTGTAGGACAAGTACAAATGTAGGAATGCGTGCTTGGAATCTCGATCTGCGATTGCTGGGATGTACTGAGAGTAGGAGGGACAATTGGGGAAATGGGCGGCACAGGTGACCCTGTTTATATGATCGTTTGGTGAGATGCGAGCAAGAAAGCACATGCACCACTGGTCACAAGAAGCGCCTGCAGCCAGACGAGCCGCAAAGACAGGGTATCGCGTCGGCTTCATCCCCTCCAGATTGGAATTTGTAGTCGTACGTGAGCTCTTGACCTGGCAGGATAGCGGTACGTGCATACAGCACGATCCGCTTCTCTCCATTGAGCGTGAGGATTTTCGCATTGCAGTTGGGCGTGCAGCAATGATTCATCAACCGAGCGATGTTGCCTTTGCGCGTGGCGTCGACGACCAGATCGTCGTCCACTCTGAATAGGTACGTGCTGAAATTGCCCGCTCGCTCATACGCCTTCTCGCGCTCGTCTGCCACCTGCTGTCGAATGACTTCTCCGACATACTCGATGACCATGTCACCGGCTGGAATGTGCTCCATCGCGTAGAGGCCCCAATCGTGAATCGGAGACTTGGCGAATTTGAGTTGCTTTTTGCGCGTACGCAATTGGTTGAACTTCAAGATGTCGGTGTCGGTAGCAGTGTCCTTCTTGTGCTGCTCGATACCTTGCACGAAGCGGCGAGAGTCTGCACGATTGTCGCGCGCGGATGCCAAGCCAACGGGTGCACTTGTATCAACGACCGCGCGATTTCTGTCCGGCTGATGTGCAGCCTTGTCCGCCTGAGGAATCTTGTAGAAGCCCTCTGTGCGGGCTGATCCAGAGATATGGGGCTCCTCGATGTTGTCATCTTCATCCATGTCGAATTCTGGTACCCCAGCAGGTGCAACAGATTCGCCTGCTGCCATGCGTTCCAACGCGAGCTTTGCATAGTACAGATCTTCTTCGTTGTCTGCAAACCCCAGTGTGAATGGATCAGGCGTAGGGCTGCGAGCTCGTAGGGCTTTGACCGTCTTGAGTTTCTTATTCGGGGCGATCTGCCGCTCGGCGACCTGGTCTGGAACAGCAAATACCTCTTCCACCACCACTTCTTCCACAACGGTCTCAGCGATCCTGGCCTTCTTGCTTTGCCTAGCCTTGACTTCTTGGACCGGCACTGCAAGCGGCGCATCACCAATTTGTTCAGAAGTGGCTTTAGCTGCGCCACTGAGATGCGAGACACTTGGCTGTACGTCTTCTACTTTCGGCGTTGCCGTGTCTGCCTTGGCATCCGCTGACAGCCTACTGCGTTTCACCTCGCGAGATTCCTCAGGATCGTGCAGCTGGCTTGCGACTTCTGCGTGCTGTCGCTTGTGATCTAGCTCGTTAGCACTGGACGGGGCAACTTTGCCAGCTGGTGTTGGGGGAACGCTTTCAACGCTGCCTTCCCGCGCGCTAGCTCGTCGCCTGACCTTCTTGGGCTCGGGTGACATTGGACGGACAGGCTTGATCGGCTCAAATCGCACGTCGGAGTCATCATCGCCAACCCAGCGTGACTGGGGGTCTTGGATTGGATCGGATCTGAGGTGAGACGCAAAGCCTAGCTCGCGCTTCCTGTTGTATCCAAAGCGGCCGGATGGGCCATCGAAGTGGTTGCTTCTTGGCGATGATGACGGCATCGAATCGAACGAGATATCACGCCCATGGGCCTTCTTGGAGCCCCAGAGAAGGACGTCGCTGACATCGGCAGCACGCGGCGCCCACGCGACCGGACGGCTTGGGGCGATGAAAGGCATTCGGATCTCTACTGAAATCTGCACGTTCAAACCCGGTAGTGTGGTACGATCTAGCACCATCTTGGCTCGACCTGCAGCGTCGCGATTCCCAAAGGCAACGTGCCACCCGCTCTCGTCCGCTAGTACTTCTTGGGGAACGAAGCCCGCAAATTGCTCTTTGACGAGTCGTGCGTTGCAGCCTTGAATGCGAGGCACAAATACGTACGGGTTTCCGATGGAAGCGAGCCGGTCTTGAATCGCTCGAGACGACATTGTCTCCTCTCGCTCTGCGCGTGGTGCGGTCGGAGCAGCCGGTGCGCCATCGTTGCCACTCCGGCCAAACCTGGACAAGCGACTTGCGCCTTTCGCGAGGCGCCCGCGCGTGGAACCGTAGTACACCGCAGCTGTCCGCGCTGCGCCATTCGCTGCGAACTCGTCCTCATCATCAGAGTCGGTGTCCATGTCGTCGTCGTCGCGGCCCGTCTCTGTAGGCGTAGGCGGGATCGTACGAGGGGTGTGGAGCACATCCAGTTGTGGAGAGCCCGACGCATGTGACGGAGTACCCGGCTTGACGACGGAGCCATTGACGTAAGGGGACGAGAGACCCCTTGCCCCCGTCTGGGACCGGGGTCCTGTAGGAACGTGCATTGGTCCAGAGCTTGAGCGTTGATGCTGCTGCTGCATGCGATCGCTTTTTGGGCCAGTCGGCGGGGCCATCGGCGAAGCTGTCTGTGCTGTTGCACTCAAGGCTCCATTGCTCGCAGCGAGTGCCTTCCCCGATGAAATTTGAGCACCAGTACTTGCAGCTGCTGGCTGCTTTGGCTTTGGCAGATATCGCTTTCCAAGCTCTGTGCGATATGCCGTGACGTACTTGGTTCTCTCTCCATCGAGCACCACCGCTAAGGTATCCTGCATCAATTTCTGTCCATTGCTACGTTGCAAGGCTTCCCGCGCAACCTCGCTACCCCTTTGCTGCTTGCCGGTGCTCCGCAGGAGCGTTTGCGTAGGAGACGAGGCACCTTCGTCGTCAAAGTCATGGGCGTATTTGACCCAGTACATTCCCAAGCTCTGCCCATTTCGCGGGTCAAGCTTGAGCTCTGATGTCTCGATTCGTCCAAAGGCTCTGAAGTAGCGGTCTAGAGCAGACTGAGTCGTTAGAGGGGACATACCGCTCACGAAGAGTGCTCTTGCTGGAGGCGCTGGACGTTTCCCGACAGAATTAGCATCCCACTGCGGGCAGAGCAGACTTTGTCAGCTACTATCCCCCGAGTGTCTGCTTGGCTCGCATCAGACTGCACCGCGACGAGACTGCCTCATTTGGCGGTTCAGCTGATGCGTCCATGCATTCAGCCCTCACACTCCAGCGAGCGCTCAACAGTCCTAGCTCCACAGGGGGACTGTCCATGCTTTCGGGCCTTACGCTCCGACTCACCTCCCATGTAGTGTGGCGCACAAAGCTCCGAGCCAGACCACGGCCACCTCGGGGCGGCGGTGCTCTGTACCGCGGATCCACACTCGGCTTGGCCTGATCCAGCTCCTCTTCGTACCTCCTCAAGATCTGATCTCCCTTCGACTTGCTCTTGTCCAATGCAGGATCGTATATGCAGCGAAAGCCGCGCAGATCTTTGGCAGAAGTCGTTGAGCCTGATTCTGCACGCTCACGCAGGAGCTCTGTCGGAACAGGGACATGCCCAAAAGAAAGCTGCGGAGGCGGAGGTGGAAGGCTTGGGCTTTTGGGAGGTTCAGGGTCGCTCGGCTCGATAGGTGGAGGTGGGGGCGGAGACGCCGGCGGAGGCGCTGGGCTTTGGGATGTGCCATTAAGAGCTGATTCGCTCGCAACGGGTGTGGCTGTGCTGCCTGTACTAGCAAGACGACTTTCGGCAGTCATTGGCCGATCCGAGTTGGAGCGTGGTGGTGGAGCAAGATCTCTTGATGCTTGTCTCATCGCCGCAGGCCCGGTAGGTGGTCGCCAAGCTTTTGGGCCTAGCGGAATAGAAGGAGTTTGTTCGGAGGTCTTGGTGCTCGGCTCGGGAGCAGAAGGTTCCGAGTATGCCGCAGAACTTCTTTTGAGCATGTTGCTCGCTACTGGCCGAAAGCCTCGAGGAGTGCCGGCAGAGCCTGCGATAGCCCCGTTTGTAGGGCTACTCTGTACCTGCGTGCCGGACCCACTTGGCTGAGAGGTGTACCGCTCATGCAGGGCATCGATTTCTGTAGACTGTGGGGCCCTTCGCTCCACTCCGCGAGCTGCGCTACTGCCAAGGCCAGTCTTCACAGCCACTGCGTTCCCCGAGCTCTTTGGCTCCTTTGGCTCGTCCTTATTGCTGCGGGTATTCCCTCTTTCAAAAGTGGTCTCGGCTCGGAGCAGAGGTCGTATACATGACTCTAGTGGAGCGCCATCAGGACTTCTTTGTTGGGCGTTTTCGCAGGGGGACTCTTCTCTTTGCCTGTGTATGCCCGATGTCTTGTCATTTGCTTCGCGGGTATCAAGCGAGGAGCGAGCCCTCACTTCTACAGGCTCGCGAGACTCATGTTCAGACAAGCGCGTGTGGTGCGAACTTGGTCGGCTATCGCTGCTGTATCCCTGAGCGTTGGACTCAGCAGGATACCGGGAGCCTTCGAGCTTTGCTCGTGACTGCCGCATGCTGTTGGAGGGATGTGCTCGCCCTGTAACTCGATCGGCGTCGCTTGGCGAGGGTGAAGACGCTCGCTCTCGACTGCGTGAGCGATGGCGATGATGGCTGCTCCTGCCAGACGAATGTCGTGCTCGATCATCAAATGGGCTGCGAGGTCGCGCATCTCTGGAAAGATCTCTGGATATCCTTCTGTCACGATGTGATCGTTCCGCCCCAGCTCTTTCGTCGTGACGGCTCAGCCTGGACTCGTCGCGACTTCGCCCGCCATTCACTCTTTCTCTTGAAAGGTCGCGCTGGCGACGATGATATGACCTATCTAGGGGAGAATGTGCGCGGCGCCTGCCATTCGGTCGACGGCCGCCTTGATCATCGGCAGAATTGTCAGTGATAGCGCCATCCTCGGGACTGTCTGCAGCAGAGCGTCGCAGGCGGCTGGGTCCCGCTTCAGTGGAGCGTGGCTCTGGACGGGATGATCTGCTGCCAGCCCTGTCTACAGGAGCGGGGCCATCAAAAGCGTTTCGCCAAGCTGCATCACGACCATCGTCCTCACGATGTCTGGATCGGGATGCGTCGCTATGTTCGAGCCTTGAAGCAAGGGATGCTGTGCTCTTGTGCCGCTCACTTCGCGCGCGATCGCGCGAAGACGGCTCTTCTCTGCTTCGCCGGCTGTATGTGCTCGTGCTTGCCAAGCCTCGATCAGGCCATCCGGCCATGACGAGCAGCCCTTACCGATGCGCAGCTCCTTCCAGTGGTAGACTAGCGTAGCAAGCTGCAGTATCAGGAGCGAGGTTCAGCTTCAAAGTCGGGCGGAGACAGGGCAATGGGGCGAATGCGCACGCACCCATGCAAAAGGTTTTGCTTCTCTCTGCTCCGAGAAGACCGATATCAGTACCTCTAACAATCACAACGAAGCGGATGGACAGCTTCCATAAAGAGAGTCTGCTGGTGGCTTTTGATTGGGCACCGCGAGCTGCGCACAGTGCGTTGCCGGGCAGAGGGTGGTACAGATTGTCCTGAAAGGTGCGCACTGGGGCACAGGACTTGTCGCTGCACGAGAAGCCCTTTGGCTGAGACGCTGACGGGATGAGCGAGGGGAAGACAAGCCCGAAAAGCCTCAGCGGGAGGCTCGTTGAATGATTGGCGAATGCAATGAGAGGCAGTAGGAGACTATAACGGCAAGAAGTTTGAGACGAAGAGCGTAGCAAAGAGTTACGTCCCTCGTTAAGCTCAAAGACCCTCGACTGCAGCAGCCAGCACCAGTCAACTCAAAAGTCATCAGCGAGCGGTCGCGGACGCGGGCAAAGGCGCAAGCGCTGCAAGCTCTCTCGATCGGCGAAGTCTACATGTATAGCTGCAGCAGGCAGCGCGAGCTGAAATAGAAAGTCTTTGTAAAATTCAAGATTTCAGGAATCGCGATTACAAAGTAGGTCAACTCGTTTAATTGCCTCCTTTGGATGACTTCCCACAAACGACGCGTATAGCTCCGCGCGCCGCGTCGCGAAGGGTTCCGCCGACGAGCGCGTGTGCGAAAGCGAGCCGCCGCCGCCGTTTCGCACGCCGGTCCGGCTCGTCACGCGCGAGGACGGTGAGTCACAACAGTCGTGAGTGCTCTGCTGATATGTAGAGGGACGCGGCGCTTGGCGAAGCGTCAATTACGAATGAACTTGCGACAACGATGACGGGAGGAGGTTACTTCGAGCGCCAAATTCCTATCGGATCACATCCATACCAGACATAACGATGCCGTTGGTCCCAAGACATCTTACGGAACGTAACCTCGAGCTGAATGTGAGATGCTAGCAACAAGCATTAGATCTCACCACGACGCCTTGGGTAGAGAGGAGGGCATCCAGAGGGGCAAATCGCAACTGACATCGAAGCGGACACGACCGCCCATGCACGTCCGTCGTCTTATCCTTGCTCACGAAGTGAAGGACCTGCCCGACTTGCAGGGACGCGGGGTATACTCCTCCTCCTCAGAGCTGGACATGCGATTCGGAGCCCTGAGCAGCGTCGACCGTTTGCGACACCCAGAGGTAGCCTCGCTGAGCACTCGATTATCAGACGAGGCGCCTTGCCGGCTTCTAGGCAGTCAGCGAGCGAAAAAACGCGCCAAGCTCGGCCTCTACCTCGGACTCCCCTTGGACACACGCCGGAGCTGGTCGCGCGGGGTATAGGCACGTTCGAGTCGCCCGTGAGGTCCCATTGCCGCGCGGACTAGGAACACGTTTTCCATGCTCGACTTCACATTCGGATCGTGTATTGCCTTCCTCCAGACCAGAAGCATACTTGAGCGGCGATCCACATACCTGAGGTGGAAATGTGAAGGACACGCGCAAGTTGCGCGCGGAACGCGTCTGGGATGACGTTCTGGAGAGGGCGTGATCCTGGACGCTTTCTACTTGCGAGAGGGTTCCCGGCGCACTGACAATGGGCGACAGAGAAGTGGCGTCTGTAGCATAGGCGTTGCTCAAGGAGCAGCTTTGACTCCTCTGCTCTGTCCAAAGACGTTTGTCTCGCAGTCGAACGATCGCTCTGGGCGGAGCATCGGGCGTGAAGGGCTGCTCTGTGCCATTGGAACTAGAGGCTGTCCTATCTTTGACTCCCAAATCTGCGATGCTTCTTTCCGAGCCTTTATCAGCTGCTCTGGCAGATGGCGAAGTTGAACGTCGTAGAATGCGGACAGCCATACAGACAGCCAAGGTAAGGCAAGCTACCGAGGCCCAGACGAGCGATAGTAGAGCTTTGGCAGTGGCTCGATCCGGCTCGCTAGCTGTCCTGACTCCCATTGTTTCGACAGTCCACTGTTCTGGCAACTTTTGCGCTGTGGCTTCGACGGCATGCTGCAAGTCTTCTATGGTAGCGCGAGTGAGCAGCGTAGCTGAAATCGATCGGATGGAAAAGACGACGAAAATGCGCACGCTGGTCCACTTGGTCACCAGAGTCGACCTTTCAGAGGAAGTGGAATGGTGCATGGGTCCTCCATCACCGACAGACTCGCTCAGAGAAGCACCTATACGGCCAAGGGGGTGCGAGTATAGGGCTCGCCTTCTGGCTCGTCGAAGTCGACTGCGCAAGGGTAGCAGCAACTCAATGGCCGTCAAGCAGCCGAGACACCCCGAAAAGATTTCCAAAAGGATGAAGAGCCAGGTGAAATGATCCGAGATGGCAGTGACGAGTAGCATTGAGGCGAAGCTTGAGATCGCGCCCGCAAGGATGGCCACGCAGTAGGTCGCTCTTGCGTCCACAACCATCCTCACCACAAGTACTCCATGGGCGGCAAGCCAAGCATGCGGGACGTGGTTGCAGTCGTACGCGAAGAAATCTCTGATGAATGCGTGTCCGGAACGAGCTGATCTGGACGATCAAGAGCGGATGTGAAGGATCGGTGAGTGCGAAGCGGAGCAGTGCTGCTCGATGAAGCACAATGGATGTGAGATGATGGATGCACTACTGGATGATTGCCGGTGCACGCTGACAAGGCGATCGAGCGGCAAACTTCGGCTTCACGATCAGCCCACAAGACACGAGCTACCTGGAGTCGAGTTTCAATGCAAAATTGAAGTTGGTTGATTCAGCACGCAACCTTGACTCTGACAACGCGTGACGAGAGGGCGGTGTTTAGGAGTTCACAACGCGTCGAGCAAAGACGGTGCTCAATTCGACAGCGCGTGCTCGGTCGGACTTCGCTCTCGAGAAGCAGAGAGAGAGATGGATGTGAGAGGGTCCTCAAGAATGATTGGATGGGTCGAGCTTTCCTTTCAACACTTTTGCGCCTTTGTGCTCACGACGTCCCAAAGCCATGTTTGCGGTTCTGACCGTGCATGACTGCAGAATGACTGCAAAGATCCGTGAGCGATGGATGCGCAACTCACATCTGAATTATGTGTCGATGCCTTGTGTACCTCACCCCGCAGCTGATCAGGGCTCCATTATACAAGCCCATGTATGCGCGCCTGTTAATTGTGATGAGCACGGGCAGGAGGAACGAGTTCACGACCGACGCCTCTCACCGTCGAGTGGGCGCTTGCGTGATCTGCGCTCATGAGCAGTCACAAATTGACCTCGGTCACGCATGGCCTGCCCTTGGACAACGGACCCGTGTACATGCACAATCGAAGGTGGGTCAGTTGTCGTGCGTATAGTCACAGCCACAACAATTACGACCCTGCGTGCCATCGCGATGGACATGGAAAGAAGCAAGAGAAACAGATGATGAAAGCAAATCAGATGATGCGCCGCCCACTTCGATCCGTGGCTTGTCAGACTTGCGCGCGGGGTTTAGATCAAGCTATAGCTCAGACCTGTGCACTCGCACAGCTCACCATCGATCCCTGCATAGGCTTACATCACGAAAATCACATACGCGATGGTCAATACCAGACATTCATAGAGGGGCAAATCTTGCCGCCCTAGAATGCTGTGCCGTACTTGATGCAGATAGCATTGAACTCGATCTACAGAAGTCAGTCAAGGGTGCACGAGTGGGCCAAGCGAAACTGACTCGTTGCAAAGGCCAAGATCTGCTGCAAGCCATGCGCACGCACTGTTCGTGTCAGCACCCACGTGAGAAGAGGTCGAGCGTCTGCTTTGTTTCAGCTGCGAAGGCGTCAAAGGCGAGACGTCGTAGTCACAAGTCGAAGCAGCCTCGATGAGGGATGCCACCACCCAGCGAGCTGACGCGACGCAGGTGAAGAGAAGTGCAAATCTCGATTTGTTTTGGGTTAGGCGGTTGCATAACGGTACAGGAGTACAGGCCGAAGATTGTGAAGTTCGGATGGATTGGTGCGTGGCGGCTAGGCTCGAGTCGAGATTTGATGATGCGTGTGGCTGCTTGGAAACAAGAGCAGGTCGCGAAGTCACGAGTGAAGCGCAAGAAGGTAAGAGGGCCGCTTACGACAGCCAAGGGAGCGTCCTGAAGCCTGTCAAGCATCCAGCAACCACTCGAGCTCTGTAGATGAGCAAGTCCCTGCCCTCAACGTCTCTCCAGACCTTCGGCTTAGTCTCGTCTGACTCGCAACGCTCTCCCGCTCCATGCGCGAAGCGCACTTAATCCAGCTTTTCCACCTCAGGCTCCTCCTTCGCATCGCCCTTCTCAGCCTCATCGAAGTTCTCAACCTGCGAAGTCGTAGAGTGCGCGGGGATGAGAAGGGCTTGAAGCATCGTAATTGCAAGTGCACGAACTCACCACATCGGGCACTTCATCGTCGTCCTTGCCTCCCGCGGCAAAGTTCTGTTGCTGCGCTGCATTCATGGCTTGGTAGCTCTCCGCGAGCTTTCGCAAGCTGTTCAGACTGTCGGGTCCGAGCTGGTTCAGAATTCCTGGCACGAGGTCTGTGAGCTCTTTGTCGGCACCTTCGCCGTACACGCAGTAAGTGTTTGAGGCGCCAACACCGTGGACTGCAAGTGCAAAAGGGGAATCAAGTCAGACGTGTTTCGGGTGTGCTCGAACGCGGAATGCGTTTGATGTAGGCCAGATCATGCAGCTACCCAAACGTCTCGTAGCCTCCAATGTCAACACAAAGACATCACTCCCCTCTCCTGGCTGCAAAAGGGCTGATGATCTTCCACGCATCGCGCGCACTCAGCAGAGACGCTTGAGCCGACTAGTGCGAGCCCATATCGCACTTGCCCATCCACCTGCGCTGAATTCGCAAAAGTATTACGCGGGCGACGAGGCACGTCCTGACTGTCTTTGGCTTTCAGCCCACCCTCAGCGTCCTCTCGCTTCCAAGTGTGGACTACTCCCTGCGAATTTGGCCCTCCCTTCATGATCCGTATCTGCTCCGACGCCATGATCCGCTCCTGTAAATTCCCCTCGCCCGCTAGCTTCGTGTCCAAACTCACCCTTGGGTGCTCGGAAGTGCAGAACGTTGCCGTCCTCCTTGAACATGTTGACCTCTTCGATGCCACTCAGAGGCTGAACATTGAGCTTCTTGAGAGCTGCTGACAGCTTCTTGTCACCCTCGACGTTGCCAGGTCCTTTGTTAGGCTTCTTGACAACCTTGCGGCGAGGTGTGCCCTTTCCGCCTACTCGTCGCAAGCCCAAGCCGCCGCAAAAGAGTAACAGTCGATTCGAAGCCAACAGCAGGATGATCGAGGACGCAAGCAAGTGGATAAGAGGTGATTACGTAAAATCAGTACAGCTCCGTTCGGCTTGTATGAGGTCACATCCGCTTAGTCGAGCAGCGAGCTGCGAAAACATAACCCTACGCACCTTGACGGCTAGCAGCCTGAAGCTTGGCAAGCTTTTCCTGATCAATGACCATATTTGCAGAGCCTCTTTGACAAGCGTCGTTTGATAGTCGAGAAGCTGTAGAGGTCGAATGCGGATGAGCAGGGCAGGTCGCAGCTGTTTGATTAACTGGATGAGAGCATACATTCAGATTCGGGTCGACCCGATATGTAACTGTCAATCGTCTGATGAGCGTTAGTCGCGCACGAAGCTTCTGCAGATGCCCGCGTCCGCCGCCCCCACGGCAGCCAGCTGCAAGCCAGCAGGCAGCGAGCGCTTCAACGAAGCGGAGCCTATAGCGAAGCGGTGTGTTGCGACTGCCGCGTGACAATCACGAATTGAATAGGCGTAGCCGGTGCCAGCTTCGGCCGAAGGTCACAAGAGGTCCACGCACGTGACCACAAGGGTGGCAGGGTGTACAAGCTGGCTTCTGACGCTCCATGCTCCGCAGCTCCACTCATGACTACCATTGAATCGAACTGAAGACTGTCCGTCCGGATGCAACTTTCGCTCCTCGCCACAACGGTCACCGATCTCCCAGTGACAGGTATCCGGCTCACTGTGGCTCGGGTATTGAAGGCTGAATCATGCTACTCATTGGGTCCTCGAATGATGTCGAGGCCGACCTTGGCCGGATTGATTTCCGTCACAATTAGCTGCGTGACAGCTTAAGTATTCACGATTGCCCAATCAGCAGCTTGATCAAAACTTCACTCTCCACTCTCATTTGAGGCACCCGCGTGCAGTACATTGAGCGGAGACAGACGGCAGCAAGTTGAGAGCTTCGTAGAGCGATAGACGCGCCATTTGTCATCGATTGGAGACGCGTCGTCGAATGTTAAGTGCGAAGCACAACCGTTTGTGAGGTCCGGGTTCGCTATGTTTGTGTGTGGCGATGAAGCACCATTTTCAAGGCGCATTTCGGCTCAAACGTGAAGTGAATCCTGATGAGATTTGAGACGAGGATTGCCGACCTCGAGATTGCCGCCGCGGTCCACCCAAGATGCGAGCCAGGGCAGCCGAATCACGTGTATTTCCGTAGACTCAGCAAGCCTGTTCTGCTTAATTGCAACAACAACAGCTAGGCAGATCTCGAGCTTTTCTGGGTGTGGACATTAGGGTTTTGCTTTTCGATCTCATGGGACACGATTGACGCCCCTCGTCCCTGTTCACTCCCGCTATAGTTCCAACCTCGATCCTGCATCACAAACCTGCCTGGTGAGATGTTCTCAGGCACCCGAAGCTATAGATCCAGGCCTCGTCAAGGGCATCCGCGAGTGATTTTTGATTCGTGATTGCTTGCTTGCTTGCTTGCCTTTCTCTCGTCGGGCTTTGACGTACGTGCGAGAGTGAAATTTTTCGCTGCGAAGACGGGGATGGATATTCGTGATTGGTTGCTCTGCTATGGTGCTGCATGGGAGTTCCTCGATCACAACTCCACCTCGTTCGCGCCTGCACGCGTGCTGCCGGGCTCGATGCAGGAGGTGCATGATGGGTGGACCCATGGCCAAAGGCAAAGTGACTGCTCGAACGCCGCAAACGCGAGCGCCGATCTCCAGGTGCGCCCGTGCGAGGGCGGGCGATGCAGCAAACTCGCGGCAAAGACTGACGCAGCGCCTTTCCATCCGAGGCCGTCTTCGCTGCCATTGCTCTTCTCAAGCGCCTCATCATCATCGGGTGACTTATACCCTGCAGCACGCTCGGTATAGGTGAGCATGGGCTCTGCCGCTGCTGCTGCTGTTGTTGTTGAGGGAAGCCATGCGGCGCCAGTCAGCCCCCGGCAACGCGCGTATCAACCAAGCAGCATGCACCTTCCGCCCAGTGGACCCCGTGCACGAAGGGCCGCTTTGCTCTCTGCCTAGCTGCTGCTTTGACAGACGAGCGAAGACGATTCGCTTCGATCGACCCGTGTTCGCGGCGAGCTTGCCCAAAACTAGTCGTGAATGCGCTCCCCGGCTTGTTCTCCACCATCATTCGGATCAAAGAGAGATCGCACCTTCCTTCTGATCCGTCACACTTCTCACACCTGAAACGCTGCCCAAGATGACTTTCACTCCTCTGCCCACTGATGAGAAGGCTATTGCCACGATCCGTGCGTATCGCTTATCTTCATCGATGTTCCTCGCTGCCAGTCCTCAGCCAGATTGCTCAGCTCACATGTGCCGCACCGCCAATTCTGCGCTATATCAGGCACTCTCGCTGCGGACATCGTGTTCAAGTCCAACTCTGGTCACCCTGGTATGCCCATGGGTATGGTGAGTTGGCATGAGCTCGCTCAGAAGATCTCCTAGAAAGGCTAGCTGACGCAGCTTCTTGCGCTCCTTAGGCTCCAATTGCCCACTTGCTCTTCTCTCGGTAAGTGTCGTTGTGGCGGAATCTTCGCAAGCTCACGCTTGCGCATGCTCGGGCAGAGTACCCGGGATCGACTGGGCGGAGTCGTTTGCACCCTCGGCTCGCTGGCCGAACACGAAAGGCTGTTTCTGTAGCTGACTTCCTTCCCTGTGCATGCGCTTGTGTCATGCAGCTTCTTCACAGCAAGCGGCAAGGATCCCAAGTGGGTGAGTTGTCGAGGCTTTGTGTGAATGTCAGCAGTCCGATGCTCACTTCATCTCTTGCCTCCTCACTTAAAGATCAACCGCGACAGGTGAGCACTTTAAGGCGAAACATCGCTGCTTTTGTGATGAGATAGAACTCAAAATGCTTACGTGAGCCTGATTATCGATGCAGATTCGTTCTGAGCAATGGTCACGGATGCGCTCTTCAGTACATCATGCTGCACCTTCTCGGTTACAACATCTCTCTTGATGACCTCAAGAGTTTCAGGTGCGTATTGTAAAAAAGCTGGTCACATCCTTTCAGGCACAAATCTGACACAAGTTTCTTGCCTTTGCATCCAGACAACTCGACTCCAAGTGCCCAGGTCACCCCGAGACCAATCACGGCGTCGACGGCATCGAGGTCACAACCGGCCCTCTTGGTCAAGGTGAGTCCCAGCGATTACTGACACATGCAGTGGCGCGAACTTCAAGCTTATCAGCAGCTTGATTTCCATTCTAAAGGTTTCTCAAACGCTGTTGGTCTGGCCATTGCACAAGCAAATGCAGCTGCGACCTTCAACAAGGATGGCGCAGAGCTATTCACCAACAAGACTTACACCTTCCTCGGTGATGGTTGCCTCATGGAGGGTATCGCAAGCGAGGCCGCGTCCCTCGCTGGCCACTTGAAGCTTGGAAACATGATTTGCATTTACGATGACAACCACATCTCCATCGATGGTGACACTGCTTGCTCGTTCACCGAAGATGTCGAGCAGCGCTTCTTGGCCTACGACTGGCACGTTCTAGCTGGTAAGTGGGAACCCCCTGAGCGGCGGTGAGCCCTTCGCATGACCATACTCACCCTACATTCCGCGGTTTTTCCCAGTCAACGATGGTGACAAGGACCTTGCTGCCATGTATGCGGCAATCGAGGAGGCCCACAAGGTCACTGACAAGCCCACGCTCATTCGTTTGAAGACCACCATCGGTTTCGGCTCTAAGATCCAGGGTGGCGCTGGCACGCACGGAGCTCCTCTGAAGGCCGATGACATCGAGCAGGTCAAGACCAAGTTCGGCTTTGACCCCAAGCAAAACTTTGTCGTTCCCGACGAGGTTGTTAAGGCATACGGCGAGGTGCAGCAGCGCGGATCCAAGGCGATCGAGGCCTGGAACAAGGTCTACGCAGATTACGGCAAGAAGCACTCGGCCGAGCACGCTGAGCTTCAGCGCCGTATCGAGGGCAAGCTTCCTCAGGGATGGGAGAGCGCTCTGCCGACGTTCAAGCCCACCGACTCCGCTGTCGCCTCGCGCAAGCTCTCAGAGGGTGTCCTCGCCAAGCTTGCTGTGGCCCTGCCCGAATTGCTTGGTGGTTCCGCCGATTTGACTGGCTCAAACTTGACTCGTTGGGGCGACGCAGTCGACTTCCAGCACCCATCGACCCGTCTTGGCGACTACTCTGGACGCTACATCCGTTACGGTGTCCGTGAGCACGCCATGGGTGCTATCATGAACGGCCTCAACGCCTACGGCCTGCACATTCCTACCTCCGGAACTTTCCTCAACTTCGTCTCTTACGCTGTCGGTGCTGTTCGCCTGTCTGCCCTCTCTAAGCACCAGGTCATCTGGGTCGCCACCCACGACTCTATTGGTCTTGGTGAGGACGGTCCTACTCACCAGCCTATCGAGACTGCTGGCGCACTGCGTGCTATTCCCAACCTGAACTTCTGGCGCCCTGCTGATGGAAACGAGGTCAGCGCCGCCTACAAGGTCGCCATCGAGAGCAGGAACACTCCTTCCGTCCTTGCGCTCTCTCGTCAGAACTTGCCCCAGCTCGAAGGATCCAGCATCGAGAAGGCAAGCAAGGGTGGTTACGTTGTCAAGGAGGCTCCCGGTGGCAAGGCTGACATCATTCTCGTCGCCACTGGAAGTGAAGTCGCTATCTCGGTCGACGCGGCATCCGCTCTCAAGGAGAACGGCATCAACGCTCGTGTCGTGTCTTTGCCCTCTTGGCACACCTTTGAGCAACAGCCTTACGAGTACCGCCTCAGCGTTCTGCCCAGCGGCCAGCCCATCCTTTCCGTCGAGGTGTACAGCCGCGTTGGATGGCAAGCTTACTCTCACGTTCAACACTCCATCGACCGCTTCGGTGCCAGTGCACCCGCTGGCGCCTTGTACAAGAAGTTCGGCTTCACCCCTGAGGTCATTGCGGAGAAGTCGCAGAAGATCATTGCGCACTACAAGGCTCAGAACATCAAGGCCGTCTCTCCCATCGAACTTCACGCCGCCTTTGCGTCCGAGTAGGTTTGATCTTAGCGCGCACTCTGAAGTTCTCCATCATGTCATTACCGAAACGAATACGTCTCCGCTTTTAGAAATTGATCGGTTGGTCTAGCTTTGCGTGATGTGCCCGAGCGTTGCCGGTCGCGTGGAATTGGCAGACACCGCAGATCTCGGAGAATGTCGAAAGTACCCGCCTTCCACGCTGTGCGCGTGCTCATGTCCTCGCTTGGGCGTCGGGCCGAAAGGGAGCGGCGCAGACCCATAACGGACGATGCTCGTATACTTGTGCTTCAGGATCGGCTAGAGGGATGGACCCGTCCTCCAATCTGATGCTCTCCTCTTCCGATCTCCATTCTCTTTTGCATCGGCAGCAGCAGTAGGCAGCACCAATCGTTCGTGAGGTCAATCGCGCACGCACAGGGCGCTTGCATAGACAGCAACACCGTGCTCACTTCGGTATCGAGGTAAGCGTTGCGATTTGGTAAAGGACTTCACGTTCAAGTTTAGGTCCACCAATCAAGCTTTTCCTACTCGCATTCGGACAACAATGCTCGTCCATGCTACACCTTGATCGACGAGCAAAAAAACTTCACGACTGACGCTCACACCGTGCAAAGAAGTCGCTGCTGAGCAAGCATCGGTCGACGTCCAGGCAAGGGCACGAGCAAAAGCAGGTACCCCACACATGGGAAAGAAGAACATCCGACGCAGGTCTTTCCCGTCCAGCGTTCTTGGCGCGGAACAAGGAACAAGAAGTGGAGCTGAAGCGCGATTAAGCGGGGGTTCCCTTGCATGGCTGCAGGTGGGTCGTCGGACCGCTCGACTGACCGACGGTCAGATGCTGGAGCTAGCAGAAGTGTCGCTGATGCTCCATTGAATTGATCGGGCTACACCTTGATCATCAGGATCGTCCATTCATGCTGGACAGATCTACAAGTCACGCCGGGGAGTCGTGAGTGTGCTGCCCGACAAGTCTGATGTGTGTGCTACATGTATTTTTGCGACTTGTCTCCATGCAGCGCGTGATCAGGACATTCACGATTGCATGGCTTGAGCGCGCAGCGCGCGCTAAAGCGTAGAGTTGAGGTTTGGGACCCTGCCTCCCTTCATTGCACGCGCGTACGTCTTGCACGTCTCACCGCGCATGCGACACTCGACATGACTCGGTGATGAATCGTGAATGACTTGATCGTGACCGTAGCGCGGTATACCTGTATGGCGTACGTGCTGCGCACAGAGGACGCAAAGGCGCTCCTGCATATGCCGTTGCTCATGAACAGCGCCGACAGGAGCCAGCATGAGCTCGGGTTTGGATGTGCTGATGATGCTGCTGTGAATGATGGCTATACCGCGGTACATATGCGGCATGGCCGTTCCTAGCTGTTATAGGTGCATGGATGGCAGCTCTACGCAGGCAGGCAGGCATGCATGCATGTCGCGGGATCCTGCATCAATCACGAATAAGCTTGGGGGCTATGGTACAGTGCGAACGTTTCATGCGCACAGCTCGCGCGTCAGCCACACGCAAAGCGCACTAATCGAGCTTTGCAGGTCATGAGCGAGCAGCAAGCAGTCACGAGTGCCTCGACATGAGAAGCCCCTGAAAGAAAGCAGATCTCGCCATCCATCCTCATGACCTTCAATCGCTTCAGCTTCGCGCTTGCACGCATTGCACGACAAATCACAGAGTCCATCACTCTGCAAAGTGCCTAGCTCACCCAAAGCCTGCTCTTGGCATCGCATCCCTCACACACCGCGAAGCCCTGCCTCTCAAGACACATTGCTTCGGCCACGGCGTTGAGCGTGCTTTACTGTACCAGGTGTACAGTGCGAGTTCACGTCTGCATTTCGACCCCACATCGCACGGCAACACCAACGGTTGATTCCAAGTGCTTGACACCCTCTCAGCGGTACAGTACGAAGCAATTGACCGCCTTATTGTACCGCAGACGAGGCCCATCGACGCTCCACACGGCCGCAATTTCGTCATTGCACCGCCCCATCGAACCAAAAGCACACGGAGCGGTGATAAGGGGTCATTGCGCGGAGCTCCGTGCAACCGAGCGCGGCCAAGCTTCGGCACAATACCGAAGACCTCGGCAAGGTTTCGCGGAAGTGGGCGGTGGAGGGAGATCAACCTCATCACAGCGATACTCGACACGGCATCCACGAGACCTCATCTCAAGCTCAAAGTCCGGCACCACCGCGTCTTCGCTACCTCACACTCGCAGCTTACCTCGAAAAACACTTGGAGAGGAGGTTCGTCTCTGACACAGCTATACCTTTCGCCATGAACTCTTCTCCTTCTTCAAGCAGGCCTAGGACGCCGAATGAAGGGTCTTCCGGAGAGTCGATCATTGGGGGAAGGGTCGCTCGTGCGACGCGCAACGCGGCCCATATCGGGTCGGTGGTCGATGACTGGGTGGGTTCAGCGTCTTTCGAATGCTATCAATTAGCTTTGAGGCAAGCTCTAGCTGACAATCACCCACATCTTCGCAACCACCGGAATCGCAGCCGATGTACTCGAGTCAGCCTCAAGACTATGTGATTGGAGATGTGATCGGTGAGTCTGGACCCCTTGGGAGAGAGGACAGCTTCGAGCCTCCATGTCACATTTCAGCCACTCTGAAAGCTCTCATGGCCATGTCGTCTTTGCAGGCTTTGGAGGAAGCAGCGTGGTGTACCAGGCAGCGTTTGTGCCCCTAAGCGGAGTGAGTGCGGCTCGTGTGGCGTCACTCGTACATCAAAAGGAACTTGGAAATACTTACCAGGTCGCCGGTGGATCTCTCTAGCGACCCTGTGCGGTCAAAGTAGTCGATCTCGAAGCTTTCGGAAGGGACACTGAGGGAGTGAGTGTGAAGAAGCAGATGCACAGCTCGCACGAGCTTTGGCACGCTAACATTGCAGCGCGTTCGTCTGTCGCAGCTCCGACGCGAGACACAACTCATGTCGCTCTCGAAGCATCCGAACGTCTTGAGAGTTCGTGGATGCTGGGTGCAAGGAAGCAAGTTGCATATTGCCACGCGTCTCATGAGCGCAGGGTCCATGCTGGATATCATGAGATTCTCATATCCAGAGGGGTTGGAGGAGCTGGTGATTGCTACAGTGCTTCGGCAAGCCTTGGAGGGCTTGAACTATCTGCACATCAATGGCTGGTTGCACCGGTGAGCTGCATGTGTTGCGTTCAAAAGCCAAGACGTACGAGCTGACGCCATGCATGCGCCGCCTACCTATCCTATAGAGACATCAAAGCGGGAAACATACTCGTAGATGACGATGGCACGGTATTGTTGGGTGACTTTGGAGTGGGCGTATACTTGGGCGACTGGTCAGAAGGAGCGGATGCGGCAGCAGTGAAGGACGCTGGTCCGCCGAAAGCGGTGCCAGTCCTGGACGATGGCAAACGCAAAAGCTTTGTGGGAACAGTGAGTGGTGCATGGGACAGTGACAAGGATCTGCATGGTAGTAACCGCATTGCTTTGCTCGGAAGCCATGCTGGATGGCACCGGAAGTGGTTGAGCGCAAGCGGTACGGCACGAAAGGTGAGTTGGTGAGCCCAGGGGTTCTCGAAGTCGAAAGCATACGCGTGGCTGAGGCGAGGACGCATCACCCGAGCAGCCGACATCTGGTCTATCGGCATCACAGCGCTTGAGCTGTCACAGGGCAGAGCGCCGTACTCGAGATTACCGGCGGTCAAAGTCCTCATGAAGACGCTTCACGAAGATCCACCCACTCTCGATCGCACTGGCAATGCACACAAGTACGGCAAGGTCTTTGACGACTTTGTGCGTGTGTGCCTACAGAAAGATCCGGAAAAGAGGTAAGCATGAGAAAAGGTGCAGTGAATCGCCACTGCACGGGCTGAACCCGGTCCCTATTACCATTCAGACCCTCAGCTGCGCAGCTGCTTGGTCACGCCTTTTTCAAACAAGCAAGGAATAACAAATATTTGACCACAACAATTTTAGCGGGGCTACCGCCGCTCTCGGAACGACAGGACCGGCGCAGAGCCATGTCAATCACTTCCCTGAGAAATCAGCCTTCTTGGGACTTTGGAAGTGTGTCGAGCCGGCACGGTACCATCACCTCCATCGACCCTTTTCGAGGCTTTACAGGCGCAACCTCGATTCCAGTGTCGCCTGTGGGGTCTATCAGATCGCATGCGATGAACCTTGACGGATCTATCGTCATACCGGAGCATGGGGACGCAAGCAATGGCACGGATATGTACGAGCTTTGGCGACCTCCATCTGCAAGGTTCGATGGCGAGGTGAGTACGGCGTGGCGGAAGTGCCAGGAGTTTTGTGAATGGTGGTGCTGATTTCTGGTCGCTGGTCACAGCCATTGAGTCCTTTGCGCTTCAACAGTGCTGGTCGGAGACCTCGAAACCGCTCTACGGACTCTCCCAAAGGCTCGCTCGGTCGCAGCGCAAGCGGACCAGTGCGGCACCACAAGTCGGTCTCTTTCGATAGCAAGGCAGAGAACGACGAGTTGCCAGGAGATGACAGCAATCCTAGCGCTTCGTCTCCGGTACAAGCGCACGCGAGTGCCCCGCCCGAGGATAGACCACTGGAGACGATTGCTGAGATGAGGAGCCCACCGCTAGGCCCTTTGTCGTCCAGTCCTCCCGCGCTAGATACCATACCATCGCTCGGTGCGCAAGTTGGCTCCAACCCATCTGAAGAGCAGACCTCGGGCTTTGCGGCGCTGTCGCTCAACGACAAGATCAAGCCTGCCCCGCCATCTAGCGAGTCTGGCGAGACCAGCTCAACAGCGAACATGTCCGACGGCGCGGGGGCCGTCACGAATGACCCTGCCCGACCCGTCAATACTGCGGAAACGACGCCAGCGTCCTCGACTGCTACTGTCGATGCGCCGCAGCTCGGAGCAGGTCCGGCCACTTCGCAAAACAAGGAGCAGGCGGACGCGCTTTCGAAGTCGTCCCCGCGATCATTGCGGGCGGACCCGATCCCACCCGAGCCGAGCCCTGCGCGCTTCAAGACTGCCAGTCGCCTCACCAAGATCTTCAGGAGAGATGCGAAGAATTGATGGCATGGCTTGAATGGAAATTTCGTGCCGGGCCTTTCCCTTTGAATTCTTCATCCGAGTGCAGCGCTCGTCCATCGTACACGTGTACTTTTACACTGCAGTAAATTGCAAGGCACCCTGCCCACCAGACTTCTGTCAGGCTCCTTGACTTTTCTCTTCCTGACCTCTGCGTGATGCGTGACTGCACACACCATCGCATTCCTTGATTCACCCATCACGACTCCCATGGGCGAGGTGCATTCGTGATCGAGTGGCTGCTTGTGGAGCGCTGCACCGCGCACGCATCATCAAATTAGCGCGTTCGGTTTCAATGATCGACTTCCGCCTTTGAGCGGAGGTTGAGCTCGCGCGCGCGCGCCTTTGCGCTCGGCTACTTCGTGCGACTCGTTGGCCGCGCTGCGCTTGACCTTCTTGCGACTCGCCACCACACTCCCTTCCCACACACCCACTGGGGGTTGACCGGTCATTACTGAGCTCATCTGCTCGCACCGGCACATCGCCACGCGGTGCTCTAGTCGCCCGGCTAGGACGATTGAATGTCTTCACTCAAGATGCCACCGAATCTGTCGAACACCGGTCAGGGCTCGCGCTCTTCGAAAACAGCTCAAGACCCGTCTGGCTCGAACAAGCCTGCACATGCTAGAAAAGATGGAAAGCAACCGCTGTTCAAGTACAGCACTGCTATTGTCCAGCCCATTCAGTCGCTGCATGCAAATCCGACAGACCCGGCATGCAAACCTGTGCCCGTCACCTTTCGCGAAGCAATGTTCAAAGATTGGAGCAGCTTTGTCGACCTGCCTAGGTTGGCACGCTTAGCGGCAGCCACTCGTCCGTACACCAATCTTTCCAAGCGAGCCAGGGACAGGACCGAGGATCATCCAGCGAAGCGTGCTCGGCTCGAGGAAGGGAAAAGCTCGCGGAGGGAGCAATCCGTTCAGGTGGCGACCAAGGCCGCAGCGCCACGCGCCTCGCTGGAGGTGGAGCCAAATTCAGACTTGCACCTTGTAAGCACTGAGCTGCTATTTTCTGTTATGCTGCCTACAGGATGCATTCAAAAAGACCGCATCGCTGCTTTCGCTGAGCTCTCATCTGGTCTCAAACTGCATGGAAGGACGGTTTTCTTGTGCACGTGCGATGTGCATGTTCAGAAGCACGGCAAAGGCATTGAAGGTGGCGAAGATCTGCAAGATGGGATGGGAATCTACAAATTGCAGGTGCGGGAGGCAGAGAGCGGAGATCATATCGCTTCTCTGCCGCTCATCGATGCATCCGGGGTCGACTACTCTCGGAACTCGTGGAGCTGGACAAATGGGCTGTGGCTAGAACACGCAGAACAACTCGTTAAAGATGGCGTGCTTGTCATGCGCGCTGAGCTTGCCGCTCGCTGGTCTCGCGCAATGGACAAAGATTTGGATGGTAGCGCGACAGCAGCAGCGAACGGCCACGCATTTGAGCTCGTTCTAGGTGTGACTCTCAAGCTTCGGCGCATGGCGCTCCATCACCCACACGTCACCTCGGCCGATCACCTGCGAGAGCTCATCCGATTCGTATCGCCTTGTCCATTGCGCGAAGCATATCTGAGTCCCGAGGCGCGTCAGGACGCCGGCTCGACCAAGTTCGTCTACGATAACCTGCTCCCCACCAAAGCGGTGCCACGAGGCGACGAGCAGCCCAGGGACCTCGCCGCCCGTCTTTTGCCCTTTCAGCTCGCTTCGACGCGGTTTCTGCTGGATCGCCAAGATCCGCTCGGAATACGTAGAAGCTCTCCGTCGCCGCTAGCAGGCTCCCCTTCGCAGACAGGGTCCGAAGACGCGCAGCTGGGCTTATGGTGGGAGCCTATTCGCACCCCGCCCGGTGCGCCAAATCTCTTCTTCCACGTGCTTGATGGGAGGATCACCAATCAAGACTCACAAGCGCTGGCGGAAGACGTCTGCGGAGCAATTCTCGCGGAGGAGATGGGTCTAGGCAAGGTTTGTCTATGGCGCCGGCTCGATGGACGCCATGCTGGATTCTGACATTTCTGTACCGTCTGCACAGACTATTGAGATACTGGCAGTCGTGCTGGCTGGCACCGAGCGAGCGCACGTACAGCTTCCCGCGATCACGTTCCACAACGCTGAGCTCGAGGTCGACGTGCTACCGGTACCCACCACTTTGATTGTTTGTGAGTGAAGCGCCTCGCCATGTCAACCCGAGCAAAGAAGCTAACACTGTCTCACTGTCTCTGCCTTAGGTCCAGAGATTCTGTGCCAGCAATGGCTGGACGAGACCGCGAAGCATGCAGAAGGCCTAAAGTGTTACCATTTCACCGGCCACATCAAAGCTCAGCGAGACGTGCCCAAGGGCTCGACGTGGCCAGAGTGGGCTTCTAAATTTGACATCATTGTCGCATCGTACACCGTTGTGAGCCGAGAGGTGAGTTGCAAGCGGTGACAATGGCTATGTTGCGCACTTCTTGTCGCTCACCGTTGGATCACACGCTCCTAGTTCTACGTCGCGAAGCCAGAGCCACAACGCTCACGACGTTTTGAGCGCAAGTATGAGCGCGCTCGAAGCCCCTTGGTCCAGCTTGAATTCTGCAGGGTAGTGATGGACGAGTCGCAGATGGTAGGACATCAGCAGGCATCCGACGTGGTATCTCTCATCCAGCGCAGGTCTTCGATTGCGGTATCAGGCACGCCTTTGAAGCAAATCGCCGATCTGCGCGCTCTATTGAGGTTTTTGAAAGCCCTGAGCCCGCGGAACGATGTTCCTTGGCATCGGTACATAGAAGCTGGCAACGCACCTTACCTCGCGAGGGTCATTCAAAGGCTTGCCACTCGTCATACTAAGGACGGCATCCGGGACCAACTTCGTATACCTGTCCAGACGCGTTATTTGGTTCCCATTGAGCTCGGACTAGTCCAAAGATCTTCTTACGATCAGCTTTGGGCCGCCGCGCTTGAGGACATGGGACTGAATCAGGCTGGAGAACCTGTCAGCGGAGATTACGAAGCAAATGTGAATCGTATCGAGTACGTCCGGCGCGTCGCGCTACTGACACATATACTCTATTTTCCCCTTACGACACATGCGCAGGTCAACAAACTTCGCCATCATCTGAATCTCCTGAGGCAGACCTGCACGCATCCTCAACTTGCAGCATGGTCGTCAGCTTCGACTGCTGATCGGCAAGTCAACAGTAACAATGGGCGCATGTTCGTCTCCAAGCACATTCAAGACATGCAAGAATACCTTGGAGTCATGAGGGGGTCCAAGGCGGCAGAGCGCGACTCGCACTTTGTTGGCTTGCACCAAGCTCGAATTGACAAGGCGATGCTGCTAATGCTGGACAAAGACAACTCCGGCCGGTACGAGCAGGCAAAGGAGATGTTGCTTGATGCCCGCCAACAGCTCGACGCGCGCATCAAAGAACTTGAAGCGGACCTCCCACTCAGCATCAAGGAGGGTCCATACTATCGCTTTTCTTCTGCGGAGCTTGCTTCTGAAGGCACAGACATCGATGCTCTTGCTGAGCAACACTACGAAGAGTCAGAGTCTGACGCGGTACGACGAGAAATGCTAAAGGCTCGCCAGATCAATATCGGAGCTCTCAAGAACCGCATTCGCAACCACTACGAGCAATTGCACCGAGCATGCATGTTTCTGGGTAATGTGTACTTCTCCCTTGGACAAGCGACAACTACTGCTTCCGTACAGGCAATGGAAGTCAAAGCCTCGGAAATACCGATGGATGTCGATGTCGAAGTAGGGAAGGAAGGAGAGGCTTCGGAAATACCGATGGATGTCGATGTCGAAGTAGGGAAGGAAGGAGAGGCGTCTGATAGACCCGCAGCTGGACAAGAGCATGTCGGTGTCGAACCAGACCGCAAAGTTCAGAATCTCTCTGCGGCTCAGGAAGGAGAGGCGTCTGATAGACCCGCAGCTGGACAAGAGCATGTCGGTGTCGAACCAGACCGCAAAGTTCAGAATCTCTTTGCGGCTCAGGAAGCAGAGGCTTACGAACACGCTGAAGCAGTCAGACAGCGAATGCTCTCTGACAGCCTCGACGATGTCGACAAAGCCATCGAGCAGCTCAAGCGTGCAAATTTGCCCCAGCTCATGGTCTCGCAGGCATTTGGGTCGCCCGGAATTTTGACGTGAGTGGCTCACTGCCAACATCATGCGTTCTTCACTGACAGGACGCCACATCACGCGCTCGGCCCTCATAGAGCAAGCATTTTCGGCTGGCTCGATGAGCTCGTTGCGGTGAGCTTTCCAGAAACGAGGCAATGAAGATCCGTCTTTGCTAACATGAACTGCATTCACAGCTGCTGAATAAGAATGCGAGTGTTCTAGACACTTGGAGAGACCAGATTGTCGATCGACTTTGCAAGGTGGTCAATCGTGAGATCAGCCTTGAGAACGAGCTAGACGATCAGTACTCGGAAAATTTGGATGCCCAAGCAGAGGCAGAGGTCATTCTGGAGATGTACAGGGTCGTGCTGGCTGAGCGCGAAGTCATCATCAGTGGCGCCGAAGCTCTCGATGCCACAGCCAAGCCAACACTCTACGTCATACTGGAAGATCAAGTCCGTGAGCATAAGCGACTCTCGTTGCTCGGAACGACATCTTCGAAGAATGGCAAAATCCTGGGCGAAGAGGAGTATCAACTCGCAGTCAAACAGCTGCATCATTTTCGTTCTCTGGATAAACAGCGAGAGGGCGCAAAGCTTCGACGCGACATGGGAGAGATGTCACTCGTCGAAACAGAAAAGCAGCTCCGTGAGATGAGTAGCCGGACTGATAGTCGGCAGGAGATGCACATTGCACGCGAAGCGAGTCAACAGGTCCGAGAGCTGCTAAAGACCTTGCGAGGCACAATGGGCAAATTGCAGTCGAATGCCAAGGTGCTTGCTCGAGCCTTCAACACTCGCGTCGTGTATTTCAAGCGTATTCAAGCTGTCTCGGACACTGTCCGAGACATCGAGGTTCGAGGTAGTCTTGCCAAGCACATGGAGCAGCTCGAGACGGAGATAGCAAGGCGGACGAAGAAGTAAGTGGCGGGATCTGATGCGTGCTTCCTGCTGCGCGCTGACACCCGAAGATTCTGAACGCCAGACTGGGACCCGCTCAACGCTATTTGCAATTTCTCCACAAGGGAGACTTTGAGTACGGAGATGGCGATTGCAGCGTCTGCTACAATCCCAGCGGTATTCAATGGATGCTCGAAAGTTGCTCGCACTACTTTTGTCCGGACTGTGTCAAGCGACTCCTGAGCGAGAGGCCACCCTCCCGCAAGTGCTGGAGGTAGGTGTTTGCAAGACTTTGCAAAGCTTCAAGGGTTCCATGGCTGACACAAATCTCGGCCGCGCGTCTGCAGGTGCAACAGACCGGTCGCTGCAGATGTCAAAATTCGCACAGTTGCAGTGACGAAAGAGGCCGCAGACGAATTGGCGGAAGCCAGACATGGACCGCTTACGGACGACCTGGACAAGAAGGTCTATGCGAAGCCCCAATTCCGGATGATGCCTTCAGATATCCGGAGAAATTTGACATCCATTCGTCTAGCTGCTAATCACGGTGCCAAGATCCACTTGCTCATCCAGCATCTGCTTTACATTGCCCAGGTCAGTACTACGTCTGCTCGAGGTGATATGCCCTTGACTGACGTTGAGCTGATTGCATCGCTATGCAGATCGATCGTGCAGCCAAGACGATCGTCTTTTCCTCTTTTGGCGCTGGACTGGATCTCGTGGCGCAAGCGCTACGGCGGCAAGCCGTATCGTTTGTGAAGTTGGACCAAACTAGCAAGGCAGGCACCAAGACTATCGAACAATTTCGCACCTCTACAGACACGAATGTGCTCCTACTCCATGCTGAGGCGCAGTCTGCTGGATTGAATCTCATTTGTGCCAAGCGGATCATCTTGTTGGTGAGAGAACATCGCGTTTAGGATGCACCAGACTTGGAAGCACACTCGCTCACGTGTACCCATTGCCCTTCAAAGGAACCGCTCGTCAATCACAGCCGCGAGCTTCAAGCCCTGGGCAGAATACACCGGATTGGACAGCAGCAAGAGACCGAGGTGTATTGCTACATGGCGAACGAGTCTGTCGAAGGTGCGTGTGACAGGACCACCCTCTCCCCCCAGCGGCAGTGTCCGACGAACTGCTGATCTTGCCCGCTTTCCTTTACGCAAGACAACATCTGCAACGCTGCTGTTGGAAGAGGCGAGTCACTTTACACTCTCGACAAGTCGAGATCTTCTGAGATTCAGGACAGCGCCACAATCGAGGCGCAGCATCGCAAGGGCGACGCTCCTGAGCAGACCGTCCGAGCTTCCCAGCTGCGCCAGGGCGAATTCATCAACGACGTCTCCCTCCTACTGAGCTGCTTTTTTGAGGAGCATCACGGGCGTCCCATACTCGTGAGTGCTTTAGTCTTGGCGAAAACACCTTTTCTGCTCATAGGTCGTCACAAAGGGAGCCATCATGCTAAGCAAGCGACTGCTTCGCACAGGATGCCAACGAGGTGCGGCGTGCGCGCATGCTGCAAGCTGCGGAGCGACGCCGCGCAAATACCGACGAGCAGCAGGCTTAGACGCGGCTTGGCCCCCATTTCTAGATGCGCATTGGCAACCTCTCCTTCTCCACCAGAACCATACGTATGTTGTAATTAGCCCAGCATTATTGGACTCAGTGTCCGCAGTTCATTCCACCATTCATAGGCACCCCAACCCGTGTCCGATCACTTGCAATGCGCGATTCGCTGAATTCCAATCGCATTGGCTCGCGCGGCAACCTCGGTGACGGTGTAGAACAAGACTTGATATCTGGCCCCGCAATTGAGATTGCGCAGGTCAGTTGGGCCAGAAGACGTAGATCAAATATGCTACGAGGACGAGCAAGGGTAACAAATTCTCTGTGGCGACGCCTTCGAGGGAGTTGGGCAACTGGATGCCAGCGCTAGGCCCAGTGGACGCTGCTGCTGCTGCTCCACCGATCGTCTGTCCTCCACCTGGGAAGCCACCGCTAGGTCCCTTGCCCGTGTCGTGTTTCCTCACAAGCTCGGTCAGCTTGGAAGGATCTGCGCCGCGAATCTTGTCAATGATGCTCTTGTTCTTGAAAAAGAGAAAGGTGGGCATGGCTGAGATGTTGTAGGCTTGAGAGATGGACCTGTTGCGATCCACGTCCACTTTGAGGAAGAGCACGGTTGGATGGGAAGAGGCGAGAGAGGCGAATGTGGGCGCTATGGCTTTGCATGGACTGTTCGATGGAGAAGGTGTGCGAGGTTGTCAGACTGACAGGGGTGGGGGCCGGTCTGTGGTGAGAGATGAGCAGGTACGCACCCACACCAACTTGCTGTGAAGTCCACCACGACGAGTGAGCTGCCGGCGGATGACATTGCGCTGTCAAACTCTGCCATGCGTCGCACGTACGTGCACGTGCTTCAGGGTGTCAGTGGAAGGGACACCTTGCAGCATTGCGATTTGATTGACTGGGCACGAGCATCTCATAATACACACTCACCCGACTGGGAGTTGATCTCTCGAGGTGCCGGCATGATCGCTGTGGTCTTGAATGAGCGCTGTGTGATTGGTCTCCAATCCTCTTTCAAGCGCCCGTAGTGCTCTTCCGACCCTTCCGATACGCTGTATGAAGGAAATGGCTGTGGTTGATGTCGGATCGTGAGCAAAGCTGGACAGGCTTGATCGATGTGATGATGGAGCGAACGCCTCGCCAAATCGTGATGAACGCTCTAGGATGTGCACCGCCCCATCCACATCCGCGCGCAAGCTGATGATCAATTGCATGACTACGCTTGCGCTGCTCCTCATGCAGCTGTGCTGACCGCCCGCCCAGCTGCATGAGTCGTCAGTTTTATAAGTACACGTGCAGCCTGCATGCATTCAAGATTCCCTTTGCTTTTCCGCCAGTGCTGTGCTAATTACTGCGTGGAATTTTCAATTCGAGATTCAATGCCGAGTTGAACGAATAAAAGTTGTGGACGTCTCTGAGCGAAAACTCATGTTGTTTGATGATTAAAACATGCATTCAAGATTTCCAAGATGCTTCTGTCTGAACTTGAAAGATGTGAGCTTGTGCTTAGGGTTACGATGGTGGTACCGCCGTAGTGAAGTCTTGATGAGTCGAATTTATTTCATACATGCGGCGGCGTCTGCGTGAAGTTGAACGCCCGCGCGCCATCTTTGGCGAATTCGTCGTGATGAGAGCAGTCAAATCAAGTCAAGAATGAAAGCAAAAGCTGCAACGACCACGTTGGGCAACTTTCTTCCTTTCTTCCTCGTGTATCCTTCGTTCTCACGGTTCTCAGCAAAAGTCGATCAGCAAGTCAACAGTCTTGTGTCTCGGGTCAAGTCAACGCCTCTTCTCGTCACTCTCGAGTCACTTCTTGTCTCTGTCTCTGAGCGCCCGCTACACAGACGCTCAATCAAAAGGCGGCGCCAGCCACCTCGAAAGGAGCCGCGCGTGCACCGCACCCACCGCCACCGCAAAGCTCAAAAGCGTCCATTTCGCTGCTGCCAGCAAGTGCACCGCCGCAACGCCTTCTGATTGTTTGCGGTCAGACATCGCCCTTGCGAAGCATTCATCGCCGCCACCACGCCACCCGTCTCCCCCAAAAGAGGCTTTCGCAACGGACCTTGATCACTAGCATATCAACCAGCAGTCACGTCGCACACCACTCGGTTCACCTCACAGCAGATCACATCAACATCGGCATCCGACTGAGCCCTTTCTTTCGCCTCCCTGTGTGCACGCTAACGCGAGGAGTTTGGACAAGCAAGTGATGAGCACATCGACGCTTCCACCGCAGCCAGCAGCATCCTCAGCAGCCGCCCTGACCGCCGCAATGGACTCAGCTTCGGTCTCCAACAACAATGGCGCGGAAGGCCAAACCAAAGGTGGTGCTGGAGCAGACTTGGACGTTCGCACAGTCTTCAATGACCCCGATAACTTCAACGTCAAACATCCTTTATTCAACAACTGGACACTGTGGTTCGATAACCCCAGCGCAAAAGGAATGACCAGCGCAAAGGGTGGAAAGGACTCGTGGGGAGAGGACCTGAACAAAGTTGTCACTTTCGACAGCGTGGAGGAGTTCTGGGGGTGAGTGACGCGTGTCTGGTCAGGTTGGGAAAGGGAAGTGGGCCAAGTGCGTAGCTTTCAGTCCTCGCCGGCACGCTAGCAGGCAGCCGCAAGGCCCTGTTCGGCCCGCGAGTGGGTTGCCGCATGTTCGGTGTGCATCTCAGGGGTCCTTCGTTTGCTCGCATCCTTCCCTCGCAGCTGTTGACTGACAAATGGGCGACTGCACTCGCACTATTCTAGATTGTACAACAACATCATTCCGCCATCGGACTTGCCTCAGAAAGCCAACTACTACCTCTTCAAGGATGGCATCAAACCGGCGTGGGAAGACCCTGCAAACGCCGACGGAGGCAAATGGGCCATTCAGCTGCCGCGAGATCGTAGTCGAGGTAATATCGACAAGCTCTGGCTCCATACTGTGAGTATGATGGAGTAGAGCGCTTCAAGCAGAGCTGACCACTCCACTCCACTCCCGCCGCATTGCAGATGTTGGCGGCGATCGGTGAGACGCTCGAGGCGCCATACGACGGATCTGCACCAGCTGTGGGTGTAAAGGAAGTGATCACTGGAGTGATCCTTAGCGCTCGACCAAACTTCTACCGCATCGCCATTTGGACGCGGGAGGCGGGGGACGCGACCGCAGATGAGCTGGACCAGAGATTGCTGGACATTGGCAAGCACCTCAAGACGAACATCATGGGATGGAAGCTGGGTCAAAATGTGGCTTCAGGATTGCAGTCTGACGTCGAGTTTCAGTCGCACAAGGAGAGCGAGAAAAAGAAGGGAAAGAAGTTCACTGTATGAGGTGGTGGTGGTGGTGGTCATGGTGTGCTGCGCGTTGGGATCTACGAGCGGCCGGACGTCGCTGTCGCAGGTCTTTGTTGCCCTGGGAGCACAGCGCGTTCTTCGGAGTGGCAAGGCCGCGCGATTTGGGTGCACTGACCTGGGCAAGCAGGGCGAAGGAATCTTGAGCTGCGGCTCGATCCAACAGCTCCGTGATGCCGAACACAGCAGGATCAGATTAACAACGAGCATTGGCTCTTGTCTCGTCTGCAGCGCGTCAGAAGAGCTTCGAACGCGTCCGCACCTTTCGCTACGATGTCGACTTGGTAGGTGGCTGGCGATCACATCGCGCAGCCTGCACCTGTCCCTTTACCCTTTCGCCTTTCGCCTACATTACATCGTATTCTCTCCCGTTCTGGTCACCTACAAAATTCCACATGAGAGTCTGTCAACTATGGCACCTACGCATTGCTAGTGAGCGGATCGAATCAAGAGCGAGCTTGTGATAGGCGCTCTCTTCCGTTGGTACAGAGCCTTCAACACATGGCTCGCAACTCTTCACGCTTTGGGCAATGTTCGATTGGCAAGCTGCGATTGCGAGCGCCAGGTAGCGCAGCGCAGCGGGTGTGCGATTCGGACCGAAGCTTGACCGCTGCGACTCATTCACCGAGATGCTGGAGCTTGAATGCTCCTTCATTCTCACATCGAATCTTGTCTGTCTGCTCGCCTGCTTTCAGGAGATGCGACATTCAAGATTATGAATGTGCTACAAGACTAGGAGTGCCCACGCGCTTTGCCCGTAGTCCAACCCAGAATCTCAATCCAGAATCTCAATCCAGAATCTCAATCGAAATACTGGCAAAGTCACTGCTGCAGTCTTGACTTAGTCAAGAGTGCGTGGGTCCCATTCATTTGAGAGAGCCTTGCAGCAGAGTCGATCGCCCTCAAGCCATCTTGCAGCGAATCTTGATGAGTCTTGGGTCTGGGCGCGTCACGTGCCAAGCAGGGATGTACGCAACCTTCTCGCCAGCTACGTCCCCTTAGGGCGCGCGACCCATGCAGCAGCCATTCCGCTGCAGACACCATCACGATCACCAACATCAAGCCGCGCTCAGTCGGAGCCACGAGTGGTTGTGCCGTTTTGCCCTTTCAGCCGTCTGCCCAGAACTCGAGCATATCTGTAAAGAAGCTACCCCGCAGATCTTTACGTACTCGACAGTCGGCTGGCACGACATCTGATCCTTCGCTCGACAAACTTCTTGCAGTCGAAGCTGCTCATACGTCTTCACACTCCCAGTCGCGATGGCTCGGGGCTCTGCTTTGGGCCTGAGCGAGGAAGCCGTTCAGCGAAGGGCACGCCTGGACCTGGAGTTCGATGAGGTGAGTACAAGAACAGTCTCGCTCTTGGAAAGCGCATACATTCCGTGCAGAGCTTAGCGTATGTGTTGACTTGAGTACTTGCGGGACTTGCTTAGACGAAGCTTCAGGGCGCCATCGCATCCGGCCAGGGAGATGTCTTTCTGCTGCAGTGGCTGGCCAGAGCCGAAGCTGCCCTGAAGGTCATCGACACGGTGCGTATGATTGGAAGAAGTCTCCTGCCGTATTTTGGCGTCCGTGCTGAGTCTGCTATCAGCACCAACCACGCCCCTTAGACATCCCTGCAGCCGATTAGAATCAAACTCGAGACGTCGTTTCTCAGATTCCTGCCAGCTTCGCCTGCACCATCCAACGATACCTCCACGCCTCCTAGTACCCCTACTCTGCGGCCAACCTCAAACTTTCCAAAGCCTGGCAGACCAGTGCGACACTTGCTGGCCAGATGTCTGGTGCTTCTGTTGGGGCGTAGCGAGGGACGTTCTCTGTTTGACGTGCTTCAAGCTCTGCTGCGCACAGCCGGGGACGAGACGAAAGGTCAAACGCCAGAAAAGGAGACCAAAGCTGCCGCGCTGTACATCGCTGGAGAGATATTTGCGGCGCTGGGACAGGATGTGATGAGCTTGTTTTTGGATCTGTCGCTGCTCGCCCAGAAGCTGTTTCGCAATACCAGCAATCCAGTCTTGATACGATACCACGCCCTCATGTGCCTGGCAAGAGCACTAGGCCCAGGCGCCAAAAGCTTGAACGACCAGCCGGGCAAGGAGATGGTCAAAAATTTGCGTGGCTGGCTATCGGATAGGTCGGGCGCTGTAGTGCAGGGTTGCGCAGAAGTGAGTCGTGCACGTACGAGGCCCTGCTGCGCTGCCATATAGAGTTCGGCTAATTTATCATACTATACCACCTGAATCCAGTGTTTGCTTGTCATCGCACAAAAGACCGACTTCTTGGCCTCACGATCCGAGATCAGTCTGGTGCTCAATGTCGCATTGAAGGCTCTTGATAGCGCCGATTTTGTCACCAAGCGCAGTCTCTCGCGCCTCGGTGCGACGTTGCTTGCATCGACTCAAAAGGAGAACTCTGCACCTCCGCCCGAGCCTAAGAAGAAGGACAAGAAGAAGAGAAAGGGAGACGCAGCAGGCGGTGACGATGACTCGGACGAAGACGCTCCCCCAATCTCTGTTGACGCAGGCGCCTCTCGGACATTGCTGAAAGCTAGCGAAATGCTGGATGAGCTCGCCAGACCTTTTGTCAGTGCCAACACCTCGAGAAAAGGCAAGGCTGGCATCCTCGATGTTTACGCGACGCTCTTTGCAACGCTGGGCGCGGATTGGGTTCTCAACAACTACCCATTGGTACTGAGACATCTCATCGAGGAGCTTCCCAATACGCCTCGTGCTACACCACTCAATCGTGCAGATGTGCTTTGGATCCGCACAGGCGTATCTCTCATCTTGCGACGTGTCATCGGCGACTGGATGCTGGGTGAACCAGCGCAGGTAGCGGCTATACAAGAGATCTGCGGGTCGTATCTGAAACGCTGGCCAGTCTTGATGCCTGGCAACGTTCCGCCAACGAAGTACACTCTAGTACTCGCCTTGAACGAGGTGTCTGGGCTCCTTTTGCAGTTGGGGAGCTGTCCTGCTCAGGTGCACGATGCTCTCTTTGATCCTTTGCTGCGTTGCTTGTCTCATCCTAGCAACTCGGTGCAGGTCAGTGCAGCTTGGTGCTTGCGCACGCTTTGCTCCGTCAATCCGACACTATTGGCCAGTACCATAGAAGCGACGATCGCGCTTCTTCGAAAGGATTTAAAGGCGTTGGACGCGGCGGGCGAGAGACCGGGTCATGAGCTTTCGCTGCGCACTAGCGGACATGCTCGAGGAATCGCAGCCCTCATCAATGTCATTCCATCGCGTCCGCTATACACGTCGTTCGAAATCAGCACCAGAGTCTTCGACTTGGCGACAGACCTCCTCAGGAAGAGTGCAGACCATCCGCTTCCTGTCTCTGCAACGGAAATACAAGTCGCTTGGGTTCTTCTAGGCGCTCTAATGTCCCTAGGCAAAGGCTTCGTGAGGCTACACCTGCCACAACTTTTGAACCTCTGGCGGAACGCGCTTCCCAAACCTTCCCCCAGGGACACTGCAGCCGGGCCCTCCTCACGATCCGATGCGGAGTGGGCATTCTTGTTGCATGTCAGAGAGTGCGCACTTGGAGCCATGTACTCGTTTTTGGATCACAATGCGGCAGCTTTGCTGACCAACGATTCATCACGCAAGCTCGTGGCATGCTTGACGCACGCTCTGGCATTCGTCAATGGCTTTGCAGCGCAACATCCGTACCTGGCCCAAGAGCAAGTACCAGGTGCAGAGCGAAGTTCCTTAACGATGTTGGATCGGGAGCACATGGTCAGAAGACGCGTCTTCCAATGCTTCAAGAGCTTGGCGAGAAGCCCTAGTGCGCACGCAGCGTTGGATGCCGTTGCTGATGGTCTGGTGCAATCAGCTGTTCAGACGTTTGCGGAGCCAGACCGCTACGTGGGTAGCGCTGCACAGGCCGTCATTGCCGCCAGCGCTGGCAATTTCACCAACGTTTGGGGCTTGGCCGACGGGTATGCTTTCGGCTTGAACAGCCTGCAGCGCGATGACGAATGCTTCGTTGGCACCGAGCCCGGATCGGCGTCCTATCCCGCCATGGAGCACCCTGCACGCACGGATCTGTTGAACAGAGATGCCGTCGAGGCGCAATTGGACGCTTTGCAGCGCAGACCAATCCTCGGAGCACCGGAGCACGATCCTCTGATCCTATACGCTCGACCGGGTGCGCCATCCGCGGCATTGGACACGCCCAAACTGGCGCCGCAACCTCCGCCGCCAGTCACCGCCATGATCGATGCAGCGATAGATTTGTTCGCTGCAGTCTATCCATTCCAACCTCGCGAAATCCAAGTCAGCTCTATTGAGACTTTGCTGGGCTACTGTCGCAGCTCACGACTTGAAAAGAATCCAGGAAGAAGGCAAGCAGTCCAGCTCAATGCCTCTGCTTGTCTGCTCGGAGCCTTGAGGGTAGCGACAAATTCAGGCTCAAGGGGAAGCAGACGCGCTGCTGGCTTCAACAATGATCGTCTGACGCAAGCTCTTCGAGAAATCCTAAAGGACGCCTTACTTTCCGGCGATGCGTCGCTGCGCGCCTCAGCTGCTGAGGCTTACGGCCGCCTCGCTGCAGTAGCAGGCTCCCACGCTATGTCTGCGCAGGTCCAATTTCTCGTAGATCAGGTGGTCAACAATCGGGATCCGGGCGCACGCGCGGGTTGCGCGAGGGCTTTTGGATGTGTCTACAGCGAGGTAGGGGGACTCTCTGCGGGACCACTCACCAAGACGATCGTAAACATTCTCATGTCGCTCTCGTCCGATCCGCACCCGACCGTGCATTACTCTGCCATGGAAGCGCTCCGTATGGTGGTTGAGGCAGCAAGCTTGAGCTACTCTTCCTACGTCTCTAGCACACTTGGAATGCTGGTCAAGTTGTACATGCTCGACACGCACGAACCCGAAGGAGGTAGTGCCGGCTCTAGTAATCTGCGCGCTGATCTGCCGGCTCATCAGGCTGCGTGCCGCATCATCTCGGCCCTCATAGGAGTTCTGGGTCCAGACTTGCTCGACTCGCAGAAGGTGCGGGATTTGATCCTGACGCTGCTACATGAATTTGGGCTAGAGCAATCGAACCCTGGAGTCGTGGTTGAGGCTTCCAAAGCGATGCAGCACTTTGCTCTCTTTGCGTCGGAACACATGGACTTGACGGTCTGGATTTTGGAGCTCAAAGGTCATCTGCAGAGCACTCAGCGGCCCCGCAAGCTTGCGGCGATCAATAGCTTTTATCAGCTCATTCAACGTCAAGCTCTCGTGGTCAGCCGCGTTGGCGGGGATGCACTAGTGGAAGATCTCTTCGCACAACTCGACGACGACCCTACGATCGATGGTGTACGACAGGTTCTGCTCGGGTGGCTGCGTCAGACCGCCGAGCTCAGCCCCAATTCTTGGATCAATCTGTGCCAGAGAATCATGAGCCGTGCAGTCGCAGGTGATGTTCAAGCGCCTGCCAAGAAGACACAGCAGCAACCAGGCATGCTGCAGGACGAGGAAGCGGCGGGCATAAATCTTGGAGAGGAGGTATCGGCCAACAGTGCAGCTTTGTCGCACTCGCGCTGGAGAACGCAGCTCTTCGCTCTGCAGTGCTTGCACGAGGTGTTCTTGGCGGTGGGTCGTGCTGGGCGCTTGGAGCATTTCGGTACACCGCTTGCAGCCCCTGCCCCAACGGCAGGACAAAGCACTGCCACGCATTCTGCGCCGCGCGCGCTCATGAGTAGCCGTGTAGCAGATTTGATCAAGATGGCCTTCATCGCAAGCACGTCGGCGACATCAGCCATTCGGCTCGAGGGGCTGACAGTCCTCAGCGACGTCATCCAGTACTTTAAAACTGCGCGGGATCCCGATTTCGAAGAGTCCTTGTTGTTAGAACAGCACCAAGCACCAATCGCAGCAGCTCTGACGCCCGCTTTCAGCTCGGACAGCACTCCCGAAGTCTTGGCTGCTGCTGTGCAGGTCTGCGCAACTTTCGTTGGGTCGGGTGTGGTGCGAGAAGTGGATAGAATGGGTCGCATTCTGAGATTGTTGGCTACAGCGCTCGAAAGATGCACAGATCCTGAAATGGAGAGCCTGGGAGAGGTCTCACACCTCTCACCAAACGCTGCCTCCACCTTGAAGATCGCCACATTGACTGCTTGGAGTGAGCTTCAGATATCCACGCTTCAGCAACCTTACTTGCGCGAGGTGATACAGCCTCACATACCAACCCTGGCACCGTACTGGATCGCCAGCTTACGCGACTACGCGCAAATGCGCACGGACCCTGAAGCAGCGGTACTGGCTATGCCGCAGCCAGGCCCTCCACTGAATGCGAGATTGGATCAGCAGTATGCCGGCTTGACGCAGGAAGTAATCTTGCCACACTACAATCAATCATGGCACAAAATTCTGCATGCTGTGACAGTGCTGGCAGACCAAGCCAACATTCCAATGCTGCTGGCTCTCAACGGCGAGATCGACCTGGACGACAGCGCTGACGTTAAGCCAGAGCTGTCGCCGTACCGAGATGCTCCAGCGACGAACTTTCATCCCTTGTTCGGCTTGGCAGTGGAAGCGCTTGCATCAAGCGCGAACATGCCGTCTTCTTCTGCCGCTGCGCCTTTCATGGAGGTGTCTGCAGAAGCACAGCGGAGCCGTGTAGCACTCTACGCGATACGCGCCCTCAGCAAAGCGCACTTCGCAGGGCCGGCGCTCTTGGATGCCTCAGTCTTTGAGGAACTCCGCACCCTATACATGCGTCTAGTCATGACTGAGCCTTTGCCTATTCAGTTGAATGTCATCGAGGTGCTGCTCAGCATGATAGACAGCTACCAAGGTCGCTTGCTCGATGTCGAACCGTAAGTCGTGCATCGAACTACAGGAAGATACAAATGCAGGCAGCGAGACCCAGCTGACTTGGTCCTATGCTTTCCTCAGCGTCGCAGGCGAAGCATTGTCAAGCGAGGCAAAGTTGACCCAGTGCTTGCAGATCATCATCCGTGTGATGACACATTCGTATTTATTGCCGGGTGCCGCAGAGGACAAAGTCGCTCTGCTCAAAACCGCATATACAGCCTTTTTGGCTACGTCCACCCATTTCTTGCAAGGTCAGCAAGAGTCCTTGCTAGTAATTGCGCTGTCAGCCTACAGTGGTGCGTCAGGATGTTTGGGCGCCGCGAGGCGACCACGCTGCTTACACTGCACTTCGCGTTGGATGACCAGAATTATTGCACGACGAGCGACAAGAGCTGGATCTGATTGGTCCTACTTTGCCTTGCCTGAAAGCCATCTGCGAAAGGGCAGCATCCGTCGCTCAGCCGGCAAGCGATGTCCTTGAGAAAGGCATACACGGCTTCATGTGCGCAGCCCTCAACAACATCGACGAGCTCAGGTGAGCATGTGATCGCCACTTGTGCTTCTGGAAGGATGTTGCTGACATTTTCGCGTTCCATTCTCTGCGTCACCAGGGCCCGCGCAGGCGTTATTATTGACATCAAGACACGGAACAGCTTGCTCGCACTGACAGTGGTCTTGACGTCGTTACCGAACGGCGTCAAGGCAAGCACAAGCGTCATCGACCATTTCTGCTTCCTGGTTGCGCAGAAGCTTCATGCTGGAGCCGACTCCAACATTAGTCTCACGGCGTTGAACTGCGCTCGATCGATTATGCTTGCGTCTAGCAAGGGAGGTGCCTCTTTCCAATATGCGGTCGGTTCACTGCTACCAAAGCTCGTCGAATTTGTTGCAGGCGAGGGGGCCAAACTACAGCAGTTGGACGACGTCAAAGCCGCAGACTTGCCTGTCCGCCTGATGGGCGAAGCTGTCAAAGCGTTGGCAGCCTTTGGGCTATCGACACCGGACTCTTACAGTGAGTAAGCTCTCGATACGCTCACCCGCCCCTTCCACACACGCGACAACTAATGTTGCGCTTTTGCATGGCAGGAGCACGTGTCTTTTCCATTGTCATGCCTACACTGATCCTCCTGTTGTCGCCGGACGAGCCCAAAGCCTTGCACGACGTAGCTGTCGCGCAGCTGCTGGCTTTCGCAACGCAAGCTGGCCCGGCCTTCAAGGAAGTCACTGCCACATTGGCCGCAGACCATCGCACCGTGCTCGAGACGAGCATTAGAAACGCTCTTGCGGCTTCTGCGACAGCCAGCGCAAAGAGTTCGCATCAGGCAGCACCTCAACGAACAGAGGCAAAGATTGCACTTCGCAGCTTTGGTTGAAAGCTCGTAACTCGTGTTTGAGCCTGCAACATCGTGTCTCTGCGATGGGCTAATCGGTAAGTAGCCATTTTCTGTTCCACAAGGCCGTGCAAAGTTGCGACTTTGTCTTGCTTTCATCTTGGTCATCGTATACCACGATCGTATTCGGGGTCGTGTATGTCAATGCAATGTACAACGGTTGATTGGATCAATGGAAAGCGTGGGAAAGCGTGGGTGACAAGAGAAGCTCTTTGGAAGCCGAATCAAAGCCAAGATCTATGTGAGAGTCGTCTGGTTACGCTCTGGGTCTTGCAGCTGTATTCGAGGGCCATTAAGAGACCAGTAAGCGCTTCGACGCACGGATACGGTTTGAGTGAGCTGCAACAACACACCTTGATGACGCGAGTCGATTCTCCGAGGGTGACGCTCGCCATGCTTTGTGGCGAAATGAGGATGTACTGAACGCCCTGAGTGGACTTTGCGGCATCGATCTATGAGATAGAAGAGAAGACATGACGAGTTCAGGCGCGTGAATTTCAAAAGTCGTGCACACCAGATCACTGACCATCATCTTCATCGAGATTTTCCTGTTGACGGCATCCATGAACACATCAAATTCGTCCAGGCATCGGATAGGGCAGCCAATCGCTTCCCAAAGCGAGAGCAGGAGGCAAATCGTGGAGAAGGACTTCTCGCCTCCAGAAAGGGACTTCGGGTCCTTATCTCGTTTCTGCGTCGAGTCCTCAGTTTGTACCTGAAGACACAGGAGGGAAGTGGATCAGTACGGCCCGCCGCTGACTGTCAGGTAGCAGCACTCACCAAGAGATGAAGTTTCTCGCCCTTATGGTCGAAGTCGAGAGAGCCAGTGTAGCCCCGCATGGCCAGATGGTGGGTGAAGAGACCTCTGGCCCTCGACGCGATGCTTCTCCGAAACGACGTCCACGTCTCTTGTCGCAACGTGATCGCGGCACTCAAGTGCTGCTCGTATACATGGAGGGGATCAGAGACAATCGAGCCCAGCTTTCACGGAATTTGAATCCTCACCTTGACGGCAAGCTTGAAGTCGGCCAGCTCACTTTGCGCGCTCTCGAGCGCGCGCTTTGCAGCATTCACATCCGCAATGACTGACTCGACGCTGTGACCGGTCTCTCTTCGAGCCCGCTCCAAATTCTTCTCCAACGCATCCGCTTGACGTATGTACTCATCCGCCGTGAGCTCTATTTCAGGACGGTCTGGGGCGACTTCAGAAGCCTGCGCGGTCAACACGTCGACTTGCTCTTGGACCTGCAAGCTAGCTTCGCTCAATCGCTCATTGTTCCCTTTCTGGACGCGGATCTCCTTCTCCCAGTGTTGCATGTTCTTCTGAGCCACCACGCGGCCCTGCACAGTTGCAGTCATGCGCGGCATGGTTGAGCGACGCTCCTCCTCGAACTCTTCGAGCTTGCTCTTTGCAGCGTCCATCTCTTCTTCAAGAGGTTGCAACTGTCCTTCAATCCCCTCTTTGCGGACCTGTACCGTAGAGAATTCCTGCTTAATGTTTTCCAGCTGTTCTTTGGCTTCCTGTTTGAGCATTCAGAAATCGCGGAACCTCGTCAGAACGACTTGGTCCGAGTCCGAAGAGCTTTTATTCGAGACTTACCTCTTTTGCTTGCTCGAGCGCAGCTACGCTGCTGGGTTGATCTTCTCGCATCTGATCGCTGATGCGTTGCTCGTCTTCTGCGTGCTTTCGCGCTTGTTTGGCCAGTGTTGGTATCTCGCGCTTAATAGCGACTCGTCTAGCTTCCAACTTCTTCAATTCGTCGACAGCGGTGCGCAACTCTGCATTTGCTTGTTGCAGCTGCTGATCAACTTCAGCTTGCTTCTTCTTGGCGATGCTAAGCTGCGCTTCAACATTGGCCGAAAGGCGCATTGGACCAGTGTGAGCATTAAGTGTCTGTGTGGAAGACCCTTTCTGACCGCCTGAAATTCGGAACATGTCCTTCGAGAAGCACACGTGCACGTTTCGTTTGCCGCTTCGCATCAAAGCATCACCGTCAACACGGCGCTCTACCAGAGCGCTCCTCTCGATGTGGACAGCATTTACCAGCTGATGCAAGACAAAGTCATTGTCGATCTGTGGGCCGAAACGGAGCTACGTTGAGCGTGCCTGCTGTCAGCGGACGTGATCAATACTCACATCGAGCACGCGCAGAATTGTGCGGACGTCCGGGTCTGACTCTCCCGACGAGAAGTCAATCGCAGTGTCCCTCATAGTTAGGGTCGGAATAGTTGCGCTGTTTTTGAACGATGTCAGCAACTCGTAAGCGGGAGGTCACTCGCGCTCCTTGACTCACTTGCCTGTTCGCTGCTTGATTTGCTCCAAGAGTTGACGATCGGCGTGGTTGGTGACACAGAAGGCATTCAGTGTATTGCCGATGACGCTTTCAAGTACGGGAGCCCAGGACATATCTTTGAGCTTGAGGTGCAGTCCGATTGGACCGACGGGTCTGACACGCCATCTTTTCTCGGCCTCAATGGCGCGCACCAATGCCGGGACATTCGCGCCATATGCTACCATGCGGTTGCCACGGGCCTGCCCAAGCCTTTGGCACAAATAGGCAGCCTCATCTACTTGCCGTCGCAGGGCGTCCTGGCGGCCCTTCGCCTCTGTTTCCCGCTGCGCTGCAGCTCCAATAGTCTGTTGCAATTGGCGCAGCTCGTCGTTCAGCTCGACTTGTCGCCTTTCCGTTTCCTTTCGACCATCCTCGGCTTCTTGCAAGGTGTGTGCGAGCTCCTTTCGCTTAGCACGATTGCCATCAGACATGCGTTGAGCCTCGCGCTCAATGCGAACCTGCAGATCTTCAATCACAGCCGTCTGCCTGCTGAATTGGTCATTCAGCTGCTGCTCTTGAGCCTGTTTGAAGATGGAGAGTGATCGTCTGAGCAACCGCCAGGCAATCGGCAGCGTTCAAGAGGCTCACTTTAACGCCCTTCATATCCGCCCTATGTGATTTCATTTGCTCGCGCAACCGCTTCACTTGCTCAACGAGAGGAGCTTCCCGGTCCTTGTCCTCGTTCAAGAGGGCCTCCAAATCACTGATCTCATTGTTCGCTTGCTCGAGGGCATTCTGAAGATGGAAGCTGCCTTAATATCGCGCCTCAGGGGCATGACTATCTGCTGCTTGAGCACTCACCTGTGCCTCCTGCAACTTAGCTTCTTGCTTGCCCAGCCTCTTCTCGCCGTCTATCAAAGCATGTACAGCTTGCTCGAGGCGCTGTGCGTTTACATATCGCGACACCGTTAGCGATCACAACATGGCGCGCTGCGAAAGTTGGGTCCAAACCTCGCTCACCCTCTCCTTCTCCGCCACTTTTGCCCAGACGATCAAGTCTTTGATTTCTGCTAAACGCGCGTGCTGCTCGCGCTGCTTCTTCACAGCCTCATAGCGGGCGATCGCTTCAGCAGCGGCATTCTTAAGGTCGGGTACGACTTCCTCTTTCTGCTTGACCACGACAGCGATCTTCTCGATGTTAGACTGAATGACAGAGTACTCGTGGGCTAGCTGCGTGAGCTGGGTCCCTCGCAGAAAGAACTGGGCAGCTCGTTGAATGATTGCAGGTCAGTTGGACATGCTGAGACGCTCCTCTACCTCACTTGGTCATCGACTCACGTGGTATTTTTCCGAGGTGCGGGAGTCTGAGAGGAACTGTCTAGCTTGGTCCTGACTGAGCACATTGAGAGGATTGTCCACTTGAATATTGGCGTGGTCGCATAGGGCATTGAGCTCGTCGCGCTTGGTGCTGACGACACGACCTTTTGCACTTTTGATCTTCCAGCCGCCACCTCCATCAGCGTTGATGCGACGCTCAATGATGATTGATCTGCCGTACTCCTCCGGCTTGAAGGCTTCGCTCCCTCTGTTCTTCAGCGTCAACTCCACGATGGCGCCAGTCTTGCCCTCCTTGACGAAGCTCTTGAGGCTCTTGCCCCTATCAGTCGATAATGCGTTGCCTCCAAGCGCGATGGTGATGCCCGTCAAGATGGCGCTCTTACCGCCTATGAGCGACAGGGATTTTGCTTGGTTGTTAAGGGCTGTGGACGCGTGCCGCGTCGGCAACTTCCACTCACTTCCGTTATGACCAATGATGAAGTTGGTTTGTGGGCCCAGCGACACAGTGAGGCGATTGTGGCACATGAAATTTGTGAGCTCTACCTTCTCAATGACGCCCATCTCAGCCACGTTCTTCGCAGGTTCCACCGATGGGTTTGAGAGAAGCTATTTAGCACTGCGAGCTGAGTTCGGCCAAGTGTGCAGAGCATGTACGCACCTTGCCATGAGATGCCTGCCAATTTTGAGCTGAACGGACCTGCACATCATCGTCGCTGCCCTCGTCATCGTCGCCCTCTTCCTCCAAGCCTTCCTCCTCTTCCTCGTCGAATGATGCGCTGCGGTTGGCATTTGATGCTACATCGCTATGTAACGCTCCCTCTGCCTGCTCTCGGCCTTTGACTTTGGGCTTGCCGAAAGATGGTGCTGGCGCATCGGGCTCCACCTGATCATGCTCTTCATCGTCGTCATCAGACTTGATAGCGGCCTCATCAGGTGAAGCAGATTCCAAGTGTCCATTTCCTATGGAGGACAGCGGTTCTCGACGCTTCCTCTTGTTCTGTTGTGACGAGTCAGAGTAAGCTGCTGTGTATACGCCCGGAGATGGTGCAGCACGCACCTTTGAGCTCGAAGCATCGCCTGAGTCGTCGAAAGCCTCCTCCTCATCATCCTCGATCCGCTTGCGCGTTCGCGACATTATGGCAGTCCTTTAGCGTGATCACTTGAATGAGATGCTTAGCACCACAAGTCCTCCGTCTTCGAGCGGAAATGGGATCGATTGTGCCGCTCCCAAGCTCTTTGAGCAGCTTTCAGGGGCGCTAATAGCGGCCTGGAGCTATCGACTTTCAGTTATGGATGCTGCAGGCTTGGGCGGTCCCGAAATGAGGGGTGGGAGAGAAGAGGCTTAGGCTAACGAGAGGAGGTCTTTGCATAAGAGCGCGGTAGTGACGCGAAAGATGAGCATCCAACACTAATCACAACCACCGCCGCGTAACGTGAAGCTGCTGCATCAATCTACGCGTCTGGCTCGAAGCGCGTCTACAGCACTCGCGCGGCTGCAGTTGCTACCTGCCACGTGGTTGTTTCCTCTGGATCCGGGCAAGGGCGCGATCAGGACGATGTGGGCGCGTGCGCGTAGCTCTTTCGCGCAGAGCAAGGCAGGCAGACCATCTTGACTCCATCACCTCTTGTCGTCAAGAACACCCTAACGCGCTGTGCTCTCTGCCTGCGCGCAATCATCCCTCCATTAGTCACTTCGCTCAGCATTCGTTTTAACATCTCGAAATAATCAGCGATCGTCCTGCAAGCTCTTTGTGTGCCTGTACACTAGCAGGTGAATTAGCCTAATTAGCCGCCGCCAAGTTCCTGTGATTGCCTTCGCATTCTCCTTCAGGCTTGAGAGTCAACATCAAGTTGAGTCATCATTGTAGTGGGCCACTCTCGCAAATCTGAACGCCCACTGCAGGTAAGGCAGCCTCAACCGGCACCATGAGCGGTGTACCAGAGAATACAGATGGTGTGCAGGCTGAGCTTCCAGCAGATGCCGGTGTGGATGCCAGGGCTCTTGGCGAAATCAAAGAGCCTTTGATAGCGGCTGAAGCCCATACGACAGACATCGAAGATGCGGATGCGGACGCGGATGCGGATGGCGAGGCCGATGAGGACGCTGAAGGGGAAGTAGATGATGGAATCACCGCAAATGGGGCAGAGTCTGCGCCTGGATTGAAGGATGAGGGCTCGTCGGAAACAGCGCCTGCTCAGCCCAGCTCTACGCCAGCTACAAAGAACGAAGACACTTCTGCAGACGACGATAGCGACGTCGGAATGGAAGATGACGACAGCGATGACGTGCCACCTAAAGGCCCTCAGACCTCGGCCGGCCACACTCAGCCGAAAGCTGATGATGCTAACTCGAGTCAGTCTGGCCAGCCCGACGGTCTTTCGAGCCAACAAACGATAGCGACGCTCAGCAACGGCACCTCTGAGAGCTCCACAGAAATGTCAGATGCGATGCGTGCCGCCATGGCCGCACTGAGCGGAATCAGCCCCGTGACCGGAGACGACGGGCAATCGGCTGCAGTCAAGCAAGAGGCGACGGCAGCTCCGGCAGAGAGCACAATTGCGCCGACGCCAGATACAGCTAATGCAGCTCTCGCTCCAGCTCCCGCTTCGGCTCCTGCTTCTGCGCCTGCAGCTCCCGCCGCGATGATGGCCGCTGCAAAAGGTCCAGAAGAACGGCGGAATGAATTGACTCTGCGAGTGACTCGAGAGCCTCGTGACGGTGATGCTTGGCTGCTGCTGATCGAGAATGCAATTGAAGCTGGGGACATCGATGCTGCAAGAGCTCGATACGAGGAGTTTTTCAAGGTATTTCCCAACGCAGTGAGTGTGCTTGATTGCCAATGTTGGTGCCTGCTTCCTGGTGTTTCACGTTGCGGTCGACTTATGGCCTCGTACCCTCCGGCACAACCTTGGCAGTCTCGTCAATGGCAGAACTACGCGCAGCTCGAGCTCTCGCTATCTCACACTACATTTCCCTTGGTGGAGTCAATTTTCACGAGATGCTTGCGGACTACGCCTTCTGTGGACTTGTGGTCCTCCTACCTCTCATACACGCGGCGTGTAAATCCTTTGCCACCATCTTCAGCTCCTCCAGAGGAGCGCGAGAAAGCACGAAGGACGATCGAAGGCGCATACGAATTTGCACTCAAATTCATCGGCCATTCTCGAGATGCCGGAGAAGTTTGGCGCGAGTACATTCAGCTGTTGAAAGACCGAGAGGTGGCGCCAAATAACCAATGGCAGGCTGGTCAAAAGATGGACGACATTCGCCGCGCGTATCAGCAAGCCGTAGCCATTCCCTTGTCGAATGTCGAGGCTGTTTGGAGGGAGTATGATCAATACGAGACCGGTTTGAACAGGATAACGGTGCGTACACTCCATTGTTGCGGCGTCTGAGCCTCTTGTGGGCGCCACGAGCTTACCAGCGTACGAACACGATCCTCTTCTTCTCGGCGACTTGCAATGGCTATCTGCCTTGACCGTCGTCGCTATTCTAAACGGCTGCCACGCATCTTGTGCTCTTGGTCTTGGCGCGGCACGCTGCTGCTTGCCTCGATCTGTCAATGGACATTTTCTGCCAATTTGACGTGCTGCTTGCTGTGCCGTTCGTTGATGGACTGGGCTGGCGCTGCTCACCTCGTGCAATTGTCTCGCGCGTATTGACGTACGCAACGTCTTGGCGGTATGTCCCTCCCGTTTGGCGCCCACTGCTCTGCATCTACGCAGGCCAAGAAATTTCTTGCGGAGCGCTCGCCTGCTTACATGACTGCTCGAAGCGCATTAAAGGAGATGCGATCTTTGACAGAGATTTTGCATCGTCCAATCTTGCCCCGCGTTCCGTCGTGGGCTCAATCCGCTCTGCAACGACTTCAACAAGGCAACGATGCCGGTGCCATTGCGATTCGTTCGCGAGCAGCTCAGCGCGAGAGGGGACAAGCAGAGAGCTGGAAGAGGTATCTCAAGTGGGAAGAGAGCAACCCTCTAGAGCTCGAGGATCTGACTACGCTCCACACGCGGATAATCATGGCGTACAGGAAAGCGACCATGCACATGCGGTTCTTTGCTGAAATTTGGTGAGAGTCTTTGGTTCCTGCCACCTTTGCAAGCAAGCAAGTTGACCTCTTTTGGCTGGAACCCACCGATCGCAGGTACATGGCGGCGCAGTATCTGGAAGGTGCCGAGCGTCAGGATGACGCCAAGTCTTGGTTAAGAATTGGGATGGGGGCGTGTCCCGGAAGGTGAGCTGCTTCAAGGGGCTTTGCATTGCTCCCCAGCTGCTCACTCTGCACTTCTCTGCAGCTTCTTATTGCGCTTTGCCTACATCGAGCTCTGCGAGGCGACAAACGAGACGTCTGCCTGTGCACCGGTCTTTGCTGAGCTTTTGGAGCACGTGCATGGCCAGATCGAAGCTGTGCAGGAATTTGTAAAGTCAAAGCACGAGAAGATTGACGAAGAAGGCGTTGCCGCAGCTGCGGAAGCTGCAGCAAAGCGCAAAGATTCTGGTGAAGCTGATGAGAACGTCGGCGGCGACGAACGTGAAGAAATCAGAAAAGCCGAGGAGGTTCGGACACAGAGGAAGAATGTTGAGGATGAGAATGCCAAGCCTGTGCTTGAAGAACTTAAGGAGTCAGCAGCTTTGGTTTGGATCAAGCAGATGCACTTTGTTCGTCGGAATGAGGTCAGTCCTGCCAGCAATCACTGCCCCGCAATCTTCGCGCCCAATTTGACTCTGCTTTCCTATCTCAATCAGGGAGTGCGTCCCTGCAGAGCTATCTTTGGCAAGGCACGCAAGAGTCCACACTGCACGTGGCAGGTCTACGAGGCGAATGCGTTGATGGAGTATCACTGCTCAAAGGACGTAGGGGTAGCGACACGAGTCTTTGAAGTTGCACTCAAAACGTTTGGAAGTGATGAAGCTTTCGTCGTCCGATACCTCGACTTCCTCATCAGCATCAACGATGACAATAGTAAGTCATTGGCTGAGAGCAGGCTGAGACACGGAAAAGACGGAGACAGTGCTCAGATTTTCTTTATGTCCCTTCAACAGACGCTCGCGCTCTGTTCGAGAGGACTGTCAATTCTTTCGAGCCAAATCGCGCTAGACCTCTGTGGGATCGCTGGTGCGACTACGAATACAGCTTTGGCGACCGCGCGGCTATTCAAAGACTAGAGCAACGTCTGCGAGAAGTCTACCCAGATGGTAAGTCAGCCCAATATTCTCGTGCTTCTGTGGGACTACATTTGACCTCGAGTCCCTCGCAGAGCCCGCTATCAAGCGTTTCGTCGATCGCAACACATACATGGACTTGGACGTGATCAGTTCGAAAGATCTGGGCTTTGAGGCGAGCTTGGACGGTGCAAATGCAGCGGATCGAGCAGTAGCTGCGTCGCGAATGGCGTTTGATGATGGCTCTAGCGTGGGTGCGGGTATGGCAGCAGCCAATGCCGCTGCAGAATCTGCCCGCGCCGTCACGGGGGCGAAGCGAGAGTTCAACGAAGACGCGCCTGGTGCGATCGCTAGCAACGGTCAAGTCGAGAGGGCCGCAGGCCAGAAGCGCGCACGCTTCGAGGATGATGCCCCTGGTGGACGAAGGAGGAGCGTAAGCCCGACGCCGAGAGCGCCCATTCCCACGCGGTCTGGAGACTTGGTCCCTGTGCAGCAGCAGCAGCCCGTGGCGTATGGCAACCGCGGCGCGCCATTACCCCCTCAAGGAGGGCCCCAAGGCCATCTGGGTGGCCGCGGACCACCGCCTGCGGCCGCTGTTCCAGCACCACAAGCTCCGCCCTTCTCGGAGCCCATTCTTTTCTTCATGGAGTAAGTGGAAGGCTGGCTACCGGCCATGTCCACTCAGTGAACTTTTTTGATCTCACAATCTTCACGTCGTTTTCATCTGGCAGTATATTACCCGGGGCACGATTCTTCGGGCCACCTCTGCTCCCGGTCGATGAAGTTATCAATTGTCTGCGAGAAGCCAACGTCGCCCTGCCGCCACCCGGCAATGGTGGCGGCGATGCGTATGGACGAGCTCCCGCTGGTCAACCAGGCTGGGCAAACCGTGCCAACAGGACTGGAGGAGGTCGTCCTCGAGGGGGAAGGCGCTTTTGAAGAAAGACGAGACAATCAAACAGCACAATGGCACAACAGCACACTGGCTCGCCCAAACCAAGCCCCGCTCCGCCTGCGAAAGGGCGCTCGTCTGAGTCTCAATGTCATCATTTATGTCTTGGCGCCTCCATCGCTCGCAGATTTGCGACTGCGCGGTTCGGAGACGTGCAGGCCTGGCCTCTTTGCGCGGCACGCACGACAGCAGCGACGGCCAGAACAACGATTGTAAAGCTCTTTGGTCACGCGACGTATCTTCTCAGCAAACAAGTAGACCAAAAAGCTCCTCATTGCCTCAGCTGTAGTCGCAAGGCGCAGCGTCGGTCTGTAAGGCAGCCTAATGAACGCTCTGCTTAGGAATGATCGAGGTGCTCGATGGGACTTAGCGAAGCAAATACATCATCGTCTGTGTTCGACGGCGAAGGTGGTATTGAGATGTGCCTCTGATAGGCTTGCGAATTTGCAGGGCTCAATGGTCGCCTGTGCTGCGATGATGTTGCGGCGTCACCGGCACTGCCCGCGAGCGCCTGTGTCGTCCTGGAGGAGTCGTGACTTGACGCTTTGCCTTGACTGGTCCGAGGCCCTTCATGAGTCGACAGTTGACCATGACTTGCCTCTGCAATTGAGTTCGTAGAAACGGATGGTGAATCCGGTGCCGAAGCTGACGAAGTATGACCCACTCCTCGCGCGCTCGTCCGAGCTGCTTGGGTGCTTGAGTGGCTGCCGTGCTCTACCTCTGCTGCTGTTCCATCCTCGACAGATGCCGGATTAGAGATGGGCGAACGGCTGACGCCCTCTTTCTCCTTGTCCGCCGACTGAAGCGAACTTGAGCTGGAGAGAGAAAATTCGGAGTGGCTTGGGGAACCATCAGAACTTGTCCTCCCGCCTTCTTCCCCGTACTTGCTCCAATGATAAGGCTGTCGGACAGGATTCCGTTCCGCAACGCGCGCTCTGCGCTTAGCGTTTCTCTCACTCCTATGTTGCTCCGTCCGCCTACTAGCCTCATAGGCTTGTCTGCGTTCGGCCACTTTCTCCGGATCGATGATGTCCGCTCTTTTCAAACCGAACAACGTATTGTGTTTCCAAGGCATACCGTTGATTTTGCGCGAGGGCTTCAGGGAACTGTTGTCATCGCCGATCGAAGTCATGATCTTGGTACCCGGCGGTGGCGTTTCGGCATTTAGCATGCCGAAGTGACCCCTAGAGTGCGTCGTGCCCGGCATCATATAGATTTTGTGATGCGCATACCATTTGCCAAGGCTAGTCAATCCGCCACCGGGGATCTTTCGACCCGCATCGTCTTGAGCAGTCCCGGTCATGTGCAAGATCGGTTCATGGTCACTACGGCCAAAGGCGCGCAAAACCTGAGTTGGGACAGGAAAAGTTCAACAGGCAGGTGAGCACATGGACATCCTGAGCGCTTAGGTGTCCGAGACGCAACGTACAGAAAACCTCTTCATAGTAGGATGAAAGCGAGCGGCATAATGATCGACCGCCGCCTGGACGCTTTTCTGTGGTGGCATGTGTACCAACCCAGGAGGCTTGTTCTTGGTTCTCTCCATAGGCAATTTGAGCTCTACGCTGTGTATCGGACGCGATGGCGATGCTTGAAGGTCAGACGCCGGCAGTAGTTTGTGTTCCGGGATTCGTGGGCCTTCCCCCGCCTCTTTGCGCCACATGCCCTCCATGTAGTTGCCAAAGATATTCTTCCTGCCCGGGATTGTAGAGAGGACAGATGGATGAGGTTGCTTGGCGCCTTCAGCTACCACCTTTGCACTCGGTCGGCGTAACGGAGGGATTGCTAAAGCCAACATGGCATCCACCTGCTTCGTGTGCTTTCCGAAGCCCTCTGTTGATTCAGAATTGGCCTTCTTCGCGGCAGTAGCAGGTGCTGGCGTGTTTAGAGACTTTCGTCTTCGCGTGGCTTTCGTCTTTTCGGGTGCGCTCAATTCGGCAGAACGGGAGCCTGTCTTTGGAGAGCTCCCTAAGCCCAATGCTCGTTGCTCGGGTGCGTGTAGCTCGACGCGATGAGTAGAGATCGCATGATCGACGCCCTGCACAGCATCAGCTACACCACCAATTCCTCCGGGAAGCGGCGGCGACCTACGCCGAAGTCTAATAAGGGGTGCAAAGTTAGGAGGCTGATTCTCGATCTGCAATGGTGTGGCAGCTTGCTGGCGACTTGGCAGCCCCGTGATAAGACGGCGAGCTCTTGCGTTATAACAGCTCCCGACAATGAGCAGAGCGAAAGCTGCTGCTTTGACCAGGAAGAAGGCGCTTGAACAGGGCATGGCGCTGTTACAGCGGGGATCGAAGAGAAATACACGAAGCAATGCGAACTGAAGAAGGCAAGAACTGCCAGCAGACGCGAGTGGTGGTGGTGGTGCTCGAGGAAGCCTGCTTAGTAATGTTGCTGCTGCCCAAGATTGAAAGACCCGTGTTGTGCGATCTCGAGAGGCGCTGACACGCACGCCACCCGCTCGATGCGAGACACAGCGCTTGATGTCGACAGCCTGTCGTCTCTCATGTCCACGGATGTATGCGGCGCCAACGCACATCGTCGCCACCATTGAAGCCCACACCGAATGCGACCGCAGCAGGTCTTGCAAAGAGCTGGGCCCCACAAGACCGTGGCTGACCGGCGCGGGGTCACGGAACAGATGCGGCGCTGCCGGAAGATCAAGGGCGTCTCTTCTGCGAGCACCGAAAAAGAAGGGAGAAGGCTTCTTGTCGGCGGACGACGGGCCTGGTGGCTGTGGACCGAGTCCTTGACGGTAGCCATCATAAGGCGCCGAACGAGGTGGCGGTTACTGTGGAAAAGGCGTGCTGAACGTGACTCCATTTATGTGATGGAAAGCGTCATCGAAGTGCCTGTGCGTGGCCTCTAGTGAGTGGCGTAGTCGCGCTCCGCGCCACCGAGATCCTATCGTAGCGGTGTGCATGCTCGCCACTCGGTGCACGACCAAGTCCTGATGCGCAATGCATCACTCAGACTATCGAAGTCAACTCATACTTACGACAGGCTTCCTGACGCCCCTGACGTCAACGTTCATGTGACGCAAAACAACAAGCGATGTTGACCATTTGCATTTTGCGATTCACGATTCTTTGTCGGAGAGTCGAGAGTGTCGATGCCGCGTCGCGCTCGTCATATCCTTGCGCTAGGCTGCTCGCGGCCACTCGTGACCCAGACTGGACGCACATCAAGGCGTTGTGACTCCTCAAGAGTTGGTGTGCTGACGCAAGACCTGGTGTGAATGTGTTTGCGAGCAAGCATCCATCGCTGCTATGACGGCGATGTTTCGAGAAGCGGAGTCACGAGCGCACGACGAACACCCTCGATGTTTGTGACCTGAGCGGCGGGCGGGCAATATGCGGGCGCTGTACAACATGAAGTCTGGTGAGGAGAGCGCGTTCACATCCACCTCCACATCCATGCATCCATGCATGCGTGCTTGCATCCATTCATCCACCAGCACATGTGCTTCGGGCGCGAACTCACGCTCACAGCTTGAATCGAAGCCCTCCGTAATAGAGCCAATGGCGACTGTCTACTTCCATTCCCTTAGCTACTGATCAGCAATAATCGTTCACAAGCACAGACCAAAAGCGCGCTGCTCCGTACCATCGCCCCTCGCGCACAGATTACGGCACCCTTTCAGGTACATCATGACTTCAAGTCTATCCGTCACTTCTTTGGATCACTTCCGCGGGCTCACGGGAAGATCGGACGTTGAAGGACTCGTGGCTGTAGTGACAGGCGGCAAGTCAGTGAGCCCTTTGGCGGAACATGCACTCACCAATGCTGCGGATTTCCCAGAGTGATCTGGCAAGACACCAAGCTGACATCCGCGGCTCCATACAATCCTTCGCTTAGCGCTGGTCTCGGACTGTATGCGGCGCAAGCTCTTGCCTTGAAGTGAGTAGCTCGATCTTGAAAGCCCTCAGGCCCGATCCTTCTACTGAGGCTCCGCGCGGCGCGCCTTTGGACAGCGGCGCAAAGGTGTACATTCTTGGTCGCAGGGACGACGTTCTACAACGTGCGGCCAGTTCTTTGAATGGCGTGAATTCGGTCCAGGTGAGCCAGGGCCGCTAGTTGAAGACGTACTGCTCTATGTATGCGCTGATCACCCCACCTACCTTCTGCGCGTCGATAAAGGGCACTTTGATACCCGTACAAGGTGAGCTGAGCCTTGGCGGCGTGTCAGAAGCGTTCTTTGCAGTGCGGAGACGTTGACACTTTTCTGTGCATTCTTTTGATCTAGCGGACGTCACTTCGAAGGAGTCGCTGAAGGAGGCAGTCGGTGCCATAGAGAGCCAGCAGGGAGAAAGAGGCATCGATATCTTGCTTTGCAACGCAGGTACGCCCCGTTTGGAAGGGGTCTCGAGAGCAGGAACAGCTGCTGATGAGCTGCTGTCAACGTTCTATGCGCTCACTCGCAGGTGTTTCCGGGAAGATGATGGTGCGGTAATCAGACTTGACGCCATCCTCTGTCGTCTCTGCAGCTTATACGCGCTCGCTGTCTTTTCACCGACGTAGAAGAACTATGGTAAAGAAGGATACGACACGACGAACTTTGAAGCAATCGTATCGGAGTTAGACTCTTTCTCGCAGGATGACTTCGACCACATCTTCCACGTCAACGTCATGGGCCCCTACCTCAGCTCCATAGCCTTCCTCCAAACTCTGAGGAAAGGAAGCGAGTGGCACAACGCTCAAGCAAAGAAGGAGGGTTTGGAATGGCCAGCTTACACTAGTCAGGTCATCACTGTCAGCTCCAATGCCGCCTCAATCAAGTGAGTCATGTTCGTTTCTCCTCGACCGTATTGGTGCGTCTAGACTGCTGCCGAAGCTCAGTTCTGCTCCTTCCCCCCTTTTGGAATGGCTCCTTTCGCAAGGCTACCGTGAGTACGTAAAAGCCTCAATCCCGTGCCATACTTTGCTGCTGACCTGTCCGACGTCCTTGCAGTATCGTCAACGCACTCTAGTGAGCTTCGTACAGATTTCGCGTGATTTCCGCGATCACGGACACGAGCTGACCGTCCGCGCTCCCGCTTCTCAAGCAACGTGTCCAAAGCTGCCGCTTCGCACTGGAGCTCAATGCTCTCGTGCATTCTAACCGACTCATCCATTCGCGTCAACACGTTGGAGCCTGGCCTTTATCCCACAGATATGACCGGGGCGTCATCGACAGAACCAGGCACTGGACATGGCGTGCTTAAGGGCACGAATGGGGCAGATATTCCAGCTGGCCGAGCTGGTCTCCCGCACGAGTCAGTGTCAAGGCGATCCCAAGTCATCGCCCTGTCTCCCACGGACAAATCGAGCTCACACAGCTTCCTTTGTCATTGATCTCCAGACACGCCGCGAGCGTCCTTTATCTAAGCGGCCGCAACTCGCTCTTTGCAAATGGGGCACGCCTCAGAGTAGACGGCGGAGCGATACTGAAGGTGAGTCGCAGCACACATGTGGCAAAAGGGACTCGTGAAGCACACCTCTCACATCTAGGGCGCCTATCTCTTTGCGATCAGGGCGCAGCTACTGACTAAATCGTCATCGCCAAACCCAATGGACGCCACCGAATCTTTCTGCGCGTTTCACGTTCGGTCGCTTGCGAAGAATGCGCAAGGTCAGACCGCCTACCTCTTGAGACTTTCAGTCCAGACACCACCAAAATATTATATGTACCTTCAGTCAATGGCACTGGTCAGACAGACTGTCAATACGCAGCTCAACGCCTTTCTGTACGCAGTGGTGGAGCTCCGTGCGATCGAGGGAAGGGGGCTCACCGATGCGAGCGCGCGCGCTGGTGGCACAGTAGGAAATACAACGGGTCTTAGCGCCCAAGGTTCGAAGGGAGGTCGCGCCTTGGTGTTGGCGCTGCTTGGCGACCGCCCCAAACAAGGTCAGGTGAAGTGGGGTGGGAGGCCGTTAAGCGTGCGGAGCAATCGACGATCCAGGTGTTGATTGAACTTAAATTCCGTAAAAAGTCAACACTTCCATGGAGCTGATCGAGGCCTGAATCACATTTCACGATTGGCCACACTCATTAGCAAGTATATCGGTACGACAGGAGAGAGCCGCTTGTGGGGTGGCGATTGCGATTGCACTGACGAATCCAGACCGAAGCATTCTTCTTCGGACACAATCAGTCTCGCAGCTTCGTGCACCCGCCGCACGTTTCCTGTCGCCGGCAGCGTTGAGAAGACGGAGCGATCACAAGATATCACAACGTGGCCCTTTGCTTACTAGTGTGCTTCGCACACGACCACCCTCACTGCAGATTACTTCGCGTGTAACCTACAAGCGCCAGCGAAGATTCAAGATGCAGCCCTGTCAACTGGCAGCCATACTTCTTGGCGTAGCATTTGGTGCGCCACTCTCTGCCTCGGCATCAGGGAAGCTTTTCACGACCCGGGGTGCACAGAGTAGTACAAGATACGCTAGCGCCCCTCGACAAGATAGTCTTCCATCCGTGAACGGGCGAAGAAGGTCACTTCTAGGAGAGACGCATATGTTGCAAAAGCGCATCAATATAAGTCTCAATGGCTTGGAGTCGCCCAACAGTCAACACGCTGCGATCAGGAGCGTGCTTGAGCATTTCGCAGGCAAAGAGAAGCCTGATTACTTTCGCGTAAGTTGAGGCGATTCTGCCTTTTGAGCGGATAGACACGCTGGCTCACCTTGTAACGTGGCTCGTCGATCGGCGTAGGTCACGCGCCGCTTCCGAAACACAGATGAGACACCCGAGACCCACTTGCAGGGCGAGGCTTGGCAACGAGTTCCGTTCGATAAGCCCACCTCGGGCAGCAGCAGGGGCTTTCACTACGCGCCTTTTCTTGATGAGAGTGGCAGTGCGACGCATACCGTCAAGCTCAAGCATGCTTTCACACATAGGACTGGCCTGTATTTCGATGAGCAGGAAGCGGCCGTCAGGAAGCTGAAGGTGGCCGAACCTCAAAAAAGGCAGCTACCCCTTGCTGCGTGGCTGGACCTTGATCGGCCGGACGGGCAGGGCGGATGGCACAAGACGCCGAATCCCAGACTACCTGGCGGTCGTCAAAGAAAAGTCAAGGCTGTGCCATTGTGTGGGAGCTATGTGCATGCGCTGGGTAGATGTAGAGATAAGACTGAGGCCCTACAGGATCAGCAGACAGAAATCCGTCAATTGGTGCATCCACGACCATTAGAAGAGGTCGAGAGAGCTTTTTGGGAAAAGAAAGCTAGCGAAGGCATCGTGAAGCCAGAGCGCCAAAAGAAGAGGAGGGGCACCAAACGTGAGCCTGACGCTCTGAGCAGAGTGTACAGGTTCACAGGGCAACACACTCCGACCAGCAGTGCCACGACGGTGCAGCACTCTGAGGACCAGCCTCAGCACGCACTGCATCAGGTGCCGGAGCACGTGGACGCCGTAGACGACCCAACAATCCGCGAGTTGAAGAGGCAAAAGACGCCGTCACCTCGCCCGAAGGCTAGTGTCAGGCCCACGAAAGAAGTCACGCCTCCTAACATTCTCGCTGCCAAACCATCGCATTCTGCGGATGCCCAAGCTTGGCCGACACGTTTGGAACACCTCCCAGCGGGCCTCTGGATGCATCGCACACCTGCCACTTCCGCATCGCCTCAGCACAGCATTGATTCGATCGACCAAAATGTTGCCTCTTCTTCAAGGCATCCACAGGAAAGTGTGGCGTTTCCTCCTGGTTTTCATCCAGCGTCGAATGCAGCCGCACTTCCACACGACATGGCCCATGGTGACGTGCACTTGCACCCGCCGCTGCACGACTCGAGAGGAGGAGCGCGGAATTCCGACGCTCCTCCTGGATTTGAGCAACCACGACGCTCGCACGACTTTTCGAACCCCCATTCGAGTGTCGAGTCTCCGGAGTACGCACCACCAAGCCCGAGCTTCTTTTCGGGCTTGGAAAAGTACCTTGGTCCGCACACGGGCTAGGCAATCGTTGAGCGTTTTCATACTCGTATAACAAGCTTGTGTCGTCTGTACTTTCTCGCCCTTGACCTCGCCATCGGATGGGAGCACAAAGAAGTCCGATGAGAGCTTACTGTTCCGAGATGATCCTGTTCGATAGTCAGACCTGTCACGACTGTCATGATGGACGCGGTGATGCTTGCGCGAATCAGTGGACCGGGATTACTCGGGCGATGCTCGTTGCTTTGAGGGTTTGAAATCGCGTGAGCAGCATGCAGCAGCGTGCCCTCACGGGATTGGCTGGCGCAGCTTTACGAAGCCCGCGGAGATTGGCGGGGTTGGCCACTTCGCTCGAGCTAACAAGAAAGAAGATCGAGCTGCAGCACACGGGAAGGCAGTCACGCTGGTATAGTCACGAGCGTGAGTCTGCATACAAGTCAGACGAGTCAGAAGAGAGTCACAGCCTGTTCAGCCGTTTGCGCAAAATGAATACTTCTTCTCCTTCTTTGTTCACATCGCGTTCCCCTCTCCCATGCCAGTCGTACAAGTGGTCCATCGCAGCGTACATATCGGCACCATCCGGATAATCCAGGTAGTTGCACCCGCTCACTGCGAATCTGAAATCATTCTCGGACTCCTGACGCGCCAAGTATAGCTTCGACATTGCAACTAGTGCGTCTGCGAAGATGACACCGCTCGCTCGCTCGGCCGCGCTGTTGCGACGAGGTGCCATTGGTACGAGGCCGGGAGCATCTCTGAGGTGTTGTGCGACATCCACAGAGCGTGTGTCACCCTCAGCCAGATCCTCACCATCACCCGGTCTGCCTGCGCGATCGGCAGCTGCGAAGAGGAGCTTCACGTCGAGCACCTCCAGGAGCCTGGCAGTGCCCACGTCCATGCCATCTTCGCTCCCAAATGCCGCGTCCAAGCCGCAGACATACATCGAAAAGGTCATTCAAACTCATGCCGTAGGGCTCAAGCATGGTCAAAAAGTCTTGGCGGGCGATTATCTCGCCATCAGGCCTAGGCACGTCATGACGCACGACAATACCGGGCCTTGCATCAACAAGTGAGCGTAAGATGAGCTGACGAGCTGCTTTCGCTGCTCGAAGTGTGAGCTCACAGATCCTCCTCCCCCCCCTTCTCCCCCTCCCCTGCGCCCCACGACAGATTCAGATCCATCGGTGCGACGAAGATCAAGGACGTGGGCCAAGTCGTCTTTGCGCTGGATCACGATGTACAGAACAAATCGGCAGCCAATCTGCAAAAGTACAGCAAGATCGAGTCGTTTGCGCGAGAACAAGGCGTCGATTTCTACCCAGCAGGCCGAGGCATCGGACATCAAGTCATGGTGGAGGAAGGCTATGCCTTTCCTCAAACGTTGGCAGTGGCGAGCGACAGTCATTCCAACATGTATGGAGGTGTGGGCTGCGTAGGCACTCCGGTGGTCAGGACCGACGCCGCCGCCATTTGGGCAACTGGTCAGACGTGGTGGCAGATCCCTTCGGTGGTCAAGGTGCACCTGACGGGCAGATTGCCTGTTGGCGTCACTGGCAAGGATGTGATCGTCGCCTTGTGCGGCGTGTTCAATCAGGATCAGGTGCTCAATGCGGCCATAGAGTTCGTCGGCGATGGCGTGGCTGGTCTGTCCATCGACGAGCGTCTGGCCATCAGCAACATGACCACAGAGTGGGGCGCGCTAGCTGGTGTCTTTCCGGTGGATCAGGTCACACTGGATTGGTACGAAAAGCACATCGCTTCGTTGGACAAGATGGACTTCCAGGTGGGATCATCACCCAAGAAGTCTCAGCATCATCCACGCCTCAACAAGGCGAGGCTGGAAGAGCTGTCAAGGAACCTGCTCAGACCTGACGAAGGCGCCTTCTACGCAAAGACGCTGCATCTGGATCTCAGCACGCTCTCGCCTCACGTGTCTGGCCCCAACAGCGTCAAAATCTCTACGCCGCTAAGTACCCTCTCCAAGCAGGATATCGCCATTCAAAAGGCCTATCTCGTCAGCTGCGTCAACTCTCGTGCTTCGGACATTGCGGCGGCAGCTTCGGTTCTGCGCGGCAAACGCGTCGCTCAAGGAGTAGAGTTCTACGTTGCAGCAGCTTCTTCTCTAGTCCAGCGCTCTGCAGAGGAAGCGGGCGATTGGGGAGATCTGTTGGCAGCAGGGGCCAAGCCTCTGCCAGCGGGCTGCGGTCCCTGCATCGGCTTGGGTGTAGGATTGCTCGAAGATGGAGAGACGGGCATCTCGGCTACCAATAGAAATTACAAGGGCAGAATGGGAAGTCCGAATGCAAAGGCTTACCTGGCCAGCCCTGCTGTCGTGGCTGCCAGCGCTGTCCAGGGTCGCATTTGCGGACCAGAGGATTTGGACCCGGCGCTTCTGCCGAGCGCCGACGCTCTCAAGTATTCCATCGAGTTGGGCCAGCGCATCGCCGCGTCCACCCAGAGCGCTTCAACCTCCTCTCGTGCTGACGAAGCCGCGCCCGCCGACGCCCAGGACCTGCTGCCCGGCTTCCCACCCACCTTTTCCGGCTCGCTAATCTTTGCACCTCAAGATAATCTGAACACGGATGGGATTTACCCAGGCAAGTATACTTATCAAGATGACATCACTGCAGAAAGACAGGCCGAGGTGGTGATGGAGAACTACGACCCCAACTTTGCTGCCAGAGTGGCCGAGCTGCGACGCTCTGGCGCTTCTGAGGCGCAAGAAGGTCAGGGCAAGGTGGGAACGATTTTGGTGTCGGGGTACAATTTCGGTACGGGATCTTCGCGGGAACAAGCGGCTACTGCGTTGAAGCACGCCGGCGTGCCCTTGGTTCTTGCTGGTTCTTTTGGCGACATTTTCAAGAGGAACGCGATCAACAATGGATTGGTGTGCTTGGAATGTCCAGAGCTGGTGGAGGATTTGACGAGGGAGCATGCAAAGGATGGAGCGAGGGGAAATGGAGGCAAGGAAGAGGGGGAGATCAGCGTGCTTTTGAAGGGTGCGCAGGTCGGCGTGGATAGCAGCAATGGACGATTGACGCTCAGGCTACCGGATGGAAGCGAGAAGAGGTACACTACCACGCCTGCGGGTGTGGGAACGGCTGTACAGGATATATGGACGGCGGGAGGGTTGGAGGCTTGGGTAAGGAGGACAATCGGCGCGTGAGAAGTCCCCTCGCTTTTGTAATCTAATAAGCCCGCGACCAGAAATTGCAGTTGACGCTCAATGCGCTACTAGACATGTTCGCAGCTCCCTGAGCCCGTATGAGTCGGGAGGCTGTGGTGCTTTGGTTCTGAATGACGTACCTTTTCTTGAGTGAAGCTGAAGTCAAGTGTGACTGAGTCGTGGGTGTTCAGATGTTTGCATTCTCATCAATCAAGGGTGCGGTCTACGATTACGCATTCAATGATTGAGCTTCGCAGGATCACGTGTGCGCGGCGCGGTATCACAGACTACGCGGCTTTCGCTGGTGATGGATGCATCATGGAGGCGGTGCTGCACTTCGCACGCGTCGGGGTCCCCTGCAGATCATCAGCAGATGCAGCACCCGTGCGTGCGTGCGTGCGTGCATGCAGCCACCCGTTCCGCTTCGTTCTCACAGATCAAGATAAGCCAATCTATCCGACCACGACCATACGTTTGGACGAAGCTGTCCGTCGCTACGCCTGCCTCTAGGGACTCCACAGCTCGCCTTGCCGCTGTGACTTTATTTGGGTCAGATCCTTGGCTGGAGTACCCATGCAACACGTCTCATCTTGTCGCTCGACTCTTGCACGAGAGTAGCCTGTGCTGAACAGCATACCAGTGCCTGGCATCCAGCTGCTTTACTCCAGCCTTCATCCACATCATCTGCTTGCACATCACATCCATTTTCACCTCCACAGCCCCGCAAGCCGGCATCATGTCCAGCTCCGAGATCAACTCGCACATTCACAAAGTCGCGCATCCGCTCTTATCCACACATCTAGCCAATCTAAGACTGGCCACCACCTCGCCCAAACAGTTTAGGGAATTGGTCAGGAACATCACTACGGTGCTTGTTGTGGAAGCTACGAAGGATTTGGGCGTTCATGAAGTCCAGGGCGAAGGACCTTTGGCCAAATTTGAAGGGGAAGAGATTTCTGTGAGTTGCGCAGAGCAGGAAGCGGAGAGGACAGGTGTGTGCAGGGGGCAAGAGGAGAGTCGGGGCGTAAGATGTGGTGAGACGTGCGGGACAATGCGCCTTGGCATATTGTGGCCGGTGGAGGGCTTCATCTGCGGCACTTTGCGTGATGCTGCAAGAAACAGAGATAGGATCTCAGCTGCGCAAAGTCCCAAATCGCTCAGCGAGGTACATGTATGCGCTTTGCTCACCAAACGGTCTGCATTATTTGTTTTACGCTGCGATGGGCAGGGGCGCATCGGCTTGGTTCCGATCCTGAGAGCCGGCCTGGGCATGGTTGACGGTGAGCAAATGTAACTCCAAAAGTGATTAAATCTTCGTCGACGGCTGAATGACAGGATCCCCTTCCTCCTCGCGACAGCTGCGCTGGCTCTGTTGCCCGAAAACACATCAGTCCAGCACATTGGTCTCTTCAGGGAGAAGCTGAGCTTGCAGCCAGTCGAGTATTACTCCAAGGTGATTCATTGTTCCTAATTGGCGCTCCTGCGATCTAGGCAATGACGCTAATCATTCTCATTTGGCGTCTGCTCTGTAGCTTCCCGAAACGCCAAATGTGGACGAAGTGCTCATCTTGGATCCGCTCGTAGCGACGGGTGGGACAGCGATAGCGAGTGTCAAAATTGCCCGCGGCTTGGCTGGGTCGTTCCCCTTGAGCATTGCTTCTCATGCTAATGTCTGGCCCATGTCTCGGGTCTCACACCCGACCCCCAGGTCTGCGTCAAAATGATCACGGATTGGGGTATTCCTATTTCCAAAATCAGGTTCCTCTGCGTGCTTGGGTCCGCACAAGGTCTGAACAGCCTCGCCTCCGCTTGTCCTGGCCTGAACATTTGGTGAGTGGCCACCTCGATCAGGGTGGCAGCTGTAACTTGCCGAGCGACGCTTCTGATCGGTGCGAGTGTCTCCTGCCTCGCTGTAGGGTGGGAGCCATTGACCAGACGCTGAACGAGAAGGGGCTCATCATACCTGGTCTGGGCGACACGGGCGATAGGCTGCATGCGACTCAATAAGTAGAGACGGTGTATAGCCGTGAAGCCCATCATCGCTATGGCTGCAAACATGAGCCGGCATCCTCTCTATCAGCTGGCGAGCCATCCCTCGAGGTGCGACCGCACCAAGCCACCTTTTCAATGCAGCATTTGCGTACCTCGAAGGACTCCCAGCCATCTTCAATCAACATGCTGCAAGGTGAAATCGAAGGCCAAGCGCGTGCGCTCAACAAAATTGGCGTTTCATCGCAGCAATAACAGAGCATAGCACGACGCCAAAGACCCTCGATGAAATGCATGAATTTGCATGCGAGCCGACAAGGCCCACAGTGTGCCACACGCCGATCGCCTCGTTTGGCACACTATCGACAGTGGCACTGAGCATCTCTCGCATGAGGCATCATCGTGCACAGATGACTTTGCTCTTTGGGAAGATTACTTTGACTTCTTCTTCTTCTTGGGCCTCGAATCCGCCATGTCGTCGCTGCCCGACTCTGCACCTTCATCGTCCGAAGATGCTTCCGAGGGGCTACCGCCATCACTGCTGGAAGCTGCAAAGTCTTCGTCGTCTGCACAACAGAAGCAAAAGAAGATGAGCGACAACGTGCCGAGTCGACGCGTGCGCCGGACTGTAGAGGCGCTCCAGCACGGGACTCACCCTCTTCGTCCTCATCCACATCCATGGCGTCTGCGCCTCTTGACTTTTTGCTCTTCTTGCCGCCGCTACCGCTGCTCTTTTTCCTGCCTCCTTCCTCCTCATCTTCATCGTCCGTGATGATGTCTGCGAGGTCATCATCATCATCGTCGTCCAAAAGCGCATCAGCCGCAGCCGCAGCAGCATCCGCATCGTTCATCTCGCTCTTCACCCTGATCTTTCTCGCCGTAAAGTGTGCATTGAGGGCATCGTGTTCTTCCCTCGTGATGGATTGGAAAGTGTGCTCAGGACCGGACCTCTGCACCACCTTGAGATCGAAAGTCTTTGCGCTAGCTACGGCACCGCCGATCCGAGCAAAGACGACTTGATGAATGTCGGAATAGTTGATTTGGATGGGCTGCTTGGAAACCCAAATGAGCTGCTTGTCCAGCGGGTACAGCAGACCATCTGTAGCCTTCACGTTGCACTTGACGCAAGGTGCAGCGCTGCTGGCCAGCGCGCTCTGGAAAGAGTCGTTACCCGGCGCGATCAGTTTCTGTCCAGTCAAGACGCGGAACAGGGTCGTGACGACCTTGAAAGTGGGATCCTCGTAGCGCTTCTTCAACTTGCCTTCGTACTTGCTCTCTATCTCTTCCTCCTCCAGGTTCAGCTCCGCGTCCATTTCCTCGTCGCGAATGAACTGCAAAACGAGGTAGGGGTAGCGTGTTTGACCTTGCCTAATACCAGGGTCCAAGCCCACGACAAATTGCAGATGCACATCGTCGGGCCTGGGCAGCAGGAATAGCCGCGTGACGCTGGAGTAGAGGACCTTGTAGTCGTACGTCTTGCCCCTCAGGCGCAGGAATGTGGGATACATGTCGATATCGAAGCGGCCACGAGGGGTGAGCAGGAGCACATCCTTGAATATGATGATGCTATCTCCCGCCACTTGTCCGATATCCGCCTTCTCCTTGATGGCATCATGGAAAGCCGCCGCCTTGGTGTGTTCTTCCTCCTCCTCTTCGTCCTTCTTACCGCCCCCTTTCTTCTCGCCATCACCCTCGCCCTCCGCCTCGCTCAGCTCTTCCTCATCCTCATCCTTTTCCACCAAGCCAGGAATGTGCAACCTCATCTCTACCAGCTGATCTCCCACCCTCTTTTTGGGTTTCTTGAGACCATTGCTGGCCGAAGAACCGGTGTTCGCTTCCGGTTGCTGCTCATCCGGATTCAAGAACTCCATGCTGACTTCGGTCTTTCCCGCAATGTTGCTGTTGGCGATGTGATTGATGGGAACTTCAAAAGCCAGCTTGTCCCTGACCAGAAATCTCACATCCGTATCCTGCACCTCTGTTTTGCCCCAGTTCCATCCTCGAGCAGAGATCTCTACTTGATCCAAAGACTTGGAAAAGTATTCGGTCACTTTCTCTGCCAAGTGATCGTAGTCTTCTCGTTGGAATCCATCAAACGTCTCGCGAGGTGGTGTATTGGGTGCGCGTGGCTGTTTGAGGTTGATTCTGAACTGGTATCCTCGTGCCACTCTGCCGGCGGACGAAGGCGAAGCGTTCATCGCGCTTGAGCTGACATCACCGCAAGGAGCTGATTGCTCAACACGTGCACGCCCTGCCGCCACTCACTTTGTCCAATTGAAGCTCTTCATCAAGTCGGCTTCTATGGTGATCGTCTTTGCAGGCTGCCCATCAGCAGGCGTACCTTTCCAGCCCAAGCCACCAGCCGATATCCTCATCCTGCCAGCAGTAGAGTCCAGACCATAGAAGATGTTTTCGAACTGCGCGTGCACCGACATCTTGGCTCGTGCGCTGTGATCGAGCTAGTGTCAAATTAGGGAGCCAAACGAGTCAGACCCACGCGATGCGCAATGCGTGCGACTCGTGTTACGGAAATCGAGGGTCTCTCTCTGCGTCCGATGGCCTTTGTACTTTGCTTGGGCTGTGTGTGGCCTTGCTCGATGTGCTTGTAAGTCACTCAATCGTGGGCGAACAATCACTTGGGATGGTGGTGATGGCGAAGACGCTGAAGGCGTCCGAAGGGCTGGCTGAGCATCAGTCACCAGTTGAGGGTCAAAGAGCGAGTGGAGTTGAACCTGATTAGAATGTGAATGCTCTTCTGTCTGTGTGGGCTTTGCAGCGAACGAACCATCCGTGCGGCCATCTTGATCCTCTCGGCAGCCTGCAGGGCCTCACGCGTCAATTTCGCAGCGCGTGCTCGCGAGCAGCATGCGTGACGCGTTGCAGCGATGTCGAGCGGCGGTTGGGTCAAGAGTCACGAGTCAAGATGAGTAGTCGCGCGAGTCCTCAATTTGCCTCACGTGCTTAAGGCAGAAGAGGTCACGTGTCCGGCGATTAAACCCGCGCGCGCGATTCCTGATTCATCGTCCTCCCCCTCGTTGATCCAACGCTCGCGTCCACCAAGCAACTTAGGATCACGACGCAGACGACGTCGGCGGTCGATACCTTTCAAAGAACCCTTCATCATCTAGCAACGCCTTTGGGAATCAGACCGCACACGTTGTCACTGCACCAGCGCCTCTCGTTCCATCAGCTTTACTCGATCTAGTCTGCATACATACAGCTTGCAAGATGGTGCGTAGCAAGGCACGTGAAGCTCGAAAGAAAGGGGCCGGGTCACCAAGCGAGGCAGCGGTCAGACTGAGCTTGGCGGCACAGCATCGAGCTCGAAGATGGCATGCAGTAGAATGTAGCCAATTCTCATGGTGTACTACGTCGACTTGCATCCGCCCCATTGCCTTCTGATCCACGCTCCCCACGATGACTGATCTGAGGTTCTCATTCGCAGGGAGGTGGAGCGCGCTACCCTTACCCGAAAGAAGTGTGGAGTCCATCCGGTGCGTTCGGATGCTGAACAAATATCCGCACGCTTTAGCATGGTAAGGCTGACTATGCACTCATCCCTCTCATCTCTGAGCGCAGGTGGTTGGTGGAGCCAGTGAGTACTGACATTGCGAAGGGCATGCCGGGCGACCTGCTTCTTTGGATCAGCCTACACTGCTACTTGGTACTGATTCGCCCTGCTGCTGCACAGGCCACGAAACTGGAGGTCGAACACTGCGGTCTGCGCTGTAGGTATCGGAATCTTCTCTTACTTCTTGTGGAACTACAGCGTGGAGAACGAAGTGAGTAGGGCCACTACAGCACAGGGCGGAGTGGGACACGCATACGGTATTGGCGCTAGCATCTAAGAGAAGGGGGATTGCCAAGCGTGTCTGATCGGAAGGGTGCCCATCTGTGGCATGGCACGACAACATGGCCTGCGCTCTGTGCGAAAGCAGCTGGGGCAGAGCAGATGATTGATTTAAAGAGCGGTTGCGATCGCCTGGAATCAAGCCGACCTTTTTTTTTGATCGGAGGAAGAGTCGGGACACCAGACGCTCTTCAGTTCAGCACTCATCAACGCTTTCCCGTGCTCCGTCATCGCAGTCTTACCACCATGTCCCAGCCAAATGGGTACCTTCGATGCTCGTGAGTACTGAAACCTGCCTCACTCCATATCTCTATGGCCATCGCCTGGCCAAAGACAGAAGCTGAGCGCCACCGGCACTTCTCCTGTCACCCACCGCAGTGGAATCCGAAGTTGAGGGAGGCCTATGAGGAGCAGCAGAAGAAGAATCTGGCATAAGGCAACACTCATTGCTGTTGAGAATGTGAATACATGCGACGATGCTTCTATTCTGATTGATTCCGTTCGCTGCGGGACCCGCAGATCAATCGCACGAGTTTGTCACTTCAACCTGAGCTTGAAGGTCAGCGAGCCTTGATCTGTACATGTGCGGACGCGTAGATGAGAGAAGAGGGGGGCAAACAGCGATTTGAGCACGATGCGTGGCAATGATGATGCCAGCATGACCGTGACCGAGTTGCAGACAGTGAGCCAATGAACGTGCCGAACCACGAGGCTCGCGCGGCATTTGAAGCGTATTGAAGCCGTCGCGAGAGTCATCCTCCTGCTGGTGCAGGCAAGAAAGGAGATTTGTATTCACAATTTGACACGAGCGGAGTTCACCTTCGTACGAGAAGACATCACTAGCTCAACAAGACTCTGATACATGAGCAGCAGGAGCGATCTGCATCCGCTACAATAATAATGATGCTCATTACGCCATACTTCTGGATCTTACACACCAACTCGCAATCACTCGATCATTGCCAGCAATCGTGACTCGGGGATGGTCAAGTGCAGGCCGTCAGCACGGGCAAAGGACGCGGCAAAGCTAGCTCCACGACGACCACACTGCCTTGCCCCCCTGCCTCTACAACCCCTTTGATGTCCATCGTCGACCCATCGTTCACTCGTCAGAGAGCTGTCATGACTGTGACAACACGTCCGATGCATCTGTTCGCATCTTGACGACCTCAAAGGCCAATCACTGAATCACGCGGCACCTCTCTCAAGTGGCTCAAGCCCATCTAGGTCCAAATCGACACTACGCGACGTTGCGTCCAGATGGGCAGCGGTGCTTGCGGCTCAAGCCAGAGAGGGCACGCACACCACCGGCGATCACTGTGACTCTGGGCTTGTCTCTCGCTGCACAATCACCACCGCTACAGACTCTAGCCGGCTCCCTGATTTCCAGTCAAGAGTTAGAGTTTCGTGAGCTCGACAAGTCGACACAGCGAGCAGTCGAGGCAGAGCCGTCTTGACCTGTTGGTCGCAGCCGGATGGCATAGTCGGTCGATTAATTCCCACGACTGCATGGCGATTGGGCAGCTCCGGACGACATCGTTTGTGCTGTGATTGCGGGCTGTCTGCCTGCTGCCCGGGCCCAGCGCTGCTGGCGAACCCTCGGCCATGCATCATCGTGCCTTGCACGCGCGCAGAGAGAAGGAGGTCGACTCGCCCACCCCCTCGCCTCGCGGCTGCAGACCTCTCATGCAGCCGAAGTTCGCGCAGAACGACCTCGAACAAAGGCGACTGCGGGTCGAGGTTGTAATGGCGTCTGCAAAGTCAAATGCGCGTGCTAATGTGCATTCTTGTAATGGCACGACGCGCAAATTGATCCTGCTCGACAGTGCTCTGGAGCCTATGCTGATACGCGTCGAACGCGTCGCGTCTTAGCGTGGTCGTCTTTCATGCTGCATATGCACGCGCAAGCGGGTGCCGTTGGTGCGGGCCTTGCATGCTGCCACACTGAAGGTTCGAGCGCCATGCCTACCGTCGGAGTGCCCTGAGTCTGTTCACGCACAGCGGCGATATTCTGCACACGGAGCGGACAAGTGAACGCATGCACCTGCTTTCGCTAGCTCGCCTTTGTTGAAGGCGCATTCGCGGTGAGACGCAGGCGGCGCCTGCTGCTGTTTACCGCGTACGTGCGCGTGTGAGAGAACTTGCACATGCTGCTGCCATCTTGCCCGCCGCCCAGCCGCGCGCGTGCCTGCTGTATGTCAACCCAGCAGCAGCAGCGTGTGGTTTGCAAGGGCGGGCGCTGCCGAGTGATGCCAGCAGAATGCAATCACAATGCTGCAGCACCGCTCTTCAATCTAACGCGTGTGCCAGACTTTGAAACCGGCTCCTCTCCGCCCACGCCGCAACTTTATACCGGTCAGGAGCCCGACGGCGCCTTGCGGATGATGCACCTATCGAGGGCGAGCCAATTTGCCCCAAAAACGCGCCACGCGCATCGCGCGCCGCGTTTTCTCGCGCCCCTCCTTCACTCTCCCCCTTCGTACGATAGGAAAGCTGCGTTTCACCTCTTTCACCACCATCATCCCACGCCATACGTTTCTCTTCACCGCGGCGTTCCGTTTTGAAACTCGACTTCGTAAGCTTTTTCCCTCGGCATCGATCTCTGACGTCCTAAATTCGCAGCATCGTGCCTCTGAGATCACCATCTGCACACCATTTTTCTCCGCGAAAAGTTTAGCGACTTTCTATCCTGAATACATCCGATCGCGCGCGCGGACGCACGCAGCACACACGCACGCGCGGACGCGCACGCGCACGGCTCTTCACATCAAGCATTCGTCCAGCAGCAGCTATTGATCTGCGCGTCGGCGCCATCACCTCCCTTGCAGAACGTCACTCGAGACAAATCATCTACATTGCATCGCAGTGATCGTCATTTGTCAATCTCCCAGTCACGAGTCAAGCACCTAGCAAGGCAGGTCGCTTTGAATATCATCGGCATACATCTGCCGTCGGAGCTGTACCTGCATCGCAATCGACTGCACCGGTTCCTTTCAATCGGCCAACGGTGACTCGGCAACGCTTTAAACGCGCTTCCGCACGCAGCTGTCTCACGCGCCCATCACACCTTCCACTCAGTCACACTATCACAGCACATGTCAGGCGCTGAAGTGTCCGCCAATCGCGTCGGCGTTGGCACGCCTGTCAGCGGTACTGGCACACCAGGTCCCAGCAGCAATCACCCGCAGCCAAACTCCATGGGCCCGCCGCCACCGCCGCATGCTTTCGGCCCCTTTCCACCTCCGTCCTTTGCTTCTCGATCCGGCACTCCTGGGGGCTTTCCCGCTCCAAGTCAGCACAGTGGCAGCACAGGTACACCCGTCGATCACCAGTGGGCGCGCAACCAAGACCAACGCTCGCCTCCCAATCAGCAGCAACACCAGCACACTCAAGAGGCGCGATTTCTCACTTCACCGCCACCGGACGCCCAACGTCATGCTGGGCTTTACGCGCACAATTTGACAGCACCTCGACCACTGCAGCCGTATCCACGTCTGCAATCGCCCAACTCGCTCGAGCATGATTCGGCGCGCTCGCCTTCGCCTTCAAAGGGAGCGCCAAGGCCTGGCTTCGGGTTCGGAGATGCGAGCGATCGCTGGTCTGGTATCAGTGCGGTACAAGGTGCACAGGCGCCTCCTGCGCAGCAACAGAGCGGGCATACTGGCAGTGCGTTTGGCGATCCGCAAAGCTACAGGCACTCCCACTCGAGCGGCCTGCCGCCCCATGGACAACAACCTCATCCTTCCCAACAAGGACCTACTCAGCGACCGGGCGGACCGCAACGTCAATCTTCGAACCTCGGTCCTTCCGAGCCGATGGCAGGTGCTCAGGACATTTGGGCTCGAGGTTCTGGTTTCAGGCAGCCGAATGACAATGAGCGCTTCCTTGGTGGTGGTGGCCCAGCTTCTCGTCCTTACCAACCTCAGCCTTCGCCTTCATTGGCGCATGCTCCGTCCCACTTCGTCCCGCCCAATGCGGAAAATGCGCCACATGGTCCACCCACACGAGCCTTTACTCTGCCGCCCGGCGTGCCGGAGCTCGATCAACTCAACACCCGCTTTGATCCACACCAGGGCTTTGGCGGCCGATATGGCGCAGAGCCGAGCTTTGGACCATCTGGCGCAAGGGTGGAAGAGGGACCCTTCAGTGCAGGACCCCACGGGCCGCAGATGAGAGCAGGAGAGGACCGTCGCATGCAAACACCAAGCACGCTGGGAAGTTTGCCTTCTGCTGGTAATCTTAGTCCGCGGAGCATGATGCAGTACCAGGCGCAGATGAACGCCCAGCATGGCGGTCTCGTGCATGCCCAAGCAGGACTGCAGGGCGGATTTCAACCGGCAGGCGGACCTCTCTTGCAGCCTGGTGCGTCCAGTGGACCGGAGGAGATTACCACGGTGTTCATCGTTGGCTTTCCGGACGACATGACCGAGCGAGAATTCGCCAACATCTTCACGTTCGCCAAGGGCTTCGAAGCTTCTACTCTGAAGATTCCTTCGAGTGGTCAGAATGCAGCTGGCAATGGCGGCCTGCCAGGACGACCTGGTGAAGGTGGCGCCTCCAATCTCACCGGACCTGGAGGACCTTACAATCCGGTCAACTTGCAAGGCGCAGGCCTATACGACCTTGTTGGTCCTGGACCACCTGGCGGGTGGGACGATCACAACTTGTCACTCGCTCTTTCGCGTGTAGGCGCAGGCGACGGCATATCTTCGCTGTCCAACATGGGAAGCTTGTCCAGCGCGCTGCAAGGCATCGCTAATGCTGGCCAAGGAGGTCAGAATGGAGGATCAGCTGCGAAGATCAAACAGATCATTGGATTTGCTAAGTTCCGCACGCGCGCCGAAGCTCTCGAAGCTCGTGATGCGCTGAATGGGCGCAAGATCGACGCTGAGCGCGGCTGCGTACTGAAGACTGAAATGGCCAAGAAGAATCTGCACACCAAGCAGCGTCCGGTGCTAGCCAATACGGGAGGCCTAGCAGACGGGCAAGTCGGCTTCGGTCCGAGTGGTATTCATGCGCTGCAAGGTCCGCAGCCGAACTACGAAGGCAATCGCACCTCTCCGGACAAGGATGGCAGCGGCTATTCGAGGCCATCCGTGCACGGTTCATTCGCCAACATTGGTTCTGGCCCTCAAGGCCAAGCAGGTGGCTATGGAGTGCCAGGCCAGCAGGGCACCGATGGCCCAGTTGGCGGCTTTCTCGGCTCTGGCGCGCCATTCACTCATGCTCCGAACGGTATCGTCTCTCCCTTTTCAGATGGCTTCAGGTCGGACTTCTTTGGCCCGGGAGCTGCAGGGCGAGGCCCTACCAGCATGGGTCCACAGCAGGGTCAGCAAGCGTTGTCCCTCGGTCCGCAGACCCCTTCATTGATGCACCAACAGCACGCCGCCGGTGGCCAGCAGCACTTGGCTTCGGGCCAGCCCTCAGGCGAGGGTCTTGGCCTGAGCAAGGCCAGCACGCGCGATCGATGGGGTCCGGTGGGGCCACTGGACTTTGTCGAAGGCTCCGACCCAAATTTCGATGAACGGAACGATGTGGGGGCTTTACGAGATGCTCGCAGCGCCAGGCAGGATCAGCAGCAGCAGCAGCAGCAGCAAGCTGGTTCTAGGGGGCCTGATTGGTCTGCGCTAGCTTCGCCACCATCTCGATTTGGTCTGGCTAGACCAGTGGCTAGCTCAGGGGAAGGATCAGGTGATGTTGGCCCGCAGTCGTTCGCGCAAGGGTTTGCCTCGAGGATGGCAACAGGGCGGGAGGATTTTGGAATGGGGGAGTCGACGGCACAGCGCTCACAACGCACATTGCCGCCTCAAGCAGGGTCTGAGACAGCTCGCACGCAGGACAATTCAGAGTCCTTGTCGGGCCATTTGATGCAGCAGCCAGACGGCCAAGAGGGTCGTGGCAGCGTTCAGCAGAATGCATCTCAAATGAGTGATCCCAGAATCGGCTCCCCACAGCAGCATCCTTCGACTGAACGTCAAATACCCTACCAATCGTCTCAACACGTCGCCAATGATCACCGAGCTGCGCAAGCTTCCGGAGCGACAACTGGCTTCTCGCGTCCGCGCTCTCGACACGACAGTGTCGGCGCGAGATCGGCATCGATTGGCAACTTGTCCAGTCCCACCTCTCCTCTCTCGAGTCCATCAAGCCGATCCTTCTCCATCGACACCAATCCACCTGGCAACACTCTCTTCGTCGGGAACTTGCCTCAGAGCAGCTCTGCAGGCGCACTCGCTGCGCAGCTTGAAGAGCGGCTTCGCTCAGCCTTTAGTGTCAAGCCTGGTTATAGACAGCTAAGTTTCCGCGTCAAAGTTGGCGGGCCAATGTGCTTCGTCGAGTTTGACAGCGTGCAATCCGCTGGACAAAGCCTCGCCGAGCTCAATGGCGATACTCTGGGAGGGGCCGTACGGAATGGTGGCCTTCGGCTCAGTTTCTCCAAAAATCCCCTGTTCCGGAGCACGCTTCCTGGCGCAGCTGGCATTAGCTCTGGAAATATTGGTAGCTCGGGCGACCGATCTCCGGCCTCGCCACCTCTTGGGCACGGCCAGCTCAGTCTTGCTCAAGCGAGTGCTACCTTAGTGAGTTGCCGATAACAATGCGTCGGTTCGGGTACTCGCCCTATCTCTGGCTAGTATTCACGACCTTGTCCAACTTTGGCCTAGCTTAGCAGCAACCCGGTCTCCCAGCTCGACCTCGATACGCTTGACAATGTGGAGGAGTCGTGAGTTTTGATTTCGGGCAGGAGTGGGCGTACATCATTCTCGCAGCCATCATTGCTTACCTCGCGATTCGACAGATCCTACCACGTTGGTTATGACGACGGACATCATCACGGCGTCTTGCACGGCAAATTCGAGGGTCGATCGATCGGTCGCACAAAGGGCTTTGAGCTGTGGGAAGAAGTCGGATACTACGAGAGCATGTCGCAGACGTGGCTTTCTCTTCTCGACGCGCAGACATCGCATCCTGCGGCTTTGTGAGTCGCAGACTGCCGGAGTAGATTCGCACGTCGACGCTGGCTGAGTACTCTTTGGTCGTCACAGATCGAGAAAGCAGCAAAAGCAGCGTCAGCAGCTCGTCAACCTCCTATCGCTCATAGCCTCATTTCCCATGGCCAACACGGCCTCGAGCGCGGTCGCGCTCGGGCAAGAAGGCAGCTTGGGCGCCTTGCAGAGCCACACGCCACCTCACAAAGCTGCTCAATCGGGGCTGATCGCCAAAGCTCAAGACGAGGGCGAGGATGTGGACGCTCAGCTCGACATCCTTGACCACCTCGAACGAATCAGAGCGCGATACAAATCGCTTTGCAGTGTTCTCGGCGTTCGTCAGCGCATTCGCGCTGCTGATGCTGAGCACGAGAAAGCTAGTGACGGCGATGGCATTCTTTCGGGGGCGAGAATGGCATTCGTCAAGGGTCGCGCGTTCAATCCTGAACATCTGGCTTTTTGAGGAACCTACGCGCAGGCATTCAGTCGAACCAGGGACGACGACCAGCAATCCTTCTATACCCACCTGACATTTCAACGAACAGGTTTCACTCTTGGTCTTTGCACTTTCCGCGGCTCAAGAAACTTTCACATTTTCCCGATTCGGCATCCAAAGAACGCACAAGGTTTCTCCTCCTCGTCTTTGCAGACCGTCATCGTATCCACACATGTACACTCGACATTTCTGCACCGCGTAGGCCTCGATTGCGTGATCGCACCTCAACATACTCGTCTCCTTTGCACGCGGTAAAATCCAGGGCTTTTCGTGTCTATTCTTCATCTCTCTCTCTCCACACTTTCAATGCACCCTTCTTCCCCCGCATCGACATCGCATTCAGATTCCTTCAAAGCTTCTCCCAATCCGTACCACGAAATAAGTGTCGCACATTCTCATCCTTTTCTCGCCCACCTCTCATCTGTGGTCACTGCGCCTCGCACTGCAACTATCACGCATGCCATCATCAACGCAAGTCCATTGTTGCCGTCTTGTTGGTCTCGTGTTACTTATCGGTGTGCGCGGCTCGCATGTCGCTGTGAAAGGGGGCAGGTCGAAGGCTGTATAGCCCTTTGGGAGACCTGAGCGTGTACAATCGCAGCAGATGCCTCTGACAAGCCCGTCTTCATCCGCGATAGCCTCAAGCAACCACGATCCCAAGGTTCGAGATGGTCTTGCGGAACATTTCTACGCGGCCGAGCGCGTAGCGCAGCTGTGGAGGCGCAAAAGCGGGAAAATTCGTAATGAGCCCAAGCAGAACCACGGTACATTCGAGCATTCGTATTACCCACGTTATCGAAGCTTTCGCTGCAGCCCGGCCCTACCAATGGTGTGTGAGCTACAGCGCCCACGATGCATGCGTCCGTAGACCGATGACCGATCTCGGTGCCATCGTCCCAGTGTTCTCTGACGCGCTCCTTGACAGTCTGCAGCAGCCCTTCGACGCGCTCTCGAGAGAACGTGATGCCCCAGAGGGCCCAAACGGCATGGCAGGCGGGGAGCCACACTTTGACTTCCCGCTCGAGACGATCCACCTCGCGCTCCAAGCTTGCATCGAGGCGGACCAACGCACTTTGCGCGTGTATTTGTGGAGAACGCGCGTTCATCGCCGGGGACTTGACAGCCTCTAGCGGCCCAGCGTCCTTGAGTGATCCGAAGGCCGAAATGGGACTGAGCGCTGATGCAGGCTGATCGTGGTCAGAGTTAACCGTGTCGATGCTTGATCTGCTTGCCTGCGTCTGTCCATTGGACTTTTCCAGCGCCTTGATTTGCTGTTGAGTGCCCGGAGTCGCTTGACCGTCCGTCAAGGAGTCGCCCGATCCCAAGCGTGATGTCGATTCGCCTGCGCTGCTTGAGATGGCAGAGGGTGGCAACGGGGCCAAGGCTGGCACATCTGCTGTAGACGTGGTAGCGCTTGGCAATTTAGGAGTTTTGCCTCGCATGCGCATGAGACGCCCCTGTTCTGCGTACGCCCGAAGCCATCGTCGCCGCATCTCGGTGGAGGGATACGGTCCATTGGCTGTCATGTTCCAAGAGTCAGTAGGGTGGTCATAATCGGCCCCCATCTCAACAAACATGTTTGCGATGTCATAAGCCCGCGGCTGTCGGCGAGGAGAGGAATGCATCAGCTCGCGAGCTTGGTTGCAACACGTTTGCGAATGGAACTCACTCCGTGGTTGAGGTACTCCATATCAATGACCACCAAACGTTCGTGTGGCACTAGATTCTTTCGGGAGCGTGATCTTGATCTAGGCTGAGCGGCGCCACCCAATGGCGAAGCTGCGTCTTCGGCTGCTCTGATCCTAGGCATGCCGGACGCCACAGGTCTATTTGGATTCATCTCTTTTCGAATGAGCAGATTGCCGTACTGCGTATCTCCGTGCGTCAGCACTCGTCGACTGTGGCCTTCGCGCCTTTCCCACGCGCGTGTGTATCGTTTGAATGCGTCCATTTCCAAGACCAGGCGCTGAAGATCTATAGCTGAGATGGCGAGCAACAAAGTCCGAAGAGAGGAGACGGGACCAATGTTGAGAGAGGTCGGCACAGGCTTGCTACCATCCATCGGAGCGAGCTCGCCTCCATTCTCGCAGGCAGCGCCTGGAAGTGATGCGCTCAATTGGTATGGGCAATTCCGCAGAGCTGCAGCACACGCGGCACGCCCTTCTGGCGAGCGAGCAAACTCGTCCACAATAGCGAGCACCTTTGCTGCCTCTCTAGACCACCGCTTGGTCCGCCGCCACACACCCGGGTACGGATCTCGAGAGTGAGATCCGGTCCGCTGCCTGCTGTGGGCGCGATGGCCTGAAGACTGATGCGAATACGCCTCGCCCGACATGGCACTTCCACGCCGTGCCGCATTCACAGAATCGGTGTAGGAGTCTGCACGCAAGGCGGGCGACTTTAAAGGATAATTGTCCAAGCTAGAGGTCGATGCAGTGCTCGAAAATGACGTTGCCAAAGAGTCGAAAGAGGTCACACTGTTGTTGCGATGTTGCGGGAGCCTGCCACGCATCTCCAGAGCCTGAGCTCGAGCACCCGTAGCGGCAGCGTCGGTGATGGAAGAGGCCTGCGCAGGTGGAACCTCGTCTTTGGGCGTCATAGGTGCAGGACTGTCCCTCATGAGACGTTGCTGAGAGCTTGCAGCCGAAGGTTGAAAGCTTCCGGATCCCTGACCGAGGTTGGCCGAGACATTAGCGGCAGATCTTGCGGATTGCTGATGAGGGATCGCGGACGGTCGACGAGGCCTGTGGCTACGTGCGAAAAGACCTCTCTCAATGCCGCGACCGAACCCCTTCTCGCTTGGAACGTGAAGGTCGCCCTGCTCTAGCACTGTGCGAATAGGATCGAGCGGCACTTCGTGCAGCTCACGCATGCGTCGAGCAGCCCATTGCGAGGGACCTTCCTTGCCCCTGAGCAGCAAGCTCCCATCCTCGCCAATGGTTTCGGTCCGATCGCCTAGGTCTCGCATTCCGGACTTGCCGATCGGTACACAGTCAAAAAATTCTGTTGCGAAAAAAATTTTCCTATGTGCTCAATACTATGCGCAGCTTCTCAAAGATGCTCACTCACCTTCCACGCGGCCATTCGCAAATGTACCAAGAATATGCGGCTATAATAAGCACGTTCAAAGCGTGATGGGCTCAGCTCTCTTGCCGGCTCCACACGTAGGTTGCTGCCCGACTCACTCCGATCTCGTACAAGCTAGACAAGGTGTGCAAAATCAAAAGTTCTGCACGCCTACTCAAGAGCACCTCGGTCGCAGTACCGTATATGCGCAGCAAGACCGTTGGTGGACCGATCAACGCTTCACTGTCTGCACCAGCCCTGCGCCTGTCTTCATCGCTGACCTTGTAGGACGCAAAGATGACCACGTTCGAGAATGCGCCGCTGACCCGCTTGAGCCCGAGGCTCTCTCGTCGTAATGGCAGGAGCGCGGGATGGACGTCACTTTCCGCCCAGCCGCCCAGCTTCAGTTCTTTGCTGAACATGTCCAGCACTTTCTTGCGGAATGCAGGGGTATCGAATTCCCTTTTGAGGACGATTCGGCTGCGTCAGCGAGAAGCCCATCCGGCATCACCTCGAGATTTGAATCTTCGCGGCGCTTACCTGGCGGTCAATTTCCATCCTCGTGCTGCCGGAACCCCACTCGCGTGCATGTCTTCCTCATCCTCATCTTGCACATCGAACCCTTGTCCCTCACCCTCAAGCTCGTCTACGATGGCTTCGTCCAGACCGTCATCATCGGGCTGAGACGCAGCGCTTCTGTCTGAGGCGTCGGTCGAGCGTGACCAAGGAGTACGCGATTCGGAGCCAGGGACTGGCGTTGCTGCTCCGCTCATACCGTCTCTGGAAGCGTGTGGTGGAAGTGATCGGCCTGGAAAGGCGTAACGGCTGCTGGTGCTTCCGCCTGCATTCGCATCCCTCGGTCCCTGCGTATGCGTGGGCCAGTCATCCAAAGATAAAGACGCCAGCTCTGAGTCGTAATCGGAAGAGTCGGTCGAGGAAGATGTGTATGCTGACAGAGCCGGAGAAGGTGAGGGAGACCACGCTGGCGAGAAGGCGACCAGATTGGGCGACGCTTCTATGCCTCCTTGCTCCGACAGACCCGAGCTGCTGGCTTCCTTGAAGTCGCCGCTGCCTGAGAGCCGCGAATCATCCTCTGGCCCGCGGCTACCTCCTGAGCGTGGCCATGATGGCATCCTGCTGGGCTAGTTGCGTTGTCTTGAACGTCACAGGTGCTTGCCGAATCTGGGTGATCGTCGATCTTGTCCCGCTACGCCAACAGAGCTTAGCAACGCAAGAAGGGTGGGGGCCTCATTCAGCCTCAAGACTGTCGTGAGCAATATGAATCACGAATGTGTCGAGCAGGTACCGCGTCACGCGACCTTTGCCCAAGATGTAGCCTGAAGCGAGTGGCCGCACAGATTCGTGCTACGTGACTTATTGAAGAGCACGTGCACGACGGCAGGACGACTGGTGACTTCGCTTCGATTGATCAAGCGCAAGAGGGTGGGCTGTCGGGGCGTGCGGCTATGCTTGCCAGCAGGTGGAATGAATGTTCGAGCAGCGGCTCTCGAGGGTGCGACTGTGGGGAAAAGGGGGAATCGAGCGTGAGATGCTTGCAGCGCAGTGTGTGCGAAAGCGAACGTTCAGTCATCGGCGCAACAAACGCACAAGGACCTCTCGAACTCTGCGAAAGCGCGTTATAGGTCAAGCCTTTTGCCGGCGTAACTTCCGCGCTGCAGCCACTCACACTCACGACTGCAGAGTGCAGCGCGCGCGCGTGGCAATTGAGTCGTCGCGATCGATGATGGCCTCGATCGCGCGTCCGCGCACGCGTGCAGCGCCCTTGCGAGCAACGCACCATGCCCGCGGACGTCACCGCGTTAGGGAGTAAACCCGCGGCACATGCGCCGCATCACGTGCTACGCGTCGCGACGTGGATGACTTCTCGTTCTTGTCTGCTTCAGCGTTCAAGACACTCTTACAGTTGTCCGCACCTTTCCCTCTCTGATATCAAGAACGGACTTCCACCGCTTGAGAGGAAGGACACAAATCAGTACCATAAAGTATTGCTGTTGGAGCTCAGGGCTAGACAAGATCCTCTTGAAGCGACGGCTCGAGTCAAGATCGGTGAAAGACGGCCAACTCGAATGTCTACACAAATTAGGACCGGCCACAGCATCAATTGTGCGCCACATTGCAATAAGGGAATGTTATTGCCATTTCTACAAAAAGAATGCTCCGCTACAGAATGAGTTGAGGTGCTACTAGGTGACGACTTGGTCTGAGCTTGAAGCTCAATTCTTTGCAAGCGTGTTCTTGTACAGCATCTGAATGACAAAGGCGCGAGGGTGTCAGGGAGGCCCCTACTACGCTGTCTCAACCTTCGAGAACACTCACGTAGGGCTGACGCGCCATGTGACTCTGTTCGACTTTGGCCCGTCCAGATCGCCTAGTCTCGACAAAATTTTCTCGCCAGCCGCCTGCAAGATCCTGAAGGAGGCGGGGCTGAAAGTGTGAGCAAAGTGTCGGTCATGCGTCCGAGCTAGCATCAAGCAGATGCTCACATGATTGCGCTTGGCTATCCCTGGTCCGATGTAGCTGCGAAACTTCGTGATTTGCTGGCGCAAGGCGCCTTCCCGATGGCCCTTTGCTCTAAGCCATGAGATGAGCTCCTCGACGTCATCTGCGCTCGTGTACACCGCCCACTCATTGGGAGCCAGAACGCCTTCCGCGCCTTGTTCCTCCTCTCTGCGCTTCATCAAAAGAGCTGGTCCCCTCTCGTACTCCAACGAAGCGAGTGACCATTCTTCGTCGGAAGCACCTTGAACAAACAGGCGCCCAGTTGAGTAGTTCACGGCTCCGTGGGAGGTGACGAGGGAGGCGCTGCCGATGCCATCAAACCACCAATACCGGTCAAAGAAGCGGTCCCTTCCTAGCGGCATCAGCCTCGGCGCAAGAGCCCACCTCCTGAACTCGCGATCAATGAAGTCCTCCTGCTTGTCAAGACGGATTTCCTCTTCGATCAGCTTGTTCCTCTCAGATGCCAGCTGTTTCGCCTCTTGCGTTTTGGCGCGGTGTGCCTCCCGTGCTGCAGCTTGATCCGCGGCGCGCTTCCTCTCCTGTGCAGCTCGCTCAAGCGCACGAGCTCGTAAAGCTTCTTGCCGTGATGGGAGTCGTTGCGACTTCGTGCTGATGTCTACATCCGAGGCTTCGCTTTCTGCCACTTCTTCGACATCGCCATTGGAAGAGTCTAATTCATCTTTTTCCGAGCTACTGTCGCTTTTTTGCGCTGCATCGCCTTCCAATCCGTTGGAGTCTGCCTTTGTTGCTGAGCCATTTGCGGTCTGTTCACCAGCGCTCTCTTCTTTCTTGTGAGCCTCCTCAAAGGCAGCTCGATCTTCTGCAAGCTTCTTGCGCGCTCTAGAGACATCGATCCGCTCCTTTCGCAGCTCGGTTAGGGTGGCTTCGCACTCGTCGTAAAACCCTCGGACCGGTCGAGTCATGACCGCCAATTCGCAAAGGAACGATATAGCTGCGAGTTTATCCGACATGGGCAAGTGCGGATACCGCTGCTCCACATTCGCAAAAGTCTCCGCAACGAAAGCACCATCCACATCGACGGCGTCTGGATGCTCCACCCCTGTCAGCTGCGAAAGTATCGCCAAGAGACGGGGGAGACTTTGAGAGGTGGCCCGCTTGTAGAGGGCTCCGACAAGACTTCTTTCCCAGCCGTCACGATCCTCCTCTGCTTTAAGCAGTCGTTTCTCCCACCCGGCACCAAGAGAGCGAGCACTAGCAAGCAGAGTTGTTTCGCTTTCGCTAAACCTTGACCCGTTTGCGCCGTTCTCTCCCGAAGCGTCGCCGTCGCTTGCTGCCTCGTCGCTCTCCTCCTCAGCGTCATCTTCTGTGCCGCCGTCTTCATCATCGTCATCCAGCTCATCTTCCTCCTCGTCCTCTTCCTCATTCGCGGGGGCTGTATTCTTTGCAGCGCTCTTCTTGTTATTTCTGGCAGCAGAAGTTGATGCCCGCTTCGCAGCAAGCTGCGCAGGGGCCAGATCTTTTGAATGGGGTCCGTCTCGAACGACGACATTGATGAGCGCTGCATGAATCTCAGAAATGAGAGCGCAAGGGGGCTCGTTGGTCGCGTGGCGCAAAGCAGCCTCGTAGTCGTCCAACGAAAAAGGCGACAGCATCAGTGGCTTGCCGCACGCCTGCAAGAAGAAGTACGTGTTGAGTAGCGGCTCGATCATAGTGTGTGGCACGGAGAGATCACGGCTGGGTACGGGCCGATCGCGACGACGGGCCACTTGTTCGTCGCGTCCTTTGCTCATCAGCTCGCGATGGGTGATTGGATCGACCTGAAGATCCTCAATTGGGTACTTGATATTCCTACGACGCTCAGCTGCGAGACGCTTTTCCTCCTCCTCGCGTCGTGCAGCTTCTGCGGCTTCCGCAGCTGCAGCAGCAGCTGCCGCGTTCTCTGCTGCCGATGCGCCCACCTTTCGGTTGCGTTTCTTGGCTGGGGCAGGTGCGGTTTCCTCGTCCTTGGTTTCCTGAAGGATAGAGAGCGAACGCTGGAATCAGAATCCCGTTTCTGCGGCATGCTCACCGATAGCACACAACTCCTGATACCGGAACCACTTACCAACTTGCGACGCTTGCTGAGTTGTTGTTCTCGGATGAGCCTATGCATGTCCTGCACAGCCTCTGACGGAAGCAGCGGAATCCCAAACTGCTGTGCGATGGGCACCCGCACAGTCCAAGGCGAGCCGATCGCCGCATCGCGCTCCAAACACTCTTTGAGGTACTTCTTCAAAATGACTTTGGAGAAATGGCGGCGGTCGCGTCTGCAGCGGTAGTTGAAGCTAAGATCAGCGGACGGAGCGCCAGAGCATGTGATTCACGAGAAAGACTCACGTCAGGTGCTGGTCCCTTACTTCCGTCAGGCTGCCCACGAAGGAGTCCTCCTAGAGTCCAAGGGAAAGCATCAGCCATGCACAGCAGACTGGCCATCAGTGTGCAGTACCCACATCGTCTAGAAAGCGGACATGATACAAGTAGTCTGCCGGATCGTCAATTTGATTCGCCTCGGCTTCATCTTTGTTCAGATCCGTTCCATATACATGGGTGACGTCCTTCATGCGATGCGCATGCGAGGATCCTTCGCCGTGTCGCTCGTCTTCTGAGAGCTCGCTGAGGTCGGACTCGGCATCGGGGCCCGCCAGCAAGTTTACGCGTGCTCTTTTGAGGACGCCGTTCTCGGACTTGACGGGCGAGGGACCGCCTGCGGATTTGGTGCTACCCTTTTTCTTGCTCCTGGCGGCATCCGCCTCTTCCTGTGCTCGTCGTAGAAGGGGACGCGGGGGGAAAACTTTGACGATGCGCGCCCAGTAGCTGTGGTCGGGGTCGAGTCTCAGTTACGTGTTCGCAAGCAGACTCAATCTCAAAGCCTCACCGTGTTCCACTCCTCTCTACCTGCACAGTCTCTTGTTCGAAGAAGCGATTCGCGAAGCGATCGTAGGCCTTGTCCACCAGGTTGTCCAATCGGCCAGCGACCACTGTTGCGTGATGGTGCATGGGTAATCAGCGTCTGGTACGTGCACTGTGCGCTCCAGCCCTCTCGAGCAAAAGTGATGCCACGTGTCACGCTCACCAAATTGTGCTGCTCGGAGTAGTGGGCCTTTCAAAGCTTGGGGAAAGCGGCGATGGAGCTCCTTTGCCTCCTTCTCTTCACTCTGAAGAGCTTCCAGGTAGGTCAAGCCCTGGCGACCGGAGAGTTCGCACTGAAAACGTCTTTGATTGAAGAAAGACAGTCTCGAAGCGTACGACCTGGGCAGTTCAGACGAAATCATGTGATGAGAGTGTCACTGATGTCAGTGGGCTATTACCCGCGCGGTGGATCCGCACGCGCCACCATCCTTTTGAACAAATTCCAGAACTTCGACCGCAGCACGCGCTCCATTGCGGATTTCCCTTGTGCTCGCTTCCATGTTGACATATTTATGGCGACGACACGTTCTTGAACAATGTCGCACAAGAGCATCGCCCTGTGGACATAGCCCTCGCAAGGCGCGACTTGGTGGGACGTGCCCGTCACTCACTCGTAGTCCAAGAATATCTCCCCGCTCAAGGTAAGGTAGTAGGCCTCCACATCATCTCCCATCTGGCCCGGGTCTGGAGCAGGGATCATCTCCACCGCTTTGCGCTTGATGAGAACCATCTTGCCGTGCGTAGACGCGTCTAGACGCGCTCGTGAGTGTGGCCCGAAGGACGCGCGCTTTCGAAGTGTCGTGAGAGAGGCGGAGAGGGTGAGAAGAATGAAGAAGAAGAAGAAGAAAAATCGCCGCGAAGCCTTGGGCGGAGGTGGTGGCTGTGCTAATGGTGAAGAGCGGACAAGAAGGCCATCTAGCGCAATGATCGAGCGCTTTGCGCGTTTTAGATGGAGGTCGACTTGATGAGAGCGGTGATCAGGTGGCCAAGCGAGAGAGGCGATGTGGAAAGGGGGATTTTCGGGTGGAGAGGGTATTTTGATCGACCAGCAGGACACCCCCCCTCCGGAGCAGCGTGCATGCATGCACTCACCATTAGCAGCAATAGCTCGGCTTTGCGCCCGTGCAGGAAGCTTCGCAGCAGCAGCAGCAGCGCTACTGCCGCTGCTACCAGAACATCACGACGCACCTCGTTCCGCGCCGCCGTTCACGCGCGCGGGCCAACCGCGCGCGCGTCGGGTTCATCTCGCGCGCCAAGCTTGATGATGCGCGGGCGCGCGTGTGCGCGTTTGGGCTGGCGCCACGCGCATATTTCGATTGCAAAACGCGCCGCGCGCGTCGTAACAAGCAAAAGGTGCAGACTCGTTCGTGACTCTCAATTGAGCCCTAAGCAGCATCATACGGATCGTCGTAGATTTGAAATCTAGACCCAAACGCGGTTGGTTTGAAATCGAAAACAGCTGTGATTTTTTCTCTTCAAGATTCTCACTTGCAAGTGATTAAAGTCTAGGAAGCCTGCATGCTATTCGAACAGATCCCAACGACTTCCACAGCTCACCCTCGCTACGATACGTCTTTTGAAAGTCTTAGACCTGTCAGCTCATGGCGCACATCAGCGTTGCGTTTCAATCTTTCATGGCGCGAAGGGAAACCAGTCCGACCTGCGAGATCGAAGCGTGCACGATAGCATCCTTTTTGCTACCTCCCCTAGAACGCGACACAAGCGAGCAAGACAACAAGTGTTGATTGGACTGCTGAGAAGAGCACCGTGCGTGGACGACTGTCCATCAGCGGACGGGCTATTGTGATTACGTAGCATCTGACCAAAGTGTAAGGGTATGAAACACGCCAAATATGTCACAGTATTCGAAAGAAAGCAGAGGCAGGCAAAGGAGCGTGAGGAAAAGGAGCACGGAAAGGCGATCAGAGAATGAAAGTGAAGAAAGAGCGTGAGACGGCTACACCAATGAACGTCGTATATGCTTTCGCTCAGCCGGAAGCACCACGGTAGCGTGGCCAAGCAGGATGAAGGAGGCGATGAGAGCACCGAGAAAAGCTTCAAGTGTTGTATCCAGTATGTGAGGCCGCTGGGTCGTTGTGATTATAGAGACTGTCGTGCAGAAAGGTTGACTTTTGCCAGGTCACCTTCTGTGAGGCTCTCGTGGAGGCGTGTTAGGCCAGACACGAGGGCTTACGAGCGAAGACACGCCTTGCGACTGGCTCAGTGCGCTATCCAGAGAAGGCGGTCGTCGTGAGCCATCAACGAGCTCATCTGGCGCTTGCTCGTTGTCTTCCTGGCTGTACACGCTGTCAATGGTTTGCGGAAGCGGCTCGGCGTCCGAAAAGTCGATGGTGCGCGACGCAACAGAAGGTCGACCTTTCTCTCCCGAAGTCGATGGAAATCGAGAGCTCTTGCCGGAGCTGGACCTGTTGAAATCCACAACATCCAGTTCTCCCGACTCGGCACCCTGACTCTTGTTGGAGTGAGAGCTGACGGTACGGTGACGATCATGCACCGCCTGAGGTGCGAGCGTCGCTTGGTGTTGCGCGTTCTGCTGCGGACGTCTAACGAATAGCTCGGCGAAAGATTCGGTCGTGTCGTCGGCGGTCCAGAGTTCGTGCGGTGCCATGCTTCGAGCAGAGTGACTGGAGTCTGATGGCGTAGAGTGACTGAGACGACGATTGGGCACAGCAGCGGACGCATTGTTGGCAGAGGTCGCAAGCAGCTCTGTCCCGTGCATGCCGGACGAGCTCGAGCGCAGGTGAGATGGGATATCGCGCTCTTCATCAGCGTCACGCCTATCGATGGGAGATTCGCCTGGATTGGATTGCGACCTGGTGCCGAAGTAGGAAGCGTCTGTATCTGCAGCCTGGAAAGGCGTTCCGAGCTCCGGAGTATGGAATTCCTGAGGCGAAGTCGGAGAGCGAGGCGTTGCGAGCAGGCCAGCTCTGACGAAATTGCTTTCGCTGTTGAAAGGAGTACCGAAGCGGCCCTTTGCGGGTTGTCCAGCTTCTTGCGTTTCTGCACCTGTCCCAGCACCCTCATCCAATGCACGAGCTGGTCTGACCTGTGCATCGCCGTGCTTGCTGATGGACTTGACTCTCCACGGCGGCACCGACAACGACTGTCCAGGCTCAGCTGGCTGAGCAAGCTCGTTCAGGAATGCTTCCATGGACGACTGGCCTTCGCGCTGCACTGGCGGCAGTGGCTTGCTTATAGCGGCCTTTGCAGCTTTGCGTCTGAGACTGCTGGACCTTTTCGGTGCTGTTGGCACCTCGGTGCTGCTCGTGTTCCTAGTCGAGCTGATCGTCATAGAGCTGTCAAGCGAGTCCTTTTGTGTCCAGTCCAAGATGGCGCGTAGATCTGCGCTGTTGTTGGGCCGATGATAGGTCGGAGACGTGGCATGTGCGCCTTGTCGCATCGGTGCTGAACCGTCGCGAGCCGAGCTGTAGTCCAGCGTCGGTCGAGGATTGCTTAGTGCGACCCCAAAAGTGGTCGCACTAGCGTCCGCAGGTGCCCGTTGCGGCTCCCCTGGAAAGCGGAAACTGGTAGTGCCGGGGGAAGTAGAGTGCCCGATGACGACAGGATCATCAGAGACCAGAGTAGGCTGCCAAGCGGTTCTGGAGGATGGTCGTTCTCTACTCTCAGGCCTCCAGCTAGTGCGACGACCGGCTTGCAGGTGGCGAGGCGGTCGCTTCTCATCTGCGATACTGGCGTCCCATGAGCCGCTGCGGCGCATGCGGCGCTGGTTTGCGAGGTTTGCTGATGAGACCCTGTGGTGCTCTCGATGGGGTACAGATGAGCGCTTCGAGGCTGCGGATGAGCTCATCGCCCGGGTCCGCTGCAGAACACGAGAAGCACAAATGCGTAAGTAAAAGCTGGGAATGCACTGGCATTTGCGCATTGCCAGAGACTCACTCTTCCAAGCCAGCTACTCGCAAGGCTGCTTCTCTTTTCAGCGCGGCTCAAATCACCTTCAATCTCCAGAGCGGCCTCGTCGATTGGACGCGTCTGGCTGCTTTGACGTCTCCTGACATCTGCGTCCGCTTGACGCCCGCATGGACGCCAAATAGCGGTGAAGCTATTCGGCACCGTGGGACTCGGAGGCGACGTGCTCCCATCAAACGCATCCGAGCGCAGTTGCGGCGAGCTCCGTGCATAGCGTATAGTGCGCTGTCGAGCGGGGCCCAAGTCGAGGTCTTTTTGAGCCGAAGCCGACTTCGATTGAAGCGCCATGTCATCTTGGACAAAGCTGTTGAAATGAACACTGGGCATGGGAGGTCTTGCCTGAGGATCGTCCCAAAGGGCTGTCAGGCGACGGCTTCTAGCCGGAGTTGGTCCTGCGCTGAGCTTCCTTTCGCGCTCACGGCTTTTGGTACGTTTGCGAGCATACTCGTTGCCTCCAATGCTGCGCTTAAACTCCCTTCTCCATCGCTCTCGGTCATCCTCGAGCGCTTTCCCTTCCGCAATGACTTGCGCTAGATCGGGAGTCTCGGGCTCCCCTGGGAATGCGCGTCTAGTCTCCAGGGGACTGCGTTGCACCCTACCGAGGGGTTCCTGCGCATGTCTGGCCGGACCTTCAGGAGCATTAGGTGGCATGCGGTGATGGAAGAATGGACGGTCTGCCACATCTTCAACATCCCGTTCGTCGTGCCCGCGGTGGCTCGAATCAGACTTGGCGATCACCGAAGCCATGCGCGCATGTGCTTGGTCCCTCGCGCGCAAGTCCGGGTGGCTTTCCGTTCTCCTCGAGCTCCGCTGCGGGGCTCGGCGGTTGCGCTCGAAGGCGGCATGCTTTGTCGCTTCGTGCCTTTCCCACCCATCAGCACTTTGCCTGCTGATCAACCGCGGTCTCGGCATCAAGATGCGTTCGCATCCATTGTCGGCATCCAGAATCCCGGTGACGTCCGGTGCATGAGCTTCCAATTCATCCAGGTGCAGCTGTTGGAGCAGATGGTATCTCCGTTTCGCTTCCGCCGCAGAGACGCCATGAGGCACCGGGCCCACGGCTTCTGGCCGTGCGGAGCTCGTTGTCTCGCGGCGTGAACTCGGTGAGGCCTCACTCTGCGTCGAGGCTGCGATTGGTGACAGCAATGGTTGGTTGTTATACCAACCTTGCTGAGGAGGAGTTGTATCCTGACTCTGAGAACGTGCGACTGGACCGCCGCCATCAGTAGCCCGAGGACGAATCCGCAACGGGGCAACGCTTGGCGATGGATGAGACGAGGACGCAGAGCTGGTGTTTCGAAGGCTGCGCTGCGAAGAGGCCGCGGTCGAGTTAGTGGTGACAGCTCTGGGTCTTGCATGGGTGCGAGACTGCGCGGAGTGGGCTCTCTCGGGAGTTGCTGAGTGAGATCCACGCGAAAAGCTCTCCGTCGACTTCTTGCCGCTCGCGGTCGGCAGCGCTGAGGATGGCGCGCGCAGGCTGGTCATGGAGGTATTGGTGCTCCGATTGAACGTGGCGGAAGCTGCACCCGAGCTGCCGCCTTCGCCTGACGAGACAGATGCGCCACGCCGCAATTGAGCGCTATCCAAAGTCCGCTCGCCTGCCGCTTCTCCAAAGTCCGTCTTGGTCTGCGTTGCTGGAGCTGAAGCAGGAAAGGCGACAGCGTGCGGATCTCTTCGAGTGACTGCTCTGATCGGTGGTTCGGCCTGACTGTAATCTGCTCTCATCAGACTGGGCAAACCAGGCAGCGCAACGCTGCGATTCAGTGGTGAGGCTGGAAGCTTGGGTGTGTTTCCACCGTGGGTGTAAGCCACAGGTAGGCCGACGGCCATTTGCATCGCAACGCGCTCTCCATTGAAGTCTTCGCGGCCCGGGGACAAGAGCGCATTTCCTGACCTGTTCGGTGCGTCTCCGGTATTGCTTCCTCGGGGCGTGGTCAAGTATGAAGGACGAGCACTGGCATCTTTGCCAACGGACCCCACGCCTGAGCCACCCTTGAGCGTCTTTGGCAGATTGTCGCGCGCGATCGCATGTTCGATGCCCAGACCGCGCGTATTCCCTGGGTACTCCGACCTGGTTTGCCATGCCTGAGGTCCTCTGTCCGGCCTTTGACCGTAACGGTGCGTACCCGAACCATGACCGCTCGAAGGGAATCCATGCCAAGCATGGCTGAAGGCCCCTTGGCTGAATGAAGGCCCGACCTCGGGTGAAGGAAGGGCGGAAATCCCTTGACCTTGAGCTGCTGCTGCGCTTTGTTCCCGAGCGTAAGCTGCGGCAGACGAAGATGGGTGTGCATCATCGCCAGCTTGGGGGCGAGGCGATATCGGTCCGCGGTAAGGAATGTAAGCGCCATTGGAGTCCTGCTGGGCGTACAAGTCGTTTTTGTCCTGCGAGCCTCGTTCGCCCGCGGCGATTCGTCCGGCAGCCGAGCTTGCGCCCCACAGCGCACCACTTCTCATTCTCGGGCTGAGAGAATCGTGTGTTGCCTGCGAAGGGCTGGAATGCACGCCTCCGTCGTCCAACCCTCTTCCTGCACTCCCACCTTGCCAAGTATGCCCGAATCCACCAGACGATGCCAGCTCACGACTGGAGGACGCTTTGCGCAACGACTTTGAAAAGAGGTTGGACAGTCGGCCTGCAGAAGGTCCTTGTGCGTGCGCCGGCGACATCGCCTCGGGCTGATACGCGACTCCATGGTCCATGGCGACTGCTCGAGGTGTCGTCTGCGGTGCTACACACCGATGTGGGTTGGAATATGTCACGGCTGCTGCCGAGTACCCACAATGAGGTCGAGGCGGTCAAGAAGTGGTGTGTCGACTGCTTCAATCCTGGCAGGAGGTCCAATGATTTGCCACTCTGCCTCGAGCACCACTCGCTTGATGGCTTCGTACGCCTACACTCCAGTCGCCGCGCCTCCACCGGAGCTTTTACCAGCAGAACTTGCGGTGTCCTGGCGGTAGAAGGCGTCACGTAAGCTGTATATCAGGGGAGTCTTAATTTGTGATCTTCGGCATTCAGTGAGAAGCATTTGTGCGGATCTGTGCAAATAAGAATGCGGCCCAAGCTCGTGCAAAGATCGCGCGCGGTGCGTTGGTCGGCAAGATGCTGCAATGTCTTAGAAGGAAGTCAAAGCTGAGGAGCGCGCGGATCCAATAGCTGGAGGGGGCTCGGGTCGAATTGCACAAGTTGCACGAACCACGTGAAGCGCGTTGTCGATCGTGGGGATGTAGAGATAGACGGAGACCCAAGAAGTAGTAGTGAGGCTGTCGGAAGTGTACCTTGAAGTGTGCTTCAGAGGCCCATGCAGCGTGTGCGGGAGCGAAATGGCTGCTGCTGCTGCTGCTGCTGCTAACGGTGCCGGTGCCGCGGTGGGGGACTCTGAGGGGATCGCTCCTAAAAGTCAAAAAGTCGCGTCATCCACGCAAAAGTTGCTGGGCTGTAATGAGTGACATAGAAGGCCGATTTAGAATGCTGCAAATAAGGCAGGGAAGAGGGGGGAAGAAAGAGAGGAGAGCGCTGCTGGCGGGCGGGCGGGCGGGCGGAGTGAGTGCTTAGCTCGCGCTACTGCACACCCCAGCTCCTTTTGGCCCGTCTTGCTCTGTTTGGTGCAGAAGCGAGCAGCACAAATCAACAAATTGATGCAGCTAGATGGTCGTTGCAGCAGCAGTCACGAGTCTGCATGCGAGCGAACGAGGGCAGCATGATCGTATAAGCAGCAGCAGCAGCAGTCCGTTGGGTTCCTGTTGGTGAAAGCGTGTACAGGTAGCGCAGTGCATGCCGGCCATTGCCATACGGCAGTTCGTTTGTGTGCAACTCCGCGCAGACTAGCGGCTTTCGCACATTCGCTTGATTCTGCATGGCAGCGATGCATGGCCGCGCGGGCACAAGCTCTTGATTCGAACACATGGCTGGATTCAAATGAAGCAGAGACAAGCATTGTCCTGCGCGGTGCCGCCATTTCTCGCAACGTGGTGGCTGTGTGCGTATATGGTACGCATCAACGCGTGTGATTGATTGCTGCATGGAATTTGTGCAGACATTGCGCGGCCAGCGGCCACCGCAGAGCAGTCTTCAGTCAGAGTGCGAGAAGGGCGAACTTTCGTCGTTGCACATCACCTCGAGACAGCGCGTCTGCATAATCTACGCACGCCCCCAGCATCGTGGCCAGCAGCAGCAGCCTCTGGGCAGTGTTCGCGCCAAGCTAGGCGACGCACCTGAATCCAACGTCTACGTCGGCCCGCCGCCCGTCACTTTTCTTGTGCGCGGCGCAAGAGCAGTCAGCGTATGGTACGGTATCTGCGGCATGAGCTGCTGCAAGTGCTGTGCGGGCGTACCCGCGACTTGTGAATCACGAATGTCGTGACTCGTGACTAGCTCCAACACCTCTGTCGTCATTCTTTGCAGTGATGAGTCCTCTTACACACTCGCCCAAAGAGTCACTCACGCAGACCTGCATGGCAAGCAGCCGCATTGGTGACATGCGCGTATTCCAAGACGCGGTGCAGGGTACTACTACTACATACCATACTACTCGCAGTAGAGTAGACTTTTGACCTGGCTTCAAATCAACGAGCCTGGTCGATCCGGGTTCGATCAGCGTCAATCACGAATCACGAATCACGAATGCGCAATGCTTTCCTTCCCCTCTGCATGCACGTACTGCGCTTTCACGCCAGCAAGGACTACTACTCGATTGAGGGCTCCATATCGATCCAAATTGAATTGCGACGATGAGGGCGGGCGGGCGGGCGAGAGAAGTCACAGTGGTGAGTCTCAGCTGTGATCGACTCGATCACGGATCGACTGTTTAGAAATTTCCGCGCTACACAAATCAAAGATTGACGCGGTCAAGTCTCAGTCAGAGTCAGACCTTCCCAGACCAAACATGGATTTTGATTTGCCATGCATCAATCCATCCGGTCCCGAAACATGCAGCTCGTGCGCCGGCCTCCACACGTCTATACGCGCACCCACGCGCTTCACGCGCGCGACGCGACTCGCCCCCTTGATGATCCGCAAAACGCTTCAAGCTAAGAGAAATTACGCAAAATCAGTCAGCGTCTGAGACTCCCTCTGCTTTGAATCGTGAATCGTGGATTCGTGACTGGTGACTGTTGCAACAAGACGCGCCTAATGTGACACGACCTGCTTGTGACTACGCACAGCAGTCCCAAAGCCAGTCTGATGAGTGTAGTCGTCATTGCTCTAGCTTGTACATGTACCCTCTCCTGCAGCAGCCCAGCGGGCCCTTGAGAACCAATCACCCCTGCTGCACGACATCTCGCGCTCGCCAATGCGTGAAAGCCTCTGCAGTGCGCGATCGAAGAAACTGCATGATGACGTCAAGCGTCAGCTGTACATCACTCACGACTCAAAGCTCACCACGTACTAACCACTCGACTCGTTCGACTATGACTCACCAGCACGCACGAGTCACGACTCACGACTGACCTACTGACACACTCGTCGGAAATCGATCACGATTCAAGACTGCTGCACGAATATCGAGCAAGGAGCAATTCGCCTCCAGACTATACAAAATTTGCACCTTAGCTAGCCAGGATTTCGTGCAGCGACACCAATCACGTGAATTATTCGGATTCCAGAAGCTCTCCAAAGTTCGCAAGCTTCCAACAAGATTTCGGGTCACAACCAGACCAAGGGGCACACGACGCGCAGATCATTCAAGTTTCTCAGTCGGAATGGATCGTGACGGCGCTCCACACTCGATGCACTGATCACGCAGTCATTGGTGTGGAGCATCATATTCTCGATCCCCGATTCTTGACCTTGCGCGATCGAAAGACGATCAGGAATCCGCGTGTTTGTGCTTCCCTCCTTGCGCGTAAGGTACGAGAGAGCTGCAAATGAAGCCGAAGAATATGGTAGGGCAGGAGGCGGCACTGCTCCATGTGAATGAAGCTAGGAGCGCTTGAGGATCAGTCAAGCCGAATGGAGCGACGCTTCGGAGCACGTCTCATCCGGTAGAATCGAGCAGATCATTTGCCAAAGATGTAGATGAAGCTGCCTCGAGTCTTGAAGTTGACCGGCAGAATCTCGTACTTGAGGGCCTCCATCTGGATGAAGAAGCCGGTCTTGATAAAGATGTTGCAGAACAAGGGCACGACAGCAAGGAAGAAGGAGTGGAGGAGGAGCACGGCAACGATGGTCGGAATCTTGTTGTTGATCTCTGGGTAGGTACGTCTGAACCACGTGCTGGCCACTGTCGCAAGGCCGTTCAGCACAAAGAAAAGGAAGTTCATGCCATCCGCCTGGCCCATCGTGCTGTACGTAATGTGCTCGTGGAAGATGCCGCTAGCAGCAAATGTGACCACGGCCGCAACGGCCTTTGGCAGGAAGGGTGAGCGCTTCGCAGGCTTGGCTTGGGGCTGCGCCGGTTTCGTGGGGGTCATCTTGAGTCCGTTCTTCTTGGCGCGACGATCGTGCTCCTCGTCGTCAGTCTTGCTGTGCTCAGCTTCTGTCTCTGAGAGGTGGTCGTACGTCTTGCGCTTGGCTTGAGCAAGCTCGCGGACGCGTTTGCTTGCCGCAATCTGCTGCGACTTGGTAGGCCCGTTGTTCGACACCTTCTTGTTCTTGTGGCCGCCGAAAATGACACGATGGAAGACGGAGGCAATTGCACGATTCCAGTGCGACCAGAAGAGACGGATGTTGATGGTCGAAAGGGGGCTCTCAAACATGTCTTGCATCTCGACGTTGAAGATGATACCGAGACCCTTGAGCAACCCATCTCCGAAGAGAGCCAATGCCATGAGGATCGAAACGCCCAAAGCATCGCAATAGAGGTGGTACTTCAGTTGAGGTAGGTCCTTGGCGATCTCGTAAGGCGGAATGATGTAAAGCGTCAGGAGGAAGATGATTCCCTCCACCAGCACCTTCGGGTATCCCTTTGCATTCTCAATGCGCGCGTTTCTCTTGAAACCTTCAGCTTTGGTGCGCTCCTCGATGTCATCCTCCTCTCTGTAGAAAGACGGGTTCCGCAACGCGTTCAGCTCGATATTCACATTTTGGGCACGCAGAGGCACATCACCTACTTTGGGAATGCCCAGAGGCCGCAGAAGAATCGAGCGAAGTTCCAGCTGTCAATCTCTTGGCGAGTCCGAATCACAAAAATGTCGTACACCACTGGAAAAGGGTACGATGAGAGAAGTGTGAGCAGTCTGCACAAGCACCGGCGGCCTCCAAGCAGGCATGTCGGACCTGCACGGACACTCACAAAGGGATGAACGGAAACCAAGAGCCTGAGGACGGGAAAGTGGCACACGGTAAGCATTACAGCCCTCCGACGGAAAAAGCGATGCGGGCACAAGGACGCGCGTGCGGCTCCTCATCCGTGCCGCACTTTGGCGCACTGGAAGCAAGTCTGCAGATAGACGATCAAATCCCTTTCCGCGCTCCGAAACGTGCCCTGCTCTTGATGTACAACTAGCGCTCCCTACAAAAGGAATGAGCCTGCCACTCACTGGACGCCAAAAGTCGAGCATCATGCAGCCGCTCATGCCAGTCACGATGGGCCAAGCGAGAAGAACGGCGCTCAGGCCGCCCACACAGCCGTACCTGAGCACCTGGCTCTTGGTAGCGACGTGGTAGTAGAGCAAGCGGGCGACAAAGCTGGTGAAGAACATGAAGCTCATCATGCGGATGGCGATGATGCCTGCTGTGCGCAGAGGATAAGGTGGCAGATCGTACTCCACCACTTCGAAGCCAGCCCATCTCGCAGCATCCAGCACAGGGTCGGAATTGAGCAAGGGGAAGCCTAGCTTGCTGTACTTTGGCTTGAACAGGCTGCCAAGCGTATCTGGAGGTGCGGTGTGCATATAGAATGTTAGCGACGCTGCTCTCGACGCTGGAAGGACGGGAATGCACGCACCAGCGGCAAGCTCAGAGGCCTTGTCAAGGAACTCGACCATGATAGATGACAGGGGCGGCGGGGTTTGGCCGAGCAATTGCTAACGAGGCACAGAGTAGCGCTGTAAGCTGCGAGCCTTTTCGACGAGTCACAAGCGCGTCGAATGCCAGCGTCTGCCCGAAGTGTAGGTTCCTCGACAATGTGTCAAGATAGTTGAGAGTCGCTCGAGGATGCGACTTTGCGGTGTGAGGGTTAGAAAGGTGATGGAGTGAAGCCTTTTGCGAAGTCAAGAGAGCGTTTCCTCCGCGCCGACGCCTCTCGCCATCCCGATCGGGGTCCCTGTTTCTGTGCGATTCGCAACAGCAAGGGCTATGACGGACCGCCAAGCAGCATATGGCATCGACGCTTGCATCATCTGCAGCACACCTTGCGGGGCAGAGATGAGCTGAGCGGCAGACGGCAATTGAGCTGCTGGGCGGGCAGCGGCAGCGGCAGTGCGCATGAGCAGCAGCAGCGAGTTTCCGTCCGCCTCGTCATCAGCAAACCTTTCTTCCTGCTGCAGTACGGCGGTGCTGCTGCTGCTGGCACTCGCTGCTGCTACTCGCACTCACGACTCTGCTTGACTGTGACTGACAGCTGCATGCATCCCCGCATTCACTTCCTGGTCCAAGCGCGCCGTGCACCATGCACCATGCTGCAGCTCTCACGAACTCCACACACGCGCGGGCGCACAGCAGCCGCGCGCGAATTCGTCAGCGCAACATTCGTGATAAAGAATCACAATCGAATGAATACAAGGTGAAACAAGCAAAGATGAGAGACTCGATCGCAATTAATCGAGCCACATACCGGGCCTGACAGAGCAGGTCTCACTTACGCGGCGGTAGACCAACTCGCTTGCCTTGCTTGCTTGCTTACACGGGCCGCCGCCCCTTCGTTCGACTTTAGGCGAGCCGCGCAGCCAGCGTCAAAATCTATCCTGGACTCTAAGGACTATATTATTATTATTATTGGTCGGACTCTAAACAAGGGCCATGCAGAACAGCTGGCAGGCAACAGTAGTAGTAGTAGTAGTGTGGGCGGGTATGAGCATTGACACTCACACTCATCAGACTCAAAGTCCACCACGTTAATTGCAGCTCGTGCGCTGTGACGTGCGTGAGGAAGTGACGTGCAGCGAAAGGGCTTTCGCGTACGTGTGCGCATGCATGACCGCGGCCCTCGCTGCTGCTCCTCTTCCTTGCGCCCGTCTTTCTCTGCTGCTCTCTTTGCCCTTTCTGCTGCCGCGCTTGCACGCTTTCCTCTCGCCCGACGACGCGCCATGCAGCATGCGTGATTTGCAATTTTGAATCACGAATGGTCGTGCCTCGTGCATGGCATGCCAATTAACTCGTGTCTGCCTTTCTCATGCGCCATGACTGAGCTCGCTCTAGCGTGCACTACACAGTGCGCAGTCGTAAGTCAGTGCATGCGGGGTAATGGTGAACGGTACATGGCGAATTCCCGCGTCTTCATGAACCTCCTACCGCGGGACCGTTGAAAGAGTGAATCGTGAATGGAGACGCGGCCGCGATCGTCGTGATCCGGGGGACTTGCTCAAAATTTCCGAACTCGAGACGTCGAAGCATCACACGGCACGGCAGGACGATCATAGCTCATTCGGCAAGTCTTAGCTGATGACCGCAGGAGCTTCTGATTGTGGGGCATGTTGCACGCGGCCGAGGGCCACGCCGAGAGCTGAGCGTAAGCCTGCCACTCACGACTCACTCGCCACGGCCAATCGTGAATTGCGATCTACGCGTCGTGCGCGTTCCAATGTGAATATGACTCGCGACGATGCGGCAGGTGGCCCGTGTATAGCCAGCGTCTCGAAGTCGGATGGGTGAGCTGCGCGCTGACCCAGCAGACGTCGGTGAGACAGCGGCATGCAAACGAACCCGAGACTACAGCTGCTTGCTCCTTGACAGCTAGCTCTGAGCAGCTCACTCATGCGGGATGACGATTGCGATCAAACCGTTTTGCTCGAGAACTCGGCCTGTACGGTGGACTGACGACTACTCACGCCTCGTGACTTGTCGTTACGTCGATCGGTCACCAGAAGCTCTTTCAAGCTCAACAAGCCATGTGAACACCACGACGACAAGCACTCAGACTCGACTCAAAAGGCTCGTGACTCGAGAAGAAAGAGACATCGCGCTGCTTGGCCAGGCGTTGATGTTTTGGGTCAGGCCCTGGCTATTTCTTCAGGATCGACGTGATATGTGTCGTTTGCATCCGGGCTGAGAGCAGCGATGAGGCCCACATTGGAACAGGCAGACGTGCGCGTTTGCAGCAAACAAGAGTAATTGTGAATGAAGCGCGTGCTATCATGATCAACAGCGCTTTCGTCCAGCAGGATTTACGATTGACGTCGTCTTCGCGAGGGAACATTCGCGCTGTTCTCGACCGGGCACCATCAGGCGATGAAGGTTGTCCAAGGTCAGAGTTCTGTTAGTAATACATCAGGAGTACAAGTTGCTTCGTCCGAAAAGGTGTCAACGCCATCTAGCAGATTGTTGGAAAGATACGTAATTTGCGACACTGGTCATCCTATGCCAGGCTTAAAGTAAGGCCACGAGCAACGCTGAGCAGCGCTTAGGCGGCAAGGTGGTGTACTCGATCCTGAGCTTGGCCATCGACTCCGCTATCCACCTCTTCCTTGGAGACAGAGTTGGCTGGTGAGAGTCGATCAGAACCTGCGGGCACCATTCCTGGTATGTCTTCATCTTCGAAGCAGCGCTCCTCTCCCAACAGCTCCTCCATGTCTTCTTCATCCGATCCCGACAAGAGGGCTGAGGGCGACACTCGCCAATGCAAGCCTGGAATGTGCCCTACAATGGCAGCCAAAATAAACGTGATCACGAAAGCCCAGACTGTTGCGGCGACAGAATCTGCCAATTGGATGCTGTTCGGCATCCTCCGGGCATGTCAGCTCGGAGTGTCTGCTACCGTAGCTCCTTGACGGCGGCGCTCACCCGATCTGTTTCCAGTGGCCATCTATGAAGGCGCCACCTGCGAACTCGGTAACGCCGTCGAGGGCAGCCAGTTGCTTTTGGGCGAAGAATCCGGTCATCATGTTACCGACGACGCCACCAACTGTACGCAAAGATCGCAAAGACGAGTGGTCAGCCGAAGTTTCGCTTTGACGCTACCATTCACGACTCACCGAAGTGCAAAGCCACAACGTCGGCTGGATCGTGGAAACGCGTAAAGCGCCAGTTCTTAAGCTTCGTAGCATAATTGCAGACTACTCCATTTAGCGCGCCGATCAAGACTGCGGTCGGGTGCCCGACAAATCCGCAAGCTTATGAGCGAAGTGGAAGAAGGTGTTCAGTGACAGACCTATTTCGCGTCAGGAAGACCGTAGCCGAGCTCACCGGGCGTGATGCCGACTAGCCCGGCAATGGCTCCGCTACATCCCGCAACAATGCTCCATCTCCGGGACCTGACATAGTCCAAGATGGACCAGGAGAGGCTTCCTGCGCATGCAGACAAGCACGTTACGCTCGCAGCCATGACGCTCCTCAAGTTGAGAGCCATGAAACCCCCAGCTCCATCGCTATGGGTTTGTATGAGCGCAGCAAGAATGGCGATGGTGATCAGCTCCGAAATGCAAGACGAAGACGACGATCTTTGCGCGACTCACAAGGCCAGCCAACCGCTCCAGATCAATAGCGTGGCTATGAGGACCAACAGTGGATTGTGCGGCGGTCGGAGGTCCTTCGCCGTTAACCACCCGCTCCCAGCCAGAGGACTTGCAATGTAGAGACTGAGGGACAAGGCCGAGATGCCTGAAGCGATGTGCACCGGGGTTCCCCCGGCAGTGTCCGCTACACCAAGATTGTAGAGCCAACCGCTGGATGACCATACCCAATGCGCAATGGGGCAGTACACCAGGGTGATCCACAGGAAGATGAACACCATCAGCGGTGCCATTCTCGCCCTTCCGCTCACTCCTCCAACGATGATGGCGGCGGTGCAAGCAGCAAACTCGTACTGAAAGAGTGCGTAGAGCACTTCTGGAATAGCAAAGGCGAACGGAACGCTGGACTCGATGTTCACGTAACCGAAGCGCCGCCAGTCGCCGATGAAGCCACTGCCGGCATCACCAGAGTAAGCAAGAGAGTGTCCGATGAGGAACCATTGCACCCCGCTGATGCTGGCAGTCATCAGCGCTGCGAATAGCATGCCCGCTGCAGATTTGCGCGTGGAAAGACCGGAGTAGAGGAAGCCGATGGCCGGGATGATTGGAAATACAAAGCACACTGCAGCGGTGGGATGGTGAACTGATCAGCGGGGCTTGGTGCTACACGTGAAGCAACAACGCCAGCTCACCTGCAGCAATCACCCAAGCTGAGGTGACGAGGAACAGGAGTAAGTCTCTATCGCAAGGCGCCAGCATGCTCGCTGAATCGTCTTCCCCACTCACCCACATCTGCCAAGTTGTAAACCTGTTGCACGCCATCGGGCGAGGTCTGCACGATGGCGCCAGGAGTAGTGGTGATGTTGAAAGCGCCGCCCATGTTCTACCTGTCGCTTGCGATGCCGCAAGAGTACGGCGAAGAGGAGATGCGTGCAATTCGCAAGTTCAGAGACAGAAAAAATGTCAAGTGAAAGGAGGAGCGATGCCAGATGTACGGGCGAGGGCTTGCACTATTTGAATGGAAAGCATTGACAGGGTCAAGTGACGTGCGGCAGGATGGCGCTCGCTCTCCTGCATCGACGTTGACATTCACGATTGCAAGGTGATGCTCACAGAGAGATAAGTTGCAGGGCACCTCTAAGCTCCGCGGGTTCGTGTGGCTAGAGGGCGGGCTTGGCGTCGTGTCTCGCTGCGTGTATGCTCTACCGAAACGATTCATTCAGAAGGTTGATCTACAAAACTGCATTCAACATCACAGCGTAGCCTCACAGTCTTGCCAGACGCTGTTGTCGTACGCGCCATGTTAGATGCGAAAGCGCGGATGAGGGGTCGGGACGATGTTCAGCCACACGGCCGATAACGCTGGCCCCATTCACGATTGTTTTGATTGGGCCATTGACAGCCGACATCAGCACTCGTGGCTGTCGCGCACGGACGCCCCTTGACGTTTGTCATGGTCTGACGGGGTGCATATGCCAGAGTGCTGCGCTGAATGACTCGCTCGTCTCTCGCTGATAATCCTTATCTTGACTTTATGGAGAGGCAGGCTGCGCTGCCGCTGATGATGATGTTGATGCTCTGGCAAGACCGCCCTGCCTTTCGCAACGGTGAAGGTACACTGCGAACGAGCCTTGCCCCGACTAGCCTGGTCTTTGACGGCTTGCTAGCTGCAACTTTGAGAGGCGGGAGCGAACTCCACTTGGAAAAGTCTAGCCAGGCGGAGAAAGCATGCCTCAGATAAGATCGCTGTCCGTGATAGCATACCGATACGATGACCTCCAAGCGCAAAGGTGGATGTGCAAAGAGCTACGAGCCGGGATCTTTGATAACGCGCTCCCTCGTCTGCCGCGGGTAAACTGACGATTGAAGTTGGTATACGTCCGTATATATATTTGCCGTCCTCTCTGATGAGAATATGATATGCACTTTGACTTCATTTCCGAATAGAATCTGCCCAAAAGCACGCATGCATATCACTGTTGTATTTGTATGTGATGTCCGTTCACGTGATTGCTGGTCCGCGCGCGTCAAGCGCGTTCTGCATGGAGAGCGCTTAATTTGATCTTCGCCCCTCGTACTAACTGGTGGTATAGCGGCCGACCAGCACAGCCCTGCATGCAGCTTTGCACCTTCATCCATCCCTGATTCGAGTTCCTTTCAGCTTGATGACACAGGACCAAGGTCAATTTCTGGCAGCAATGATCAACTTGGCGCTCGCTTTATAGGCAGAACTTCGAGTACGAAGGGCAGATTGTTCGCCTTCCCTACCCTGCGCCCCGGCCTGCTCAGAAGCGATGACTAGCTTCGACGGCAGCGCCAATGGAATAGCAACGCCACGATTCGCATTGCAGCAGAATGAGGACTCGATGACAATCACAGCTTGGTGCACACCGTCAGCAGACAGCAGCAACCACAGCGCAGACAAAGAACCTCGCGCCATCGCAGAAGGGCGCACGTTTGGACTTGTCCATCGCGCTTACTATCTACCTCTCGTCCTACCCCTGCCCTGCAAAGGCGTCAGGCACTACTCAGTGTCAGGAGATGCCGTCACTGTCACGATCGACAAGGCATCTGCAGGCCTTTGGAATCTCGAAGAGGTTGTGCCCGGAATCGCGCCAGAGCTCCATGTAGGCTCGACGCAGCGTCAAGCGAATGATGGCCCGGATGTCATCTCTGATGCTGTTAGTCGAGCAAATGAGAGTGCTTCCTCAGATCACAGGCTGGCCCTGGTCGACGAAGAGTCAACAACGTCCGCAGACTGTGTGCCAGTCGAGCAGCTTCCCAGTGACAGTGCGTACGCTCATCTCATCAGCTTTTCGTGGCGCATGTGTCCTCATGCTGACGCAGCAGCCGTCTGGCAGGCTTGGTAAGAGCACCTCGAGTACTCGCAGAAGCGAGATCACAAGTGCACGAGCAGCCTTGGGACGAAGATAGAGACGCCAATAGGCGGTCAGAGGAGGCCGAGAAGCGAGAGGACGAGTGCTGGAATGAAGATTGGTACTTGTGGGTGACGGGTGATGCACCTGACAACGGGCAGGGTCGACCTCTAACGCCTCGTGACCTTTTGCTGCATTCTTAGGGACAACTACGCAGATGAAGCTGGAGAGGTAGCTGCGTGCTTGGCCTGGCAGCCAAGCCATCTTGTAATGGAGTCACATCCGCTTGCGCTATCGCGAGATGACCAGCCGCAACTTGACCCCTTGCACTTGTTGTTGATTGAATTGCTCTTTGCGCAGTGCTACGACGAGCGAAGCAATCAAGGCGACACGTCGGTAGAGAGCGGCTGGACCATCTCGGTGCTTTGCAGATCACTAGTCGCTAGCTACCTGCCTCGAGAAACGGACAGCTCGGAGCAATGCGTCACTGCAGCGCTCCGTGTCTCCTTCAGAAGAGCCTTGACGAAACCTCTGTACCGGAGCTGGTCACTCGCCACTGTCGTCGCCCACGACGTGCGGACAATCTTGGGCGCTGGTTCATCGTCGATCCGAACACGTCTTCAGCTCATTCGCGATTGTCTCGAGGAAGGAGCAGCAGGGGGCGACGATGCTATGGAAATTTACGTGAAGGACGTCGTAGGACCCTTGGCGATGTGGCACGAGTCCCAACCGTGAGTTCTCATGACTACGCGCAGGTTCTGTACCTCTGAAAGTGCATATTTGCTCGCTTGCCTGTCTGACAGTCAGGAGAGCTATGAACGACTGGCTGCTCTCGTCCACAAGGCGAGCGAAGAGCTGACTCGCTCTGATGTAGGAGGACCGTTGTGGGATCTGGACACTTTGGAACGAGCAGCGGACGAGGTGCTCGCCGAGGAGGAGCAATGAATCAGTCCGGTCCCACAAATGCAAGGTGACTTGTTCGAGCCATTGCTACTGTTCAGCGGGATCGGATTGTGCTCGTGCGAGCTTCGTAGATCCGCCTTCGGCGCGTTGTGATCGATTCGAGCTAGCTTTTCTGCAGCCTCGTTCAAATGCTCTGGCGGCAAAGGCGAGAGCCCGACAGCGAGAGCGCGGCACATCCACAGCACCTGCGTCGGTCGCACCGCGGATGCCCTGGACCCTGGTCTGCAAGGACTTGGCGGCAAGCACACCAATCGCGATCCGCAACGGTCCATGCGTTGCCCCTGAGCGATCGACACACAGAATCGGATGCTCTCCTGACGCTAACGAGATGAGCTGCGGCGTGAAGGTTCTGATGAGTGCATCTACGGATGCAGGGCTGGTGCCACGACTTGCACGATCCGTGAATGCCTCGGAAAGCTCGGGCCCTCCACATTCTCATTCATATCGTCGTCTGGCCGAGTCCAGCTCCGGCCTAGACCGCAGACCTCAACCCTCGACAAAGCTTCCTGAATCTTACATGGCCTCACAAGGTATGCAAAGTCAAAGCCGTTGCGACGCTGGGGAAGATGTCGGTCATTTGTGCGATAAGCCCGCGGGCCTGGTCAGGAACAGGGCGTTTAGCGCGCAAAGCTTCGCAAGCGTCTTGCGCCGCTCGGCCGGCGCTCGCGCGAGGCGATCTCCTGCGGCAGATGCTGCAGATCGCGCGCCCGTCTGTATCTCGCTCGGACGAAATTTCTGTCGATGCTGGGCGTAGGTCGCTTGCAGCTCTAGAAGACACGCTTCGAAGCTCTGCGAGAGGCTAATTGGCAGCCCGACCCTGAACGTTCTCTTCTTGCATGCTCTGCATGGGAGCCAGGATGATCCGACAAATTTCTTGAAAACCTACTAAACCTTCTTCTGGCCCTTATGCTGTGTGAGGTCGCCTTCTGCGCGATGTCGTGATGGGCAAGCATATCCCGACGCGGTGTGCACGGTGCCCTAGCCTCGATCCTATATCGTTAGGCAGAGCGATGCACCCCATAGCTGCGTCATTTGCGGTACGCTCAGGTCGGTACATAGGTACAGTAGGTAGGTAGCACAATGGTTAGTGCAGTGAATATTCGTTTCCTTCTTTGTGGCTTGCAGCGCCCTTCGCGCCGGCTCGCATCAAAAAACGACCTACAGCGTCCGCAGCGCATGTGCGGCGTTTCGGGTCGAGCGGCTTGGTGCCTTGCAGGCAAGAAGGTACTGCTACTACTGTATGTACCATGACTCCTCTACTCGCAGCCATCGCCGGATTTTCATCCAAATAGCTGTGTCGTCTTGGGTGTGCTGTAGTGTGATCTTCAGCAGGCAGTTGACCGTCTCACCTTCTTTCGAGCTCCACGCAAAGGCCAATCCCAATTTACGAGTGCATCAATAAGACGGCCGACTCCTCCTCATCACCTCCTTCAGAAGCGCGCCGCTTGCATCAGCCATCACGGAGGAGATGCGCGGCGCTTGCCCCGCGGCCGCGCGCCGCTTCCCTCACTGTCTCAGAAGTGCTGCATGCTGCTGCATGGTTGCGAGACTTCACTTCTGACACCTGATGTACCATCAAGAGGACGATGCAGGCATGATGCGCATGCTGTATTTCATGCAGATGTTAGCCCTCCCCGCGGCATCTAATTAATCCAATTAATCCAAAGACGCGTCGGCGTTGGACGCTTGCTGGTATAGGTACATAGCATTTAGATTGCTGTCAAGCACACCAATCGATCGAGCGTGCAGAAGAAGCGCCTCTCTCTCCCATTGACGCGACTCGATTGCCATCATCTCCGTGCTGAACAGCTTACCAACGAGCCCCACTGCAAGGGCAAGCCCGGCGGCTTGGGCATGAAAGCACAGAACGATTGCTGCAGCTACGGCCGATCGTCGCATGATCTAGGATGACAATTGTGAGTGTGGATGATCACAATCTCAAACACGAAGAGGTACTCTCTGCGATCGTCGCCCGGTCACAATTAAGTGCAGCAGGAAGCACGCGGCCGTTGTCTCGCGCAACTCACCACGCGATGTCGGCTTGTTCTCGCCCGTGCCTGTGTGTCTTAGATCGCGGTCCATGCACTGCATGCATACAAAGACCACGAATGAAGGTCTTGCTCATGCGCGGCGTAGGCGCGATCGAGCTGCTGTGCTGCAGCAGTCTGAGTCGTGAGTCGCTGCATGCATGCTGCTGCATGCTGCCGATGGGCTTTTGCTGCATGTGTACGCGCTGCTGCAAGAGCACTCTGCTGATCTCACTTACCCGTTGTGACAGTCGTGAGTCCTGCGCAGCGCCTCGACTTTCGGTCCTCTGCCCGGCGTACCACCCGTGACCACCGAAGGCTGATCGACCAGCTGGGGCCACCATCATGAATCCTGCCTAGCTTCCTCCTCTGAAAGTCATCACTCGCACCATCAACCACCCTCATCTCGCCAACGGCCCCTCGAAACCGCCTCTTTCTGCTTTCGTGAACTCTCATTCGACTCTTTCCGCCTTCTCCCGGCCCTCGGACCGAACTGAAGCACGCGCATCGCCGGCGCTGGCATCGACCCGAACCAATTAGCGCAGCACGCTCCAGTCATTCGTGAATCCGAGGACCACTCAGCGCAGCCTCGTCTTCAAAGCAGCGACGCACAGAAACGGACCTGCTCAAGACTCCGCTAGCTTCAGCAACCGCCGCGTCTGCGCAGCGGGCCGTCATCTTGACCATCTGCACCCGTTCCAGCACATGTGCTCGAATTAATCCCGTGTCCACCAACGCCCGCGATCGACAGGGGGACGCGATACCCTGTGCCCGGCCTTTCATACTCTTGAGCGGGCACATACCTGGGTTGGTCTTTGGCTGATCCATCGACACTTTCATCTCGAGGCCCGAGGCTCAACGTCCTCGACGCATCAGCCTGCGAAGCGCTGCTTCTCTCGCAGATCAAAGCACCGCTGCATGCCCAACGCAAAGACCTTCCACGACGGGCACGCAAAGAAGTGATGGCGGCTTCAGCAATGGACGGTGAAGATGCGGGTCGCGTCGGAAGTGGTGGTGTCCGATCGCGCTGGACCACCTGGCGCAGCAAGTGGCATGGCCATGGTACGCCTACGCAGGCCGACATAGACGATGGTCTGTGGGATACGGTGAGTACTGGTAGATGCAGCGGCCCCCCTTTATGATGCATGCATAATACTCATCACAGAATCGCAAAACGCTACTCTCTACTCGCAGAACGATGATGGCTTCCTTCAAGACGTGGCAGAGTCGACCTCGAAGTCGTTACCACAGTCACATCTCTACACCATGTTTTCGAGCCCCAATTCCGATCGCGCTGCTGAGAACTTTTCAAGGCCCCAAGGTCCTCAGCAGCGCGTAAGTGACTCCAGTAGCGGCAGCGGTGACCCTTCGCACGAGAGCAGTTCTCGCCCCACCTCATACACCAGCTCAGCCTTCTCGCCCACTTTGCATGCCGCCGGCTCAGACTCAGCGCCGGTCGGTCCAGGCGGCTTCATCCAAGCTTCACCCCTGTTTGGCGGGTACGACCTTCGCAAGGCTAAGATATCGTCGCCGTCGAGCCGGTCACATTCTGCCCGTACCTCACCTCAAGCACCAAACTTCACCTTTAAGCCAATCGAAGGCGAGGAGGGCAGCTCAGCTTACTATTCCGTCGAGACTGACCTGCAAGAGCAACTGCGCTCCTCACTGGACTTCGCCAGCCATCGCGCGTCAGCAAATGCGCATGGTGGACGGACTCAAGCCTCGCTGAGTCGTCAGGCAAGTAGCTCTTCGTTGAATCACATCGATTCAGCCGCCTACCCGCGCACACCAAGTAATGCCAGCGTGCTTGGGCCCGAGGGCGAGACTCGGCATTTCGTGCATGCACATACGTCGGTGGGGAGCCCGAGCAAAGACTATACTTTTCCCGGGACAAGCTCCAGTGTCTTCGCAAGCTCGCCTCGAGTAGGCAGCCAATTATCAAGGTGGGAGCCGCCATCTCCAAGGACGACGATACTTCCGCTCGAATCAGCATCTAGGGGAGGGAATGCGTCGGGAAATCACGGCGATCCAGGATCGCCGGCTGGGTCTTTGGCCAAGCGCCGATTTGGCCGGCGTGAGAAGCGCTCGCCGGAATCGCCTGTCCTGCCAAAGATTGATAGCATGGGCAGCGCGTTTGGGAGCGATTATGCCTTGGGGCAATCAAGCTTCGAAAGCCTCGGGCCGAGCGCTCTAAAGGCCAGCGAGACCCCTCCGCTGGGTGGTCCCCGCCGCACGTCGATTGTGAAAGGCACCCTCGTTTCGGGGCTGCGCAAGTTCATGCAAAGTTCACACTCTCCGAGCGCTAGCACCGACCTCGCCAGCAAGCAGATGTCAAGAGCAAGCAGCAAGACAAGTCTGGCGCAGTCTGCTTCAGGGGATCGGTTTGGGCGTCGGCCAAGCCACCTCGAGATGGACGACACTCCCGCCACTGCCGCACAGCCCGGTTACGACAACATCCAACTCGTGAACGAAGCGTCCGCACTATCGGGCTGGCAGCAGACTAGCATCGACGAGCACACGACCCCGACCAATGTCGACATCCCGCAGCATCCCATGCTTCAAGAGCTCCCTGCAGGTGCCGCGCTTCGCAACGTTCTGGCGCATCGGCCTTCTACCGCACCGTCGCAGCAATTGTTTCATACCCAAAGCGAAGAGCCGACTTCACTTGATTCATACGGTCAAGCATCACTCGATGTTGGGCCAAATTACCCTGCAAGACCTACCAACGTCCGTCAGCCGAGCGCCCCGACGTCTGCAGAAGCCGCTGCCGTCGACTCGGGCTGGTCATTCAGCAACCCAGATCGACGCAAGCCTAGTTTTGACAGCCTTGCTGCCAGATTGACTCCACGAAGTCCAAACACCGAGCGCTCAGCTTTGCGTGGCGCTTCAGAAAAGGTGTCAAGCAGGCGTTCAAGCAGAGCAAGCGTCATTGATGTCATCCACGACGAGCCACGGCGTCGAGGGATATTTACGGGTTCGAATTTGGTGATCCCGTCACAGTCGCGGCCGAGCAGCCGCGGCGACGGTATCGAAGAGCTCGACTTGGAACTTCACTCCGCGCCCCCTCGCCCTCTGCGCGAGAATACTGTGCGCCCGAACAGTGCGCGATCCAGTATTCCGGTCTCGGATTTTTCCGACATCGCTGCAACGTTCAACGCAGCGCACACCAAGCGCTGGTCAGGCGCGCTGTCGCAGACAAGTGCTACTCAAAGCTTGGGAGCTCGAAGGGGCAGTGTCGCATCGTTTGTCAGTCGTCGAGGAAGCGACGCTCCATTTTTCAGCCGCGCGTCGCTGTACGGTGTTGCCAATGGAGACGCCAGGAAAAGCTTCGGTCTCCAAGGAGATGCTTCGCGAGAGCACTTTGCAACCGCGTCTGTCGATGACTTCCGCCTGCTAGCCGAAAATGATTGCAGAGAACGTAGAGGCTCAAGAAGCAAGATTGGCTTGGGTGATGGCGTTCCACTACCTAGGCCAGCTCGGCGCTCGTTCGTCGGCCAAGGATCGAAGCGATGGTCTGGGCTTGTTTTTGGCGGCGGCAAGCCGCTGAAGGTCGACGGGTCTTCTATTTCCCGACCAACTTCTGTAGCTTCGTCTGCATTCTCGGACGCTGCAGCTGACATGCTGGTGGACAAGTCTCCGCGCACGCCCACCACGCCCGGCCTTCGAGCAGCAGTGGCCGCCGGTGACCTCGACACAGAGGCAGTCGTGCGCCGAATGCAGCGCAATAGCGACCAATCCAAGCGACGACTTAGCCCACTTGAACCCGACAGCAAGGCAGCCCCCGAGGAGTCGCATGTGCGAAAGCCCTTCATGGCGGCCAGGCCAAACACATCGGCCTCGCAGCAACACATGCAGTGGACCGCCACCGATGAGCGTCGTGCCTTGTCCTCCGCGCTCGATCAGGTGCGCAGACCTTCCACGAGTGACGCGGTTCCCGTCACTGGTGCCCGATCACCCCTGCTCCAGCATTTGCATGCAACGCACTTCCAAACGTTGCAAGGCAAAGCGCTGCAGACGTCAGCAAATCAACTGCCGGAAGCAACACCAGCCGCAATTTCGAAGACAACGCGAGTCAGTAGCGCTCGCCCTGGCAGCGGGGACACAGTGGCCTCAAAGTCGAGCAATTTTCGGCGACCAGCTGAATTCAATGACGCCGCTTTCGATGCCGTGAGTTTGTCCTCTCTGGGCACTTGAAGTCTCGCTACACGCTGATCGTTCTTCGAACTCGCATTTTGCAGACTGCTGCCTTTGAGAGCATACCCAGTCCATTGCCTTTTGCTCAACTTCCTCAGCAGAGCTCAGCGGCCCCTCACTCGGAAGCCCAAGAAACGTCTACGGACCTCCTCAGTGCAGCGGCAGCGGCGGCTTCAGGCGACTCTCACAGACGAATCACAGAGGGCGAAAGGAGCAAGCCTGAGCCCCTGTCGCTGTCTCCGCCTTCCGATCTCGAGGGCGCCCTAGAGTCCCCCGCAGATCCTCACTTGACGTTCAGCGATGGCGAGGATACCGATGACGGGAAATCTGAAGGACGCGTCTCTTTGAACCTCGATCGAGACCTGGTCGTAAGTCCAAGGCCGCCACCGCTTGACGCGCCATGCTCGCCCGGCACGGAAGCCGACGAGAGTGAGATGGAGCTCCTCAGCGACAGCCATTTCGTATTCGGCGATGACCATCAGCACTTGCGCAAGCGCAGCACAGATTCACTCAGAGACCGCGCGTCGCTGAGCGATCGGCCAGCAATACCGCGACGCTCATCTTCGTCTTCATTGAATGGCAAGTCTCCACCTTACGCGACGGCGCTCTCGTCCGCAACGGCAAGCCACAGAGTGGCCCTCCCGAGGTCTGCAAGATCAAGCTTCGACTCTGTTCACAGCGTCTTGAATAGCGCAGCGGAGCTAGCAACTGTTCCCCCGGCTGGCCAGACAGCTACGACAGCCGGTGATAGACGCTCGTATGCTTTCGTATGATGCTGATGCATGCCTTTGCTCGTCCTTATGTCACTTGCACCTGCTGCTCGAGACCTCGGCTCTCTGATCGTGCAAGCTTCCTCGTCTCGTCTCTTCATCGACAACAAGACATGTACGAATACCGGTTTACCCCAACAATGACTGCAGCTCATGCACTGTATTGATCACTAGGCCGATTGGACAGTGACCTCGATTGTTCGAGCTATGCAGTTCTTGTATCATCCTCCGCCTTTGCACAGGCACCCGAACGACATCCAAAGAAATCACGAGCAAAGACGAGCAAACAAGAGTGAGGTGGTGGGCCCTTGGGGCAAGCGATTGTCATTCGCTGCTGCTGCCGCTGCTGTCGGCGTGATGGTATAAGGGGGATGTATGCATGAGGCCGACCGATCGAATGGGCCAGTAAAGCCATGGGAGTGATGGTGCTGTTGACGTGATAAGGGGACATATGGGTACAGCCCGCGAAGAGAAGGAAGGGCCTTGAAGCGACGCGAGTGACGTTGCTTTTGACGGGTCTGTCTAAGTGAGGTATGATATAAGTCAAAGCCAGTCGTCCCTCATTCTGGGTGGGGTCACCAAAGCCTTCACCAAAGCAAAAAGAGGCTGTGCTCCACTGAGCTGACACAGAGCTGTCACTGAGGTTAGCTCTGTGAACCTAGCCTCACTGAGCTGTGCTTCAAAACAAGCTCAGTGACCCCTGTCGCGACGCGCGCGCGCGCCCATCTCTCTCTGTTGTACGCGTCACCTTTCTTCTTCTAATCAATGACATTTGCCTATTCTACGCCTGACAATCCCCCTCCAGAGTCTACATTTGGGGAGCCTCTGTGACCCCACTGAGAATCAGACCTGATTTGCTTTGAGTGAGATATGCTATACGTGAGATATGCTACAAGGCCTCGCGAAGGGAAGGGCTTTGAGGTGATGTTATACAATGAATGGGTGAGGAGCAAAGTGTGATGCACGGCCACGCGACCGAGTGCGATGATATACAGATATGTGCAGCAAGACGAGGCATACCGACCATGAGCATGTGCTGTGCGGACACAAGACGAGCTGATTCAACTTACCTTAGGAGCGTTGCATCTCCGAGGAGGAGAGACATTAGCCCTGGAGCGGCTGTTTGCGCGCTCATCATCGGCGCTGACTGCGTTAGCAGACGAAGACGAAGACGAAGATGAAGACGAAGATGAAGACGAAGACGAAGACAAAGACGAAGACGAAGACGAAGTGTTTGAGGGTGACTCGTGCTCTGTAACGGACGGCCCGCTCCATTAGCTGCGCCCATTACACACACCGTTACACGCACCGTTACATGCACCGTTACACACACCGTTACACGCACCATCACAAACACGAACTCTGTGACGCACTTCGTTGCGCACACCATTACCATTACACACGCTGTTACACACACCATCACACACAGTGTTCTCTACAGTTGTCGACGCTCTTCTGCCATACACAGACAAGCGTTGACAAAAGGTATATAAGGAGGCCTTCTTCCGGCCTCCTCTTCTCAGAAATGCATGCTTCCTACCACGACCTTCTTGTACGACAACTTTGACTGAATCACTACTCTGACCAACCACCTTCAACGCTTGCTCGACGCCTGGACTGATCACCCAGCTGTCTCCCTCTCTCTCTCTCTTCTTAGCTCTACCATCAGCTAAGTCCTCGCCAGTCGTAACGTTCCGTCCACTCACTGCTTGTTCCCTGCTCTTAGTTTGGCGAGCACAGAACCTTACCTGCGCCGGTGACGACTCCGGCTATCGCCGCTGAGCCGCATCGTTACATGCTCCCTCTTGATCCAGCATTGGTTCCTCTTGCGCTTGCG